TTTTACTTATATATATATTTAAATTAGGGCGTTATAACTATTTTAATTATATAAGCGGAGTAAGTGAATTATTATTTTTTATTTAAGTAAATAAAAATCCTAAGATCTTTAATAATAAGTATATTAAAGAGAATAGGGGTTTTTTAGGGTTATAGGTTATAATTAATTTTTAAATATATTTAAGTAAATTAACGGGTAGTTTTTTAAAAGTCTATAGTTATAAAAGGGATTTTTTAAGTATAATAATAAAATATTAAAATATTATTTATATTTATAACTGCTAGGCCTAGGTTAGTTAATAGTATTTATTTAAATTTTTATTATTATATAAAAGTTTTACTAATAATATTAATCTTTTTATAAAAGTTAAAGTTTACGTAAGAATTAAAAGGGCTTTACTTATATATAGTAATAAAAATCTATATTTATTTTATAACTTAAAAAATAAATATATCTTTAGTTATTATAAAAATGTTTACTTTAATTAATGTTCTTTTCCTAGCTTTTAGTTAAAGTATTTATTTACTTAATATTTAGTATTTTAATAAATAAAATATTATAATATTTATTTTTTAGACTTTAGCTTTATATTTAGGGATATTAGAATATTATTGGGATTTGCTTTTTTTTTAAAAAGGTTTTGCCTTAACCTTTAACTTTTGCTTTTAGGTTAAAAATAACTTTTTTTAAACTTTTATTTTTATATTAATTAGAAAAAGCTTTTTTAATAATAGGTAGTAAAAGAAATTATTTTCTTTTATATTTTAAAAACCTTATTATTTTACTTTTTAATTTTATTTTTTAAAGTAAAAAGGAGTTTTTTATAAAAAAAAAGGGCTTATTATTTTTTTAAAGCGTAAGGGAAGTATTTCTTTAATAAATCTAAGTAAATATAAAACTTTTAGGGAAATTAATATTTTTATTATTTTACTACCTTAAGTAAACTAAAAATTATTAAATTTTAATAAACTGTTTTTTTAAAAAAGTAATTATTTTATTTTTTAAAATATTCCTAGTTATTATTATATTAGTGTTATTATTTCTCTCTTTATTTATTTAAATATTACTTTTAAATTATATAAACACTGCTATTTATATTATTTAAGCTTAAAAAAATCTTTATAATATTTTTTTAAAATTTCTTAAAAATATTATTAAATATATAGTAAAGGTTATTTAGCTATTTATTTTTTATATAAAGGTTTATATTAATAATTATTTACTAAATATTCTTAATGTAAACTTCTCCTTTATTATTAAAGGAAAATTTATTAATATATTACTAATAGTACTTAAAATAGTTAAATATATTTATATTTTTAAAAACTATAGCTATTAGCTTACGCTATTGCTTTTATAATACCTATAGGGTCTTAAGTTATATAATAGTCTTTTTAATAATAGTTTTATTTTATTAAATATAAGTAAAGTTAAGGTTTTATAAAAGTAAAGGTTATAAAAGGGAAACCCCTTTAATAGAATTGCTTATAATATACCCCTTCTACAGTATAGGTTTAGCAATACTTAAGTAAATAATTATTATTATTACTGTTTAAGTAATTTTTAAAAAAGTTTTAAAATTATTATAAAATATAAGGTAAATTAAGTAAACAGTAATAAGGTAAATATTTTAGTATTATAAAACTAAAACTTAATTTTTTTTTTTTAAGATTTATAAGTAAAAAGGTAGGGAAGGCTAAATAAAACCCTGGGGTTATATATAGGGTAGCTGCACCTATATAATCCTATTATATTTCTTTAAGTTTTATAAAAAATTTATTAATAAAATATATTTTATTAATTTTATAATATTTATTAAATTATTTAAATTTAGTTTAGGTTATTTTAAGTTTTTTTATATAGTTATTAATGTTTATATAGTTTTTAAATATTAAGCTATTATATTTTTAATTAAGTTTTTAAAAAGTAATACTTTTATAAAGTTTAAATTTAATTTTTAAAGTATTTAAAATAATAAATAAAGTCTTTTTTTATTTTATATATTTATAAATAAAATAATTAAGTTTATTATATATAAATATAATAATTTAATTTTTATATATTTTTTAAAGTTTTTTTTTATTTTTAAAATTATTATTTAATTTATTAAATTTTTTTTTAATATATTTTTATTTTTTTTTATAAAGTTTTTAAAGCTTTAGATTTTAATTATATTTATAATTTTTTTTTTTTAAATAATTTTACTATTTAATAAGTTAAAATTTTTAATAATAGCTATATTAATAATAAGTTTAAAAATACTTAAGTTTATTATTATTAATATATTTAAGTTTAATAATTAAATAATAATTAAATATTAAATTAAAGTTAAATTAAAAAGATAGGATTTATAGCTAATTAATAGTTTAATTTAATTTATTAAGACTAGGGGTATTAAAGGGACTTTTAATTTTTAAGCTTTAGATATTTTAATTATAATTAAAAGTTTATAATAGTGTTTTTATAGTTAATTATTTTAACGAAGGTATTAAATTAAAAGTAATAGGTTTATTATAGTAGTTTTTTTTATAGTTAAATTATAAAGTTTTTATTAAGGTTTTATTAATTACTTTAATAAATATAAAAAAATAATTTTTTTTAAATAAATTTAAATATTATTATTAATTATAATAGTTTTAATTATAAATTATATTTATTTTTTATTTTTTTATTTTATTAATTTATAATAGTTAATTAATTTTATAAAATAAAAGTAATAAAAATTATTTATTAAAATAATTAAAATTATTTTAAAGTTAATAATTATAATTATTTTAATTATTAAATTAATAATTATTTTAAAAGTTAGTTAATTAAAAGTTAAATCTTAGTTTTTTATTTAGCGTTAATAAAAGTAGTTTATTAATATTATTAATTTAAAATAGTAATTTTAGTTAATATAAAGATTATTATTATTAGTTATAATCTAAGCTTATAACTTATTAAAAAAAAGATTAAGTATTTATTATATTTATTAAAGGTCTTAGTTATATAAATATAAAGTTAAGGGCAGGACCTTTTATATATATATAATCTATGAGATTTAATAAAGTAAATTAAATAGGGGTCACCCTGCAGTCAACAGTTATTACTTAAACTAAATCTTAGATTAATTTTCACTTAGAATATAAGACCCTACTGTTACAAATTGGGCTTTGCCCACTCCCTCTAAGCTTTATAGGCCTTATATAGCTGCTTGAACTTTCTTGGTCAGCAAGTTCAATTCGTATCCTTTTTTGGTTCGTAGTGCATTTGGCTAGTGGTAACCCCACTGGAGGAATAAAAGCTCCTGCTATAGCTTTAGCCTAAGCGCCGACTCCTTTACACTACGCAGTCAATCGCTGCGCAAGCTATCTTATTGCAAAAATCTTAATTAAGAACATAGATAATCTACGAATGGATATATAAATACACGCTGTATCGAACTGATCCTGCACACTGCACTAAATTAGGTGCATTAAACCGATTGGTTTACACAAGTACGTATCTGATTCATAATATCATTTTATTGTAAAAAGTAAAACTATGTTTTATTCAACCTTAACAGCAGTCGGTCTATATAGTTTACCGTCCTGCAGTAGCTTATATCACAGGCCTTTTATTCTTTATTTACGCCCATTGGCGGAGCGACAGGGCTGTATTAGTTTTGTTCCTTAATATGCGTATATGACATATTACACATTGTGCAGAATCCTTTATCGTAGGATGGCAGTTCTAGGTTATTCTTTTATAAATTCATTGAAGTCTTTCTGTAAAGCTAGAGATATTCACTGTATATCATAGACACTGGCTCTAAGTAAGACCCCAGCGATGCATCAGTGCCCAGAAGAAGCCCGTTAAGTTGCTGCGCAAGATCAACAGCTGCCCCGTCTATTTTACAACTGTCTTAATCTCCTATTCCGTCGACGCCCGGGATAACTTACTTTATCTTATACTCTCCCAACTAAAGTTAAGGCTGAATCTCCAGACTATCATTATGATATTTAAACTTACTAACCCGAATGTAACTCCCTTATTTCCTTAAAGATACTTGTGTAGTTATGATAACGGTACTTTGGTTCGTCTCCGGTAGATATCTGCGAATGTTAAACTGTTATAATATTATTTTATTCCCTAGGCCAATAGAACTAGTGCGGAAAGAATTCTCTTAAACAATAACACAACGGCGCTGAACTGTGCCCTGGAGAGCTTCTTGCATTTGTGTAAGCTCCTCTTCTCTTGCAATAAACCTTTAGACTCAATTAATCCCAGTTTAATAAAAAAGGAAATTAAAAGCGGCCGGTTTGCATTGGCTATTAGGTATTTTCAAAACGTAAGCTATAGATCCCGCCATTATCTCCACCACAAGGTTGCACTTACGACTGTCCCGGCTCGATAGGCAACTCGATGGCCATATAGAAGAATAAATGTTAAGCATAAGAGGCGGCGGCTGCTGCTACAAAGCCGCACCAGGTGTCGCTCTTATGTGTGTCGCAATAGTTGGAAATGCCTTAAATAGCCATTCAAAGAAAATCAGCAAGAGCTCCTGCTGCCTCTATCTCAAAGCATAGGAGTCCATATTTCTGCGGTAAGCTATCCCCCTCTACTTCGCATCCTTAATCACCAGCTCCCCAGTTGCTATTGTGCCTCGATGCACAATAACAAAACGCTCGTCGCCTTTATCTACTAGTCGTTTGGTTCGCTGCTCCGGACTGTATCCTCCTTGCTCGCAAGACAATCCCATTTGCTGGTGACTATAACCTGCTTGATAGTGATAATCGTTTGCGATACCTGGGAACTTGAACCGTCGCAAATGTGGGAGTTCCTTATTAGCTCTTAGTGCGTCTTTCCAAATGGGGTCATATTCCATCATATCCCATTATACAGCTAAGGATCGAGCAGCGTTGAGTAGTACGGCTGGTGGAGGCATTAGAGAACTGCTGTGCTCAAAATGGCCTTGCCTTGCCATGATCATACTGTATTACTTCGGAGTGTTCGCCAGTTGGTTTGCTATCTACAACATGTCCCAGCCGGATTATTACACTGTCAGTTTCCACGGGTACGCCACCACTAATGCCGACCAGCAGGCTATATCTGAGATTCCGAAATGTTATCCTCATCTGTGTGACGACGGTAGCCGCTGGAGAATTGCCGGTTAGGGGGAGACCGGCGATTATGACCATTGATGCTGCCGAGCATGTAAACGTTGTGGTCGGCGGGGGACTGCTCGAGAGGTATGAGATTTTTATCCCGCATCTTTATGGCCGCGACTTGTTCAACTTGTAGGGGACAGATCCATCCCACTGAAGAGCTGTTGGGTGTGAGCTTTTTCTGGGATATAGTCAGTGTCGGCCAGACGGCATTTGGATTGCTGTGCTGGAGCTTTGGGCGTGGTGCCTAAGCCGTTGAGTAGATGGGTAATTACTTATGAAATGATCTGAAGGAATAGTTGGGACTTATATATAAAAGACAAAAGTACCTTATAGTCGATTGTTAGAACTGAGCGCTGGAGAGGGGTTGGCTGCCTTTGGCTGCAGTTTAGGCGCTAGCCTCGTGAGAAATGCATGTCGCTGGCCGACTAGACGCATCAGCGTGACTTTGAAAGGCATGAAATTACGTAGCATTGAGATGCATTCTCTGTCTAAGGGTCTGAACCGAAACAAGCCGTGGCAAAGAGAAGATTGATTAAATCAGTAGACGGCGCTCACTACGGAGGGAATAATGGATGCAATTCGACAAGTGTTGGCTAGTACTAATTTCAGAAGTCTAAGCAGGAGGACCTGAATTGTGGCGGTACTCTGCCCTGACTAGAATGGAAATGACTGCGGCGCCGCTCATAGAGGACCAGTCAGCGTTACACAGCAATCGGCTGGTATTTTTATCAACTACAGGGTTGCCATTGCCCGATCTGTCTCCATAGATTTCACAGATTGTGCACATATATAAGAGGCCCTGCCCCCGACTTTGTAACTACCTGCCTAGGTACTATGTCATACTAGAAGATCTTGGCGAGGTTGCTCGTCCCGGAAGGCAAATTTGACTGAATACAAGGAATGTGGAAATGGCTTATTGAAGCTATATAACGCTATAAAGGAAGGCTAGCGAATTGGTCTTAAATCCATAGGAAGTTGTATATGTACCTAACCTGGTGTCCAATTGGTAGGGGTATTTAGTCCGTATCCCGACCCTTTCCGGCCCAGGGCACGCGTAGTTGATCAAATGGATCAACGCTCTTCAAGACCTTGAGGGCTGATGTGATTCGACATAGTAGATGGTATGACAGAGACATTTACGGAGTAGCCAATACAGCAATATGCCCAACTAACACGTTTAGAGCTTCTGACCCCGTTCAATAAGCTCGCCGGTCACCCAACGGAAGTGCAACTCCTGAATATCGTCTCCAGTTTTCTGTCTCCTCACACCACTTATTACTTGCCTTGATCGATAATGCCCAGCTACCTATATAAGTCCAAACGCTCCGTCTCCTATACAGGTCCACCTACAATGTATAATAAAGCCACTTTCTTATACTGAGACTCTGCGGTGGATCCTATTAGTCGGTCCGTCTGTCGATATACTCCCACTAGCACGATTATGACGACGTCTATTTAATTATCCAAGATATCTGCTCGTTGAATCGTTTGGAATATTTCAGGTGCGGTCCTCCCACGCTCTCTCTCTTACTCAACTTATTCTTTTTTTTTATTGCAAGCAATTTACAGCTTCTCAAATCAATCAACATGGTTACTAATACATGGCTCAACTTTCTCAGGAGCCGCAGTAGGAGCAATGCTCCTAGTTCTTCAAACCAACCTACTCAACCAGTCTCACCTTTACCGGTCCAGAGGGACTTCCACCATAGAGACCTTTTAAATTATAATGACGATGATTCTATCCGAACGAACCCTCCATTATATGATACAATATATACAATCCCTACAAGCTCTACTAATTTGTCTGAAAATTCTGATGGATCGACCGCCCGCGAGCCTCATCAGAGCTTTTACGAGAATACTACTCTTTATTCTCCAAGGACCCGCCAATACGGAGACACATCAAACTCAACAAGCTTGCCCTCACCAAATAGAGAGAATGCAGCTTCTCAAGAGGCTGCCACCCATTCTTCTTCGCAATCTGGCACTGTTTGTACCTGCATTCCTCGGCAAGGCTGCTGTAGCGAGCACAATTCAATACAGATACCTAATCCAATTCCCCTTGGGCAATCAAGCACCTCCGGCAACATATCCAGATGGACATCGGTTAACCCAGCCTTCACACTAAAACCTATCCATTACTCCATGCAATATCATCTATCATTCGACAACCTCAATTGCATCCGCCGCCAGCTCGGTTCAAAAAATGAGAGAACTTTTATCCCAGAGCTATCTATTGCAGGAGGCGCTTGCTCCGATGAGGACACACTATATCAATGGTCCAGCGAGATATACCTTGACAATGGAACCTTCTTACAGAAACAAAACATACGCACTGCCTTTTACAAAGACGGAGAATACTCACCAGAACATTATATAGGCTGTCCGCATCAGAGCCTGAGTGTCTATACGCCAGAATTCTGGGACAATGATGGTTTGCTCGAGGTAGAGGCATGGGTCATGAGCAAACCGTCACGTTGTGCATCCCATTCAATGCAGAAATGGAGCAACTCCCAAGGCCCCTATACTCATATAACATCCTGCACAATATGCCACTCAGATACGGAGTCTTATATACAGTTAAATGGGTGTTACCTTGATGTGAAGTATACTTGTTTTCGAGACCTTGGTACAGGAATGGATCCTAGCGATTCTAAATGGCTGTCTTTATTAACAGGCGAGGGCATCACCCATCGGCCAGAATACGAGTTTGACGTGCTTACACACGTTTGGTATACGGCCTCGGGCTTGGGGCGGAGCAACCTTGACGAAGTTACGCATCAAACACCCAAGGGCGTGTTTCACGTGCGTTCCAGAGGAGGCTAAATAAAATAACGACGCAAGGAGTTATAGATCCGATATACAAGGTACGGCAGGTTATTAGACGGGGAGTTTGCGTTACTTACCATGGCTGGATGATTGATGTAATAGGGAGTTGATCAATGAAGACAATATCCTTCTCCAAGGATAATAAGAAAAAACGGTTAAATTTTAATAATTATGAGAGTGTAATACTGCTCCCTATTAACCTTTGCTAAATCGTATAGTCTGATGGGTCATATTGAGCCTTGTGTTGTCAACTGGGCGCATTAGTGTTTATCTAAATTTTTATTTAGAGTATCTTGTGGCTATTGCTACAAGAATAGTTTAAATCTAAACTAGTGAATCCTCTCACAAGCTGGAACCTTGACGCTATCCTCTGCGTCATAGGGTCCATCGCAAAAGCCACACCACTATATTTGGCCGTGTGATGGAAGCGATCCTTATAGGTAAGTCTATGCTTCATCTAAAGGATCAGCACCCAATCCGTCTTCTTTTCCAAATAGGCTGGCAAGGTTGTGAATGAAGTCGAGTGCTGAATCATTATCTGTCTCATAGTACTGGCGTGTTTCGTCGGTAACTTCTGTGAAGACGCGATCCATGTCATAGATCCTCTTGACATTTTTGCCAATTTTTGTCTCCGGCTTTCGTTTCAAGCTGTAATCTATGAGCCAAAAGGGAAACTTCCAGTCTCTTGCCGATGAACTGCGGTTATTCGCCATGTAAAGCAGAGGGCGTATGAAGAATCCCTTGGGGCCTTTTGAGCCAAAGAGAGCAAATGGATCCGTATCCTTGGTCACATCATTCCAGACAGGCTCATATTCAATTGTTATTTGTCTAAACCCCCCCAGTCCAGCGTCTGACCAGCTAACCATGCACAAGTTTTCAATAAGAGGAAGTTTCTGAGGGATAGAGTCCGGATTGAACGGCCGCAGACACACAAGATCCCGACTCGGGTGGGCAAAAAGCGCCAGTGTTCATTAAAATGGCAGTGAAAGGCCGACGTAATGACATCTGGAAGGAAATCGTGGTGAAAGCGACCAACTTCAAATTTCTGGGTTATTTCGTCCCAGCGTTTCGTCTGGTCTTGCTGCTCAGCATCTCTCTAAATTCGTGGCATGCACCCCACATTCCAAAATCCCAGAGATAAGCAGAAGTATTATTCTGCTGCCAAAAATAATTCTCGTTGTCAGGGATGCAACTTGGCGGAACAAGACCATATCCGTAATTGTAGTCATCAGTAATTAAGCAGTCATCTTTGTTGCAGCGAGCATAGAGCTTGTCGACGGTTTCGCTGTCCGCAGCTTTGTTGGTAACGCCGAAAAAGTGAGCACCCGGGCGATGGCGAGCTATTGGTAGAAGGGCAAGCTTCCGGATTTGAATCCTGATTTCGGTTGGAAGCTTGGTGAAAAAAATGAAATATCGCATCCATGTTGCTGATGATTGTGTAGTATAGCGTATCAGGTTCTTGATCAGCCTCGGATATGTTGACGGCATCTCTAGAATACTGAATATCCACAAATGGACAAAATTATGCCAGTGGAGCGGCATAAAATGGAGAGGAGTTAATGAAGGGAAGAGAAATAAGGGGATGTACGATATTTATAAATGTGCATATTGTGTTTTTGGCCTTTAGACATTATTTCTCATTCACAACACTCTGTCTGCCCAAACTATAAACTCAGACAGACTCGTCTGGCGTTTCACAACTGTCACTGCTATTGATGTACTGCCAGTATACCAACGGTGCCGATTAATAAAGGCCCGACAAAGATTGATATCTGCATGTATACCAGGTAGGTGTGATTGGGTAGTGCATCCATTTTATGCTGGAAAGAAGGGAGTTATGGCCTTGCATCCCATTTTAGTTGTCCAGCATCGCATGAGTTAAATCCAAAAAGTAGCGATAGTAGCAGATACTCGAGAACTATAGCAATAGCAAGAGATTCCAGAGGAAAATTAGTAGAAATACTAGCAGATACTACAACAAAGTAGCGAGAGTAGGTAGCAGATACTAGAAGAAAGTAGCAAGAGTAGCAGATACTCAAGGAAGCAAGTATTTACTTAGGTAGTAGGAAATAAAAGGCATTTCATCTACAGCTTGTTAAAATACTTGATTATTAATAAGTCGATGGAGTTTAGGAATACTAAATAGATACTCCCCAAAGAACTGCTGGTTACGCCAAATATCCATCCAGTAGACAGCATAATAATAAACCAACATTGCTCTTAATTCTAGTTCATTTCACTAAATCGTTGACTGAATAAAATAAAGACCACTGGCTAATAAAGGAAGATATAATATGGTGTATAGAATGTCTGAGAGTGTAGAGGATAACTGTCTACCTACCTATATATCTACCTATGGCTGGATGGGTAACCTCAGCAAGTTGAGTCATAATAATAATGGACCCATTCATCGGAGCCCCCCAGCGTATTTGACCTCAACGGCTGTCGCTTGAAGAAGCAGTATCGTCATCACTATCTCCATCTTCTTTTTCGTCGTTGCCGGTGCCAGAGTCGGGGCCGGAGGAACAGAGACGATAGAGAGAGAGGAGAGGGCGAGGTGATGCATCGGCATCCAAGGCATTGAGAGGGTTTTCAGCCTCTCAAATGCACCCACAACCGCTTTAGCTTGGGTGATGACCAGCCCTTAGTCGCCCTCAACGGGCTTGCTCTTATCCGCTTGATTGTTTGCGCCCAAGGCCGAGGCTTGTACCGCGATGAGAGCGGTGTCGGGCTCATGGCCGGGATCCGGGCCGGAGGGAGTGAGATTGTAGAGAGGGTGCCAGGGAGAGAGAGAGAGAGCCGAAAGGGGGGAGATGGTGCATCGGCACCCGGGGCAATGAGAGGGTTTATCTTGGCCGCAAAGGCGGCCACTCTTGTAGGTGGTCCAAAGCCACCACACGCCGCCCAAAATCCCTCCCAAAAACACCGTAAAGTTGGCAAATATGCGAGATAGTTGATAATAATAATGGACCCATTCGTCGGATCCCTCAGTATATTTGGCCTTAGCGGCCGCTACGGACCAGATTGTTGTATTGGGACCTTGAGGGCGAGGTTTTATTCGGTTTCGCTTCCTTGGACAAGATTAGTCAGTATTGGCCCTTGAAAACGACAGAACTCGTTGCTCACTTCAAGACCAATAGTTGCCGAACATTCGTAACAGGACGAAGGAATCAAGAATCGATCGATACAATCCGGACGATGGCAGAACCGAGATGTTGTTTTGCGGTGCCAATGTCAACCGCAGAGGAGAAGATATATGTACACTCATAAATGGTCGATTGTAGGCATCGGGCTCAGTCCCACCTGCCACTTTGTTTCATACTACCTACTAGGTAGTACTGCCTGCCGTAATAAACTTGGGAAGTGGCCATTGTGCCTTCTTCACGTACCTTTTGCACGTGTTGTCAAGACCACCGAATATGTATGTATGTACCTTCTACAGCAGGTGCACATTTCAATCCCCTGTCAAAACATCTTCATCTCACCAACAACCAATGCGAACAAGTGGCGATAGTAGCAAATACTAGAAGAAGATGGCCATATTAGCAGGTACTTCGAAGAGCTGGGATACTGGATCCCTAGGTAGGTAGCCAAGTCCAAATGCTAGTCATTCGCTCGCTTTGTTAAATAGGCAAGGCTGCTGCTGAATATATAGTAGAGCCGATACTTTGAAACGTGCAGCCAAGTTGGCCGACAATACATGCTCATGGTATCCTTCTATGCGTCTAATACTCAAACTTTAGTAAAACTCCTTCACCAAGCCATCACAAAGATTCCACAGCCTCTCTCCCGACGCCCTCTTCTCGATGCCCTCCACAACTTTGGGAATCGGACTCCCAACCTTCCCCCAGGGAATAAGATAGCAGCCATTGTACTCGGCAACCTCACTCCCAAACCCAGCTTGCAACTCAGTCAAGGCCCCAAACCGAACCGGGTACGACAAGAACCCTTGGATGCTCTTCAAGATGCCGGGCGCGTGCCGAGTGAGGTCCGTCTTGATGGCGCCCGGGTTGAACGATGAGCTAACAACCTGAGGATATCTCCTGGCCATCTCGACCGCGAGAATGGCATTTGCCCATTTACTCTGCACATATCGCTGGACACGCCCGTTGAGGCCAGAAAACTCGGGCGAGCTCAGCGCCCAATCATCCCACAAGATCCCATCCTCCCCCGGGGGGTCAGGAAACTCGACGGAAGCCGCCCAGCAAGTACGGACAGACGCCTCCGGGACAAGCCCGCTCTCGGCCGTCTTGAGCAAAATCGGCGTCAGGAACTGCTGCAGCAAAAAGGGGCCTAGCACGTTAGTCGCAAAGCTTAGCTCGTGGCCCTGCTTGCTGACGCTTCCCTCCGGGGGTGCCATGACGCCCGCATTGTGCCAGATGACATCCAACCGAGTCTCTGCTGACAGAAAGGCCTCGGCGGTGTGCTTGATGCTCTGCAAATCGGAAAGGTCCAGGTGTAGAAACTTGACAGCGCCATCGCCGTCTGCGCTGCGACGCTTCATATCGCCGGGGGGATCTGATTTGACAATGGCGCTCACGGCCGTCTCGCCGGCAGAATCAGATCGCCCAAGGAGGTAGACTCGCGTCGCATTGGCGTGGAAGAGAGCTGTCGCTACTGCTAAGCCGATGCCTCCAGTGCCGCCTGTGACAATAAAGACCTATCACCGTGTAAGAGAGCTGTCAGGATATAAGGGAGAGACACAAACACACTCGTCCTTGCAAGTCGGGCAAGTCTTTTTCCGTCTTGGTAGGCGGTTCAGGCCAATACTGCCGAAGGTATTTCGACATGTTGAATTGCCGGTTGTGGAGATGATGTCTGAAGTGAGCTGACCGCTCTGGAATTGGAGAGGCGGGAGGGAGTATATAAACACATGCGGGTGAGCAGTCTTACTGCCTTGGCACAGACAGTGCGAAGTCTCCGAGATCTACGAGACAAGGTAAACAATCGAAACGTGAGAATGCAAAATAATTAACATATATTTATGATCCCTTTTTTCGCTTTTCCTTTTGTGTCCCCTAGATATGTCGTGGCTGGGCGGATGAATGTAAATCAAAAGAGTTGACCTGCACATCGAATCGATGCCCAACCTAGTTGAACCAGCAGCACAGATTGTGGCCATGTCCAAAGCTATAAAGAATCATGGCCAGTCAACACCAGATGAATTTACTTGTCAGTGAGTGGCAATGCTAGTGAAGAAGATCATCTCTCCGCCCAGCAGAATGGCCTTTATCCGATAAGCGGCCATCACATGCGTCAGCCATCATGAACAGTTTTATTCATTGCATCCCAAAAAACTCCAATGCTCGCCAAGCAGTCGGTATCTTGTTGTATCTTCTAAAGACAGAGAAAAGAGGAGGTTATGGAGACGTAACCGCAGAGCAACTTGTTTATTTGTTTTTACTTGCCGAGCCGCCTTCACTCTTCATCGTCCATTTTTTGCAACTTGCCCATGTCCCTCTTTGCACCAGCCTCTCCAATGAGCTTGATACGGTCAATTCGGACAGTCTCCGCCTCGCCGTCGCCCTTCTGCACAAAAATGGTGAGGGTGGTTGTCTTTTGGAACTTGACAAATCGCAGGCCGATGCTTGCTGTGCCATCCGAGTTCCAATCTTGGGGCTCCAGTGTAATGGCTTGAGTGGGCTCTGCATCCTCTGCCTCACCAAAGTCCATGTTGGATGTGCGGTTAATGAAGAGATGGAGGACGCTGGGGCGTGACACATCGCTGTTACCCTCGGGGGGGAAGGAAGTGATCTACTCTCGCAGTTAGCCAAGGATACATGGTCAAGGGCCATTCCCAAGGTGCCAACCTGTAGTGTATGGAGCTTGATTGTAGACTGGAACGGGATAAAGAGAAGAAGCTGGTCATCGGATCCGCTCTGCACCCAGTCTTTGGAAGCCGATGCGCCCTGGCCCAAAGCACTGGGCTTCGAGCTCTCAAAGAGAACCTTGACAGGGCCTGCATCGTCATCGGCATTCAACAGCTCACAGCCTCTGAGCTCCACCTGGTCTGTGACATCGCTGTAGCCTCTGGGGATCTCGGCACCCTTCCAGATGCCGCCGCTTCCTGAGCCCTCTGCCAGCGACTCCAACTCAGAGGCCAGCTTCTCTATAACGGCCTTGAGCTCGGTCGGGTTTGCACCTTGGACTTTGTGGATGACCTTGCCGCTTCGAAAGAGGAGGAACGTGGGCAGCGCCGTGACACCATATTCTTGTGCGAGGTCTTGGTTCGTGTCGTTGTCAATCTTGACAAAGGTGAGGAGGTTAGGGCGCGAGATCTGCTCGGCGAGGCTTGCGTAGAGGGGTGCGATTTGCTTGCAGGGTCCGCACCAGTCGGCGTAAACTAGGAGGGGAGATTGGAGTCAGCGACAAGATCCAGTGCGACAGACAGACAGACAATCGCTCCCGAAGCATCCTCGAGATCCGGACATGGCGCGATTCTGGGCTGATAACGAGACCAAGAGAAAGAACAAGAACAAGAGCATGGCGGGGTTATTTGTCATGGCGGGGAGGCTCACAATCGGCGACGACGATGCGGGAGCTGCTGAGAAGCTCGTCGAATTGCGCCTTGGAGGTGATGTGTACTAGAGAGTCGGCCATTTTTGCGTCTGCTTGGATGTAGCGGCTGGTTTCAATCAGGCGGAAAGAAGAAGAAGAAGAAGGGAAGGAGAAGGAAAAGTGAGGTTTGGCCTTTGTAATGAGAGACAGAGAGAGAGACTGGCGATGATTGTGTAACGGGTGGAAGCCTGCCATATTGCTAAGCTAAGCTACCATGGAGGGGATAGCTCGGGTAGTGCAGGGCTAAGCCTATTGGGGACAAGCAGCACTCAGGCGGGCAAAGTGCCGATTATAGCCCGGCAAATGGGGGATGGGCGCATTCGTTGTTTGGCGGCGATGAAAGATGGAAGAATTGAGATGAGTCTTCGAGAGCTGTATTTTATTTTATTTTATTCTATTTTAACCTATACTTACTTATTAATATGATGAAAAGTTTGTGTAAATCAACATCAAAAAATGGTGGTGAATGCGAATCGAAAAGTCAGCAGTAACTCGTCCAACAGTTTGTTTGTTTGTTTGCTTGGTCCGTGTCTTCAATTCTCAAGCCACACACCAAGGATCAATCAATCATTCAATCAATTAGCAGCCATATATTCTCAGGCTATTTATACACGGCAACACTGAATTGTGGAACAAATCATTGCCAGAATAAGACGGTAAGCAGATTAGCAGACCAGCTATCACTTGGCAATATGGATAATGAGGCTCCTCCCAATAGCCTAATAGCAAAAACAGGCGGACGGAAATCGCTGCAGCTGAAGCAGGGTAATTCGTCCAAGGTGTGTAAACGGATTGGAAGCAATCAATCAATATATATGTATGACCTCCATTGCTATCATGCCTCTCACTTCACCCGCCAATTCCAACAAAACCGTGAATCACAAGCTCACTCAACCCTCTGGCGAAATTGACATGGCGTCCGCTGCAGACATTTATAATGACGACTTAAACATAGCTCACGCCGTCCTACTGAAAAATCAACAGCAGTTCATCATCAGGTCGATATTCTCATGGCTGCCAGTCCTGTCCGTTGGCCGCCACCTGTTGACACTGCCGCTGTTCTGCACAATCATCCTGTTCCAGCTGGCAATCCTTGCCGTTGTGAAAAATGGCCTTGTTCGAAAGTAAGCAGATGCACATACACCAAGCAAAGCGTCCTCGCTGTTGTCGAGGCCACAGAATCCTCCTCCTGCTTTGCCTCTCTCTCTCGATGAATATGCCCTAGAAAAGCCCACCATAAGCTCCATTCTTACCAATCCAATAGCTCTTGCCGGAGAATGGCGAAAACGAAGCCGACGTCGCTCGATGGCCGAAGCCAAAAGCTCTCAAAGCCGGCGTGGAAACCCAAAGACCAAGCCGGGCCCAGCCTGAAGCCGGCATCTCCTCCCAAGACAAATCCGTGGAATCGACGCCCGACTCCGGCAGCATCCGACCACCAAGATTCCACAAAGTCTGTACCGCTGGCGACTGAAGAGTTTCCCCAGCTGAGCTCTTCTGGGGGCGCCACCGGCACTGCGGCTGGCGAAAAGGCAGAGGTAGAGACACAGACACAGACAGAGGCAGATACAGAGACAGAGGTTCAGGCATCTCCGTTGTGCGATGAATCCAAATCAAGTTCCTCGACAACCGAATCGCAATCTGAAGAGTCCAGATCTGGCGTTTCTCGACTCAGCACGCCGACGAGGTTGATCCTGGAAGAGGCCGCAGATCAAGCTGCCAAAATGTGAGCACCCACCGCCGCTGTTTCAAGCTCTCTCATATTCCCAATTGAATGACTTGCTGATGAAATTGAAATGATATCTTAGCCTCTGGAGACATCCCTTTGGCTCAAACGTCTACTTGTACGTGGAAAGCAGCGTGTTTCAACTGCACCGCGATATCCTCACGCGACGCTCCGGATGGTTTCGCAACAAGCTTCCTCCACCAAACCAGGTACCAAAACAAAGGCACAACTCTGAAAATGCGCAATGCAAAAAACCCAATGTAGCAGTGCTAATTCTCCCCATTACAGGATGGATCCCCCATCGAGATACATCTACCACATGCCATCGGAGCGGTGCAGCCGTGCCTTTTCTTCATGTACACCAAGAGTATGTATCCCCTCCCCTTCGGAGGATTCGATTTCCCACCCGCTAATTTAGAGAATGAATTCTCGCAGACCTCGACATCTGTGAGAGAGACGTGAATCAGCCGCTCAACTTTATACATCTTCCGCGATGCGTCCTTGCTTATTGCGCAGCAGTCAACTTCCAGATTCCTGCAATGGCATCGCGCATTCTGTCCATCCTCGAAGACACCACCAAGGATGTCTCTAAATACCTCAATACCTACTACATCTACAAGGAAATGGACTGCAAAACCAGCAGGTCTATTGCAGCCCACTTTATCAACTCTCTGGATATCCTGTATTCAGAACCGCTATTCGAGCTCATGAAGCCGATGCGACACGCCCTTGCCGGCCTCCTCGACGCATTGCTTCCGTCACTGCTTCGCCAGCCATATTTCCCTGAACTGTTAAGCATGCCCTCATGGAAACGGTGGTCAGCCGCCATTGCTGCCGACCAGGTCGAGTACCGAAGTGCCATCGGCCATTACCGGTCGCCGACAGAGTCCATCTTGCCGAGTGAGCTTGAGCTAGAAGCGTTATTCGATCGTGTGCTGGGACAATATGATCGGTGCCACATAAACAAATACAACGGGGGAAGCCCTTCTAGAGAAGATCCCAGAGGGGGGACACCTGAAGATCCTGAGGGACAAGACAAGGCCACAACAGGGGAGTTTTGGAAAAAGAAAGACGATGATAATAAAGAGTACAACGAAGAAGAGTCAACGCTAGTATATCAGGCTCCAAGTGTTGTGGGCAGCACAGGCAGCGATACAGGCACTTGGAATTCGTTTGGAACAGATGGCGTCGAGGCAGAGCCAGAGAAGCCGTCGACTGCCAGCGCCGGTGTACATGACACATGCACGAGGAGTAGAACAAACAGCGGGGCAGGGGCGGGCCAAAGTATGAGAGGTAAGAAGACGAAGAGATGAAGAAGACTGGGTAAGATAGTTCGGAACTGATAGTAGAGAGTCGTGAGATGCTAAACAGGCTTGAAGCGGGCTTGGAAACCAGAATGAATGACGTGTAAGTATATAGGAATATTTGTGTGAGTAGGCATGAGTAGAATGATTCAATATGATATTCAAGCAATAGAGGAAACAGATTGCAAATGCCTACCTCTTGTAGTAAGTTGTCGGTAGGAAAAGAATCAATCTTTACTTGTCCATCTCCCATTTATATCTGCTCGAACTGGGTACTGATCTGACATACTGCCTAATCTACTGTCATCTACCTACCTACCCTACATCACTCTTGTATTATTGTATTATAGCACATCTCTTTCCGTTGTCCCGCTTAATACTCATCTTCCGCCTAAATACCAAGCCGCTGCCATTTTCCCTCCCTCCCAAGGCGCAGCTCGTGAAAAGACCCGGCCCGGCCCCACACTCTGCCACTATTCCATTCCCTGTTCTGGGCCATGACGTCGTCAATCCCTTACCTAGGTTTGCTCCCTCTTTTCCAGGGCGCCTTGTAGTCAGCCATGAAAATCCCCGGGAATACACTCCTGGTGCCTGGTGCTAAGCCTGTTACTTAATCTGCTCTCTCTCCTCTCCACCTTTTTTTCTTTCTTCTTCTTTGCCATTTTTTTCTTTTCCATTGCGCAGTTCATAGGCGGTGTCTCAGCTTAGCGGTGCTTGTGCGCATAGCCACCAGCTCACGAGACTGGAAGACGTCACACCTGATCGCTTATCTTATCGTGTCTGCGGAGTATTACATCCATACTCGTACATACCAAGTACAAACACCAATAAGCTGGTCATTCACTCACTCACCCAGCTTCATTCAACAAACCACTCCAACCAGCATCTCACTCAGCCTCACCAGCGCATACTCTTTTCTCGAACCACTTATTCACCATGGGTAAATCTTCTCCAACTCTCTCTCTCATTCTCACCGTTACTAACCGTCTCTCTCTTCCCCCTCCAGGCCGCGACGTCAAGAAGCGCCTCTATCTCAGCCGCCCCGACCCGGACATCATCACCACTCGTACCCACGTCACCCGCTACATCCCCGAATCTCCCTCCCCTCCTCCCGTCGAATACATCACCGTGCCCCGTCCTCCTCCCGCCATCATCCAGCTTCCCCCTCCGCCTCCTCCCACTCTCCCGCCCGCCCCCATGCCCCCCCCTCCGACCTTCGTCCTGCCTCCCATCCGCCGGCGCACGCCCGAGCCGGAATTCATCGAGGTCATTGCCGTCAGCGAGGACGAAAAGGACGACAAGAAAAAGAAGAAGAAGAAGAAGGACAAGCACCACCGCTCCAAGAGCCGGTCCTCCATCTCCAGCCACTCCCGCAGCCGCTCCCGCAGCCACCACCGCCACCGCGAAGACGAGCTGGATCGCTACCACCACGACCACGACCACGACCGCGAACGCGACGTCGAGGAGTCGCGCGACAGAGAAGTCTACATTGAGAGGGAGCGATACATCCCCTACCCTGTCCCCATGGAGCCCGAGTACAAAACATATCGATACGTGGACGCTCCGCGCAGCCCCGGGCGACGCCGTGCCTCGTCCCCCTCGCCCTCTTCTCCGCAGCGGTACATCGAAGAAGATAGAGAGCGCGATTATATCCGCATAAAGGATCGCGAATACCGATACGAATAACACTTTTGATTTGGCGACTTCTTTCCTTTTTTTTTTCTTCTTCTTTTTTATTTTTATATTCGTTGTCTGATATATCGATACGGAATGAGTTTTTCTTTGGGAGGAAGGGTATGCGGAGCAATTACTTGGGATTATCTATTTGCGATACATGTCTGGAACGCCTCCCATCTTATGAAATCATGGAGTACATATGAGAGAATCACGCTGAAACGATCAATTCTTTTTCACCACTTGGGTCACATACCCTATAACGAATGCGGTTTGTGTCAAATATGTTTGCATAGTTTTTATCTTATATTTTTTTCAGATCTCATCTCAGTGCCCGTAAATTATCAAGACTCCATGTACATGTTGAGAAGACGCATATACCAAAAACATTTGCCGCAAGACATCTCAGTACTTGTAAAAAGAAGTTCTCCGTCTTCGCGGCATAGTGCCCAATGGTGCCTCAACATTTCCCGTATAATTCCGTATAGGACGTAGATATCGAGTGCGGCGATAGACACCAGGTATATCCTCGCTGGAACGTCCTATTGAGTCGTAATCCATGACTGACTGCGTCGGCTTAGACGAGGTGGATTTATATGACACCGAGCCCTCATACTCTGATGAGCGCTTGCGTCTGCCAATGAGCCAGTCAGTTGCGTTGCTGAGCTCGTCCATCCACCATAGGCCGGCAATGATGATGATGACCGTAACGGGGAGGGCAACTACCCAGTAGAGCCACTGGTCAAAGTCCATGTTGCGGATGTCGTTGGTATTCATGCCAAAGATGCTCGAGATGGCGCTCAGTGGGAGGAAGATGATAGTAACCAAAGTGAAGGCGTAGATGGCATTCTCCTGCTTGTCCTTGGTCCACTCCATCTTATACCTAATATCCCGCTCAAGTTCCTCTGCATACTCTGTGTCTCGCTTGAATTCGTACTCTCTTTGTTCAACCAAGTTCGCGCAGTCAGTAAGAAAGAGGCTTCGAAATCCTTCCGCATCTGTCGACGACAGCTTGGAAGCTGTCTCAAGATCAGTCAAGAACTGGACACCAAATCTGCCTTGATCATATGCGCCGTGTCCAATTGTCTTCTCATCTGCAGCTTCATAGTATCGATGTGCGGGGACAGAGCGCTTCAGACCGGTGTACTCGGCCTTCAGACCGTACTCTGCCTTCATACGCGTTGGCATTTCTTCTCCATACCGCACCATGAAATTTCCGTCCGTAATGCTCATTTTATTTCTGAGCATAGCTATGATATTTCGCTGCCTTACCAGGTTTCGCCTAATGGCCGTCATTTCTTGCTTGACCAAGTCAATACGATGCTGATACATCCGATTGGAAGGCTTTGTAGTGATATCGGTATCCTAGTAATGGTCAGCCACTGTGCCTCACGAAACACAATTCTGTCAAGGTGAAATAGCATACTAAGGAATTGAGATAGAGCGAATACGTATCGCAAATGTCATCATACTTGCCCACGTCGTCTTGTAAGAGGTTGAGTGCTATGAGTGACATGATTTCCGTTGGCTGCATGACTGCCTTGTCCAGCAGATTTTGGGCAGAAATGCCCTCAATCATTTTCTGCATTCCTTCTCTCAATAGAGATTTCGCCTTCGTCATGTGAGTATACCAGTCCAGCGCATAGGTGCCATATATCAGGCCAAAGACGATGTGCAGCCATGCGGTCACAAGCTCGTGAGGCAGTGCCATGGCGGCGCGATCTTCTTTCCCCGCAAAAGACATGATGTTTTGAAACGATTGGATGTCCTGGGTCAACTGCCAGAGGGTGCTTCTCATTTCCGAAATAGGAGAAAACAGTGGACGAGCGGTGTCGTCTTCGTCAAGTTCCGGTATCTGTTACAGTTGGACGTTAATCACTGTCTACAACGGGAATCACTAGAGAGCCTTACGTGCATCAGCTTGCTTAGAGCACCCCAATATTTCCCTGTTGTAGGGCCGTGGAATGTTAGAGGGAAGAATAGTTGAAACAGCGTGTCCGCCATATTGAAGACGTCGAGCCTTTCGTCGTATGAGCGGCGGATTGTATCACTCTTCTTCTCTTCGACGCGGACTGCTAGCTTTTCGAGTTGTTCCTGCGCCCCATCTTTTGTCATGAGCTCGCATCTCTTATACCCCCTTTGTGCTGTGTAGGACGTCTTCTCTGTCAGGAACTTCTCAGCCGCCGAAAGTTGTTCTCGAAGGTCCTGTAGAATGGAGTCGCCGGACGATTCTGCATTCTTCGACAAGAGTGTGAAAACGTGCAGATACTCCGGCGTAGCTGCCGACTGTTCAGGACGTTTTTCAGATGCCTTGTTGGCCACCGCGTCTGGTTTTAGAAACGTTCGCACCATATCCGGTGCATCTCTGATAAAGTCATTAGCCACTTTGCAATCAAACAGTCATTCCCCGGATGGGGAAACGGAGAGCAGGGACACCAACGCAATCTTCAGTCTCAACCTCACATCACCACGCAGCCCTTCAGCTAGTTCCAAAATTTTCCCCCAGTTTTCAGCTGTTATTAGGCGATCTTTACGCCAGAATTCGAGCTTCTGTGGCCAAAAGGCATGAAAGTGGGAAATAAAGGCCTAGACACATATGGCCATGTCAGCAAGTTATTATTATCAGATGCGTGGGAAATACTTACAAACCACGTCTGGCATTCTTTCGTCGCCAAAGACCACATTACTGACCCCCCATACGATACGAGAATTCTACCCGGCCCCCCTCCTGCTTGTCCTGGCTCCGAGTTCATTTTTACAGATGTTCCTTGCAAGTCCGACTGCGCCATTGTACCGCAAGTGACGAGGACGCCGGTTTTGTGTCAGTAGATGCGAAAGTTGGGGGGAAGGGGAGTCTAATGGGTCACCTACTATTACCGACAATAAGGCACCACAATTGCGAGATATGAAAACACTCCCCTCGCGGAACTTGCCCAATCTGGCACACTGCTTGGTCCATGTCTCTTTGCTGGCTACTACGAGAATATTGAGACTGCAATAAAGTCTGGGCTGGGAATAGTGCCGTGTTCGAGGCTGAGGGAGATTCGGAATATTGTTGTAGATGGAAGTATGGTATGCAGATCCAGTTGGCTGCATGTGAGTCCTCGGGTGGTTTTTTATTGGACGGCTGTATGGAAGTCTGAATACATCGAGGCTCCATGTAACCTACCTTTGCGCCTTGCGGATTGTATCGAGTCTTGACGCACTGCCGCTTGACTTCGGCTTTCAAGTTAACAACAGCCTTTCTTTCAGCATCTCGAAAGCGGATATGGCGTGATACTTGGACCTGCAAGTACCATTAGCCCAGGGTCAACCACAAATGATTGAGCTACAATACCCAAAACGCATCAAAATTCATTATTTCTTGGCGGACGTGTCTATATCAAGGTGAGCACATGAGCCAAGGCAAATGATATGTAAGTCGGGTTTGGCCTTACAACCATCGGAACAGAGGCTGCTTCTGGCCTCTAGGATCATGAAGGACCGTCAAATTCACATCGTGTTGAGCGCCAAGCTCCGCGGTCCCAAAGTAGCTGGAGGAATAAATTCCAGGTGCAGCAAGGGTAGGAGAAAGTGGACGCTCGATTTTTGGTGTTGATTCACTCTCGGTTGTTGGAGTTTCCAGATCCGACAGCTCTGCATCTTTTGACAGGTCCTCGGCTGGAAGGACAAAGTGAAAGTCGTCAAAGGCGTCGATATCTTCAATGATGGGGCTCACGGGTCGACGGACACGATATCCATCCCCTTCGGCATCTACATATCGTGGCGGCGGGTTAACATCAGACTCAAAACGCCGCGATCTCCCATCTTGTCTCTCGATGATGACTTCATCCCTAGTGGCCACGGGGGGAGGGCGACGTTCGTATGGATCCTCGTATTCTCTAATAGGCCGATCAAAACGCTCATGATCCTCGCCATCTGAAGAGGCCACATAGCGAACAGCGGTGGGAGATTCCGTGATGACAGCCGCCTCCGGTGCGAGCTCAACTCCTGTGCTTTCTCTGCGGAAGCTCCGTCGTCGTGCATCTCCCCGCCTGCGAATTACAAACGGTCTTGTGGCCGGCTCTGCCTCATCGTTGGATTCCCAGCGAGTAAAGACTTCACCTTCGTTATAATTGAGGCCATCACGGCGCGTAAACTCTCGTCTCGGAGGCTACACGGATCCGTCTGATCAGCAATCTTAGACGCGGGCAGCCATGCAAATGGGCGTTACAAACCAAGTAAGCTTCAGAGCCTCCTGTGGAGCGGCGCGGGCGTTCGCGGCGCCTTCTGGAGTCGTCGTGCGCCATGTTGGAAGTCTCGAATCAATTGCCCGCCGATGATTTGCCAGCGAAGCCGAGACGCTGGCCTGACTCAGACACTCGAATCTGCTAAACTCAGGAACATGGAGACGAGAGTTTGACTAGGTCGAGTGGTTAATGTCACCCACGAGCCGTTGATTCAGGTCGGCTTGGCCTCTGGTTGATTGGCATCACCGAGTTGTGCTTTGTGTTGTTTTTCTTAGTATTCTCCCCTTTTTTTTCTTTTCAATTTTTTTTTCTCTTTTAACTCGAATCCTCCTGCGGCTGAAAGAGGCTGAGGCTGCTGATCATGCAATAGACGAACCAACACATGACCAGGATGACTTGCTTTAGTGTCTTACTTGTCTGCATCCCCGCCCCAAAATGGACGTGGAGGCGGTGAACAAAATATAGCTGGGCGGGTGCAAATTGCCAAGGCAAGAATGAGTTTTTGCTCTTTCTCTGCATGTCCATTATCACAGAATCTGTTACCTGTTACCTGTTACCTTGGTACCTTGATACCTTAAGTCCTGTCTGGTATATCAGGTTGTACAGGTACCGTATTAAGGTACCAACTCATACCCAGCTTCTGCATCTATAAATGAGGTACCTAATGCTTCTACACAGAGTACCCTACATTTGCTCAACGAATTATCCAAGACATCCTCTCATTTTCTATAGTCATCTCCTTCAATATATAGTAGGATAGCGGTTCTGCTTACCAGCTATTGCAAAGTAACCCTTTTGTAGTCCCACTTATTTTGTCTGCCACTTGATGGGATTTAAAACAAGCGAGTGGATATTATTCAGCACCCAAGTTGGCTATCCCAGTGCCTACTTGTACGAAAAGAAATATCGTAACAACACGAGGGGGACGGATCTTTCATACCTAGGTAGGTATTATTCAAGTAGATACACGGCTCCTTGAGTATCTGCCACTGTCGCTACTTTCTCTACCGTCGATATATTCCTCTCGTGCCTGCTATCATCACGACCTAGGTACTAACGTGAGCAGCGTTGAATTCAAGGCACAGGATTGGGGTGCTGAATACTAAACCACTCCGTAAAACAACACTTGCCCAAGTGCGGGCATAAGAGGTAGGTGGTACTCGCATCTGCTGATCCAATCTCTGTGCAACCAATGTCGAGTTACAAGCAGGAGGGGCTGAGGAACAGGAGTCGAGTTAGTGTGTGGAACTGCATGATGCAAGTATTCAATTGCTTGGACTCAATTGACGGGCAGATGCTCTCCGCGGGCCACTTGCCTAATGGCCACTAGCACAGGAGGTTACAGACGATCGTGGATATGCTCGTACGAAAGTGCCTGCAACATGGACCGCGACCAGGTATGCTTAATCCACCGACTCTACTTCGGCAGACTCTATCCCGTGGATCTGGTACTACTAATATACTAATATACGGCAGTGGTATTAGCAGCTTATGAGTACCCTGTGCCGAAGGCAGATTCGAGTCGACAGCGCCGCCAAGGCGAAATCAATGGATTGCTTCCATCGCCATCACATCAAGACGTCTCGAGCCACCAGAGCCCTCTCGTCCACCAAACCGCGCAACCACACCATCTGCGTGGCACGCATCACAAGATTCAAGAAAAAGAGCCCGGCCCGGCTCTGCCTGAAGCGGTCTAAGGCGAGCGTCTTTGCTCCGAGCACGAGGGCTAATTGGCGACTAGGCTGATTCCCCACCGTTCCCCTACTTTTAATTTACGAAAGGCGACGTGCAGCAGCCAGAGCTGCAGGGGGGCCAAAGCGGTGCCTTGCTGGGATGGTCCTTGAATGGAATTGCTGCCGGCTGGGCTGGAGGAGCGCGTCAGCCGCCGTGCTGCGAACAAGAACCCAGAACGGAGCACGAGTGCTTGTGCCATCACTGGGGAGGCCAAGCCGGAGATTGCCAGCCCATCTGGCTCAATGCAAGGAGGCCCTCGATGCTCCGTCCTGGCGCTTGCTTGCCTGTCCTTGGTCATTTGTGCCGCTGTCACCAGCATGAAGCTAGCTCTGTGGCGGCTAGCCGAATCTCCTGCGCTTTAAATGAGGACATGCACAAGGCACGGAGGAGTTTCTCCGTCTCGACAAAGACTCTCGGGCGCAGTGCCAATTGCAGGCACGCGATGATCTCGGGTTCAGGGCAGACCCGACCACGTGGGCGAGCCGTGCCTTTGATTCAGAAGAAGGGGCAGCAAACTGGCACGCCTGTTGGGTACCTGGCCGCATGGAGAAGACAGGCGACGCTTCCGAGGGGCCCGAGCAAATGGCACGGTCTCGATCCATCTGGGCAGACGCCATTTTCCGTCTCCATTTCTAGGCGACGTGAGACTTGTGGGATGGCAAGTGGAGGCCATGGCATTAGGACATTCCAGAGGCAAAGTTGTGGAGATCAAAGAGCGCAGCACCAGAGCTGATTGCAGAGTGATAAAGTGATAAGCTTCCACCAGATGATGTTTGATGGGACGAGCAGCGGCGTGGCAATGCCGGCGGGAAAAAGTTTGTCTGGGATCCATCCATCAAACCACGACTTGCTTGACTTGATAGACTCCAGTTCTTTAGTAATCTTCAACCTACTGTACCTTTGTGCTTGACATCACCGCGTTTGGTGGTACGGGCAAATCCTCCATTTTATTTCATCTCCTCTGCTGAGTCCAAAATCTCGGCCTGGCTCTTTCGTTGTGCCCCGAGCCCACAGGCCGCGGTCGACCTCCACCCCAGCTCAGCTCAGCTCAGCATTTTCCACTTCTTATCTCTGTCTGCTGCACCTCGTTCGTATTGGGCTCGAGGGCCGATCACCCCAAGGGTCCGGCTGTCTATCAGCGGTCGATCCACGTCGACGTCGTACATCGCCATCGTCTGGACTAGCTGGTAGTCTAGTTGGTCCCGGCGTTGGCGGAGAAAAAAAAAGAAAAGAAAAGAAAAGAAAAGAAAAAGGAAAAAAGAAAAGAAAGACACAACAAGCGAAGCCCCGCGAGAAGAAAAGAAGAAGAGAAGAGAAGAGAAGAACAAAGGAAGAAAGAAGACAAAAGGGAACAAGAACGAAACATCATCCAACCCGGCCGTCTGACCTCATAACGGAGCACCCACTGCCTTTTAGTACTCATACCTGTTGCGACGAGCTCCATCTCCATCCTCCTCCTCCCCTCCCCCTGGTGCCTGGACCTGGTCACAGCGCTCTCTTCCATTCTTTTTTCCCTCGCCTCCACACTTGGCTTCACGGTACTTAGACGTGCATGCAGCGCGGATCAAGGGTGAAGCGAAGCAGAAGCGGCAGAGCTCAGACAGCCGCCCTCCACCTGAAATTGCTCCCCACGCACGCATATTCCCATATCCATACTACTCTGTCACCACTACTACCACTACTACCACCCATATCCATATTGATCCGTTTCTGCACCCAGGCGTGGGCACGAGCTCCCGGCACGAGTCGCGCGACCCGACGCTGTTGTCGCAGACGCAAGACACGGTGCCGCCACTAATCATTTCAGCTGCGAAGGACGGACCTGGTGGACAGGGGTTTCGCCCAGGCGGCCAGCCCATTCGCCATCTGGCATTTGGCACCGATATTGACACCGGCATTGGCATTTCGCATTTTGCTTTGGCATTAACGCTGGCATTAACGCTGGCATTGGCGCTGGCATTGGCGCTGACGAATCGAACCAACCCGACCGTCTTGCGCCCAACGGCCATCCGTACCCGTACCTGACTCTCCGACAATCAAATCAAACCCCAAATCTCTTCGCCATGTCGACGTCGCCGGCCAGCTCGTTTCCGGGCAGGCCACCAGCCATAACCAGGTGAGCAGCGAAATCCAAGGACCAAAGAAGCGACCGACCCCCTGGCTCGCTAGCCCAGCAGCCCAGAAGCCGTTGTCTGTGCTTCTTCGCTAGCCCGCCTTTCCCTGCCCTTCATCCCAACCCAAAATCACACTGAGCGCTCTCGCTCTGCCTGCACCCAACGCCCAGACGCTCGGCGGCTTTTGTTGCTTGGCCGTTGGTTCTCTCTCAGACGGCTCTCTGGAGAGCTCTTTGTGCCGCTTCATCACGCTGCCGAGAGAAGCACTGCGCGCCGTCTGCCGCTGGATGCTCTGCACACACCTGCTCTTACTGCTTTCATCTCACCTTGCGCCTGACCCCTACCACCGCGGTGAATCGCGGCTCGACGTTGCGCAAGGTTGCCCCGTCTATATTTGGGCCCCCCGGTTTCATCTTGCCGCTTACCATACCATCCTCATTGCGATAGCCTGGTGCTACGGAGTACGGAATTACCCTTCAGTCATTACCTTTCAGTCCATTTCGTTCTTTGTTCTGTCTTGGCCTGCCTCGGCTCTGCTCTGCTCTGCTTTGTTCTGAGTCGTCGCTGTTTGGCTGCTCTTGCTCGTGCTTGTGCTCGTGCTCCTCCTATGCTGATGCTGATGCCCTCCTCCGCCGCAATTACAGATCTTCACGTCCTTCGATACCGAGCCCACTGGCGTCGCCGAGCTACACAGCGTCCTCGCTGACCACCCCGAGTCCTCCTTCGCCGAGTACCGCCACGAACCAGAGACGCCCGCCGCCCATTGACACGCGATCTAATCGCAATACGACCCCATCTTCTGCTGGTGGGCACACTACCTTCTACTCTGACTCGTCCAACCCCTCCAGCCCAGACGAGGAGCGCCCAAGGTGCGTCGCCATCACATGGACATTGCCCCATCAATTTATTTTTATTTCTTTATTTTTTGTTTTGTTTCGCTCTTTGGAAAACAAAAAGAAAAAGAGTTAGAGGGAAAGTGGTGGAGGAAGCAGACGAAGAAGAGCACGGCCTGCTGTCAAACACGTCCTAATACGCGCTGTATTCTAGACCAGATCCCCACGCCGCCCCGAATGATACTCGAAGCGTCCACCAACCTGTGAATTCGAAGCCTGTTGAAGGCTCGTCGAGCAAGGCGCCTAGTTCAGCAATGCCCAGCCCGACGACATCCACCGCGCCCAGCGGTGCCACGGGCCTGCCGCGCAACTCTTCCATCGACAGTGCCATCTCCGCCATCTCCTCAAGCGCGCAAGCGAATAACACAACTAATAATCAGGCAAGATCAGAAGAGATTGCAAAGTTGATCCAAACTGCTGGGAGCCCTGAGGCCGTCATTCAGTATCTGCTCAAAGAGAAACAGTCTCAGGCGCAGCAAAACAGCCAGCTATGGCGTCTGGTTGACAAGCAGAGGGCCATGATCTTGGGGCTGAATAAGGATTTGGAGGCTGCCCTGAAAGACAAAGAGAAATACCGGAAAAAGCTAAAAGAACTGATGGCGAGCCCCTTGGTAGTAAAGCCGCCGGGTACCCAAGAGGATGAAAAACAGTCAGATGTGCACAACGATGCACACCTGCTTAGCCAGGAAGTTGAATCGCCGAGGGAGCCTGTGGTTCCCTTGCCCAACACCCCCAGGCTGGATTCTGGGATCCCATTGGGCTCACCGGTTGACATGGCTTTGGCTCCTTATCCAATCACCCCTCCAGCAGACCGATCACACGCACCCCCTTCGGCTGTGGCCGAGCTTTTGGATCCGTCAGAGGAGATGCCTAAACCCCAGGAATATGCTCTGGACCATTATGATCATGAGGCGGAAGAGCAGGCGGCGGATCAGGCAAGGAGAGAGAAGACTAATGACCAACTGAATGAGATACCCTTCAATGCCTCCCTGCCTCCGTCACGCAGCCTGCCAAGCCACCCACCCAACAAGCCTCCACCAAAGCCTCCCGCCGCCAACTCCCCTCCAACAGTAACCATCATGGAGCCCACACCACAGCCGGACGAGGGCATTGGCAAATTCCCTTCGCCCCCGCGGAAGCCTCCCCCCGCGCCTCTTCAGCTTAGGCAGGAGATCCGGCGCCAGTTGGATTCCCCCACCATTGAAATAGAGTCTGATTCCGACTACGATGACGTTTTGGAAGTGGATGAGATTATTCCCGAGAGCCGCGGCCGTCGACGAACGCGCGAGGAAGACGATCGCGAGCGCGAAGTTCTGGCTATCCAGGAGGTGGAGGCGCGGAGTGTATCCAAGAATGCTGAGGCTGGAATGGGAGAAACCCCAAGCTCTGCCTCCTCATCGAGCCTTTCAGCTGTGCCCGCCAGTTTGCAACCTGGGATGCCAACCGCATCGCTGGATGCGGTTCTGAACGGGGCCAGGCCTAGAGAGCTGACCGCTCCTATCCTCAGTCCTGGTCTGCCAGCTAGCCCCAGGCCATTTGGGAACCCCAAAATGACACTTGCCCATCCTCCAATGTCGCCAAGGGGCGGTCCGTTGTCACCACGGCCTCCACGACAACCGATTCCCATGCCGCCCGGTACGCCTATGATAGTGCCGCCAACCGCATCGCTGAGTGATGGGAACCCGCTGAAGAAGGCCATGGAGGCTGGGGACTACTCGAAAGGTCTTTCAAGCCCAGTGGAACGAACTGCCATCTTCAGAGGCTTAGTAACTGATGAATACCCCGACCTGCTACTGCCACCAAACGCGTTGCCTTCTGTCGCTGTCAGAGTTGCGTCGTCCCGCATGAAGCCGTCCAGAGCGAGTCTCTTGTCGTTGACTCAGCTAGAGGAGGATCCGGTATTTACCCTTGCCATCATCTCGCGAGCTGACGGAGGCGAACTTTGGCGCGTTGAGAAGGACTCTGCATCTCTAGCCAAGCTGGACCAGCGGCTGAAGCAGTGTCCTGCTTTTACGGCCAAGACTCCGGACAGGTCATTGTTTACCGGACATGCACCCGCCAAGATTGATGCCCGAAGAGCCGTGTTGGACCAGTACATGGACGAGCTTTTAAACACTCCCCTCGACACTCCCACAGCTCTTGAGCTTTGCAAATACCTCTCCAACCATACCCTACCCCCCAACGCGGATGAGACTGGACAGACGTACAAGCCCAAGGATGACAACTCATCGATTAGATCAGATGGTCGACCAACTCGCAATGGTTATCTTACCAAGAAGGGCAAAAACTTTGGCGGATGGAAATCGCGCTTCTTCATTCTCAATGGCCCTCTTTTGAAATACTACGAGACTCCTGGCGGCGCTCATCTCGGCACCATCAAGCTTCAGAATGCTCAGATCGGCAAGCAATCCCAAAACAACGACGCCAGTACCCCGACAACCCATAGCAACGATGAGGAGCTGGATAGCCAATATCGCCACGCTTTCCTCATCCTTGAGCCCAAGAAGAAAGACTCCAGCAACCATGTCAAACACGTGTTGTGTGCAGAGAGTGACCGAGAAAGAGACATCTGGGTGGAGAATTTGCTGCAATGGATTGACTACCGAGATCCCGAGGATGACCAGCCTGCCACAAGGCCAGTCCATGACCGTCAGATATCTGGAGACCAGCTCGCCAAATCTAAGAAGGGAGGCAAACCGAGCCAACAACATCAAACCTCGGGTTCGGACACACTGATTGGAGTGAGATATGACTCTACCCACGCTGGAGACGCCCCGCACCAAGGCAGCCATGGAAACCGACCAAAGACATCCGGCAGCCAAAGCGACCATCACCACGCCAGCACGGATTCGCACTCCAAAATCATCTCCGGGCCAAAAGACCCTCAGGTGATTTCGGATGCCTCCATGTGGGGAAGCAGAATTGGCCTGTCAGCGCCACCTCCCGCACCGACTCCGTCACATGATGAGAAAAAGCAGAGAAAGCGAAGTTTCTTTGGGTTTGGGCCCAAGGCACGCACTTCGTCTGATGGACAGGATTTGATGTTTGGAGGTAGCGAAGGAGCAACTCCACCACAGAATGGCTACCACGGCCCGGTTCGCCATGTTTTCGGCGCGCCTCTGGCTGAGGCTGTCCGGTATAACCCTCCGGTGGACGTTGACGTGCCCCTGCCCTCAGTCGTCTACCGCTGCATCCAGTATCTGGAAGCCCAGAACGCAATTTTCGAAGAAGGCATCTTCCGGCTTAGTGGTTCGAATGTCGTCATCAAACAGCTTCGAGAGCGGTTCAACAACGAAGGCGACATCAATCTGGTCACCGACGAGCATTACTACGACATACATGCAGTGGCATCTCTCCTGAAGCTGTATCTGCGGGAGCTCCCCACCAGTATACTCACAAGAGATCTTCATTTAGAATTCATGTCAATAACGACGGAGATTACCGACAAGACCGAAAAGATGGCGGCTCTCAACGAGCTCTCACAACGGCTGCCCCAGGCTAACGCAACGCTGCTCAAGTACCTGATTGCATTCCTAATTAGAATCATCAACAACTCGGACATCAACAAGATGACTGTACGAAACGTGGGTATTGTCTTTTCGCCGACGCTCAACATCCCCGCGCCCGTCTTCGCCATGTTTCTCCAAAACTACGAGGCAATTTTCGGAGTCGACCCTGAAGAGTATGAACTTCCGTCCCCCACTTCTGAGACGGGAAGTCACGGTCGATCAGATTCTACTGCGCGCTTCGATCCACCACCGGGTCGTCCATCAACATCATCTGGCAGCGCCTCTCCTCGCCATCAAGGATGGCCGGAATCTATCCGAGACCCTGCCAGATCAACGCCAACGCCTCCTCTGCTGATGAATCTAAATGCGGCGCGAGGGTCACCCACTCCGACCGGAGCGTCTCGCCACAGTTATGAGCCTTCCTACCTGCTTCACCAGAGCCCTAGAGCAGTTTCCCAGCCACTACAGAACACTGGCACTGGATCTTCAGACGGCTCAATTTCGCAGCCGCCTCACAGAGCTAGTCCAGCATACGAACAGTCTCTTCTCCCCATGGCCGCAGAAGACCAAAACGGCAATCTTGCTGCGTACGACCAAGGGAGCATGTCCAGGCGCCGGGAGAGTGCAATCATGATGGGTGGCTCGTCGGGTCTGCAGCATCAACAAGGATCTAAGAGTCGCTTGCGTGAAGAGGCGCATTTCTAACGTAATACTTGCTGATCAAAGCGTTTTTAAAAAAGAAGTTCAACTTTTTTTTCGGATTGATTTAATTGTTGTTATTATTATCATTATTATTTCGCATGCAGGACATACCCCTTTGTTCAATCATAGCGATGATACCACGTCGATTTTCAGCTTCAATTTCGTTCTCTCTCTCCCTCCCCCTCTCCACCAGTGGTGTTAACAATTACATACTTCGACAAAGCTAGAACAAAATTTTTAAAGTCGGGAATGGCATTATCCTTCTGTTCTTTTCTTTCTTGCGAGTTATTATTATTTTTTCCCCAGTTTCTTATTTTTTTTTTGCCCCTGAAGCATACCATGAATGGATCAGACATGGGGGACATTTATCTATTTTTCAGGCAATCTATTGGCCCTGCGTATATATGTTGCAGTCTAAATGGCAAGGGTATTTGCTATTAGGGTTAACGCGTGATTTGAGGCGGCTTGACTGGGAGGAACCAGTCGTGGAGTTATGCTGAGCTTTTTTTTGTGGGAGTGGTTTTGGCGACGTTTTATCGTCCAGTTGCTTTATTTCTTTCGCACTTCCTGAGGAGATGAGGCTAGGCTCGGCCGTCGTCTGTTGATACAGCATGGAGTATTGCATCGCGAAACCAGGGCGCCTAATAAACGAATGGCTACTGCTACTGCTACTACTTTTACTGCACGCTTATACGAAATATTTGTGAATATTACCGGGAATGCTGTAGATGGTAATCACCTTGCTACGACCTACCCAATGTGGCTCGTGACGTCGATCATGGGAGAGCTGAAGGACGTGAGGCATATATTACCTGTCCATGTACGGAGTTTGCAGGCAAGCCTGTATTGATGACACTGATATTAATAGCTGTAGCAGAGGTGCTAGCACCGTCTTAGTGAAATACCCCAGACTGGTCTTGCGTCTTACATGCATGTGTCGAGGAAAGAAATTCCCGCGACCAAGGGGGATGGCAGGGCTTAGTTTAGCGGTAATATATGCCAGGCCGGCGGTAATCGAATCGGCCGTAAGGACTTTAGGCTGGTTGTTCGGCAGTACCGGATGTTTTTGAGTTGGGAAGTTGAGGCGGGATGATCGTTCGAGACCCAAGACGGGTTGCTGGTAATGTACGGAGTGCATAGTAAGTCTATTACACTCGTGATGCTGCATGAGTGATCAGGGAAAAGCCCGCGGAGATGGCGGCCGAGGCTCCGTTTTTGCGATTATCTTTCTCAATTGCTCGTGGGATTCTAAGTTGAGGCTAGTTTCAGCTGCATAGAGTATTAGAGTGATTACGCTCAGCGTCTGGTCTGATTTGGGGGCACGTGTGGCTCGTCGATGATCCAAGAAACAGGTTCTGCGTCCCTTTCTCCTGGTCTGTATACGGAGTAGTAGTGAGTGAATCTGCCTGTCATATTTTCTTTTAGTTGAGCCACTTTATTTTTCCTTCTGGACCGCGTTCTTTTTTTTTTCTCCTTCCCCTGAAAAGTCTCACTCAGTCTCCCCCCCCCTCCAATTGATTAGCCCTGAAAACGACAGAGTGAGTGTGTGTCATCATAAAGAATCATCTCTGCTTCTTCTCGTCCCCCTTCGTGGTGTTGAACGTTGGGGCTTTGCATCCAAGCCATGCTTACATAAGTCGCCGCCTCTTGCCTCTGCCTGACAACCCAAAGCTTAAAAAATAAAATAAAATAAAAAAAAAGGAAAAAAAAAAGGAAAAAGTCGGCGAGTCGGTGTCTACGCGTCGGAAACTCGGCGGCAGAATCGCCGTTACCCAACTCCATACCCTCACCCAAGACACTTGCCCAGGTAGCCTATTCCAGAACCGAAGCGCCTATCGGGTTCCGATCGAGAGAAAGTGTGTGCCTCTTCTTCTTCCCTCCCTTTTTTCTCTTCTTTTCTTATATGGACCTTGATCCTCGGCTGCGGCCTGGCGATGGAGAGGCGGCCGGGGTGAGCAATTCGACTCCGTCTCCGGCTGGGCAGCTGTCGAACGCTTCGTTGGCAGGGCGCGGTCGAGAGACTGCCGACACGCCGTCGACGGTGGGCAGCACGCCGCAGTATCACCAGGTGGAATATGCAGGATCCGGCTCTGGCGCTGGCTCTGTAGCGGCCGGCGTTGATGCTGGCGCTGGGGGCTCGGCCGTTGGAGCTGGAGCTGGAGCTGGAACTGGAGGAGCTGCGGGCGATGCTGACGCAGCCGCCGATGCAAAGAAGTCGAGGGCCTGCGAGGCCTGCCGCGGGCTCAAGGTGCGCTGCGAGCCCGATCCCGTCGAGGGCGAGCCGTGCAAGCGATGCCGCAAGGCCGGCCGCAGCTGCATCGTCACGGTGCCCACGAGGAAGCGCCAGAAGAAGACGGACAGCCGCGTGTCGGAGCTGGAGAAGAAGATCGATGCCCTGACGGCGAGCCTCCACGCAAGGGCCGGCGTGCCAGGCCTGAACCCGCTGGCTGGACAGCCTCAGCCTCAGCCGCAACACCAGAGTCAGCATCGACACCAGTCTGATTCTTCCGCGAGCGGATATCCAGCAGGAAGCTGGCCCAATGCGGCGGCGACAGGGACAGTGAGGCCGTGGGGGGGCATGGAGGCATCGCCCCTGATGCAGTCGGCGTCGACGCCGCCCACACGGACTCCGCAGGACGACGTTTCGACATTCCAGCCGCCAATCGTCATGGCCGGCCAGAAGCGAAAGGCAGCCGACCGTGATGCCTCCCTTGGTGACGACCACAAGGCCATGACGCCATCGACGAGCTGGTCCGGCTTCTCCAGGCCCACCGAGGGCGACATTGTCGATCGCGGCCTCATTACGATGGAGCATGCCACCGGGCTGTTCAACAAGTACAAGGAGCACATGGTACGGCATCTGCCGGCCGTCGTGTTCCCACATAGTGCCACCGTCATGGAGCTGCGCAAGACCAAGCCGACGCTGTTCCTGGCAATCATGGCGGCCGCCACGGGCGAAAACCATTCGCTCCAGCGCGTGCTGCAAAAGGAGCTGATGCAGCTCTTTGCCGAAAAGGTGATTGTCACGGGCGAGAAGAACCTGGAGCTGGTGCAGGCCATCCACGTGGCCGTCATCTGGTACTGGCCGCCCGAGCACTTTGAGGAGCTCAAGTTCTACCAGCTCGTCCACACCGCCGCCGTCATGGCCATCGATATTGGCCTGGGCAGGAAAGGCGGCTCACGACGAGGCCCGCCACCGTTCCGCCGCAATCCACCGCCTGATTCCACCAGCATCGAGTGTCGCCGGACCTGGCTGACGTGCTTCTTCCTGGCCCTCAACACGTCCATGTCGCTGCACCGGCCGAACCTGATCCGCTGGACGCCCTTTATGACGGAATGCCTGGAGATACTCGAGACGTCGCCCGATGCCGCGCCCACGGACAAGTACTTTTGCCACCTGGTGTGGACGCACCGCCTGGCTGAAGAGGTGGGCTCGCAGTTTTCGCTGGATGACCCGTCGACAATGGTCAATATTACGGATAGTAGGACGCAGTATGCGTTGAGGGCCTTGGAGCGGGACCTCGACAAGTACATTGCGTCGATTCCCAAGAATTTGATGCAACGTGAGTTTGAATATCATAATCTTTCTTCTTTTTAAGGGGGTTTGCTGTACTAACAAACGTTCAAGACACTCTTCGTCTTAACTTCAATGTAGTCAATCTCTATATGCATGAGATGGCCCTTCACTCAGACACAATGTCCGACCAGTGGCGGCCTCCTTTCAATACCGAAGCCCTCAAGGATGGCATCATTAACTCCGAGCCCCTATCCGCCGCGCACATCAATGCACTTTCAGCGTGCCTGACGGCTATTGATGGCATTTTCAATACCTTCCTATCCATGGACGTCCTCAGCATCCGCTGCCTGCCCGTCTTCAACTTCATGAGAGTCGCATATGGAGTCGTCATTCTGATCAAGATGTACTTTTCCGCCTCGAGCCCGGGCTCGGAAATGGGCAAGGTCATTCACAAGGACAACATGCGTGTCGAGTACTACCTAGAAGCCTTGCTCGACAAGTTCCGGGCCACGGCTGCAGACAACAAGTGTCGCCCTGCCGCCAAGTTTCTGGTAGTGCTAGCTATGCTCCGCAGCTGGTTCTTCAAGCAAGGCAAGGAGGGAGGTGCAGCAGCAGCGTCTTCTGATGATGGTGACGCTCCCTGTGGTGGATCTTCGCAACAGAGGCCGCAGTACCCTGCTCAGGGGACACAGCAGCAGCAGCAATTGCAACATCAATTACAACAACAACAGCAGCAGCAGCAGCAGCAGCAACAGCAGCAACAGGCACAGCAAATGCAGCCTCAGCAGCAACCACGACAGCAAAACGTCAACACCCCCCTCCAGCTCCTCTCCGAAGTCGCAACCACAGGAAGAGACGGCCGCACCGCCACCCACATCTTCACCGGCCTCAATGGCACCGGCAGTCACCACCCCCAGCCCTTCTTCCACGACTCCGTCTCCTCAACCGATACCCCTCCCGCCCCCGTGTCCAACGCCTCTTCCATGCCTCAAATGCCGGGCCCTTCCCCCTCGTCCACGGATCTCGACTCGGCCATGGCACCCGCCTTCCCGCCGTGGATGTCGGCCGCCCAGCCCATGGTGCCGACCGACTTGGACGTGGGCGCCGTGCCGACGAATTTCGACATTGAGGGCTTGAACCTTGCGGCTGCGGATTTGAACGACATGTACGAGAGCGGAGCAAAGATTGTCATGAACGAGCCTTGGTTCACGGATGCGTTCCAGGGCCTGCCGGACCCGAATCTATTTCCTTTTTGATTTTTTTTTCACCTTCAAATCGAGAGGCAGTAGGCGAGGGGGATTCAGAAAAGAAAAGAAGAAAAAAGTTAGGTATAGTACTTATACATGGACTACCTATGTATGACTAGCAATGCTGGGATGAAACTCCCTTGGAAGAATTTCCTTTTTGGGAGAGGATATTCTATTTGTAAGGATATTCTTCTGATTTTTTATGCTCTTTTGCGGTGCGGATTACTTGGAGAATCCGACAGAGCTGAGCCAATGGTTTATTGATCTTGACTGGACTGGACTGGCTTGTTTTTACCCATGGATTGGCAGCGGTGTTTTTGTTATTTCTTTCTTTCTTTTTTTTTTTAATGATCAAAATACCCATTCTCTATCATTACTACCTAAATACTTTGCCTAAACGAACAATTATACGTAATTACAGTTCTCACATGCATAAAGTGTATGAACGAATTACCAGTAGCTTCACAAAAGTCATGCACGGATCCTACGCAAGTTGCCCCCATGTGTTCTAGAATATTGTTTGGTTCCATTTGAAGTTCCATCAAAATAACAAGCTAGATAAAAGCAATCTTTCAGAGTGTCAAAATCACATGGCCAAGATGCTCTCCCAGTTACCAGAGTTGGCCATTTCCCAACGCTAAAAACCAGCAACGCCGACGCCAGCACATTGTCAATTGGACAATGCCGGACCCCTTGTCCTGCAGCTCGTAATTCATTCTTTGGCCCATGTCTGCCAATATGTCCCCTCCCCCCCTTCAAATCTGATAGTTATACACGAGTTTGAAAACTAAGCCCCGGCTTGTCCTTGTGTACCTTGTCCCATCTCCCAGGATAGTTGGTGATGAAAATGTCGAAAATCGACGCATCCGCTGTGGTCTCACATTAATCCCCACACAAATCAACAAGATTGTGCATCTCGCCAGTTGGCTCTTTTTTCCCCTGCATCGTACGATGTGCCCGTTTTCTGATTTTTTTTGGTGATACGTTCCAATCCAGTCAACGTCAACTGCGGTGCACAAAGTGTACAGCCACTGAACAAATAATATCAGCGGTGTGAGTTGCCTCAAATCGTACAAAAATGAATAACAGAACCGTACTCCGGTAAAGCACTGAAACTCTTGAGGCAGAAATAATCGGTATGTCGCTGGAGAAAAGCTGAATGGCGCGAGAAGATGCCAACGCAAAGACGAGTAAAACGCAATGCACTCATAACCATCACCAGCCCAGAGTTGACTCTTGGGCGGCGGCAAGAGTCAAAAGAGTGGAAGAGAGAGAGAACAAAGAAGTAAATAAAAGAACCGCCCAAACGAATGAAGCAATGTTTTCGCAGCTTCCAGTGGCAATTATGGTCATGATTCTAGCATTGATTGGCATACTCAATCCATGTAAAAGTCGCCCTTGAGGATTCTCTCCTGGAAAGCGTCGGGCTTAGGGCGTTCCGGCTGCTTGGGTTTAACAGAGGCGGCCTGTGCTGGGGGTTGCGGCATGTCGGAGATGGACTTTGAGCGGTCATGGTTTGGCATCGCTCTGGGTGGAGAGTGGGAGCCGGTGCCCTGGAAGGAGAAGGAGGGGCGAGCCCCAGTGACGGAGCTCTCGGCGCGGGTTCTAAGCTGTTCGGACCAATTGAAGCCAAACTGGTCTGCTCGAGAAGGAGGATTGTCAGAAGAGGCTCTTGGATGCTGGACGTTGCTTGCCTGAGGATGAGAGGGTGGAGGCCCGTGAAGGCTGGATCGGCGTCCAACAGCGGGCCAGGCGGCAGATATGGAAACCTGACGCTGGTGCGGATAGGATTGGGACATCAACGGGAGCCACTGGTCCCCGTGACCAGCGTGATTGCGTCCGAGTGATGACGGAGGAGGGGACTTTGGGGATTTACCATTTCCGGGGCTGCCTCCTGTGCGCAAGTTTCTCATGGCAGAGTTGCCTCCAAAACTCATGTGGCGAACAAAGGGAGTGGTCGGGGCCGTTCTAGGGCCGCCAAAGACGGCATCTTCGTCCTCAATGGCATTCTCGTCAATCGAATCCGAGTTCGAATTGGTAGACATGCTGCCGCGTCGCATGAAGGAGGCGGAGTTATTTGAGGGTGATGTGCCAGAGAGGCCAATGGTGGTGATTGATAGACGCCGTCTCTGAGGGTCTGCATTACCGTTGGCGCCGGGGAACGGAGGTCCAGTCGAGGCAGTCGGCGGGCCTCGCTGGAACAGGTTGGACAAGGCAGCCTGGGTGATTGAGCTGCGGCGGTGGCCGGGGCCGGGGCCGGGGCCGGGACCGTTTGGAGATGTATCGGACATTGCTCTGGGTGGAGGGGTGGAAAGTAGAATTAAGGACTGAGAGGCGAGAAAGATGAACAGAGAAGGTATGAATGAGGTAAGACGAAGCGAAGAAGAAGGAAACGAAGCAGGCGAGGCACACAGAGGCCCCGGTGACGGCGGTTTGTTGGTAACGGGGAGCCTAGGGTGGTGTATTTGCGAGTCGTTTGTCCGTGGCTTGGATTGTTTGTCCAGAGTGGGCGGTTAGGACGGCGATATTCGAGAGGACGCAGAATTGTCCTTGGGAATGACGTGTGCGACAAAGGAGAGGAAGAGAATGCCGGTGGTAACGGCAAAATGCGTGGATGATGCTGGAGGAGAGAGGAGATATAGAGAGGAAGAGAAGAAGAAGAAGAAGAAGAAGAAGAAGAGAGAGAAGTAGAGAGGCGAAAAAGAGGGGACGGTGGCACGTGGATGATGCTTATATAGATGGGAAGATGGAGAGATGGAGAGAGTTTGATCTGCCTGGACAGAAACAGCGGAACGGTATCGTCGGCACGGAGAAGCTGCGTAGCGTGCCGTTAGTCAGAAGAAGGAAAAGGCTGTGCTTTGCTGTATCGTTTGCTTTTGCGAGGAGGAGAAATTGAGGTTGGTGGCATGTACAGTACTAGGTAAGTAGCAAAAGGGAAGGAGGAGAGGACGCAGCAGGAGTAGCGCGATCAGCATCTGGATATTAATGGACAGCAGTCGCCGTGGCGTGGAATTGGCTGGAAGTCGAGGTGGTGTGAGCGCTGGCGGAGGTGGTGTGCAGTTGCGTAATTTGGGCGTGTGTGGAGTGACCTGATGGCTTGATGATGGATGATTCACGGCTGCGACTTTCCCAGGAGGAAGCAGGGATGGACTTGTGTGCTTGTGGACTAGAACTTGCTGCAGCGAGCGAGCGAACAAGTGCGAGTACCACCAGGTACCTGGCCAACCGAGCTGGGTACACCGCGGCGGCGGATACCCGAGACTGCGCGGCACCCAAAGTATCTCGCCATTGTGCGTGCTCGCAGACTACAGGCAGCCACTAGCAGAAGCTACACAAATGAGGTGTGGCCACAGGTACCTCGGTGAGGGGGTGTCTTGGCAGTGGGCTGATATGAGTTAAGCGATACCGGTCGAGACTGCGGTGCCCCGAGAACGGAGATCAGCTCAGCAGCACACCGGAAGCAGCGCCGAGGCAGCCATGCAACGCCTCCTTTGGGCTGTGGTGTGGACTGGACTGGACGCATGACTTGGGCCAACGAAAAAAGGAGACGACGATGGTGAGAGAGAGAGAGAGAGAAAAGGGAGGGGATAACAAAGAAGGAGGGAAATAGAAGAGAGGACAGGAGAGGACAGGAAAGCACAGGAAAGCACAGGAAAGCACAGGAAAGCACAGGATACAGTAGGATACGCAACAAAGACAAGACAAGATCAATTCTCCGAGGTCTGGGCACGGTCAAGGCCCGTCACATTCAGATTCATCTTCGCTCGAGTCTGTGCATGCATCTCCGCCGCTGTTGACTACGGGCTAAACTAATGTACCAAGGCATGCGACACGGAGTAATACCGCGCGTTTGATGCCAACTTGTCTGTCCAGCCGAGGCGGGGTGACGACGTGGTGCATGGCGCTGCATGATTACGGAGCACGGAGCCCTCCGCCTGAATACTGTAACCGTGACAATAGTACGAGCATACGAGCACTGGACATGTCTGTCTGGTACAAAGATGATTGTAGTGCAGCGCTGCTGACGAAATGCACAAGCAAGGGGGCCATCCGCAACGGCTCCGGCTCCGGAAGAGAACCAGCAACAAGAGGGCGGATGTGTCAAAGTGAGGATCTGGCATCTATCGGACCCGTGGGGTTCCCTACCTTTCTATTCCTCTACCCCTATTGGCGACATGGCAAATGGTCAACTGTGGAAGCGCGAAACAGAGCAAGGAGAAAACACAACGAATCCTTGTCTCGGCTGCGTATCGTATTGCATTCGCATCGACCAACCACGAGCGCAGCCAAGAGATGCAGCCGGTGTGCCCAAGAGACATAGAGACCTCTAGCTGCCGTCGTCGTCCGTGGCAGCGCAACCCGGTGGTTCGCTAAACGGCACCGTCGACGTGGGAGAGAAGCCGGAGCAGAGCCAAGGGCGAGAAGCTTCCAGGCTTTCTTCTTGTCCAACCATGGTCTGACGATTAGCCTACTCCGTAGTCTGTGACGTGCCAATCAAGCATCCAGCCAACCAGTCGGTCATTGATCAATCAATTGTCTTCGCCTGCGATCGGTGGGGTCTGCGGGGGCCAGCGGCCTCGATCTGACGGCGTGGGTCGTGGGCGAGATGACCTGTCTTGCCTGGGACCCCTACTCCGCCGAGTTGAGTTGCTGCCGTTTGCTGGCTCCTTGGCTTTCTCTCCATCGTCTCTTGGATAGATCTGGCGGGGGGCGCTGCCTTGTTTCGAGTCGTGTCAAGGTGCAACTGGGTTTCCTATGTCGTTAGCACCCCTCAAGGTGGCAACATGTGCAAAAGAGCTGGCGACGATCCCCAAGCTTGTTCGCGCACCAAGTGCGGAGTGCTCGGTACCTCCCATCATCACCTGGTCTCTGCAAGCAGCAATCGTTGGTGATGCCATTGTCATACCGTCGATGTTCCCTTTGCAACCTCTACCTCGCGCCATCATGTCTCTCTACTTCGTTTCCCAACTTCCCCCCCCTGCTTTGCGACTCTTGAACCGCGACGCCCGCGCCCGCAGCGCAAAGCGAGGGGTGGCAGCACAGCTCATGGTTCCAGTCGCGATACTCGTAACTACTGGTACTAGTACAGTACCGTAGTCTGTACTAGCACAAGTGCTTCCTAGCGCAGGCGTGTGTGTGGACTGGCAAGACTGGTTCGCGCCTCTGCTGTTGGTCGGGCAGGGTTGATGTATGCATGATTGTGCTGAAGTCTTGTCCTCGTCGGCGCTTGGCCGCAAGAGGGACAGGCGGCAGACGCTGCACGTGTAGGTAAAGGACGAAGGTGAGCGAGGCCTAAAACAAAACGGTCGGTAGTCGCCCAGTAGCGCCAGCAGCCAGCAGTGCGGTCTTGGTGATGATGGTGAGGTGGTGAGGTGGATGGAGGGTTGAATCCGACCGCAAGCGACCATGAGGTGTGAGGCATGAAGCATGTGTGCCCAACGCAACGCCCAGCGAGGCATCCGTCATGCAGTCCTTTTTCACCGACTAATTAATTACTTACTGTTTGTACATGTCTTTTGCGAGTGTGTGTGTGAGAGATGTGAGAGAGTGTGTGTGAGTGTGTGAGTGTGAGCGTGAGCATGGACATGGACATATGTCGGCATTGCAGCGAGCAAAGGCGGTCGCCAAAGAGAGAGGGAGGAGAGATTGAATGTCAACTTCCATCATTAGTCATTAGTACCACTAGGTGGAAGTTCACAGTTTGGCAGCTCTCTCTCCAGGTACCTTCTTTGCCAGGTACTCGTACCTCCAACAATCCCCCATTTTGCCTCTCTCTCTCAGCCACTTATCATCTTGCTCGCCCATTACCGAATCAATTCCAGTAATGCCAAAAGCAGCTCCCAGGTCGAAAAACCACCACTCGCCACTCGCTGCTTCCCTTGCTCCTTCCCCCTTGCAATTCAATTGAGAACATCCGGCCAGCTGTCCAATCACCGTCCAGCCAGGGCGAAAGCTCTGAGCTAAAATCTGCCGGCCACGGGCCGCTGCCAATCAGCAACTGGCCGGCGTTGCAGCAGAAAGAGCCACTTCGAGGTGCCACCAGCATTTTGCGGGGTAACGGTTAGCTTTGACGCAGACGCAAGGGAAGGCACACGCCCCGCATTGCTCGACGCACACCCTCCCCTCCCCTCCCTCCTGCATCTCTTGTTCAAGGTCTGCTCTTTCCACCTCTTTTGCTGCTGTCTACTCCGTACTATGTACAGTATATGCTTGAGCGTTGCTTCCCTCTTGATTGATTACAGCCTAATACAGCCGCTAGCAGCCCTGAACTGCGCCGACAGCCGCAGTAGCCCCTACCGCTAATGCAGTGCTAACAGCTAGCATAACTGAGTACCTTCCTAGTACCTCCCCAGTACCGTACAAAGGCAGCACTCACTGCGCGGAAACTCCGTATCTGCGGCGTGCACCGCAGTAGCACCGTGCTAATGCACACTTCCACTTCCAAGAACAAGCGCTGCTAGCCTGCATCCAGCAAGTGCCAGACGCACCTCCAACCTCGTTCACCACTAAATCACCGTTGCCATTGAAGATCGAAGAATGAAGAACAAGGGAGAAAGAAGAGAAGAGGAGAAGAGGACAGATTTTTCTGCATCTTTTGCATGCTCGGCAATTTGTGACAAGCTACGACAAATACGAGGTGCAGACACAGCACGCAGGCAGCTCAATGCAACACAATGCTGCAAGGCGGCTGTCGTTTCGAAATCCGTCTCTACCGTGTCCGTCTTTGTTACAGTTACAGTATGGATGGCCGCGACAAGTTGTCGACTAACCCTCCCGTATCACCAGATGGGCCCCAACCGCGTCTGCAAGATGAGGCAAGGCAGGCAAGGCGGGTAAGTCCATCTCAAAGTTACAGTAATACTAAGCGTACTTACTTGATACAACGGGCACTCGTCAGCAGTATTTTGGCTCGCCATCTCTGTATCTTGTGGACAAGCGCAGTACCCGTCAAGGCAACGATTACTGCCTGTTATCTCCCCGCGCGCACATCACACAGCCAAGGTTTGTCGATCAACGCAAATCAGCAAACCAGCAACTCCGTATCGAGCCAGAACTTGGTTTCGGCTTGACACATTTGAGTCGAGAAATGCAACATCAGCCCATCGCAATATACCATGTCGTGCTGGCAATTGCGCTCTTCCAAGTCCATCAACTCTCGACGCATGTGATAACCGATGACTGAGGTAGCACCGATAGGCAGCATGGCATGACCCGTGCAGTTGAAACCCCCAAATACGACGGCACTTCTCTCCTGACATCTGACATTGCACATGTTACGTGTTTTTCATCTATCCGAGTACTACGTAGGTGCCGCAGTCGAGCCATGGACCGCTCCAAGTCGGGTCGAGAAGCCGTCTCTCGCAGCCGTCTCTCGCAGCCCTCTTCATGTCGTCCCTTGATTCCCGAAATAGGCTTTCCAAATTTAAATATATGGCGGCGGTTTCAACTTGCTGCGGTTCCCCCTCCTCTCGCCACTGCCACTGGGCGACATGACAGCTCGTGCCGCGTGCAACACACCGCCTCCATTGGCTTCATCAACCTGCGAAATAAGCTGATGGTGGCGCCATCCTCTACTGCCGACAGCATCAAAGCGCAACTTGGAAGCGCTCGTCCCTCGCCTCGCACTGTCGAGAAACAGAAATGGCAACAGAGCAAGGGTCGGGGCTAAAGGCTGGGCCGCCCGGGGTCCCTCTTCTCGTCATGCAAGATTATCTCTGCCTATGAGATTTCGACCCAAGGATGCACTAGCAGGCCTTAGCCAGCGACTTGTCAAAAAGCCAATCTGCGGGGAATGGAATGAATGACCCTTTTAACCTTTTGGCGTCTTAGCATGATTGCTGAGTCGAGGCGAAGCACGTGGCCTTGCGTGATAAGAGTTATGGAGCTTGATTGAAACTCTGATTGTGATATGAACATGTTGGCCATTACTATCTCCACGCAGATGTTGGAGATTGGTTGTAAACCCGCAGATCTTGCCAACGGTAGGAGAGGCTGAAACAAGGCGATGTTTGAAGCAGGAAGCAATAGGTTGTGAGTAGCGACCATGCGATGATGATGATGATATATCACGTATGACGAGCCTCTCCCCAGCTTCCAATTGAATCGAGATGGCACATTTGCCTAAAAGAGGAGAAAATGATGTGCTGCAGGAAGTCTCAGGTTATCTGCATTGTTCGGATGCACTATGACGAAGGCTGTGGCAAAGGCTCCTCAACTGTTGTCGTACCTTTTTGCTTTTCTTTCGTCTCGATGCGATCGGTCGGTAAGCTCATTGGGGAAGATCAATTCGCCACCAGCCCCTGACCAACAGCATAGAATCTCTTTTGTCGAGATGTACAATAGGCACCTGTCCAACACTTCACGTGCATGTGCAACACAGCAGCCTTGTGATTGTATGTACTGTACCACGAACTTTGGTGACCCAACAGCTGGGGTTTTCGCAACGATCGACAAGAAGTGTTTCCATTACAACCGCCTCATAGTTTGAATCCTAGTGTATCGTATCGTATGTATCGAAACAGGCCAGTCAAACAATTGACATCATGTGTATACCCATCAGCCTCTTCTCTGTCCACAAAGGCCACACACTCCGCAGTCCTGGGCATTCACATAGGCGCTGCCTGTGCATGCCGCGCTCCCGCACCGCCAGCCCGGCGTGAGGACTGGGTAGAGCACGTTTGCGCATATGGCGCATGTCACGACTGCCTGAGGGTTTTCGAACGAGCACATTGAGCAACTTGATGTTGACTCTGCTTGTGTTGTAGTTGCGGTGAGGGGAGAGGGTTTTGAGGGCGATGGTGTCGTCTTTGGTCGTGAGGGTTGGCGTGTTTCGTCAGTATCCGGATCTGGTTTGATAGACTTGGGATTCTCGACTTGGACATGTGGTATAGATGATAGACGTATAGACGAAGGACCATCATCATCATCTGCAGCCTCTGGCTTAATCGACAGCCCCGTCTCCTCCCGTTTTACCACCCGCTCCGAATTCTGCCTCTTCTGAGATGAGCGTGGAAGATTCGAAGTTTCGCCGTCTGGATCTTGTTTCATCTTCCTTCCGCCAAACAAACCATGCAGCTGATCGAGTTCGTTCTTCGCGTCAGCGTCATCCGCATCTTCGTCTTCGCACACCTTGACCATATCGCCGCCATGGCTATCCACCATCCTCGAGCCATCCACATCAACCGCCGTTTTCGCATCCGCGCCCCCATCTTCGTAGTCACTCGAATCATCCTCATCCCACTTATTCTTCGTATCCTCTTCCTCCTCTTCCTCCCCCTCTTCCTTCTTAGCACCCTCCTTGCTCTGCTCGAACCGAGCCAGCGCCGCAGCCGCACGGAGCTCCCGGCCCCGCAAACTGCCTGCCACCCTCGGCTTCGCGAGCACCCGCTTGCCCTTCTCGAGCTTCACCTTCTCCTCCTCGTCAGCCCCAAGCGCAACGCCGTTTTTGCCAAACTTGTTGAGAATCCGCCTCTCTTTTCTCTCCTGATACGTCAAAACAGGCTTGGCCTTGCGCTTCCTCCTCCGCGACCGATATGTCCCGCCACAGAGATGCTCCGGAAGAACCTCATCTGCCCTCACGCTGTTCTTTTCCCACTCTCCTGTCCCTAGGGTAGCTCCTCTGCCCCAGAGACCATCTCCCTTGTATCCTTCTGCCCATAAGGCTTGCATTTGGGCAGCATACTGATTCCGCACTGCCCAAAATGCCCTGGAATGATTCATCTGCGCGCAGTGAGCCAGCTCATGCATCATCACCATCTGGACATAATTAAACGGAAGCCACCGGCCGCTCCCGGGAGATTTGAGCACCAGCTGAATAACCTCCCCAGCATTAAAATTGCGGCCCACGAATTCTCTGTTGGGAGGGAACTCCTCCAGCGACATGACATGAATGTGGTGCTTGCGCATCACAGGAACTGTAATTTTCGAGAGGTTAGCATGAGGAAGTTCGTAAAAAAGGGGGAAGGGTTCTTTGGGTTTAAAATAAAACTTACGGCACTGCGCTGCAATCCTCTCCAAAAAGTCCTGCGCAATCTTTTCATCTCGTCCCTTCAGCGGTTTGATAAAGACAATGTGCGGATTAGGCTGTGATGTTTTCGCGTTGAGGCGCTGAATGCCGATTGGCATGATGAAAGCAAAACGCCGGCTTCTGATGCTTGGGATAGAGAGACTGTGTATATGCCAATCTTGACAGGTAGAGGGGGGACACAATAATAAACACTGAAGATTTCCCTAAAGAGGACTCGATAGGTTCGATTATTCACGAGAATTCCGGATATACGCGAAGAAAGAGGTCAAGTTGACAAAAGTTGTTCTTGGTCGTGCCCAGATTCACGCGGGTTTCTTACACGAAATCAGGTGACCTGTGGCGATTTCTCTCCAACTATCTATAACGAACTTATCAACACCAACAAGCAAGCAGCAACACCGGTGAAGAAAATAAATAAAAAAACAAGTAAATACAAATTTTTAAAAAATTGGCAGAGAGATTATTCATAGCCGTCATCAGGTACAGGTAATAAAAATGCATTGATAACTGTAAATGTAATTTCAAAACTCGTGATTCCTAGGTATGTATATGCAGCTGCGATCCTACCCTAAAAGACAAGAATGCTCCGCCCTGCTAATGCATTATCATGTAATTGGCGATTAATGGCAATTCAAGCTCTAACATGCGCCGTACCCGATGCTTCGCTAAATGACAATCTTGTTCCTCCCTGATGCCTCTCATGCGCTGCTCCTCGCCTCCAGCCTGGCTTCTACATTGGCAATGGCGCTCTGCACAGCGCTGGTCAAGTCTACGTGGAATAGGGGGTTGTCTAAACCGCTGATGATGGCCCCCTTTCGTTTGTATGCTGCCTTGGGAGATCCCCCTGGCTTCTCTGCGAGATTATTAGGTCTTGGCGCTTCCTCTTTCGCTTCCTCTTCTTCCTCGGTCGTGACATCGACCTTTGCCATTTCTTCATCTCCTGGTCTATGAGCCATCATGGATAATTCTCTCTTAATGGCGTTCTCCTCAGCAACTGCCGCAGCAGAGTCTTTCCCACCAATCTCTGCGACGCTAAAGATGGACTTCCACCTGTGTGGAATGCCATCCATCGACTTTGTGGGAGTGCCAAACCCGCCAGCAATGAGCGCCCGCCTGGTCCATCGGTTGTTGATGCATGCGACGTGCCAGTCCACAGCGTCTGGGGCTGCATACGCATCAAGTACGTTTCGCACATCGATAAGGCGCTGGACTGAGGTGATGTCCACATTGTTGACGGAGCTAAAATCCAAAATGATTGCTTTTAGAGTCGGCTTCTGGTCATCCTCGGGATCCCGTTTTGCCTTTCCAGGCTTCCGCTGACCTGGATTGTTCCACGGTCGGTCGCCCTTACGCTCGTACGTCTCTGGGCTTGACCGGCGCGTGTGCGCATAAATAAAGCTGGTCAAGAACTCCAAAGCGAAATTTGCGCTTGGGTAGTTGAACCCCTCCGAGAAGCGGTAGATGAAGATGCCAGGGTATGGATTTTCCAACTCGACTTCGGGGTTGGAGCCGTCGCCATGGTCAAGTGGTAGGAAGATATTTCTGGCAGCGTTCTCAGCCCTTTCCTCAAATGTGCCGTATTCTCCCACCAGTTGTTTGTGGTCGTCTCCAATAACGTGGTCTCCAAGGACAGAGTGAACCTTGACTTTGCCCAGGAATCGTCCACGCGCCTTCAAGATGCGATAGATGAGAACGGCGGCCGATATGCATACGGTTGCATATAGGCCGTCCTCGATCTGTGCAAAGACACTGATGAACACACCAATGAAGAAGATGAAGACTTCTATGGGAGAGACTCTCCAAAACTGATACAGCGTGTTTGGCGGTGTGATCAAGTCACCGACGGCGTGGATAATAACCGCAGCGAGGACTGCATTAGGGATGTAAAAGAAGACGGCCGTCAAGAGGTAGGCGGCTAAAAGCACAACTAATCCGGTGACGAGTCCCGCGGCAGGAGTTCTGACGCCAGCTTTTGATTTGATAGCTGTTCGGCTGAAAGACCCGGTAGATGGATAGGCACCGAGAAATGAGCCCAACAAGTTGGTCATGCCAATAGCAACCATTTCCTGTGATGGGTCAATGGTGTAGTTATTCACCCTGCCAAAAGACTTGGAGATGGCAATATGCTCAACAAGCATGACAATGACCCCTGCCGGAAGGTGGGAAGCAAACGATGAAACAAGTCCCGGTGGGATCTCTGGGACGCCGTTGTGTTTAAATCCTAAGTTTGAATGTTAGAAATCAGAATCGCCTGCATGTCCATGTCCTGGGAGGTTGTAGGAGCTTACCTTTTGGAACAGCCCCTAGAACACGAACCGCCGGGTGAGTTTTCCGATCTTTGTTGATCAGCCAGCTCACCATGGTATAAAGGAGAATGACAAACACCGTCCGCATTGTGTTGAGGAAAAAGATGATACGCTTATTGGCTGGCCACCTTTCGGCAGCTCTGGTCAGAGTGTATCGTATCAGATAGAGGAAGAAGAGGGCTGTGAGGCCAATAGCAGCGTCCAGTTTAGTTTCAGGCAAGTGCTTCAGCGTGTTGATGATGACTCTGTATGCCGGATCTCGGTTGGAAAAGCCCGTGATGCCAAACAGCGAAGGGAGCTGACTGGCGCCAATAGTAATGGCGGACCCCGTCATGAAAGCAGACAGCGAGGTGATGGATATGAGATCAACTACCCAGCCCAGGCGAAGGATGCCAATACCAAGAACAATACTTCCGGCAATGACAGAAAACGCCGTGGCTACCACGTTTGGAGGAAGATCACCACCAACATCTGCCACCACCGTTCCAACGACTGTGGATAAGACGGCCACCGGGCCGATTGATATATCTTTGGATGTGCCGAATATCCAATACGTGATGGGCCCCATAAAGGACGAATACAAGCCGAATTGTGGAGGGAGGTTTGCCAGCAATGCATAAGCCATACCCTGGGGGACGAGGACAGCGCCAATAGTGATGCCGGCTACAATATCACCCGCGAGCCATTGCAAGTTGTAGTGAGGAAGCCAAGATATGAAGGGAAAGAGAGACCTGACATAGCTTACGACCTCGGCCTGCGAAGGCAGCTGGTCATGAAGCCACTCTGAAGTCGTAGGCGGTCCATCGATGGGGCCTTCACCAGTTCGGGTAGAGAAGACAGACTCGCCTCTAGTGACTGCGTCGTCGTGCCGGTAAACATTTTCATCGTCATCCTGGAGTTTGATGCCTAGGACTCTGGCCAATGCATGCCCGACCTTGGTCGACGCTCCTGTAGATGTTCCACTCATGGCCGAAAAGAAAACTGGCCTCTGATGGTGTGGTGAAAAGGAGGGGAGAGGCCCCAGCTGGGCGAGAGATGTAGAGGGACAGGGACAAGGAGAGCAACGGTGAGGTGTCTAGCTTTTAGTATGCCATGCTCTATCTCTTCTTTGATATACGTTCGGACCGTCGCTTTGCTTCCGTCACCAAAAAAAATGCCGTCGTGGCGATGGCCCGGCTCGGTGTGATGTCGGCGGCGGCTCAGGCACGCACACTGCAGCTCTAGGGCATCAGCTGAGACAGTCACAACAAGGGACTTGTAAGCTGCAAGAGAAGAAGCATGAGCTATCTGGATCAACAAGACATCAAGGATCTAGATGATGGGTGCAGGAACGAGATCTAGTTGGTGCAGCTAGTTCAAGTAAGATGGCTTACCTTGTCCACGATCAACAACCGAGAAACAAGAGTTTGAGACAAGAAGAAGCCGGGATTGTGGGGAGAGTTATAAATAATAGTATACAATTCAAGGTGGATGTAAAAGAGAAGAGACAATAGCTGAAAGGAAGTGTAAAAATATATGAAGAAACGTTCCAGATGCTGTGCTTGCCTCGAACCTTGGACCCAGCAGATGGTAGTTGCCGAAGACCCGTTACGGGCAGTCGGGAGGCTTGCTGCTTACAGTAGGCCCATCTGACAAATATGAGGGAATAGAAAAGCACGAAGAAGACGATGGACATTCCGAAAGGGGCTTGGATGTGTTCCAGCGTCATGTTCTCCATCGAATGGATGTTTATAAGCGCCAAATTCGTTGTTGAGACGCATCATCAATGGGACATATTATTGGATCGTGGGATGGACAGGGGACCGAGCACACCATCTCCCCACAAAATAGCCAAATGTCGCAATCGCGTCTATGCCGTTTCTGTTTTAGAGCGGCTGGACTATCTAGATTTTGATATGATTCCCGCGCAGAGTTTGTCTCGGCAGGAGTCGAGTCAGGGTTGTTTCGCCGCTCTTTGGCGAAGCTGATGGTCCTGGCATGTTGCATTTCCGTCGAGGATACATGTCAGCCGTCTGCCTGTGGCGTTGGATGTTGCTGCATGCTAAAACTTGCAAGGTAAAATGCACACAGCACTGCTTATAATACGACGCCTCAAGATTGGTTGACACTGGCTGGACCACCGTGTAAGTGAGGATCAAAGTACCAGCACCAGACGAGTCCCCTCCCTTCCTTGAGCACGCGAGCAAGCTTGTTCTCTTCTCGGGTTGCCTGTGACCATGTGAGCTCTCTTTGCAAACAAGTGCCTCTCTGTAGTCGCAGTCGCATTGGCCGTCTCCAAAATCGAGGCGCTCGTAACGGCCCCAAGCAAGTCAGCCGAGTCCAGCCATGTGATGCCTCGTGTTGCAGGGGAAGCTGAACCGTCAGCAGGGAAATGAAGTCATCTTATGCAACCTTGTGCAGAGCTGCTGCTGGGATGTAGACGGGATGGGCTGCAATGGCGATGCCAGGCCTGGTTGGTGAAACTGAGGAGAGCAAAGAGGCGAGTGAGGTCCAAAGAGCATGGAAACGATGGATCGGATCTTCGCGTGCCCGAGGTTCCGGAGTCGCCGCATCTACAGCACTAGGTGCAGCAGCTTCAGCGGCCGAGCCCCGCTAGACGACGGAGGTTTGGACGCTGAACGGAGCATTCATGAGGCTCTAGACACAAGCGCATCTCAGATCAGATGCAAGCTTAAAATTGCTGACAAAAGATGCACGGGACGTCACTGTCAACACATGTACCAATCAACGCGAGTATTGAAGCCATGACAGCAGCTCCCCAGATTCAGTGCGTCCCAATGTATAATGTCCATATTATTATTACCCTGCGGAAGAGAAGGACGGAACTGTAATACCACGATGCACTACTACCGTTGAACACCCCAAGGGAGTGAGCGCTGATGTTTTGGTTTTGGCTCATGCAGCCAGCCACTCGATGCTACAACACAACCCCCACGCCAAAACCAACACGCGCCTCGACCTCTTCCACCATCAACATCCCCAACCCTCGCAAGAATGTCTGGCCCTCCCGCCCAAGAGGCTCCCGCCGCGCTCCTCTCGGTCCAGCCTCTGCAGCCCCCGCCATCCCCGCAGACGCATCGCGCCTTGCGACGCCTTCAGTCAGCTCACGCCCTGGGAGCCCGAGCAGCCCAGCAGGCGTCGATCCTCTCGCATCAGCGCCAGCAGCAGCCTCTGTCTCCGACCCGAAACGCTGCTGCTGCTGATGCTGCCGATTCCGCGCCGAATTCCAATGCCAATGCCAATGCCAGAGCCAATGCAAATGCAAATGCAAATTCAAATTCAAATGCCGCCGCAAACGTGACGGTGGTGCGAACGCGAGGTCGTGCCAACAGCGATGCCACGCTGCCTCCAGCCTATCAGCCACCCGCCGCTGCAAACCCTCGACGATCCGGCGTCAAAAAGCCCGTCTTTTCGCATGGCCACCTCTCTCTGCAGCAAATCATTCGCGAAGGCCCCAACGACGGCGACTTCAACGGCGCTTTGGAGAGCGCGAGGTGGAAGGTCATCGACGAAGGCGTCAAGGCTGCCGAGGATGGAATGGTGCGTTTCATGCTATTAGACAAGAGAAATGAAGGCTGGCTGACCTTTGAGATGCTTGCGATTTTGGAATATAGTCTCCCTTGAGAATCTACGTCTGGCTCGTCCTCCTCGACGCCCCAATCATGTCCACGGACGAATACCTCGCCCTCATCCACCGCGGCGCCTCGCCAGCCTACGCAAAGATTCGAAACGACACGTTCCGCACCTTGACTACCGACCCTCTCTTCCGACGCCGCGTTAGCGAAGCGAGCCTGATTAGACTGTTGAATGCCATTGCCTGGCGGCTTCACGATTCAAAGGAGGACGAGCGCCAGAGCCGTCCGGGCAGCAGCCATTCGTCTCTACCTGCACGGGAGACTGTTGGGGGCAGTCTCTCTGGCCAATCCCAAGCCAGTATGTCTTGACACAGACGAGTGAAATGCATATGCATTCACACATACATACGTATATATATATACCTGTGCTAACACCTTGTTTTCACGTGTAGGGTCCGGCGCAGTTCTCGAGCCAGGCGTCTATGTGCAGGGCATGAATGTCTTGGCCGCCCCTTTCCTCTACGCTGCGCGAAGCGAAGCCGAAGCCTTCGTCGCCTTCCACTCTCTGCTAACCCGCGAGTGTCCTGGCTACATACGAGGCGCCATGGACGGCGTGCACCGTGGGCTCGCTCTGGTGGATAAGGTGCTATCCATTGTCGATCCCAAGCTCAGCATGTATCTGACGACAAAGGGGCTCTCTGCTGAGATCTACGCCTTTCCCTCTGTACTTACGCTGTGTGCGTGCACGCCGCCCCTGCCCGAGGTGCTGCGTCTATGGGACTTTCTTTTTGCATACGGGCCGCATCTCAACATTGTCTGCATCGTAGCGCAGCTTACCATTATGCGATCGCAAATTCTTCAATCTCAGAGGTATATCTCCTTTTCATCTTCAAATCAAGTTGTCGAATATAACTTCTGACTTTCTTCCTTGTTAGTCCGAATAAGCTGCTACGATCCTTCCCACAACTGAATGCCGATCTCGTCAAGAGCGTCACCATCAGCATCATTAAGAAGATACCAGACGACATCTACGAAGAAATCGCCACGCACGCCATGTAAAACGCCCATGAAAAAAAAGAGGGCAATCTCGCTCTTTTTCTCCCTCCCAAAGAAAAATGGATAGCATTCACAAGCAGGCCCTGTAAACGGCCAGCCACGTGCTTGATGCGTTTTCCGGTAAATGACGACGCCGTCTGGATTAAAAAAGTTAGCATCACCGGCTCTCCGGCCCCGGCATCAGCCTTGGCGTCTGCTTGGAAGGAGAAGCACCTGGGTGGGCCCTTTTCCCCTTTCTTCACGTGCATGCATGGGTCTGGATTTGTTATTGGTAGATTTTAAAGGCCAATCCAGCGTTCCAGCTACGGAGTATGAAAGAAGGGAAATCAACGAAACGGACATGCAGTTCAAGAGATGGATGAAAGAAACAACGAAGCCGGTGTTATTACCGAATAGCAGCCAACAGACAGCACAGGTGGGGGGTTTCAGCTACCTTGATAGGTAGACAGGGAATTCGCTGCAGGGACCACGGCGCCAAGGAAAGCATTACGACTCAGATGATGAAGCCGACCATACAAATGAAATCTAATGAAGACATGCGTTAGAAAAGGGGCCGCGAGTAAGGAGGCTGCAGTACACGGCTTTGGCAGCCCCTTGGAAAATGACATAGCATTGCACTGAATCTTTGAACGAAAGCAGTATGTCTGTGTCAATTGATTACAGTATATATGTACTATTCTAAAAAACCAAGTGCCATGTAAAAATATAAATCTTCAAAGGCCGAAAATGCCATGGGCCATGCGTCAACAGGGTCATCCAAAAGTGCCCACCTGAGGAAAACGAACAATACAAAAAATGCTTCTGGCAATTACAAAAAAAATAAAACGCCACTTGTATCCATGCAAGAAGAAAAAAAAGGGAGGGGGTCGAAAGTGTATAGACAAGAATTGAAAACCAAACCTGGTGGTCCGGACAGGGGAGGCACTGAGCCGCTTGTACATGTACGGTCGACTTTTTGAAATCCAAAACTCGCATATGGCTTGACATGTCAGAAAATGTATCAGTACTTTTGAAAGCCATGATTCTTTCGCAAAAAAAGAAGAAAGAGAAATGTAATCTGTTTTCTTTTTTTTTTTGTTGTCTCGTGTCGCTCATAACAAATGCCGGAGAAAGCGGCTAGCCGTCTAATAGGCGGGACAGCCGCTCTCGGCCCGGTGGAAAGCATTGGAGAAAAACTCCTGCATGGCGGTGTAGTGGAAGATGATGCCGCCCAAGACAGCCGCGTGCCACAGGTTGTGGCTGCCGCCGATGTAGTCGAAGCAGCCGGGGAACCACCGCTCGGGGACTTTGCTAGCGTAGACGACGGCGCCGCTGAAGTAGACGAGCAGGGACTTTGTGATGGGGGAGTAGAAGTTGTAGATGAACTCGGGCCCGTGGGAGAAGCTGAGCTGCAGGATAGGCATGAATCCCGTCAGGGCGAGGCCGACGAAGAAGCCGACTCGGAGCCAAGACATGTCGGCGCCGTTGAACTTGGGGTGCCACGGCAGGATGACGCCTGCGATGCCGAGCAGTGCGGTTATCAACATGTACGTCCACCGGCTGATCGGGTCGCAGTAAAAGGCCGTGTACTCGGTCGTCATGATGGAGGCGGCGATGAGCAGCGAGATGCCGGTGTAGTCAACGCAGGCAAACATGGAAACGGCCTTGACGTCGGCGACGGCGCTCATGGTGTGCCAGATGGTGGAGCACACCAGCGTCAGGCAGGCCATCATGAAGAAGATGGCAGCAACGACAACGTCCGTCTTGGTGCTGAGATTGAAGTTGGCGCTGCTGGGGTAAAAGTAAAAGGCTACGGCTAGCACCAGGATCAGGCCCAGGGCATGAGACCAGATGTTGATGAACTCGTTGGACATGTTGAAGATGGACTGGACACACTCGATTTTGGTCTCGCGGAAGCGGTATCCTCTCTTGATGTGTGGGTTGTTTCTCCAGGGCGAGGGCAGCTCGTCGTACAGAAGCAGTCCTCGATCACGCGCCAGCAGAACGGCCTGCTGGATGTGCTCCTCCAGGGACAGAGCAGCTCGCACGGCACGCTCGATACCCTCGTCGACGACAATCTTTGCCCGCTCGATGCTCTCGTTTGCAACCCTGCGGCCCTCGTCCATAAATGCCTCGGCTGCAGTGGCAGCATTGGCGAAGCCCTGCTCGCGCAGCTTGTAGGCGCGGTTTTCGAACTCGGACATCATGCCTTCCAGCAACTCGATTCCAAGGACGGCCTTGTCGTGCAGCGACTCGGTGGCCTCCAGCGTCTCCTGGTACCGGGTCTCGAGGGTTTCAACCATGATGTGGAGCCTGCGTCGACCGGCGCCGATGACCTCCTCGGACGCCTGCGAGCATCTGGTGCGGACGGCCTGAAGAGTCGAAAATGCGCGCGAAATGCTCGAGTCCTTGCTGAGATCGACATAGTTCTCGACAAACTCCAGACGGCGCTCCAACTCGGTCAGGAACAGGTCGACCTTGAGCAGCAGGTTCTCCTCGCCCTCCATGATGTGGCCGACGATAGACTTCCGCCGAGGGATAAAGAATGAGTGCCGCCGTCGTTTTGCTTGCTGAGCGTCGCGGCGCGGGTCGGAGCCACTGGCATCGGCAGTAGAAGCGGCGTCCTTGTCGTGACTGAAGCCACACGCCGACGTGAGAGCAGTTGTGACGCCCGCCATTTTGATCGAAGGAAGCAGGAGGATTTAGGGGAAGTCAGGCGTTATCATAGCAGTTGGAGATTCCAGTGACAAGATATGTCTTGGATTTGCTGGAGCGCCAGACGGGCTGAGTAGAGGCACGAGCCTTGAAGAGTGCGGATGATTGGCCCAAAGCAACCAGGAGGCGAGATCTGAGCGTCGACGAGTTAAAAAAAGAAGAGGCTACCAAAAAACGAGGAAAAAAAAAAGAACGAGATCTCGCTGCAAGCCGCCCAAAGACGATTTGCTGATCGGAAGAAGCGGGACGATGCGGTTAATGGGGATTGTAGCACTGATTGGCTCCGAATCCTTAATGTGCCCCAAAAGTTGGTTGATGGCTCGGTTCGTTCTTGATGCGGGTCGGGAGCTTAATTGGGGGATTGAGAGCCGCCAGAGGGAACGCGATTGGCTGCGGAGGCCAGGGGAATATGCAGAAGAGGGGATAAAAGAGCGGCACTACTCGCTGCAGCTCAACAATTGTCGTGTTGTGGTGTTGAGGATGGAGGATGGAGGCTGGGAGAGGAGCGGAGGTGGGATTTGAGGTGGGATTGATGTAAGAAAGAGGCAGCTGGAGATGGCAGAAGAATGAAAAAGTACGTCTACAGGCACCAGACAAGTATGGGGTACCTCAGCACAATTGAATGTACCTCTTCGTATGACTAAAATCTGGGGGCGGGAGGCAAGGAGGCTGGTAACTCGGGTGTACTTGTACTTTTTGCCTTAGCACGCAGCACAGCCTTTGGGGTAAGACGAATCAGATTGAGACGGCGAGAAAAACTTTAGTGACGGACAACCCGAACCCTATACAGGCTATACGAATACTGGCCAAGAATGTGCGGACAAGCCACGCTCCAGTTTTGAGACAAACGGCCCTGGATGGATTCCGTGTTTATTCCGCAGATCGGAGTATTTTTGCCATGGGTCGGTTTTTTGTTTGTACGAGTAATATAGCCAGTGAGACTGGTAGGACAGCGACAGGCCCTCCCATGGCCCTGCTGCGGGCTCCAACTCCAGTATAGCCCGCAGTGTATCCGTCAGGTGTTCTGGGGGAGGATTTCTGGGGGTGTTCACATGCCATGGAAGTAGTATTGACACTTCCATACTTACCTAGGTAGGCAATAATACCTCCAGTTTGTTAGTACGGTTAAAAGTTCCATGGCAAAAATACCTAATAGGTAGAAGAAAATGAGATCAGCAGCCCAGCCATCATCATCTGCACTCGCATTCGTACCAGTACTCTAAACAACTGGCAACTGAATCGTCTTACCAGGGATCAATATATCGTGGCACCAGACCTTTCAGGGTCATAATCCGTCACATGGAAGCCCAGCTGAGCGCCAAATCGGCCCTGACAGCTGCAAGTACAAGGACCAGGAGAGACAAGCGCCAATTGATTCGACAACGGCACAGTCTTTCCCTCCACACTCTCCTTTACAAACACCACTGCTAATTTCCCGCCTTTCCGGCACCCGAGACGCGTGCATGACCTTGATGGTCAATTCGTGTGCATCTTCGTACTCATGGCGGCTTTGCACTGGCGGCACTCGGGATGCTGTGGCCCGTGCAATTACGTTTCCATGAAGGTTATACTGTAATCCGTCAGGTACCCAGGTTATGTCTGTTATTGACATGTAGAGTTGTACTTTGTACTTGTACATTAGCAGGTACGGCGATACCTAGACAGGCACCCAAATGCAGTATTACAGCGCCTGCACTCGCTGTAACAGCGGTACCCCCTTCGCAGCCTTGCGCTAAAAAGGCAACCTAATGGAACCTAACAAGCAAAACACCAGCCACTACTACCCAATTCCTCTCAGCCTTGCTATTTTGCAGCTTGTCATTCCTTCATCACCATCAACCATCAACCATCAACCATCCCCATCCCCATCCATCCTTTGACGCGGCGCCACATACCATCAATCAATCAATCAATCAAACAATTAAATAACCAGCCACACTTTCTTCTCTCCCCGCATCTCTCCTCAACCATCAACTTTAATCCAATCATCAAACCAAATCAAACAATGGCCGTCGAAAAAATCACAGAACCCTCCCTCGCCGCCGTCCTCCAAATCTCAGACCAGGCCCGCGACCAGGCCCACGCCCTGCTCCAGCTCGCCGACCAGGCCAGCGACGGCCGCGCCACCGCCGACATCCAGGCCGAGATCGCCAAGCAGCAGAAGCAGCTCTTCACAAACATCTCCCACCTGCGCGGCCTCCACCGCAACGCCTGCCTGTCCGCCCGCGACACAAAGGCCCAGACCGCCGAGGCGCGCCAGGAGGTTGACCGTCTACATTTGCAGCTGCAGAATCTCTACTACGAGCAGCGCCATCTTCAGGGCGAGATTACCGGTTGCGAGTCATATGAGTAAGTTTTTTTTCTGTTTTGGGAGACGTACGTGCCTTGTTTTTTACGTGTCGATGGCTGACTCTTTCATGTGTTTTTCTCATAGTCACAAATACCAGCAGCTACCTCTCATCCCCGTCGAAGAATTCCTCGCTCTACGCCCCGAATATGTAGACTCCAACGACGACGAACGCATGTTTGCGCGCATCGAGCACGAGCGCGAGGAGCGCGAGATTCTGGAGCAGCGCCGCCAGGAGCTTCTCAAGCGCAAGCAGAAGCTGATTGCCGAGAACAAGCGGAGAAAGGATGACCTGGCCAATCTAGACCAAGATCTCGAAAAGTTCATCGATGTATGTTTATACACATCGGTCATTCCCCGATGCTGTTGTGCTGTGCTAATTCTTTGTTTAAGGCGGCGAAACCGATTCTCGAATTGTTCGAAAAGGCACCCTGAGAGGCATCATTGTTTCTTTGTTTTTTTCTACTCTCTCACATCACGCCTGCACCACGAATGTGCAGCCGTAAAACATGCTCGACCGCGTGTATATCAACACGCGCGTCGCACTTAATGACGGCCATCAGCAGCCACTTATGAGACCATGAAACCATGCGGATTCTAGTCCGCGCTCCAGATGGGGGCTTTTTCATATCGGATTCTGGCTAGGATAATCGGGTTTTCAATACAAGGGCTACAATATCAAAGTCTCAGTTGGATGGGTTCCTGAGCGCTACCGTGTTGATAGCTGAGCTCTTATGACCTCCAATGGCCGAGTCCGTTATGCTACTAGACTGCAAACACTTGGGACTGAAGGGCTGCGCTACAGTCTGTAAAAGACAACAAAAGTCGGAATATAGGTAGCATTCTTCATACGCAGTTCAATCTTACTCATCACGGGACAAGTACACATCCTAAGCTAATACCAAATACTATTCTGAAGAAAACCCTTTGCTATCGTGTAAACTACCCTGAGCCTAATGTACAAACTTACAGCGCATCTGCCGCGAGCCGAATAAAAAATACTAAATAACGCAAAGTCTCCAGCGCGGAGAACGGGCCTGTAGCAATTTGCTTGCCCCTGAGAAGCTTTGAGTAACAAAGGCCAAAAACAAGAAAGCAACTCCGTCGTCTAGACGTTGCCGGGACATATATCTGTAGTCGTTTGTCTTCCCCTTTTCTCTACCTAGTTGGATAGGTAGGACTAGTAGTTGAGCTCGCCACCTCCGCTTCCGTTTCCAGACACCTGATCCAGGTCTTCGTAGCTCTTCAAGCTACGGCCCTGCACGGCCTCCCGAGGACCAGCAGCCGCACCACCGGCTCCGTCTCCCCATCGGGATCCGCCGTTGCGATTTCGACCGCCTCCGCCATCCCAGCGATTGCCTCCGCGGCGTTCGTAGGGTCCGGAACGGTATCCACCTCGTCCACCCGACATTCCGCCACGACGGATGGGACCGCCTGAACGGTCGTCACCCATGGCGTTCCAGCCATTAGCTTGCATGCCGGCAAACAACGAGGGGAAGTTTCCAGGGCTCATGGGGAACCCCGGCATGCCCATGACGCCATTGATGGCAAAGTTTTGCAGGTTGAAGCCGCGAGGGGTTCCTGAAGCCGACTGGCCGTTGGTAGGCGGGAAGTGGCCGTTTGAATTCGCGTCGGTTCGCGAGGGGGCAATATGTGCTGGGTCAGACACGTAGGCATTGATGAGCTCAAACTAAAGTTTTTATGTTAGTCAAGTGAAAGGGAGGGGGGGGGGGGGGAGAGGTGTGTTTCAACGTACTTCCTGCTTCAAGCCATCCAGCCATTCGGTATGTCTCTTCTCCACATGCTTCTTCCAAAAGTGGTCTTCCTTGAAGAGCTTAGTGCAGTCTGGGACTTTGCACCTCCATTTATGCTCGTCCTCTTGCTTGACATACTTGGTCAACTCCTCGTCAAGAGCCTCCTCAACGGGCTTGCCGCCAAGTTTGCGAATGTCAATGGTGTTCGGCTCCAGAATTTGCATTAGCTTGTCCTCAAAGGTCTTGACCCAGTTGTAGGCACGAAGTAGCTGTTGCTCGGTTTTAGAAGACGTGTTACGGAACTTCTTGTCTCCCTCAGCAAGCTCTCCATCGACATCATTGTCCGCATCATTGCGCTTCTTATCGGGAAATGGCTCTCCATTTGCGCTAGCCCTGGCAACAGCCCTGGCAGATGACGACAGGGTGCTTTGCGGGCGACGAAGATGGCCTCCTGCACACTTGCGTGTAAGCTCATGCACAGAGTCGCTCTCAAATACGCAAAAGAAGCAAAAGTGGAAGACTCTGCGCAGATACTCGATCAACAGGTCAAGTTGCTTCTTCTTCACAAGCATGTCTTCATCATCAACTTCTTCATCTTCCACAGCCCCCTCCTCTTCTTCCTCTTCTTCGGGAATACCTTCCTCATCCTCGTCCATTGCCTCGTCCATGCCAGGTTCCCGGGTCTTGATCTTCTTCGTTGGTGCAGGGGGAATGGCAGGCTGCAGACGACCAGCGTTTTTGAGATCCTCGACCTTTTCTTCAACTTTGAGCAGGGCCTGGAAGTCAGAGCCAAACTCTTCCTCATACTTGTTGACCAGTCGTTGAACCAGGCGAAGGTCCTTTTCGATTCTCTCGGGTGCAGAGAATAAGTCCCAGAGAGCCTTCTTCCGTGGGTGGAGTGGTGGGTTATGAACTCCAACGTGGCAAACAAAGTCACCTCGGGCCTCATCTTTGACAGTTTTGCCATTGACAGCCTCGAGGGCCTTTTCCGCAGCGGAAACAAGAGGGGGCGGCGATTTTATCGGCTCGTCTCCATCTTCGTCCTTGGGGTCTGCTCGATCCATTGGCGGTGCGCTTTCTGAAGAAGGGTGAAGCATCACCCAGCCTATACGGTGATATCTCTTGCTGGGATTTGGATCGGAAAGGGACAACCATTTGAAGCCGCCCTCTTCCTCTCCTAGATTTTCCTTGCAAAAGGCCTCTAGGTTTTGGCGACTAACATGAGGAGCAATGGTCTTGATGAGTAGAGTGGGCTGGAATTGGTTCTCGTCGCGAATGTCGGCTCCATTGACGGGGACCAAATCGCCAACTCCCAAGATTTCGTTGGCGGCGGTCGCCTCACCCTCTTCCTTTTCGACTATGCCACCAGCACCGTTGCTCTCGCTTTTGGGAATTCCTTCGAGAGAGAACTCGTCAAAGCTGCCGGATTCCAAATCTTGCTCCCACTGGCTGTAGGCTGCTCGTCGAAAGTCCTGGAGCTTCGCCTTGAACTCGTCTCTGATCTCGGGAACATAACGTTCTTTGAACCACTGCTCCTTCTTGTGCTCCGAAACAAAGGCCCTGGCCATCTTGGCTTGAAGCTCTTCCTTATAAGCATCGTATGCCAGTTGGATCTTTGCCTTTTCTTTTTCCCTATCCTCTTGAGACTCTCGGGCGCCTCTGGCTCTTTCAGGCTCTCGTCTCCGCCCAGTTCGGGCACGCTCTTTATCATCCTTGATCTTTTCGTTCATTCTCCACCATTCACCGAAATAGGAGAAGCCAACTTGATAAGGAAGCTTGGCTGGATCTGCCAGAGGGTTGACGGCAACACTGGATGATCCACTGTCTTGTCCGGGTACGTAGCGATCGATATTTGCCGGTGGTGAGGTTATGCGACGCCGGTCATCCCTGTCGCGGTCATCTCGACCATCTCGACCATCACGGCGAGGTCGTGGCTCGTATCGGTCAACAGGAGGCGGGGAACGAGAACGTCGGCGTTCTCGGCGTTCGTTGCCTGGGAGCAGCAATAGTCAGCAAGAGATCAAATCATCAAAGGGATCGCTCGGCAAGACGAACCAGGAGACCTCGCACGATAGAATCCATCGTTTCTATCCTCCCTCGTTCTGGAGTCATCACGGCTCCATGTTCTCTCATTTGGCGATCGAGCCGCGCCATCCCGATAGGATGAGTAGGAATCCATTTTCTCGACCGCAGCGCAAACAACGGGGTGCTGCAATGGGGAATTGTATAAAATTGATCGTCAATCAGATACTGTGGGACATTAGAGGCAATGATGGTCCCTATGGAGATATCAATTGCGAGAGCGCCCTACTGCGTGGCGGCAAAACGGCTGTTAGAGAAGACATTCTGAACCAAGATCGGACAAGTAGTAGACAAGAAAAAGAGAAGGTAGAACGGAAAAAAAGAGAAAGAGAGAAAAGACGTGGATAGCAAAAGAGCTGATGCCAAATGATGCCAAATGATGGGACAAGTAGAGGCTCGACACGTAGGCAGGAGGACGAGAGGAGAGGAGAGGACAGAAGAGGACAAGAAAGAGGCAGAGAATTGCCGGCCGATTGCCGAAAGCGTGATCAAGGGGCGGCAAGAGGGAGGACAATGCAGGAGAGGAGAAGAAAAGGAACAGAGAGGAGAATGAGAATGAGAATTGAGACGGGGCAAGAAAGGGACGACGAACTGAATTGAGAAGCGCGGCGCTGGCTGGCGATTGCGCGACCGTGTTGATGCGCCTTTAGCAGCGAGATGTAGAGGTTCAAGTTGCAAGAGGCTCAAGGCCATGGGGAGAGAGGTGGAGCCGAAGATGGCCGCGACACGCGCACTTGTGGGGGAGCAGGATGGGATTTGGGGGGAGGGAGAGGGAGACGCACTGTGCAGCAGCGCATAGTCTCGGTCCCTGGGCTTATCAGGCTAGGGGGCATGTTCCACCAGATGGTGCTAAAGACTAGTAAGCACCACCTCGTGTTAGGCATTTGCACAGTTTCCATACACTCTATCCAACACCGTGTCTCTCAACGTGTTGGCCACCTCCCTTATCTAATCACGACCTGCTGCTCCACCACAGCTGGAGAGTGGCGATCTCCGACCCCCGATTATGCCTGTGTCCATGTACATGTGCCCAACTTCCCCCAGGTTCTCGGCTTCAGAGGCGTCATCTTGCTGACTAGCCGCATTCTCCAAGCCGTCGATTATATTATATCTGACTCGCCCTTCTCCTTGTCTCGCCGTTTTGAATCGACAATCGCTCGCGTGTCCATAGGATGCCGCAATTGAACCCACTCTATCCTGCATTGGGAATTAGTTGTCAAGCGGGCTGATAACAGCCACTCGTCGAGATGGAGATGGAGCGGTTGCAATACAACAGCGCGGTCGAAGGCTTCCGCGATGAGGAATACCCAATGCTGCAAGGCAAGCACCTCTTTCGTTTCTTTCTCGTGCCGTGATGTTACAGACTCTCCAAATCTAACATGTCGCATCTCTCCATATATAGATTCCGTATACCTGGATCATGCCGGGTCCACCCTCTGTTCAAAGTCACTAATGGATGCCTTTGCCAAAGACATGACTTCGGTCTTGTATGGCAATCCCCACTCCGGATCATCACCATCTCAACTCTCCTCATCACGGATTGACCAAGTGCGAGTCCGTCTGCTGGACTTCTTCAAAGCCGACCCTGATCAATATGACTTGGTCTTTGTGGCAAATGCAACTGCTGGCGTGAAGCTGGTGGTTGAGGGCATGAGGTCTTTGCCTGGAGGCTATGTCTTTGCCTATCATCAAGCTTGCCACACGAGCGTGATAGGGGCAAGAGAAGAAGCACACCAGAGCGTCTGCCTCGATAACACGGGAGTTCGGTCTTTGTTAGACGGGGAGGATCCGTTCAAGCCAACCACTTCTGGCACCCCCGCAAGATTATTTGCCTACTCGGCTCAGTCTCATATGGACGGGAGGCGATATCCATTATCGTGGGCTAAGGAGTTGAAGAAGATGGAAGCCCAATCATCGTCTCGGACGTTGACGCTCCTGGATGCGGCTTCACTCAGTGCCACCTCACAGCTCGACCTTTCAGACCCTCAATTCGCTGCTGACTTTGTTGTGTCAAGCTTATACAAGATATTTGGATTTCCTGACTTGGGTGTTCTAATTGTTCGTCGCTCTGCTGAATTTGTATTTGACCAGCGAAGGTATTTTGGTGGCGGCACGGTAGACGTGGTGCTCTGCGGCGACGAACAGTGGCATGCTCCCAAGTCTTATTCTCTTCACGAACGCCTGGAAGACGGCACGCTCCCCTTTCATAATATCATTGCTGCTGACATAGCAATATCGATTCACCAGCGGCTTTTCGGCTCCATGGATCAGATCAGCGCTCACACGGCATATCTCAGTCGCGAGCTATGTCGTGGCCTGCACAGTTTACGACACGCAAACGGGATCCCTGTTTGTCACATTTATTCCGAGACACCAGATGATGCGGCACCTATCGAAACTGGCCCAGTCGTTTCCTTCAACATCAGAGACAGTCGAGGTTTATGGATTGGCCTTGCTGAATTTGAAAAGTTGGCTATCTTGAGAAAGATGCATGTCAGAGTAGGGGGCGTGTGCAGCCCTGCTGGCCTTGCATCTGCTCTCGACTTACAGCCCTGGGAAATGAAACGAAATCTCTCCGCCGGAATTCGATGTGGCGAGGATAGTGGGCGATTCACCAACAAACCCACGGGGATTATACGTGCTAGTCTGGGCGCAATGAACACCAAGTCGGATGTCTCTCGTTTCCTTGCTTTCGTACAAGAGTTTTTTGTCGAAGAGGAAGTGCGAGCACTGACCCAATTCAGCCCTACGAGAGCTGTTGATGCTACGACAAACATTCAAGTCAAGACTATCACGGTATATCCAATTAAGAGCTGCAGTGGCTACACTATCCCATCAGGGGTTCGGTGGGAGGTACGGCCAGAGGGGCTTGCCTGGGACCGTGAATGGTGTTTGGTCCACCGAGGATCAGGCCAAGCTCTCAGCCAGAAACGCTATCCGCGAATGGCCTTATTACAACCCTTGCTTCTGTTCGGCGACAATGTTCTACGTGTGAAATACCGCGGGAGCACGCCAAAGGGGCAGCCTACACAGGTGGACATACCACTATCCAGCGATCCCTCTCATTTCGACATTGACTTCCGACAAACAAGCTCCAGGGTTTGTGGAGAAAATATTTCCGCGCAGTCATATCGATCTAAAGACATCAATGACTTCTTCACCAATTCACTCGGAGTCCCATGCATGCTGGCGCGGTTTCCAGCAGGAGGCCGTGGGGCTAGCAGCAGACAGTCAAAGGCTAGGATACAGAAGCATCAGCGAACAGAAAAGACTCACAGCGGACAGCCTTCCCCATTCCCCGGTGTTCCATCTCCCCCCGACTCGGATTCTGAACAGCAAAGCCAACCAGGGAAGATCCTCCTTTCCAATGAGAGCCCCATTCTCATGATATCTACTTCTAGTGTGGAGATGCTCAACCAAACCATCATGGAGACTGGAGAGTCTCCTGTGGATGAATCAGTGTTTCGAGCGAATATCGTCGTTGAGGCGTCTCCGGGGCAGCGTAGTCGCCCGGCTTACTCAGAAGATATGTGGAGGAGAATTAGCATTGGAAACTACAGCTTCAAACTACTAGGAGCCTGCCAGAGATGCCAAATGGTATGCGTTGATCAAACGACTGGGGAGAGAAGGCAAGAACCATTTGTCACCCTGGCAAAAACAAGGCGGCTAAACGGCAAAGTCTATTTCGGTACACACATGCAGCATGAGCAGCTTAGGCAAAGCGAGGAATTGGATGGTTTGTGGCCCACAATACAGGTTGGCGATGCGGTCGTCGTGCAGGAGGAGGAGGTAGAAGAGGAGGACGGAGAGAAGACTCCAGGCGCTGGTAGCCCGGATGCGATATTTTGAGAAATACAAGAATAGAACGACTCTAACAGAGTACTCCGTACATGGATATGAATATGCTATCGGAACTATTGTCTGAGCCCCCCAGCCATTGAATTCCTAGTTATGGCGCGTGCATGGAAACGCAGGTGGACTCTTCATATCACGGATGCCCACGGGTTGTTGGCCCATCTTCCTGTCTCCTCCCTTGGTGACCTCTTGTCTCAAAAATCCTAGTGCGTGCTTTAACATTCCCACCAGGGGCTACGGAATATTCCATTCCTGGCTTTATCCCTATGGCTTATGTAAAATGTCTTACTTGAGCTTCAGCCTCAGCCCGAAAGCATCGTGTTCCTACGAATTATCACCCGTGGCTGGGAACCGATGGCAGTGCTGCATCCGTTGCTCATCACAGCCCCAAGCAGAAAGTAGCACTGTGATTAACTTACCGACTAAAACTTATGCTCAGATGTTTACAGGATCCGAAGTAAAGGGCCGAATCGAATCTATTGCCCATCGGAGTTGAGTTTTTCTATTTCGGTCGTGTGGTAGTTGCTTTACGGATCATGTGGGTAGTCCGAACCTTCTTAAGAGCCACGCATCGGCATGATCCCAACCTTTTTGTTTTCTCCTAACATTCCTTGAATTACGATTCAAATGGTTCCATCCATCGAAAGCTACGATGCGGCCACGACTCAGCGGCGATTCAGTGGAAAGCAAGTTTGGGTGTTATCAATATGGATGATACAGTGTCTTAGTTTTGCCCTGGTGCGGGACCAGAACCTACTTTGAAGGCTTTATTCATATAAAAGCCATGTTCAACCGTTGAATTTCCCCCTCGGCATTCTTGTCTTGATCATTACATGCTTGCTTCCAAACCACTAACAATGTTCAAGCTCCTTTGCGTCGTTTTGGCCGTTGCCGCCAGAGTTGCGGTGGCCAATCCAGCTACCCTCAGCGCAAGATGTGACGATCCGAAAGCACATCTATCACCTCTAACTGAACCAGTGCCGACTGTCCCGACTGCTGACCTGCCTATCGATCTACCGCCTATCGAACTAGAGCCCATCAGCCCAGAGGACATAGAGGAGGCCGGGCAACCTGATCCTCCATCATGGCTAACCGAACCCAGTCCTGTGCCGGTGGATTCTGAATCACCCGTGTTGGATTTTTCTCCAACATCACCTCAGGATCCTAAGCCTAAGTTGCCCGGGCTAAACGTGCCCACTAATGATGGTGATGATGGACACAGCTCTAGGAAGGGATATTCCGAATCTTTCAGACGGAAAAACGTTGTCTATTTCACCGACTGGTATGTTATCTCACAGACGCACTTTGAGGGGTCCATGGCAGATAAATGCTAATAATACTAGGAGCATATACGGCGCTGGCTTTCTGCCACAAAATCTTCCAGCAGACGATATTACGCACTTGTTGTACGCGTTTGCGGGAATCGCAGCAGATGGATCTGTGTAAGTTATTAAACTAAAAAAAAATGCCATCTAGAAAGTTAAATACTAACAAGATTCAAAGCGTCGTATATGACCCATGGGCTGATGAACAGAAGCTTTTAGGCAAGCGCAATACCCAGGGTGAGAGCGTTCATGGCGCAGTCGAGCAAGTCTTCCTGCTGAAGAACAAGTATCGTCATATGAAGACTCTGCTGTCTATCGGTGGCTGGACGGCGTCGCAAGAAGGAAAGTTTGGGCCAGCCATCAGTTCCCCTGAGGGTCGACGTCGCTTTGCCGAGACTGCTGTCAGGTTGCTCGCTGACTGGGGGTTTGATGGCCTTGACGTCGACTACGAATACCCTGCGAATCCACAAGACGCGCAGAACTTTGTCTTGCTACTCCAGGAGTGCCGACGAGCCTTGGACGAATACGCTGGCCGTAACGGCCAGAATTATCACTACCTTCTGACCGTGGCGACACCTGCCGGACCAGAGCATTACAGCCTCCTGGATATGAGAGCCATGGATCAGTACGTCGATGCTTGGCACCTGATGGCTTATGACTACGCCGGCAGCTGGGATACTGTATCTGGGCAACAGGCCAACCTCTACCCCGACTTGGAAAATCCCGACAGCACCAAGTTCAACACCGACCAAGCAGTGGGAGACTACATCGCCCGGGGCATTGACCCTAGGAAGATTGTCCTCGGCCTTCCCCTCTATGGCCGCTCGTTTACAAACACTGATGGTCTTGGTCGACCTTATAGCGGGATTGGACAGGGGTCTATTGAGCCGGGAGTTTGGCTCTATCGCGACTTGCCTCGGCCTGGTGCAACGGTCTATGTCAATAGTTACACCGTCTCTGCATACACTTACGACCCTGCAACAAGGGAACTGGTTTCGTACGACAATGTAGAGACGGCTAGACTCAAGGCCGAGTATCTTCAAAGTAGAGGCCTTGGTGGTGCTGTCTTCTGGGAAGCCGCAGGCGACCGTACTGGAGAAGAGAGTCTGATTAGGACGCTGGCTAGAGAGATGGGACACCTGGATAATTCCATAAATATGGTGCACTATCCTGAGAGTCGGTATACCAACATCCAGAACCCGTCATGGTGATTCTTGGTTGGGCATGGGAGCGCTCCTACAGATTGTCTTGTATGGTTCTGCGAGGCGTTGGGTTGGTTTGATGTAAAGTAAACGACACGGTCATGAAGGTTTCATTGCATGGATGGCGTTTGGGGTTTAACTGGGTAGTTTTGTTTTGGTGGAATTTTAGGTAGTCTAGCTTGACTGTCTTGACTTTGATAGATGAAGAGGGAGACTCTTAATAAATCGCTGTTAATGTATGGCTGCTACAATCAATCCATCGCGCGCCAACAGATTCGGGCAAATATGACATGCTCCTGTCAACACTGTGCAATCTGTTGCATATTTATACTTATCTCCATTTCTTTATATAACAAAGATATGAGCACATGATCTGTTATCGACATTTGGTTGCGCGTAGGATAAGAAACCCCATTGATTGCGAATGTCACGAGGCTGTCGCTAATGCAGAGCCTTACTCCTACATATGCGACGCACCAATCAAGAACATTTATATATTACAGCTTAACGCGCTATATGCAGCCTGACTGCTGCCTGAATATTCCTTGTCAGTGATTTTAGACTGCGCCTCGGCAATGCCTTGACGACCGACAAGGCCGGCTTGATCTCTTGTCCTACAAAGCATATTCTCGGTACAACTGCAACTTTCAGCATCGATAAGTTTCTTCCACCTTTATCTCCATCAATATGGATCTCATTAGTGCCACTGGCAAGATTATATCTCTCATTGAAGCAGGAATCAAAATCTCAGACCAGCTGAAGGAAATTGCGAACTCAGAACACAAACTACCACCTGACCTGGTGAATCTTTATAACAATGCGCAGCAGCTCTTGGAGACTATAGAGGCGCTTCCATCATCGAGATCCGATTCGGTCAATGATGTAAAAGTTGGCTTACTGGCCGAGAAGGCGAAGAAAATCTCGAATAAGGTAATCGGCATGATGGATAAAATCAACCCAGATTGGCGGCAAAAGCGAGGGACTCCTATGACTCTGTGGAGATCATATCTAAAGCAAAACGAGCTGTGGCCAATTAAAGAGGACTTTGGAGACTTAAGAGAGCGTATGAAGCTTACTCTACTTGAGCTCGTCTGGTATGACCTCCAAGCTCACGCAATTATGAGTGCAGGATGTTAACAATTATTTTCAGTCAATCGAGCTCTGAATTCAAATCACTATACGACGATTTGCGCAGGAGAGTTAGCCTTGGAGATAAGCATATAGTTAGTATCCAAGGCTCAGTGCATGAATTCAGCCAGCGATTGAATATCATCCAAGACTCGATATACAACATTGGGAAACAGGTTGGATCGGCTTCCGTTGCTGGCGATGATTTCCACAGGCGAGCAGCTGAGCTCTTGATCTTGGAAATGAAGCTTTCGGTTATTTCGGCGAGATTAACAAAAGAATTCCGAGGAAAAGACTTTAAAGCCGACACAATAGTTGAATCAGACCCCGGAACTTTCGATTGGATGACTCAAGGCTCGGATTACTCTGAGGAATACCCCGATAATCTAAATGACGAAGAAAAACTGGCGTATGATGGCTGCGATCCAGACATGCTCAAAAATCGGATGGAAGCCTCAAATAACTTTCGATCTTTCCTACAAGAGCCATCTGGGGCATTTCTTATATTGGGCAAGCCTGGTTCTGGAAAGTCAACACTCATGAAGCGTCTCATGTGCAATCCGGTCGTCTTAGAAGATCTTGAACAGTGGGCCGCAAACAAGAACAAGAAGCTAATAAGAGCAATCTTCTTCTTCTCTATCACACAAGGCAGTGGCGCATTATCTTCCGAGGAGAGTCTGTACAGGTCACTTTTGTTCCAAATCCTTCACGAGTCCCCAGCTTTGGTGGATGAGATCTTAATGGGAGAGGCCAGTCTATCAGCATCTACTCCACTTCCATTCGAGGCTGTCCAGCGCGCCATTCGATGTCTCTTCTCAAACAAATCCAATGTGCTTGAGAAGTACTGCTTCTGCTTGTTTATTGATGGACTTGATGAGTACCGATCAAATATTTCGGATCCCAAACGTGGGAAGGCGCAAAATAATTACGAAATTAGTGAATTGACGCATCGTTTGATGGAGTGGTGCCAAGGCGAAGCCAGCAATACCAAGATAATTTTCTCGTCAAGGGTTATACCTGCGTTGCAAAGCCGATTTTCCGCAAAAGAAAAGATCTTGCTACACATTCACACCAAGAAGGATATACTTCAGTCTGCTTTTTCAAACTTCAAAAGATATCCTGAAGAAATCCCCGATTACATTGAACTCAGTAAAATAATATGTGAACATGCTCAAGGTGTATTTTTATGGGCTCACCTTGTGATTAAAGATATTCTTGAGGCCCAGACAGATGGAGTTGATGCTGGCACATTTCAGGACAGAATTAAAAACACACCAACTGACATCATCGACCTCTACGCCAAAATCCTGGATCGAGTAAAAGAGCAGGATAGAGAGGCATCTGCAGTGATTTTGCGCTTAGCAGCCTTTCAGCCAGCAGGATTTCGTCTGAACACGCTTGCTTGCGCTTGGCTGGATAAACTCAAAGACGTCGACTTCCCATGCAATGAACCGGCAAAGGTGTACGACAATGATGAGATTAATCAACATCGCAAAAGAGCCATTAAACGTCTGGCCGCCTTGACTCACGGCCTCTTGGAGACCCAAGATTCGAAGAAGGGGTATTATAATTTGGAACGGCCCTTCTTTGAGTCAGAGATTGTTTTCCTGCATCGTACAGCGCAAGATTTTGTAAGAACCCTCTTGATGAGGGATCATAAAGATGCAATCCACGGTATCCTTCCATGGCTTCACGGCAGCGACAATGTCAGCGCAGATGATTGGTCGCAGTGTTGGCGCACAAACCTCTTCGTTCGGGTATTCCATGCTGAAGTGAGGTTTGGCATGCTTCGCGAAGACGATAATGGCAAGCCTCACGAGGATCTATGGGATTTTGGTTTTTGGGCCGAAGACCCTGTGCATTTGCAACTCTCGAGCTTCAAGTCTCTGTCTGATTTCTCATCATTTTCGAACCGCTACAGGAGCTTTTACCTGCGCGACTTGCATATGCAAGTACCATGCTTCATTGGCCGAATAATTTTTCTAGGCTCATGTGACGTATCGAAAAGATTCAGCGTACAACAGGCACTTTTCGAGGGCCAAGATCCGATCGCTTGGATCCAAAACAGAAATCTCTCGAGCACAATGAGCTCTCGCCTGGCTCTTGCTTATATGGCACTACATAGCATTCCAAACTCTGTGGGCCTGGATGGGCTCAAATGGCTGCTACAGAACAAGATGGTTTGTGCCACTGACAGGTGTCTTGTATGGCACATGAATAACGTCTCTCACGCCGTGGATGAATTAAAAAAAGCTATTAGTGCTGACCAAGGACATGTTGACGAGGACTGTTCCTGTGGGTTTTTTGATGCCAGTTTCGTTCAGAAACATGGCACATATGTTCAAATATGGTTATTTTTCCTGTATAGGTTTGGAAACGTAATTGAGACTGCGGCAAGGCAGCGCACCATCAAAGAGCAAGGACACTGCCAGATGCTGGAACTGTGGCTGCGATACGGCGCAGCAACCGACGCTATCATACTCATTACATTCAAAGACATTGTTTCTAACAAAAACATCGAAGCCGAAGATATATTCTATGTTGAAATTGAGCAGCTTCTTCACGTAGGTGAAAAGCCTTTAAACTTTCAGAATCTGCAATGTCTACTTGCTAGACGACGTAACACATGGGCTTCTAGGGTCACAGATTGGGTACTGTGGGCAAGGAGCTATCACCCTCGTTTCCAGGAAAAGACAAAAGCGTCCACCGTTCCTATTCGGAACAGATATCGACATATGTCTACCCAAGAGCTTTGTCGGCGGGGTTGGGACGTATACGGGGTCATTTCTGAAGATGACGAGTTGCTTGGTGATATCTGTTGTCATATCGTGTAAATACTAGTAGACCTTGAGACTTGCAGAGAAAGAGCTTTATTAAAAAACGATCGTGGCCTACATATTTGTTGGTTAATACTGGCTAGGATGCTTAGAAATGACTAAACCAACTCGCTTTCTTACTGTAGACCATTGCCAGGTAAACACAGCCTACCCTAAATGAAACATTATAAGCTTACACATCACATCTGTCTCGCAACAGGATTTACAATCTTATTATCCTATCAAGTATCGGATTGAATCTTTCTCATCCCAATATTACATTCTCTGCCAGTTTTAACAACGCAATTGCATCAAACCGCCGGCAAAGATAGCCCTCTACTTAAACACTAACACTATCATCTAAATAATGTCTTTTTCTTCCCGATTTCCTATTAAGAAAAGCAAATCAAATTACAAAACGATTTCACATGCCATCCTGATTTTGTCCATCCCCCGGGGTATGAGAAGCATCAACGCCGTGAAAAGCATCTCCAAATGCCGAGTCCTCCATGTCCATCTGAAGATCCAGACCGTCGCCGAGTCCGCCTGCTGAGCCATCCAGCTCTGGGGCATCATAACCCGCGAGGGCATCGCCCGCTGTGTCTAAATCGCCTAGAGAGCTAAAGTCATTCTGATCAAAGGATACCGAGCCCCCTTCCGTAACCGCAGGGGTGGCTGCTGCTGAGGGCGGTTTAGCAGCCGCTGGTGTTGGTGGTTTGGCCTCATCGCTCTCCGCATCAGTCCCGATAGCGGGAGCAGGGGCAGCAGTGGTGGTGGCAGCATCAACAGGAGGTTGTGTTGTTGCCTGAGCCGCATCGTTAGCCGTTGCCTTGTCGTCATCTTTGGGAACCACCACCCAGTCTCCACTACCAGTGCCATGGTCAGGCGTAGTTCGTACCTCGTTCTCGGCAGCAGTATCAGTTCCGCCCATTTCTATGTCTCCCGAAGGCTGCGGGGGAGCAGCTGCAGGTGCCGCGGGTGCGGGTGCGGGTGCGGGTGCTGGTGAAGCGGCATTTGCAGCTTGTGCCGGAGTAGCTGTGCCAGACTGGCCGGCGGAGATTTGGGGTTGAGGCGTTGGGAAGTTGTTGACCGGCGTCGATGTGGAAGAGAATCCGGTGTGCATTTGGTCTAGTAGTCCGGATGCTGTATCACCCATGTCCATGTCAGTTTCACCCATCATTGCACCGCTTGCTTGGGAACCCGCCCGAGATGGCTGTCTAGAGAGTTCTGCAGTTGAGCCCGGTGCTGGCGGTTCAGGGGCGGGAGCTTGGTAACCGCCGTCTTGGATGCGCTTGAAGAGTGGTAGGCTAACAATCTTGCGGCCTGATGATGACTCTACCTGCTGCACGACTTCCTCGATGGAGTGTTTCGAAACATGGCGGCCCACGGGTTCATCGTCAGACTGGTGTTTTCCATGGGCAGATCCATGTCCGTCAATAATGTTTCTAAGCTCCTTCTCTTTAATTTTCAGCAGTGAGTGTTCTTTCAGCGCAGTCATCATCTTCTGGTGCTCTTCTTCCATTTTCTGGATCTCAGCTTGAGTGGAGCTGACATACTTGTCGACGCGCTTGCGGAATTCGTCTGCCTGACCAGGATCCAAACGTCCGATGTATGCTTTTTCTGGGGCCTGGCTGTATGCCTCGCCACCCTGGGCAGTGAAAATGCCCTCTGTTAGGGATGCCAGTTCACCCTTGAGACCCAGGCCGAGGTCTGCTGGTGTGATCTGACTTATTCTGTACGCAGAAGAGAGGATTTCCTCCATCCACTCGTGATTCTGCTGATAACGACTCATTGAGATCTCTCTCGGGGTCAGGTGGTCAAACATGTCTCCCCTCGAGATATCCTCGTCATCATCAAAGGCAGCATCAACAGGTGGCATTCCTGGTGGCAGCGCTGCTTGCTGGGCCTGAGCCTGGCCGTGGCGAGCCCTCTTAGGAGGCGGGCCAGGTGGCGGTGGCTGGGCAGGATATGCCATCTGCTGAGGCACACCGCGAGGGTTCATCTGTGGCCCCATCTGCTGGCGGGTGAGCTCTGGAAGTGAGGGCCAGTTGACTCGATCGGATAACATAAATTCCTTTCGACGAATCTGGCCCGCTCTCTGGAGAAAGTGGCGTTGCTGCATGATGGCATTCACCCTCTCGTCATAAGGGATCATGGCAACAGGGACGCGATCGTTCATCTCCGCAGGGCCGTAATGCACAATGAACAAGTTGGGGTCTGGCTGCGGGGGATTGGGGTGGCCGGCCACTGGAACAAGTCGGAATCGTCTTCGCGCGTGGAGAGTGAATTGCTCGCCGGGGATATAGCCTGCCTTGAGGTAGTATATCTCGAGCATCTGTCATGGTATGTTAGTCAGTGTTCTAGATACCCATCAATGGCTCAATGGTGAGACCAACCAATCCATTGCCCAGATCATGCTTGTAGATCTGCTCAGGCGGCGCCCAGACAAAGCCATCCGTCGCGAAATTGGTCCCCAGTCTTGAGAGAGGCTGCCATGTCAGCAGAATGGTGCCGTCGGCGGGCTTATCGAGATATGTCCAGAAGAAAGGCGCCTGGTCTCTCGCAATCTGGGGCGCATTCATAAGCCACTTGGCAACCTCGTTGAAGTCGAGCCGGGGGATCGCTGGATATCGATACGACGAGATGAGGTGGACATGTGGCATCTGTTGATTTTGTGTTAGCAGCGGTTCTTAGTGCATAGCAACACTTGTAATTCGGAATTCGAATCCGGGGAGACTCACAAGGTCCTGAGGGACGCTGTGACTGGGGTTGGGTTGCGCCATGGTGGCTGCAGTCGGCTCTGTCTCTATGGCGACAAGGGCTGTTGCGTCCAGCTATCTATACGCTCTCGCAGCTTCAGACATGCAAAATGCGCAGCCGCGATGGCAGAGGTTCGGCCGGGCTGATTGTCGCAGCTCCAATGCGCGCGGCACGTGAAGAGCGCCGATGGATCTGGCGATGAGGCGGAGAGGCAGATGCAATGCGAGGATGCAGAGCGTGAGATGCGGCTGTCGTTTGAGTCGCGCGAAACCCGAATTTGTCGCGACGAGGCTGCATCTGCGTTTGAGCCAATCACAGGCCGGCATTGATGACGTGAGTGGGTCAACATGTCAGGTACAAGCTCCAATATTCTAAGCCTTGCAATGAATGAATGCTCTACGACACTAAGCATGTTGTATATATGGATAGATAGGTGAATGATATATTGTACGTTAGATGGCATCTCTAGTTTTGTAAAGAGCCAGCTGTATCAACTTCTTTCTTGAATGAATAACAAACCCATTAGATACCTGAGATACGCTATTCGTCATCCCTTCAAGAAGTACTTTAGTGCTTGTAGTATGATTGGGTTAAAACACATGTCGCCTTTTCTGTGACTTGCAGTCAAACAATTGTAAGCCCATAGATCAATCTCTGAAAAACTCCCGAGTCCCCTCCAGCTCTTCACCAATTTAGAATCCGCTGTACCTGAAAGGGCGGGTCATGGAGCCGACCCGTTATCGTACCTGGAACATTTAAGCCAATCATTGACTGTTCCTACACACTGGAGATGAGTGAGGTCATTGACAAGAGAACGAAGCCATCACCATTCCGACGGACAGCTTTACTGTATGCTCTTACAAATGTAATAAAAATACTACTCTCGTCCGTAAACATGTTTGGACTTTCCATATCAAATATCACATGACAGTCCGCGAATCCTTTGTTTGTAGACATCATCCCATCACGTGACCACTTTTCCGTTGCCTCGCCGATTTTCTCAACCTCCCGCCGCCCAATATCAACAACTGGCTAACCAAACCGCCACGCTTCTTCGAATCTAACAAAATTCGCAATATCTCTTCCGAAATTCTCGATACGCGCCACAACCAGCCGCGCAACGGACTTGCAAATCGTGGGCACTTTGAGCCAGGGACGCTCAAAGGTACGTTTTTCACTTTGCACAGCTGCGAGACTCCCCCATACGTCCAAGAAAGCCAAGACGGGGTTTGTTCATCATGTCACATCCACCACCTCCAGGCACGAATCTCCCTGCGCGCCCTCCCGCCAGCACCTCGAGGCCGGGCTTCAGATCGAGCTTCAACCCGTCGAACCAGCCTGCCGCCCCGTCGTCGCCGTCGCCGTACGCAAACCCAAGCTCCGCGCGAGGAGCCGCCCCGAGCTACCCTGCCGCCCCTTCAACCACCCACTATGGCTCGTCGTACTCCGGCTATCCTGCCTCGGGCACCGTGAACCGCTCTGCTTCGGCATATTCGTATCCTCAGCAAGCCCAAGCAGGCACTCAGCAGCACCGCTACCCCCAGCAGCAGCAAGCGCAAAGCTACTCCCCTCATGCCTATTCGCAGCACCAGGGCCAGTCGTACCAAGCACAGCCGTACCAGTCCCAGCAGTACCAAGCAGCACCACGTATCCAGAACCCCTTCCCCACGCCAGGTGCTGCTGCTGCTGCTGCAGCCGTTGGCCCCGACTATGACCCGGACATGGCCGCCCAGATAGCCCAATGGCAGAGCGCCTACGGCCCCCGCGAAACTGACAAGGACGGCAAGCCTGTCCCGGCGCCCGAGTATGCGAAGCCAGAGGTCGTAGACCCGGCTGCGCAGACAGACAAAAAGAAGACAGTCGTCCGAGAGGGCGGCGGCAAGAAATGGACCGACGACACGCTGCTGGAATGGGACCCGTCTCACCTGCGCCTGTTTGTCGGAAACTTGGCGGGAGAAACCACGGACGAATCTCTCCTCAAGGCGTTTGCCCGGTGGAAATCGGTGCAAAAGGCCAGAGTCATCCGCGATAAGCGCACCACAAAGTCCAAGGGATACGGCTTCGTCAGCTTCAGCGACGCCGACGACTTCTTCCAGGCGGCCAAGGAGATGCACGGCAAGTACATCCAGAGCCACCCCGTTGTCGTCAAAAAGGCCAATACGGAGATTAAGGCGACCAACGTCAAGAATAAATCGCACGGCAACAAGAAGAAGGGCGGTAGTGGCAGTGGGAACCAGAGTGGTGGTCGAGGAAACGATTCAGGGGCTGGAGGTTATGAGCCGAATCTTGGTCCTAGATCGGGCGGTGGCGTTACCAAGGCTGGCCAGAAGACGAAGAATGGCTTGCGCCTTTTGGGTTAAAGAAGGGGAAGGATTCATTTCTTTAGTTTTACGTATAAGACAGTATTTTTATTGCTGTCAGGAATTTTTGTTTGCATCTGCGCATTGGCGTTGGGGAAAGGGGGGAACATATCAGGACATACCCGTTCATGGAAAATAAAAAATAGGATTCTTTGATGCATACATAGTGGGCGAGTAATAGGAGAGTTATAAATGCAACACAACGACCATTTAATACGGAATTGTTTGTCCAGTATACACCGTCATATTTCACATGGGGTATCTGTTGCTCTAGCCGTCTGTCTAAATGCTTTCCGTCATACAGGTTTGTCAAAAAACCATCTCTTTCTCTCCTCGCATCTTCTCTCCACTGATATCCTCTCTCCTTATGGTTAAAATAAAACAACATTTGGTGTTGGGTTTATATGGCCCCTTTAATAGAAACAAGTTTTATGTGCTCCGGTTGCATCCCCGTCCCGTCCCATATCTTCCCATTTGATGCTTTAACAATGATAACAGATACAAGGCCTCTGAGCATATGTATATGTGTGCGAAAACCTTGGCGGCCATACAGCCTCGAAATAACAGCCAGTATACAAAAAAAAAAAGAGAATAATAATAAAATGACATGGTGTGTAATGTAGGCCGTCCGGAAACGCCGATTTGTGTATATATGTATCTTCGATGTGCATGGAAAACGAGTACTTTCTCTTTGGAATTCATTTTTTCTCTCTCTTTCGTTTAATCATCCCTTCTTAGTAGGCGATCTCTCGACGCATCTCTGGTGTGGTGCGGAGCCGAGGACCGGACGCTGTTGGGCTGAATGTCGCCGTCGGATGTGACGAGGGCATCGCCCCTCTCCATGTTCTGCTGGAGGAGTCCAGCCGTCTCCTCGGCGCTGTCGTCGTTCTCAAAGTCGCTGGCGCTGGTGCTCATGCCGGCATCAACGTCGGTGACGCGGACGTGGACTTGGACCTGGGCGTCCTCACGCATCTTTTTAATCTTGACGTAATTGTAGGCGACGATGGCCAGCATTGTGGTGATGAGGCCGATAAAGTTGATGAGAGTGAGCTTGTCCTTGAAGACGACCGAGGCGGCCGAGATGGTGACGACCTCCTTGAAGATACCGGCGATGGAAAGAGTGACGACGGAGGTGCGCTGCAGCAGGGCGAACTCGGATGCCGTCATCAAAAAGGCGATGCAGCCTGGGAACAGAAGAAACAGAGGCGTCATATAGGTGCCCCACTCGGCGCTGAGAGCTTTCAAGCCTTCCCAGAGGGGCCCAAAGCCTTCAACGGGAATTGCAATAGAAAACAGCGTCAAGAACATGACTGGCGTAAGGAAGAAGATGCTGGAAAAGGGATTCGACGTTGCGGGGTTGCGGAGAAGCAGAATCTGGGTGAGGCCCCAGCGGAAGCCGGAAAAGAAGGCGGCTGAAATGACGAGAACGAAGCCGCCAAGCTTGAACTCGACCTCGCCAAACACCATGAGGATGACGCCCATTGTCATAGTTGCAATGATGGCGACGAGGCGCCAGGTGGGCTTTTCGAGGCGGAAGGCGAATGCAAATAGGAGAACGAATGCGAGAGAGGAGGATTTGCACATGGCTGGCAGAGTGTTAGTTGGTTGGCATGGTTGTTATACTTGATGAGAAAAACTTACTGTAAAATGTCAAACTAATGAATTTGAGTGAAGTGTTTCCTAAGCCAATGTCGAGGCCGGTGGCGGCACCACAAGGCCCAACCCTGGTGAGATAAAACATCTTGGTCATGGCTGAGCTCGTCTCCGTCTCGTGGCGGGATCTGCCCATATCGGATGTGTGGGATCGCTGTGGTCGTAATGATGGAATAAAGAAGAGGACGAGGGCTGAAAGAATGAATTGCACCACCATGTGCATCGACGTGGTAAAGAGGGGAAACGCAAAGTTGAGGCGATCTTCATCAAACATCCACTTGTTATACTGCAAAGCCATTTCTGTCAGAACAGCTGGAACCGGTAACCCAAAACTTGTACAACCAGCCAACTTACCAGCGAGATTGATAGTGAAAAGAAGTACCACAGCAGAATCAAAACGACATTGACAAGCAGTTTCTTGACGACGTCCTTGTCTGCTTCCTGACGCTCTTCCGCCGACAGACTTTTGTCACGCGCAATGCGCTGCCCCAGCTGTGTGATTCTCCGGCGCTTCTTCTGCCTCCGGGCGCGCTCCTTGTTGCTCAATCCCGTCTCTTCGTCGCTGTGTAGATCGTCATCGCTGAAGCTGGGCCTCCCATGGCCTTCCTCGTCGTTTCCAGAATGGGTTGATGTGCTGCTGCTTCCTCCGGTTTCCTCCAACAGGTCTGAGCGGTCAGATAAGCCGGCCGAAAGGTGTTTTCTAGCACCACCGCCAGCAGCCGGGGGAGGTTGAGGCACGTTCAGGGCGCTGCTCTTCCGCCTCCTGTGTCCAATGGGCTCCATCTCTATTTCGGTGCTGTCGCCAGCCACTTGTGCAGAAGCGATGCCTGCAGGGGCATAGGGCGAGGGCTGGATGGACGCGCTCGTGGATGCGCCCTCTCCTCCAAACTCGGGCGAGGTGACGACAGACGGGGAGAAGTCGGGGAAGGGCTCGGTGAGGGCGGCGTCGGTGTCAATGGCGATGGAGGAGCGGCGGCGATGAGGATGATGGGAATGATGAGAGGACATAGTCCGAGTATTGCTGGCAGCAGCACAAGCTGGTAAAGTACCTGTACTGTAGTAATGAAGGGGCATCCAGACGGGGTTTGACGGCTGTCTACGGGCTCGTGCCCATGCCCATGTCCGGGATCTGGTTGGCTGCCGAGCTACTTGTTCTGGCTGGACCGGGGCCTGGCCATCGACTCTCTCCGCTTCTGCGATGCAGCTAGAATGAAAATTGGGCCAGGCTGGCGGATGACCAGATGTGGTTTGCGGGAGAGAAGAGAGAGCGTATCCGTACCCGCCATGGAGGACTGAGGTCGATGCTGGCAATTGAACCTAACAGGTCACCTAAGTACTGTACACGTTCTGTACCTGCAAGGGGGGGTGGAGCGTCAGGTGTTAGCCTCAGGGTCACCAGGGCGGCGTTCGGGGAAGCCTCCAGCAGGGGGGGTTTGCCAAGCCCTGGAAACAGCACGCTTCAGGGGAGAGAGAATGCACTAATCGCTGCGGCAGTCCTGAGGATGTCTCGAGCTTTGGAAGTACAGTACATTGAAGTGCAGGTAGCTGAACCAATGGATAAACGCAGTGACCCGACATATAAACCGGCTTCTATACTGTAGCATCGCATACATACCTATTCAGGCGAGAATGGATGGAGATGGACCAGCTTCAAATCAACCTATCGATCCGACATTCCGCCCGCTATTCACTCTTAGGCAGGAGCTAAAATACAAATTATTGCCACCTAAGCAGTCCTCAAGCTGCCTAATTGTCAAGAGTTGTGGTCTCGAATGCTTGGCGGCATCTCCTCTCGCTGCTCCCTAAAGCTGCCAAGTACATGAATCTACATGAGCCGAGTACGAAGCCCTGTCGCGAGGTTTGTCCTGCCATCGGGCTGTCGCATGCCTCGCAGATACTTTGTCACTGTACACATTGAAAGCACCTCAAACATTTGCGCTGGAAATCCTCTCTCCAATGGTTGATGCTTAAATAGGCCGTTGTGGATACGGCAGCCAACCGCCTGATTAGCGCAAACGGAAAAGCAGAGCCATGCCGTGTCCTAGACATCCAAACATCCACCTAATAGTACATAATGAAAGACATGAAATTTCTGTCTTACATTTTGATCTTCATACTAGTAGAGGTGCTCTTAGTAACATGTAGTCGTCTCCAAGACACGACAAAGCAAGCTGCTAACGGGTGCAGCAAAAAGAATGTCACTCGCACGCAAACGGAACAGACAGCGCTCATCTCATCTCATCTCGTCTCACCCCGTGCAGCCGAACAAGGTCCTCAGCAACCACATCAAGTATCGCCAAGTTGGTAGCGCTGTTTCGCTATGATTGAGCTGCCTGATCTCCTGAATTGAGGCACTACCCCTGTCTATTTTAGTTGGCCGCCCCCCGCTCCACGAGGCAAGGGTGAGACGGACACAGTGTGGCAGGCCGCTTCTATACGTGCGCACACTCCAAGCAGTACATTATACGCACAAGTGCTGGGAGCATACATGCGCACACAGGAGTTGAAGCACCGGTTCTCACAACCCAACACAGATAGTCGCCGGTCTTGTGGCAGAACGAAACAGGAATGGCAGTGTCTTTCTCTCAATATTGCTTTCAGATGATTTACATACTCTCGTTCATCCGTCTACATTCTCCGTTACATGTTGAGAAGCACACAACCAAGGCTTGCCAATGCATCACACGACAAGGACAAATCCTCTTTATCCGGAGTCAACCACACAATTTCCCATGGTCACTGCAACTAATCCCATCAACCCCGCTGTGGTCAGTGATAGTCCCAGATACCTGCTGCAGTGTAACAGGCGTTCGGGACAATTTCAAGCATGCTGGTTCTGTTTCCATCTTTGAACTCCGAACATCAGTAGTGGCATGTCCGTTTGCAGCATACTATCCAGATTCTTGTACCTCGTCATATCGCTGTAAACGTGAATATTATGTAATCCTGCAGATCACATGCGCGCAGTTCGTTTCCCCAGCTGACATCACTCACCGGTACGTACCGCTCGGTACCTGCGCTCGCTTGCTGGGACTAGACGCGGCTCCACATGCAGAGTCGCACCTCGGTCTATCCAGCAGCGAATGTACTGCTCCAAAGAACAATTTTCTTTCTTAAAAAAAAAAGATGTAGTTATACATCATCATCTCTACCAAGACTTGATTCTTTCACTGCATTTATATATAAATTAATATTTGCTGTTTTAGCCTCAAATATATACAGAAAGGAGAAAAAAAGACAAGACATAAAATAGCACCCGACCTTTGAAAGTACGAGTACATCCATTTCCGCCACCCCCGGTTTCGCCGAGGTTATGGTCAGTAAGCGCCCCTCCAATCGCCTCCATCTGCCTACCTACTAATACGTGACTACGCCATAGAGCAGTATCTCATCCATATAGCAAACCACAACTTTGCACAACCACTCACTCACGTCACTCTCACACCCAAATAAAACCCACTCCCATTATTTCATCGCATCTCTTCACAAACCAGCCATGGAGGACGCTTCCTGCAGCGGCTCTACGCCCTTCAAGCGCCTCGTCGACCACCAGTCCCGCGATGCGAGCCACCACCAAGACAGACATGTGAGCCGAGGGGCTTTTGGCCAGAGCGTGAGTGTGGACATTCCCTCTTCCTTTTTTTCCCTCTGTCCATCATCAAGCAAGTGACGACACCGGTGCTAACATCTCGACAACAGTCTTTCCGCTCTACACCGCTGCATCCCGCCCAGGGCCAGCAGGATGGGTTCGGCGCCTTCATGGGCAGCGCGTCTGCCCTGCCCGGCTTTGAGAGCGATCCCGCGACCAGATTGACGCCGTCACTGCCCTTTGCACAGGTTGCCCCGGCAGTTCATCCAAGCTTCGCCAGCCCGGCGCCAATGCAGATGCAGATGCCCGCTCCGGCATCAAGTGCGAGCAACTGGGCCGCCGACTTCAGCCGCTTCTCGGCGCAGCAGCAACGAGCGCCTGCTGCATCCCACATGACGCCAGCCCGCCAGATGAGCCACTCGCCCGCTCAGCACAGCTACCAGCCCGCCTTTGCGCAGCCAAACTTTGCCTCTGCGTTTGGCCAGTCCATGTTCAGCCCTCCCGCAGCCGCCACCGCAGCAGCAGCAAGGGAGCCGGAATTTGACCAGGAAATGTCGCGCTGGATGTCGGCCCACGGAGGCGGCAACATGAAGGAGGTGGACGCCGCCATGGAGCAAATGGCCCGCGAGCTGGAGGAGAACGAGGCAATCGCCGCTGCGGTTGAAGCCTCCCACCAGACATATCTCGAAACGCCCGAAATCGGCAGCCTCTCGCTGGATGCAAAGGAGCCCGAGCTCGAGCTGGCACCGGCCATGGAGCAGGAGCTGAGACAAGAGCCGGAGCCGGAGAAGGAACAAGTAGACGCCCAGCTCCCCAAGTCCGCCGTTGCTGAGGCCGCCGAGAAGCTCCTCGACTGCGTCAAGCACGAGAACGGCGAGAAGTGGCAAAACTCCATCTTTCTGTCCCTGATGCGCGACTTCCGCGACGGCAGGAAGGACATTGTGGGCGACGAGATTCGCTCGACGGGGGAGACGACCCCTGCTGTTCAGCCTGTGGCGACTTGACTCGTGTCTGCGGGAGATTCTGCAAGATATTTTAAATCGTGCATCGGATACCTCAGCCAGACTACGTTTTGAATCGGCTTCCCTTTGGAATAAAAGGCAGTCACAAAAGGTGTCTCTGAGAAATTGCATATGTGCTGGCTAATTGGTGTTTTTTGCATTGGACTTTACTTGGGAGCAGGGCGTTCATGGGATAGCAAATGCTGGATTTAGAGACTCATTTGGCTGGTGTATTAGATTGAATTTGTCACTGTTTGTGTGCGCCTTTTGCATTCAGATATCTTGTTTGGTGCCTCTGAAAACGATATTGATTAAAACAAGTAGTCAAGGGGGAGGTGAGCATGTAAAATAGTAAGACAAGGTATTGGCGGTTAATAAAATACATCAAGCTCGCGTTAAACATCAAACAAGTATGAAGAAAGGGGCACATATTACACATCACCACGTGGGGAGACGTCGAAATGCCACATATACAAAGTCATTTTTTTGTCATATATTTTGCTGCGGCAAGCCTCATTGGTGAGCTGCCCACATCCATCCCATGATTTTACTCCATCGGCAGAAACCATACATCAGCTCAACTGGGAACAACAACAATAAAAAAAAAAAAAAAATGCGGGGGCGAAATCTTGCCCAGAGAAAGAAGGGGGGAAAAGGGAAGGGAATAAAGAGTATACAGTCTATATACATGCATAAACAAATCAACCACCAAGACAAAAAAAAAAGGAAAAGTACCTGCGCGCTGGGATCAACATGCCGCTACGCGAGAAAAAAAAAGATTAAACGTAAAAAAGAAAAAAATCGAAAGAATAGGCCAGCGGTCACATGAAACGTGGTCCCCCTCCAATGCCGCCCCCCCTTTGCCTCCTTGACGCCGTGGAACGAAAACTGATGTGAAACAAAAAAGAGCAATGCCCCGAAGACGGAGAAGAACCCCCTTCCTCTGCTTTTTTGAGAAGAATGGGCCACATCTAAAAAAAGAAAAAACGCCGACACCATGATGAAAATACCCCCTTGATGAAAGAAAAGAGAAACAAAAAAGGAAACAAAACGTCAAAGATCCGAGCAGCGTTTACGAAGGAGTGGTGTTGGCAGACCACCACAGACAGCCACAGGGCGTCAGGTTGTACACCTGTCGAGTGACCCAAGGGTCATTCCAATTCCTCCGAACCGAGCGTATTTCGCGCTTTCGTCGATACGACTTTTGTTGGTCATCGAAGTCTTCGTCGATCTCGACCACAATGGGGTCCCCGAAGCTGTCGGTCAAGTTCTTCATGCTGCGCCCATTGTTGTAAACCAGAACCTGGCGACAAAAGGCCTTGGGAGTGTTTGCAGCCACCCGGTGCTCTACAAATTTGACCGTTTTCGGAAAAGGGTGAAAGCCGTCCGTAGGGTATGGGTTGGGCGCAGTAGTTGCTGTCGAGTTCGGGTTAGACGGCGAGCTGGTGTTCTGAATGGGATAAATGAACACTTCGAGCGTCGTGTCAGGCCATGTGCATATCCAGGGCTTGTCGCCGTTCTTGGCTCCCATGCTTGGGAGTTTACCCCGAACCACGTTGTTGCCGACAAGTGCGCCGCCCAGGTTGTCCCGCTTGGTTTTCGCAGAAGAAATGTTTTCCTCTTGAACGACAACAGTCTTGTCATATGTAATCTGGCCCCACCACGCGGGGCCACGTCGAGGTTCTTGAGTGTCGTTGACAAGTAGCAATTCCTTGCCATAGAAGTACGGAGGTCGCGTTCCCCACAGGAACTGTGCATCTGGGGAGTTAATGGGTTTGAGAGTAAGATTGTAGCATGACGTGCTTCTTCCCTTTGTGGATACGTCAATATTCATTTGGTAGTAGCTATAAGGCAAGTTGCAGCTCCAAGCAGCAAGCTGGCTGTGATCAGTAATACACGTGTTGGGCGATGCGCTGGTAACAATGGATGGCAGCGCATAGTTGCCAACAGGCAGCCGAGGCAGAGTAGGAGGGACGGTAGGTAAAGGAATGACATCAGATGCCGGCGAGGGAGACGGATAGTTGTCACTAGGTGAGCCGCCGCCACTGGACAAGTTAGTGATATGAAGACACTTGAGTGGAAGAGAGGGGGTTAAGGAGAGGAATGACATACCCTGGCGGTGGTCGTCCTTTGTGATGTGAGAGAACAGTTCCAATGACGGCGCCCAAGATTACGCCAATGAGAATAACACCAATAAACAGCAGGCAAATGGCCCAATATGGCACAATGCCCCAAAGCTTCTTCTTCCCCCTACGCTGCCACTTGTTCATCCTGGCCTTTTCTGCGGAGCTCTGGGCGGCCGTGTTGATGTCGTGCCGGCTGTGGGTAGATGGTCTAGATTGTGAAGGCTGAAGATCTTCTTCGGTGGAGGAAAACTCAGGATTCCGTGTTGCTACTCCAATCCCCCCAGCACCGGTGATGGCCTCGGCCGGAGTCGAGGTCCCGGCCATGCCATCTTCCGGTGTTGTGACAGCAGGAGTCTTGGTGACAAAATTTTGATCAGGGTATCTCGTGTAGGGTGGTAGCTCCTCGGTATGTCCCAGTGGTCCAACTAAACCGCCCGCATCTTCTCCATCCGGTCCAATTTGTCTTTGATATCCGTCGCCAGCTGTCGCAAAGCCAACGGGAATCTGATGAGGAGTTTCATCGCCTGTGGTGGCAATGTTTTGCGGGTAGAGAGCATACGGGTGCGCGGGACCGCGAGGTCCATCGTATGAACGATGATTCGCAGGTTGGTCGGTTGAGGCCGTGGCATTGCTCAATGTCCTTTGCAGATACATTTGATACGGATGTGAAGCGCTGGTGGGACCCTGATAAGGGCTCTGAGGCCGTAACTGAGGCATTCCTGTGGACGAAGATAATGACGGGCCGGTCTGAGCAGAATTCGAGCCATCGTTGCGCAGCGTGAGGGAATCGTGGGGTCGTGGTGGTTTGACTGCGCTTGATGGGCGACCAGGCACGGGTGGCGGGGGTTTGGAGGCAGAACTCGACTGTGGTGGGTTGGATGGGTTTAGCACTAGCAATCGAGCTTGTGAAGAATTGGGAGAGGCGATATCGGGATTGTTTGGGGTAGAAGCTGATGATGAAGTGTCGGTTGGCGTCAGATCTGTTGGCCGGAAGCCGTCAGACACGGTGGCTGCAGCCAGTTCGTATGAATCTTGATCGTCGCTGTCCTCTGAATGCCTCCGCGACCGTTCGTGGATCGACTTCCGGACGATCTCGGCGGATTTTCTGTTGAAGGGATCCATGGCGACGGCGGCAAGAGTAGTGTCGGATGAAGGGCCCTGCGATGACTGCCGGAGAAGGAGGAGGCCAGGAGGAGCTCAAAACGAAGCGGCCCTGAGAGGCCGCAGACAGCACCTGTCGGCGTCCTCCCCCGATTGACCGCGTGGGAATTTCACTCGGCCGGTCGGGGAACGATGACCAAGACACGGCAAGAGGGCGACGGGAATGCAAAAGCGAGGGCGATTTGTTTGACTTGGTCTTCGTTGTGTTGTTCGTGGGAAGTTGGTGTTAGTGTCAGGATCGTGTCGAGCGAGGATGCGGCGTCGTGACTTTTGCGCGCGGCATCAACGACGAATTGGCTAGCGGAGGAGGGCGGCGACGGCAATACAGGGCGGGTGCTCAATTGGCATCAAGCCAGGCGTGGTGGGAGGAGGAAAGCCGGATCGCGAGATTCGAGATGGATGGCTGAGGTCAGGTCAGGTCAGGTCAGGCCAGGCCATCAGAAGCAGAAGCAGAAGCAGAACAGAAGCAGAGCGGCTGGAATCAACCTCCCGATGCACTGAGCGCCCACTGAGCTGTAGCGCTCATGCAGCGCTAGCACCAGAATCCGGGCGCCAAAAAAAAAAAAAACCTGATGGACGGCAATTCGGTGACACGGTAGGTTTCGAATCTAATGGGGGAGAGGGGCTGGGCTAGCCTTGATAAGCCTAGCGGGACCGGAAAAGAGGAACCTGTGCCGTGCGATTGGCGGGCAGCTTTTTAGTGGTCAGCAGCGGATCTAAGCCGGATACGGAGCGTTAGCGGGTGGCTTGCCTGCATTGGCCCCTGAAGCTGAAGCACAAGCAGAAGCACGAGCGCTGCATCTCGCCTGGAGCGTGTTTTGCCGGAAAGATGGAGGAAAGCAAATGCGATTTGATGTTTTGGCTCTAAGACGTCTAGCGATAGCGATAGACGAGGACCTGATAGATGGATGGAGAGTCGTCACGTGAAGGCGACAAAAAAGAGGGTTTAAACTCTGATGCTGCCTCCCAGCACATTCATGTACCTTATACGAAGTAGCCCGTCAAACTCTGTGCCATCCCAGGGGCCCATCGGCAGCGCCTCTGCTCTACTCCTCTACTCCTCTGGTCGGACTTAACATGGGAAAAGAAAAGCTGGAGGCGAATGGCATGAAACTGGAGACTGCTGCCGTGAGCCGGCTGCCGCTGTCCCCGCCAAAGCGCAGGCCATCAAGGCGTTGGCTCGGGCTTAATTACGGTAATTCTGCTCTAGTCATCATCACCAGCATCAGCATCGATGCGTCGATCATTTTCCTGCCTTCTTATTTCAACATACTATATCCGTACGGAGTACAGTGGAAATTAAAAAGCATAGACAGTACCTAGTAGGCAGTACCTTATCCCGGCTGACAGGCATCCATTGGTCTTGTGACGGGGGCCAACTCAAATCTCACCACAAGCCTCTTCTTATCTTCAAATGGCATTACATGCTGGCACTCGTCCAACTCCACACCACCAAGGACAAGGAAACGCTCTGATAGTAGACTAACGGCATCAGCTAACCTTATTGCGAACAGCGCTGACAAAGTCGCCGGCATTGTTTTTCTGGTATTCATGTCTTTATCCTGGACGAGAGCAAATTATAGACACCCAAGTCGGATGGAGTGGGAGCTCCGGTAGGAGCCGAGCCGGTGCGGCCGCCCTTGCATCACCAGGCTTGAGAGACGAAATTAATGCTGCCACCAACTGCTCCGTAATGTCACCTAGAACGACACGTGTGAGACATCTCCTCTTGCCTGAGTACTACCTAGTAGCAATATTATATATTACCGAGGCAAAGAGGTAGTGATGGTAACACACACCCGAACGAGATATTGATGGTAGCAGATAGTACCAGAAAAAGGGCACTGATAGTAGCAGAGACTAGGAGAAGTGGCGATGGCCTTATAGGGTGTGTATCTCTCGAGTTACTTCATTTGATACGAGACAGCTTGAGTCTTGATACAAGGCAAATGGACCTCATATTCGCCAGCAGGATGATGCTCAATCGCCTGGCTCAACTGCTGTTACATGAAAGTAAATGGAATAATGTCATGTACAGCAAATGTTCACCCTATCATTGTATTGCCAGATACTATCCTTAGGACCGACATTGGTAAGCAGAGGATAAAACTCGGCATCTCATCAACCGTCTCAAGTCCAAGTGCAACCCTGATATCACATTTCTTTGGTTTAATGTGATCTCTAGGGTACTTTGAGCTTGCATGCATCTCTCCCCCTTGCTTTGGATGTCCACAAAACGAAGCCAATTAAGCTACATACATGTAGGTACTCTCTCGTCGTGGCTGCACGTATTTTCCTGTACACTTCGTCATAATGTTGAGGCCTAACACTGAGGAGTTCTATAGTAACCTCCTCAACAAAGTGTGGTCCATTTGCTGTGAATGTTGCCTTCATCTTCTCAATAGACTCCTAGACGATACGTGATATACCTAGTTACGTTGCGTGAGAAGTCCTGCTCTAAAGATGCTGTTTGCCAGATAAAATTGCCATTATACAGTCGGAAAGCACCTCTCGTCTCCAGTAATGAAAACAAATCTTCGAATTGCATTTGCTTTCCACCCAAGCTAAAGTCAAGACTGCATACATCAATTTCCAACATTGCCACTGATGGAAATGGACAGCATGTCTCAAGAACTCGACGAAGCTGATTCGTAGTCGACGACCCAAGGTGTTGTTTTGCTTGCGGCCGCCATCAGCTTTCGCTCTCCCCTATGCACAAAACGTCCTCACCTCCAAACCGTTTCCCAGCAGTTATTTGCTTTGCTTAGGCACAAATGCAGCACATGGCCAACAATTCATTTTCTTCTGGTTGGCAGATGGGCGACCCTCCGGCCTTGGGAACATGCGGGAGGCCGGTGCAGATGCATGCGGTCTCAAATTATAGGCCTCGTGGGCCTCCCGTAGCTGCTCACAGGCTGCCAGCAGGCTGCCAACTGCCACACTGCCACACTGCTTCCTGTAGGTATTCTTTAGGCAGCTTGGGCTTTTTCTCTCTTCTCTTCTCTTCTCTCCCCTTCCATCTATTTCTCTCTCTACATTCTTCCTCTCTTCCTCGCCTCCAGGCATCTCCTTAGTTTTCTTTATCCCAGCTGGCCTACATTCCTCCCCCCCCTCAACATCCCTGCCAAGATAACCGAAGCCTCATCACTGTTTGATATTCGCCAGCCGTGAGGCTTCAAATCATCGCAAAGTCAAATCATGCGAAGGAATCAGTGAGTATCTCGCAGTGGCTACACCATGTGTTCCTCGTCCTAATATAGACTTGCTTTCTAGATTTGCCCACCTCACTCCCCCGAGCACACCGACCGAAGACTCTCGGAAGCCATGTTTCCATTTTCTACGAAACAGTTGCAAGTTTGGGTCAAAGTGCAAGTTTTCACATGAGGTGAAAAGTAACTCACGCGCAGGTCAGTCTGCGAGAGGAGGGCACTCCAGCACCACTTCAGGCCCCTTCCACAAGAACAGCAACAGCCGCCCACCAGAAGGGAAGCTGTTGAAATGGAAGGGGCTGCTTAGGAGCGGACAGGGGACTGCTCGACCATCACATGCCATAGTCGGCCAATTCTTCAGTCTAGCTGTCGAGCTCATGGATGGAGATGTTGGCGGCGCCCAAGAGACAATCAGGCTCGTCGTCACAGAAGCGGGCCTGTCCTTTATAAAGGACGTCATAGATCGTCACATTCCTGTGGACAACATATCTGCAACGGGTGATCGTCTTTGGGAGACAGAGATTAAGCCGCTCTTTGAGCTTGTAACTCATCCTTGCGTTGTTGACTCTGCTGTTCTGGAGCAAGAGGTCGCAGCTATATTCAACTACCTCGTCGGAGTGGGAGGAGCCAGGATGAACAAGCTCTTCCACTATGTCGTCTCACTATTCAATGTGTGGCCGTCTATCGCAGCACAAAAACCCCTCATGGAGGCGGTTGAACTGTCCCTCGCAGTGCTATCCAAGATGCTGGACTGCAATACTGTCAATATCATCAACGAAGCCTTCTCAGAATTTGCCAACAGTTTAGCTACTCTCTTGGGCAACCAGGAAGAACCAGAGGAGAGGCTTCATCGTCTTCAAGCTAAAAGGCACCTTGACTATATTCGTCAGCGCACTCAAGTTGGGGATCAGCTGGCCACTCTGGAGCCTCGGGCGCATGCTACCGTAGCGCGAGAAACCTTCATTCTAACGCGAGATCTTCCTGGTCGCCTCTCTCCTGGAGGACCTAGGCACAATAACGACCACAAAGACATAGTCAATATCAAAATATTGCCAACATACGAGGAGATTATGTCGCCGCGAGAGGAGTATCTGCCAGTAAATGATTGTTCTCAGTGGCATATCTCTGGTATTCGTGGGCGTTTAGACAGAGAATTCCGTCTGATACGAGAAGATACTGTTGGCCAGATACGCGATGCAGTTCGCGAAGCCTTTGGACATATTCGTGATACCAATGGTGACCGCAAGAACTCCAACAACTTGCGTACATATACATATGATTCTGCCACTCTTATCAACATTCTCTTCGATGCAAATGCTGGTCTGGATATGGTTGTCCGTTGCGATCAGCCTTCTCCCGTTCGGGCACTGAGCCCTGAACAGAGGAAGGACTGGTGGGAAAAAACGAAACGCCTCCAAGCCGGCGCACTCGTATGTATCATGGATAAAGCAGAATCCGTCTTGTTTTTCATCGTGTCTGAGTCTACCATGAGGAACAAGGACGACAAAAAGCGCGGCTTCGGAAAGAAATCGTCGGACGAAGACTCTGAGCTTAATGAAGAAGCTGAAATTTTGACTCTTTCGGATGATGAGATGTACTTGCACGTCAAGCTACAGCTTGCTGAGCCGAATCAGGACGATGTTACTCAAGTTCTCCATTGGTCCAAGAGTACGGGGCCATTGCGCTATCGATATCTTGTCGAGTTCCCTGGCATCCTTTTGGCGTCTTTCAAGCATACGTTGGAAGCCCTTCAGCAAATGTGTCGGCAACCAAGAGTCCCTTTTGTTGATCTCTTGGCACCGAAGAATAATACCACTGAAGAGATTAATCTCCAGCCGCCTTTATACGCGAGAGCAACTGGATTTGCCTTCGACATCAAATGTCTAACGCATGATAAGTCTGAGTTTCTCATTCCGCCTTCACAGCACCCAAGTCCAAACCTTGTTGAATCACGAGCGGCTCTGGATCTTACACAGTCTGCTGCCCTCTTGAACACCCTGTCACGGGAACTGTCGCTCATCCAAGGCCCTCCAGGTACTGGCAAAAGCTACACTGGAGAAAAAATCATCAAAGTCTTGCTGGCAAACAAGGAAAAGACCGAAATTGGGCCCATACTGTGTGTCTGCTACACGAATCATGCTTTAGATCAGCTCCTTGAGCACCTTCTCGACGACGGAATCGACAAAGTCATTCGCATCGGATCTCGATCAAAGTCACAGAGGCTACAAGACCTTAATCTACGAGTGATTGTCCAAAAGAGTGATCGCACAAGATCAGAAAGGGCCACCCTTTACAATATATATCAAGAATTGGAGGCCATTGAGCACAGCATGAAGAGTTCTCTTCGTAAATTGGCGGCATCAAATTCGCCACAAGCTATTAAAACGTTTCTCGACCAGACCTTTCCTAGGCACTACCAGACGCTATTTGGAGCAAACGAAGACGGATGGGCGATGGTTACCGGAACGCCTCACAAGATCTTGCGGGATTGGCTTGTCGGTGGCTCGCGTGACGACTCTCTGTGCCGAGACATTGAAACTCTGAAGCAAACCAGACTTTCCGTTATGAATAATGTTGAGCGCCAAGTATTGTATAAACACTGGCTAAATATGATCATAACCCCAATCCTTCACGATATCACAGGACTTCAGGAAGAGCACACCCAGTTAATAGAGCGGCGAAGCCGTGTGCGCAATGACGTGGATTTGCGCTGCCTCAACCAGGCCAACATCATCGGAGTCACAACCACAGGCCTGGCCAAAAATTTGTCTCTTCTCAGGAAACTAAGATGCAAGGTCATGCTTTGCGAGGAGGCTGGAGAAGTGTTGGAGGCTCACATTTTAACCGCACTACTGCCCTCGATCGAACATGCTATCTTGATTGGTGACCATCTTCAACTGCGCCCGCAGATTCAAAACTATGAGTTGCAGAGCACAAATCCTCGAGGAAAACAGTATTCTCTAGATACATCTTTATTTGAGAGACTTGTTGAGCCGCCGCATCTGGCGGACCTGCGACTTCCATTCAGCACATTGGACACCCAGAGAAGGATGCACCCGTATATATCTGAGCTTGTTCGGTCAACCTTATACCCATCCTTGCAGGACGCCGAAAATGTAACAAAATACCCAAAGGTAGCGGGTATGAAAGAGCGGCTGTTTTGGCTTCACCACGACCGCTTAGAGGATGGTGCAGCCAGCCACGAGCCACTGAATACCTCCCACTCGAACGAGTTTGAAGTTGAAATGACGGTATCCCTCATTTCCCATCTCGTCAGGCAAGGGGAGTACTCCCAAGACGATATTGCAGTTATTACACCATACCTGGGCCAGCTACATAAGCTACGACGTCGAATGGAATCCATGTTTGAGATTTGTCTCAACGACCGCGACCTTGCTGAACTAGAAGACATGTATGAAAGCAAGGGCCAAGAAGCTTCGACAACCGCGAAAAAACAAGCTGGCAAAACAACACTCCTAAAGAGTGTTAGGGCTGCAACTGTTGACAACTTCCAGGGCGAGGAGGCAAAAGTCATTATCATCTCTCTTGTTCGAAGTAATTTGCAAAATAAGTGCGGATTCCTCAGCACTTCCAACCGCATCAATGTCTTATTGTCGCGTGCAAAACATGGAATGTATATCATCGGAAACTCTAGCACTTACTATAACGTCCCCATGTGGGAGGAAGTCATTGACATGCTCACCGCGAGCGGCCGCATCGGCACAAGTTTGGAGCTCCAGTGCGACCGACATCCCGACACCCCAATCCGTGTCTCGAACGCGGATGACTTTATAGTTTTTTCTCCCGAAAGCGGATGCAATCTACGTTGCGACAAGAGACTTGACTGCGGCCATTCTTGCACTGGAAAGTGTCATTCAGACATTTTGCATGATGTGGTTGTTTGCCATGAACCGTGTCCCCGGCCTCAAAAAGGCTGTGATCATGCTTGTCGTCGACGGTGTGGTGATCAGTGTCCACCCAAGTGCACCGTTGAGTTGAAAAACATTGATCTCGTACTCCCGTGCGGCCACAGGCTTTCTTCAGCACAATGCTGGGAGAATCAAGATCCTGCCTCGGTTCGCTGCAAAGTCGTCGTTAAACGGACAGTTCCGGGCTGCAATCATGAGGTCGAGGTCCAATGTCATGTAGACGTAGCCGCTACCAGGTATCAATGCACTGCCTTGTGCGGCCACCACCGTGAGTGCGGTCATACATGCAAGAGTCCCTGTTGTAAATGCAATAATCGGGATAATGGAGAAATTATAAAGCAGAATCACGGCATCTGCAACCAGAGGTGTGATCGGAGCTATTCAACATGCCGGCACAGCTGCTCTGCAACTTGCCACGGCGAGACTGGGTGTCCGCCTTGCAAAGAGCCATGTGAAGTACGTTGTGGACATTCGAAATGCAACAAGGCATGTCACGAGCCCTGTGCCCCTTGTGCGGCGAATACATGCCACTCGAGCTGCCCTCATACGAAGTGCACAATGCCATGTGCGGCACCATGCGACTGGGTTCCGTGCTCTAAGCGGTGCGAGAAGGCACTAGAATGCGGCCACCAGTGTAAGTGTCACCGTGATATATCATCTCCTGCATAATTCAAAGCTAACGGTTGTGTAGGTCCCTCACTCTGTGGAGAGGTGTGTCCTAACAAGGCCTTCTGCCAGCAGTGTGCGAGTGAGGACGTAAAATCCGTATGTGTCGACTTTCTGGAGATGAAAGAGTACCACGAGATCAACTTGGACGAAGAGCCATGCATTTTCCCAGACTGCGGACATTTTTTGACTACTTCGTCTATGGATGGTCAGATGGGAATGGGGGCATACTACGATATAGATGAAGATGGTCATCCAGTACAGCTCGGCAAGACTTCAGAGCCTTTCTCACTTGACAAATCGGGCATTCCGGTATGCGCAACTTGCCGGGGTTCTCTTCGAAACATTGCAAGATACGGCCGCATTATACGACGAGCTATACTTGACGAATCAACAAAGAAATTCATAGCCTGGGCGCATGGACAACACCTCTCCCTGGCAACTCGATTGCTAGAGGAACAGGATATCCTTGCACAAGCGGTCCCTGGGAAGCTACTGCAGTCCAAAACAGCCCCTGCAGCATTAAAAGGTGGCCAGCTCTCCGCCCCGAGATTGAAACAACTTCGAACTCTGCAGAGGATTGTGGGCAACGGGCGATATGACTCCATTATCGAACTTTGGAGGCAGATTGTGGCACACGCCAACAATGTTAAGCGAGAGGAGCAGCCATTCCAACGAGTGGCAGATTTTGTGCAATTTGCCAATCGCCAAAACATGGCAAGCGGAGAGTTTCGATATGATGAGTCCGTCATCCAGGTCAAGGGCTCGCTTCTTGCGGATGCGCTGCTTCTTAAATGTGAAATTACTATTCTGTTCGACTTTCGTCGCTGGATCAAGGATGGAGGGTTGGCCCAGATACAAACAGAAAGCAAACTTGATTTGTCACTTCATTGGGCCGATTCTACCAGGCTCATCGCGCAGTCACATTTACTCAAATATGTCAGGGAAGAGGTCCAGGGGCACATATTCGCTGCACAGCTCTGTGCGTTGTGTTTATCCTTTGACGGTTGTACTTTGTGGCCAGAGGGTAGGGGTGCTATGAAGGAGCAAAACGAGGAAAGTTTGAAAGGAGAGGCCATTAGCCACGTCCAGCAAGCTCGCGCTCTGTTGGAAGAGTATCCATCCACGGCCATGTTCAAGGATGAGATTGACAGTGTTGAGGACATGATCAATGGCGGCATCTATCGCCCGGTTACGGCGGAAGAAATGCGAGCTGTGTACAACGCAATGTCGAAAGAACTTCGGGGCACGGGGCACTGGTATACTTGTGAGAACAACCACCCGTTCACTATTGGTGAATGCGGAATGCCTATGGAAATGGCTAGATGCCCTGAGTGCGGCGCCAGGATAGGGGGCCATGACCATGAAGCAGTAGAGGGAACGAGGCACGCAGCAGAGATTGATAATCTGGCGAGAGGGATAAATGGATTAAACATGTAAGGAGAGACGTTGATGTGGGGTGGATTTGTCTTTACTTCTCGTTGTTGCTTATTTCACCTCAGATTGACACACCGCGTTATGTATTATGATGTCTAAACGCCTCTGATAGTGGATAGTGTAGATACACATTGCCTTGCTCAAGTCTATGCTGCTTACATTTGTCATGTCATATCTTGATAATCTAGCTTTCCGAAGCATGTCGTCGCAATCAGCGACTGTTAGGCAACCTCTGTGACGAAGTGAGTGATCTTGTAAGCTGTTGGCGTAAGATTCCGAGGATAAGCGGCTCAACGAATTGCATGCTCCTGTATAGAGTGAAGATGTTGGCTTTTGAACTAGCTCAAGTTCATAATTACTTTACGGAACTCGATAGATGGCTAGTAAGATGGGATGCTTTATACATACAAGATAACTATACAAGAAGAATGCAGTGATAGTTGGGAAATGTAGCGATAGTAACAGATACTTAAAGGACTACCTCCGCAATACCTATAACAAGAATAGCTGACGTATTTTGCGTCTCACCGTGATACGCTTAATACTATACCCGTATATACGGTCACCGGGATGTTGAGTAGGTAGGTAAGTTGACGTGTTGGCTAGTCCACTCTCTAGATAAACTACCAGCTTCACGAAGCATTCCATCAACAATCTATTAAGCAACCTCCGTGACGAACCGAGTGGTTTTGCAAGTTAATTGGATAAAATTCCGAGGAGAAACGCAATGGCTGGCATGACGGTTTCGAAGGCTCTTGCTGAGATTTTTATTTCCGCGGGTATAACGGCTCATTTCTCGAGGTGAATAGTCAAGGAATTGCGACGGACTTTGTCCATAAAAGGCTCTGATTACTCAACAGGTTTCCACCAGGCTGTAACAATTGGTGAGAAGGTCGTTGACAATGGCTTTGCCGCTAACCGCTCACAGCTGCTTACAAATGGTCGGGATGCATTGGATAAGAGTCGCTTGTCGTTGTTGTGAGGAGCTCAAGTATAAACATGAGGGGATGTTCATTTTCCTGAGGGTAAGATATTGTGCAGGTTTGGATTCGCTTTCATCTAGTAGATTCATCTAGTAGATACTTTAGCTGTGTTGAAACAAACCCCAGTTGTCTAACCATGGCGGGACATTTGTTAATGACGCTTCCGTTCCCCAAGCCGGAACCTCTTCTCAAGGCCCTTGAGGGAGCGTTTCCGAGCTTGAAGATTACGTACTTGCGTCATGAAGTTAAGCCGGTGGAAGCATTTTTCAAGCACGACATGCATATCCCACCAGGTGAGTAACAACCTAGATACCCCATTGTGGTCTATAGTCTCTATTTCCCACTAAGTACGCTGCCATCTACAGAAATCCTGCGTGAAGCCACTGCCCTGATGACCTTTGGAGTCGTTCCTGATCCTTCTGATGCTCCTAACCTCCGCTACATCCATTTCGCCGTCGCGGGAACCGATCACGTTGCTCATAAGCCGGCATTCAAGGATCCCAACATCACCATCACAACTTCCACTGGCGGCTCGAGCATTGCTGCTGCAGAATGGGTCATTGGATCTGTTCTTGGATTGACGCGCCAGCTGTTTCAGTTTAAAGAGTTGCAGAATGCGAGGGCCTGGGGTAGCTCGGTGTTGGCGCCGCCGCCATTTACCCTTGATGGGAAGAAGATGGGCATTATTGGATACGGATCCATTGGCCGGCAAGGTGATTATAGATCTTTCATCTCCTACGTAAACCAGAAGTTATATGCAGGGTCACCTTTGCTGACATTTGGTGATTTAAGTGGCGCGTTTGGCACAGGCTCTAGGGATGGACATTGTTGCCTACAACTCTCGTCCACGTCTTACAGCTGAGGATCGCAAAGACCGGAACTGGTACCAAGCTGGCTCCGGTGATCCAGAGGGCACGATTCCGAGCGCTTACTTTCACGGCCAGTCCAAGGAAGCTCTTCACAGCTTTCTCTCTCAAAACCTGGACATCGTAGTTCTCTCCCTCCCGTTGACAGCTGCCACGAAACACTTCATTGGAGAGGAAGAGCTTTCAGTTTTAAATGCCAAAAACCCAGCGATCTTGGTCAACGTCGCGCGTGGCCCGATTGTTGACCAAGACGCGTTGATCTCGTCGCTGAAGAAGGGCGCTGCTGGCGGAGGCCTTTTGGCTGCGGCTCTGGATGTTACGGATCCTGAGCCTTTGCCTGTGGAGAGTGAGCTGTGGGGTTTGCCGAATGTCTTTGTTACGCCCCATATCAGCTCTGTTACGCAGCAGACTGTTATACGGGCGTATAAGATTCTGCAGGATAATTTGGTTCGGCAACAGAAGGGTGAGGAGATGTTTAATGTTATTAAGAAGGGAAGCGTATGATGTGGATGTTGATTACCTCGGCAGGTTCTCTATAGGTACGTTGAAATTTAGCTGAATTTTAACCAACTGTCAATACTGCTACTGTGAATATCATGCGGCAAGGCCTTGTTTATCGAGGATAATAGTCTGTCCAAAGCTCCGCAAAAGAACCGCTCCCACACTGTCGCTTCTCGAGTTTGCTTAATGATACTTGCTTACAAAATATCTCATTCATCTTGCTCAGCATTGAGAGAAAAAGACGCCCCCTTTACATTAACAATCTGATTTATAATTGACATCTACATGATACCATCCGAGAATTATTTGATCCATTGTCCCCCATAAATGGGGTTGAAGTGGAAGTCTGGCCGTCGCAGCTAACAAGAAACGATTTCTTGATTGGGAAAGATTTGCCTAATTAGAGTGGTTTTTTCCGAATCAGGCAATCGACGTTTGCCTCGTCAAATGTAAGCATCGTGTGAAAGACATTCTTGCAAAGACCAAGAGGGATGCTATCGTTTGGTATTTTTGTATAAGAGACACTGGTCCTGTCTTTGATGGTTTACAATGGCCAGAAGAAGCAACTACGAATTGAACTACAAAATCAACTCTTACCAACGGCAAATACAAGCCCTATCAGCTTATTACAACCTTATTCAACATGACTCAGTCTTCCTGTCTCTGTGGCGCAAACGTCATCACCTACTCTGGCGTCCCAGAGCTCAAATTCAAATGCCACTGCGCCAACGAAGGCAAGCTCACCGGAGCAGCCCCCTTCTCGCTCAACTTCATCACCTCCACGGACACCCTGCAAGTCGTCAAGGGCGAGCTCAAGACATGGGGCTTCGTCGTGGACAGCGGCAACTTCATGACGAACCACTGCTGCGGGCAATGCGGCAGCTTGCTGTACAGGACCTCGAGCGGGTTCCCGGGCAAGATGGCGGTCAAGATTGGGTGCGTGGATGACGAGGACCTGCTCAGGACGTTTGTGCCCGAGGTGGAAATCTTTACGAGGAACAGGCCTAGCTGGGTGCCGGCTGTTGAGGGCGCGGTTCAGAACTGGACGGATTTTGGGACGGGCGAGGGGCCGAAGGAGGCTGTGGAGGCGAAATAAAAGCACAAAGATTTGAAGTTGTCGGGATGAGATGGGTTTTATTTTGCGTAGACTCGTAACTGGAGTTGGGGTATATAGATGGCAATTGAGTTGCTGGCCTTGTTGACATCCTGCAATAATTCGGGCCGATTTCTATTGCCAACTTGTGATATTTTGTTACTCTCTACTCAATTAGCTGGCCGAGCTCAGCGATGTGGATTGTTGCCTTGGACATCTTGTTGCTCTCTAATCAGTTAGCTGGCCGAGCTCGGCGTCGTGGGTTGCCTTGCACATCACTGCGAGGCTGACATGAGAAACCAGGGTGGTGATGACGCGGAGCTAGAACCCGATCTCGACTGCCGGAGAGCCGGCAATGCATCGTGTGATCTTGGGACGTTTGGCTGGGTATATTCATGTTGCCTTGTAAGCTGTGCTTGTCGCTGCCATGGGGCTAATGTAGGCGAAAGGGGTTTAACGAAATGACTGTCTGAGAAGTCGAGGTTCTACGGGAACGGGCGCATCAGACAGTCCGCCAAATCTGACGGTTCCTAGAGCATTTCAGGGATGGTATAGCCAGGAAAGAAGATGCTACTAGAGGGATTGTGTTTAATTAGAAATTGCGCAGTTCTTTGTTATTACGGCTAGTTTATGCCATCTGTATTGCGACGATGCCCGGTTGATGTGGGACCATCAGCACAGGCATCAGCGATCTAGATCAATTTAAACGGTAAGCTTATCCATGTAGCGGTTCTCCTGAATCATGTAGTTACAGTAGCGAAACTCCGCAAACCCCCATACAAACCATAAACGACAACAACATAGACAACCGAGGCGGAACTCAGCGGTAACTGACACAAACGCGGGTGCTCGGCAATAGATGGAGAATATCCAGTGGTTACCTACTATCTCCCTTGCAGCTTTCTGGCTATGAACACTTTGTTTGCCTATTTGTTGTACAAGACATCTCCACTCTCCGTAAGTGTTTCGGTTTGAACCGAATGGGTGTACATGTAACGATCATTAGAGTTACAAAACAGAGAGAAGCTATCTCATGGGTACCGAGGCCGAAATATCGAAAGCTATATCGTTTATCAATGATCTGGATAGCAATGGAAATAGACAGATCGCGAAAAGAGAAAACTGGTCGCCGAGCTGCCGCGGACAAATTACGACGTTGCAATGATACCCGGGGTCAAGGTGAATTCGAGCAAGGATCGGGTTATTCCGTATTATGGCGCTACTCGACATCTCTATTGCCGTGCTAGTACAGGATTTGCATTTGTCTTTTCTCTTTCGGTCGGTGAAACAGGACCCCTGAGGATAAAGTTTGCGTGTTGTGTAGGTTCATGACTACACGTATCCTGGATGGATCGACCCTCTGTAGAGTGAGGTTTATTTAAAGAGCTTCTGCTCGCTCTTGGCACCAGATAATTGTCACTCCAAGTTCCTGGATCCAACTTCATCTCCTTGTACCAGAGCTCAACTTGATTCAAGATGCGTACCACTACCCTTGCGGCCGCAGCCATCGCCGTCACTGGCGCAATGGCGAAACCTCGTTACCTCATGTATTTCGACCAGTAAGTATTTGCCTTCTTGATGGCCATGTCATGAATCATCATCGTATTAATGGCTCTACTAGATGGGACACGCAAAACCTGCCCGATCGCTCTGTGACGGCGGGAGTCACACACGTCACTACAGCTTTTGCTGCGACGACGCTCTTTACTTCGGGCGAGCAGTACGAGCCTTTCATGCCATTGGACCAGATCCGTGCTCTTTTCGACGATGGCACCAAGATTTGCATGGCTATTGGCGGATGGGGAGACACGGCTGGCTTCAGTGCTGGTGCTCAAAACAAAACGACGCGCCGGGCGTATGCTAAGAATGTTGCTGCGACGGTGAAGAGACTGGGCTACGACTGTGTTGGTGAGTAGATATGAACTATTATATAAGATACTCCATCATAACTGACAGTCCATCAGACATTGACTGGGAATTCCCGGGTGGAAACGGCCAGGACTACATCCAGACTCCCAACTCGGAAAAGGCCTGGGAGATTGACGCCTTCCCGCTCTTCCTGCAGGAGATTAAGAGCGCCATTGGAGGACACATTGAGCTGTCCGTTGCTGCTCCGGGACGGGTCGAGGACATGATTGCTTACACGCCCGAGAATGTGGCCAAGATCAACCACATTGCCGACTTTGTCAACGTGAGTCTCCATCTGTCTCTTGTCATATTTGGCTTTCGGCTTGAATCAGACTGACAACCTTCCAGGTCATGACCTACGACCTCATGATGCGTCGGATGAACACAACCACTCACCACTCCGGCGTTGCCAACTCTCTCGCCTCCGTCACCACTTACATCGAGCGCGGCCTCTCCCCCAGCAAAATCAACCTCGGCTTCGCCTTTTACGCCAAGTATTTCACCACTGCCCCCGGCTATAACTGCACAACCCCCGTAGGCTGCCCAACCGCAGTGCTCGAGGATGCTCAAGGCAACGACACGGGCCTTTCCGGCGCCATCACATTCGAAGTGTCGACGTATGCGGGCGCTCTCGAGCACGCCGTGGCCAACGGCATCGCGGACGAGCAGCTGGGCGGTCAGTGGTGGTGGGATTCCGAAAAGGAAATCTTCTGGACGTGGGACACGGCGGAGTTTGCTGCTCGCAAATTCAAGGAGATTGTGGTGCCAAAGGGCTTGGGAGGTGTCTTCGCGTGGGCGTTGGCGCAGGATAGCTATGATTGGAGTCGTTTCAAGGCGATGCAGGCTGGAGTCAAGGCTATGCAGCACAAGTATATTGAGTTGGGGATAACGATCTGATGGGCATCGATTCCTATCGGTGGGATGTAGTAGACTATACATTTAGTTAATCGTAATGTATCAGAGAGAATGCTCAACAGTTGTTGGCCAAGTTTGTCTTGTCTTTCTCCCTCTGAAGAAACTCGTATAATAACAAGTTAGACTGTCTGCACGCCTAGGTCAAGGTGGATACGCCGAGATCAAGGATTTTCACCTCGTGCCACGAGCTAAGGCTTAATCCTTGGCAGAGAGGGGACCGTCGGTTAGAGAAAACGTGGCAAAACTGAGCGAGAATTGCCTTATCAGTAAACAGAGGGATTCCATGCCTGCTTAAACGGCTCATTGTGTTGATAACAGAATACATGGACACGTGGATAGCTAAGCTTCCCGCAATCATTTGATGGTGATGAGCATGTCAGACTCTAACTGCTGCAAGTGTACACTTCTGGCCATGTCCACAGTCTTCTCGTGGATCGTCCGGCTACCATGGATAGCAAGTTACACCATATCCCCCCTCGGAGGCCATGCACGTTGCAGTGGTTGCATCACGGCCAGCGGGCAAATTGTTGTACCGAGGCTATATCGCCACGTACTATAGGTAGTTGAGAAATTTACCAGAATTAGAGAGATAAAGATGTGATTGCTTTGCTGGCTGACATGTAGACGCATGTGTGTGGCCATTCAGAGAGTCGATATAATCTCATCACCAACACAAACGATCCAAGATGCACTCGATTCGGAAATTAACCGACTTCATGGAGCGGAGTAAAGAGAAGAGAGTCTTTTCTTTCTGGTAGATTATAGGTCTTCTGGTCGGGTTCTGCACCATTCAGGACTAGATCACGGCAAGGACGCAGACCTAGTTGCAGCTGAGTAGCGCCGTGATGCAGCCATCACAGGGATATACTGTAGGAATACTCCATAACGATAGCACCTTGTGGTATTGAGCAGTGTGCTATTTTTAGAGCCGGGTTCTTTTCCCGGCCAGATGGGATGGAGAGCGTGACATTGCAACTGCCTGTCTGGTGATGATGCACATATACCCATGTGGATGGCGGAGACTCTCAATCTTTGGTATAGAGAAGAGACGGAGAGGATATGCCAGTATATCTCTCACTCTCTGGTGAAGCAATAGTGCTACTATGTACTGTAAACTACCTCTTTGATAGTTGTGTGCTTGCGTGTAGATTCAACACCGTAGTGCTGAGCTAGAGATTTGAAGCATTGGGTGTACTTCATCTTCATTATATTGCTAGAATGATAGATGACGAATAATAATGGATGTCAGCTCCCTTGCAGGGTGTTTGGCGAGGATGAGGACTGATCAACGACCAAAAAGGGAAGTAGTATATGGCACATTTACAGTAAACTTGAAGAACAAACTGCATCTCCCCTCCAAGATAATAGTTGCTACAGATGCTAGACACATGGAGGTAATGCTGGTTAGTGGCGTGGAGATGGTAGCTGTATTGGACCCAAGTGGGACGCTCTAATACCAGGTACGTCGTACTTGTACATGCACAAACGGCTAGTTGGCGCCGGAGCTAAAAGTTGGCAGTACCTCGGCGTCGTTAGCGCTGCGTCTTGAGGCCAGCCTCGAGGAAAAAGTGCGAGTTGTCAGAAGTATAAAGCAGAGGAGGGACAAACCATGTTGGTGCTGTGGCAGTTTAGCCAGCGCCGTCATCATGGCGTGAAATGTGGCCAATAGCAGCGTATCGACCCCTTTTTTTTTCTGTTCGTCTTACATTCCAGCAAATTGATGGCGTCCTTTTTCGCCTCAATCCTGCTTGCTGTTGGCCCCCCCAAGAGAAGAGGCAAACAGAGATAGATGCCCTGTAAAGAGTTCCCTCTCTCCAACCCATGCTATCGAAAAAAACAACCAGGATGTCGCCAAATGATAAATGAATCTGGTCCTATAAATAGCCAGAGGTTGCATGCATCTAAGCGCCTAGCCGGACATTGGCCTAGCGGAGGCCTGCGATTGGACCGTCTGCAGCACGCGGATCCCTGGCATCGGAGTGGAGAGGCTGGAATAGTCTGAATGATGGAGAAGGTAGAAAGTGCTCAGCGGTTAGAAGATGCTTTTTCTCCGGGGTTCGGGAGTTTATACTAAAAGCAAGCATCTACGCGCGAGTGCTTGCTTACTTGCGTGGGTTGTACATATTACATATTGCCGAACGATCTCTTGCTCATCCCCTCCATCCCCATCTTTTCTCTCTCACAAGCACAAAAATCGACAGCCACCCATACTTGAATCTTGGTTTTGTTGTATTATTCTGTGCTGTGCTTTGCTTCTCCATCTGTCGCATCTCCTCTCCATTGCCATTGATACCATCTCAAGCTAGACATTGCGTTACATCGACTGCTGCAACATCAAAAATCCTCCGAATCGGACGCGAACCAACAGCATTGACAAAGTGGGAATTCCACCCACCTACACATACTCGCACAACACCTGCATATCGAAGAAGAAAAAAAGGTTGAATCGACGAGTATTCGACAAAAGAAAAAAAAAAAAATGGCTGCGAGAGGCGTTCTCACGGCATTCTGCCTCTTTGCCCTCCCGCTTCTGTCGTGGGCGCATACCGTCATTGTCTATCCCGGCTGGCGAGGCGACAATCTCATCACAAACGACACATTCCCATACGGCATGCAGTGGATGTATCCTTGTAAGCTTGAAGCCCCCTGCTCTCAACTATAACCTGGCACAGCATTAACATGCTCTCACATAGGCGGCGGAATCCCTCTGACGACAAACCGCACATACTGGCCCACGACCGGCGGCCCGATATCCTTCCAGCCCGGCTGGTTTGTCGGCCATGCGACGGCCATGCTGCAGGTCAACTTAGGTCTTGGAACCGACGGCCCTGATGGCGGTCCGCTAGAGATGGCGCATCAGATCGTGCCGCCCTTTTCCATTGTCGGCCCCAGCAACAATCCCTTCCCAGGCACCATCTGTCTAGACAAGGTGCAGATTCCGAACCCTGCCGACATTGGCATCAAGGCCGGCGTCAACGCGACGATTCAGGTCCTCATGAACGCCCAGCATGGGGCTTCTTTGTTTTCGGTAAGCTTTGCAACATGTGCTGGGTCTCGTATACAAGACAAGACTGACAATGGGGGCAAACAGTGCGTCGATATTACCTTTGTCGAACCCGGTGACAAACGCCTCGCGCCCGTCAACGGCACCAACTGCTTCAACTCGTCCGATATTGGATTTGCCGACATTGAGACCATTACCATCTCAAAGGGCGTCTTCATCGATGATCTTTGAAGCGTTGGCTGGCAGAACATGAATATCAGAAAAGAAAATAACCGAAAAAAAAAAAACGAAGAAAATGAAAAAATCCCGCGGAATGTTTGAAAAACAACGGGAACAAACAGAGCCCCTACGAATTTAGGAAAGGGATGATATACCCAAGAAGCACCAGTATGATACATCGTCAACGAAAAGACACCAACAGAGGAAGCAAGAAAAGGTGTTTATTTACTGTATTTTAGAAGGCACAGGTTGCTGGATTACCAATATTTTCTTCTTTTCTCATTGTATATACCTTTTTCTTTGTTATTTTTAGATGAAATGATGACGACATTTACTTCAGCTTCAGTAGCTTGATTCGCTCTTGTTCCAAGCCCCAGTTCCACCGGGTGTTTGCATCCCGATCTTCTCATATTACTCCGTCCGGTGGATTGATGGAGGAACGAACCAGAGATGCAGTTTGTCTGTTTGTCTCGGCTGGATGTGCCGCCATCTGCAGCCATGTTTTGCTTAAGCGCTGCGTCCATCTGCACTGTTTCACTTGCACGCCTGTATACAGCCAAGTTACTTTTAAGGTGTTGACTTGTACGTGGTAGTGAACGTAGCAAGCTTCATGTCGCCTGTTCGTCATTATTGACTGTCTTGAGTCGGTCTTACAAGCGGGGGGCTGTTCATGACTCTGGAGCTCTGCATCTAGCCGTGATTCTTTATTCCGCTACCGTTTGTAAAATAAATCTGCGTCAAAGCCGGCTGCCGAGCTCGTACCGCTCATGATTATGGCTATTCGCTTCAAAATGCCCTCTCTTGCAGCATTGCACCGCGGAACGCATTCACTACTTGAGCAAACGAGAAGGAGATAGACAGACGCCGTGTAACTACAACACACTGAATATATGCCAGGTCTCAGCTGGAGGCTTTCTCTAGTGATTGCCAAGGTACATATAATCATTGCTTGCTCCTGTTTCCAAGGGCTATAACTTGTCCCCATTGCTTCGGTATCGGGATCCCGTACTAATCTATTTATCTAAAACAGAAACAGAAACAAAAAATTTTACATCGTCCACGGAAAACAATTTGCTGCCGTCTTTTCCATCTCAGTTGGACAACATGTCCTCCTCCTCCTCTACCTCAGCCTCGAGCACAAATAGTTCTAGTTCCCAAGGCAGCTCCAAAAGCAAATGGGACACTGAGTACATTGATATCCCCAGAGAGAAAGGGCTACCTCTGAGATTCATCGCATATGCCGCAGGAGCCTCGCTCCCCACCACAATGAAGAAGATGACGAGAAAGGAGAAGAAGGGCGGAGAGGGTGCCTCCAGATGGGACTTTCTTGGTCGTGACACGCAGCTTTTCTGGGTCGTCCAGCCTGAGGACCGTCAGAGGCGCGGTCGGAGCAGAAATCCTCGTGAGCGAAACAGGCAGAAGAGTACATCGACTGCATCGTCCCCGGCATCGTCACCTGAAATCAATGTTGCCCCAGGGCAATTTGGAGAGCCGGCGGGCTATTTCCCCCATCCAACAGCTTCAGGAGCTGCAGGTGTCCCAATGGTTCCTCCAGGACATGGTCCTCCAAGAGGTTCTGGTTTTTCGTTTGGGTTCCCCCCCGGAACCAATTTCCCTGGAGGCCCTCTGCCACCTTTCGGACGGAATTAAGCTTTCATCATCTGCATCCCTTTTCTTTCTGTTACTTCTCTATCTGTCAAGCTATGTAACAGATGGACGTTGGGGAAGGACGGCAAGACACAGCGAGACAGACACCAAAAATGCTCGAGGTGGAGATGATGACGATCTGAGAACGAGGCTGAGGTTGTGATACTCCATTATACGAGCCCGTGCATTTTACAACATGTACCATACATGTACCTTGGTGTCCTGCCGAGACACTCCGCCTCGGGCCAGAGGATACAACATGATGATTCTACATTTGTAATTACAAGAAAAGAACGAGAAAAAAAAAAAAAAAACATCAACCCACTTGATCAAAACCCATGATTGATGAAAACTACCCAATGACGTTTCTCATGCAACTCCCGGGTTGGCCGTGTTTTGAAAGAAGGCACTAGCCACAGTTGGCACGCCGGGAGTGGCTGTGCGCCAACAGCAAAGGAGGCATGGGAGGCGCCCCTCGTCCGCTTGTCCTCGCTCAACTGCATCATCCATTCACCATTCGTCTCCTTGACCACCGCACTTGGCTCGACTTGGCTTCGCGCTTATGGAGCTCACCCGCTGTCCAGGCAGCCTTACGAGGCACCTACGAGAACCAGCACGGAGAGCTGGTTGGAGTATCAATGCAATGCGACGCCGGAATGAGGCTTAGCGGACCAAACAGCGCATCAAATCTCGGTTGGCAGCTGTGACTCAGTCGGTAATCGACCGTGAACTTTGCAGATTTGCATGCCTGTACGATCGGGTCGGAGGCCTGTGTGGAGAGAGAAGCGTTTGCACATGCGATTTGCACATTGACGCTGCATGATGATGTGGGCCTAACAGCGCATTGCATCCAACCTTTTTTTCTGGGGGCACGCGAGCACGAGCACGAATTGAGAAGAAGAAGAAGAAGAAGAAGGGAGAAGGGAGAAGGAGAAGAAGGGAGAAGCTTGCATCTCTGTTCCATCTGAATTGCTCTCAAAACGCTACACATCTCCAACCTACGCATCACGCATCAAACTCCTTCTATTGACGTTTGAAGCTTACATGGAGACGACGAGAATGGCACAGCACATGCAGCTTCAACTTTGCGCCTCACGGCTCCGAACAGAGGGCCTCAGATCAGGCAGCCAGCCAGTCCCACACTCGGCGGGAGTCATCCAACAAGATCTGCCTCCTCCACACCGTCCCTCCAGCCATTCACATGCTCCTGTGCGCCGGCTGGAGGCTCCACTGGCTCTAGGCCGCAGCAGCGCCGCAGCCATATCCGTGTCTAGCCAGAGAGGCTCTGTCCTTGGCTTCCTCTTATATAAAGATGCCATGATCGTCAATCTCAAGACAAACTCATAACCAGTCCATCTCTCTCTCTTCTTCTCCCCTATTCCCTCGTGGGCTGGTAACAAGCCATATCTGCGGCTTTTACTTGTCCAGTCTGGAATCTCGTCGTCTACGATACATACCAGCTCGTAGTGGCGAGTGACATCAGACGGACAAAAATCTCAGACGAAAAGTGTCGCCGGTCGGAACCCGCGTGTTCCCACAGACACTCCAGCAATTCATCATCAAAACCACACACATAGGAGCGCTCGCCGTTTGCATCCCACCATGGATCCCTTCATCAATATGTCGGCGCAGTTCCCTAACGGGGCTGTCCCCAATCCCCGATTCGTCCTCCTCGACTACTTCTTCCCGGGCTTCTCCATGTTTACGTCGGCCCTGCACACTTACCTGGGCATCGACCTCAACTTTTACATCCCTCTACTTGTCGCCATCTTCGGTCTGAATTTTGTATGGAGCTATTTCAGCACCTCCGCGTGGGCATGGATCGACGAATATCTCATGTCGTCATTCAGGGTCCGCACTGACGACGAGATTTACAACATGCTGATGCTCTGGATTTCGCGACAAAAGTTTTCTCAAAACTCGCGACGGTTCCTGGTCAATACCGACCTGTACTCTCGCAGTAGCTACATCTGGGGAGGCTCCAACGACGATAGCGATGACGAGGACGGGGACGAGGAGATCAGTGTCGATATCCTGGGCCCAAAGCAGACTCTGCACTATACCCCTTCGTTCGGCTCTCATCTGTTTTGGTACAAGGGCTGGCCTCTGTTCTTTGAACGCCACCAGAACCAGCAGCAAATCAACTTCCAGAGTGCTAGCGAACGCGAGGAGCTTTCCATCTCGTGCTTTGGGCGCAACCCGCGACTCCTCAAGGAACTCCTCCTGGAGGCCCGTCAGATGTACCTCAAGAAGGACGAGCGCAAGACTCTAATCTATCGCAGCTCCAGTGGTTCTGCCTACGGTGGTGAGCCTTACTGGCAGCGCAGCATGTCCCGTCCTAACCGCCCCTTCTCAACCGTCATCTTGAGCGAGAAGATGAAGCAGGATCTGATTGACGATGCCGCCGACTACCTCAACCCTGCTACTCGCCGGTGGTATGCTAACCGTGGTATCCCCTACCGACGCGGTTACCTTCTCTACGGCCCTCCAGGTACCGGAAAGAGCTCGCTCAGTCTGGCTCTAGCTGGATACTTCAGGATGAAGATTTACATTGTCAGCCTGAGTTCCATCAATGCCACGGAGGAAGGCCTCACTTCTCTCTTCAGCAACCTGCCTACTCGCTGTCTTGTCCTCCTTGAAGACATCGACACCGCTGGTTTGACACATACTCGAGAGGAGCCAGATGCCACGCCTGCCCCCGATTCAAACCCAAATTCTCCCAAGCCACCATCTACCAATACAGGATCGGGTGGGCGCCTTTCACTTTCTGGCCTTCTCAACATTCTGGATGGAGTCGCTTCACAGGAGGGCCGTCTTCTCATCATGACAACCAATCACATCGACAAGTTGGACAAGGCGCTGATTCGACCCGGCCGCGTAGACATGATTGTCCCCTTTAGCCTTGCTGACAAGACCATGACCGAGTCCATCTTCCGCGCCATCTACGCTCCCTTTGAAAGCGAGATTTCCGCGACCGAGCTGGCCCTCGGCTCCAAGAGCGGTACCAGCACGCCCAAGCGCATCGAGCCGGATGAGGAGGCAAAGGAACGGTGGGCCAGGCAGCATGCGGAGATTTCTCAGCGCATTGAGGTTCTGTCTGTGCAGTTTTCTGCCAAGATCCCCGAGCATGAATTCAGCCCTGCCGAGATCCAGGGACTGCTTCTCAAGCATAAGCGGTCACCTGATGACGCCCTTGAGGCTGCAGATGATTGGGTGATTCAGACTCGCAAGGATAAGAAGGAGAAGGAAGTGCAGGAGGCTGAGAAGCGACGCAAGGAGCAGGAGGAAGAAGAGAAGAAGGCCAAGGCTGAAGAGGAGCAGAAGAAGAAGGAGAGCGAGGGCAACACGGCAAAGACTGAAGGCGTAGACCAGAAGAAGAGTGCCGAAACCAAGAGCGCCGATGACACTCCCAAGGAGCCTCAATCCACGGGAGAAGGAGAGGTCAAGGCGGAGACACCCGAGGTGGCTAAAGATGAAAAGAAGAACACTGCATCGGATTCGGAGTATGAGCGGGTGTGAAGCGTTGGACAGACGGATAGTCAGATGTCGGGTTGCATAGCATGGCGTTTCTGGGATTGAGAGATTTTGGCCTGGGCGAAATAGCCCTTTTTTGGGATATCAAATAGAATAACTGATGAAATCAACTCCAAGAGCCTATTCGTTTGATAGGCTCATGCATGACGTATTAGTCCCATACTTTGTGAGCGCTCGTGATAAGGCTTGTTGCAATTCCATCAACCTCTATTGGATTGATTGCAACGCACGCCTTGGATCCTTTTTCTTCATCGATTAACTCTCACGCGCGCGGCTTATGGCTACATCAAAGCTGACGGCATATGCACAATGCCGTGCGTCCATTTTCATCCGGCCCGGCCTAGATTAGATGGCCGCCGCCTTGTTGATACTACTCCATGACCCGAGATAAGCAGCATCTCGATGGTGTCATGGGCCAGATCTATCACATTTCATATAGATGTTTTGCCATTGCCGGGTTTGCATACGGATGAAATACTGTTAGGCTTACGTTCCCCTTGCCACAAGGCTGGACAAAATAAGTCGTCATGGTATGCGCTGGTGCGACGCTGTGCTGGGTCGACGACATCTGCCGTGTAAGTGGGAATCAAGGCAAAAAAAAGCGAGGTGTAGGGTTTTGTTGTCGTTGTTGATTGTTTCTAGTGTTTGAACTGACTCGCAACACATGGGGAGGGCTAACTTTGTCGTACGATTGGGGGGTGTTGCGGTTGCGACTTTGGGTTGTATTTTGTATTAATCATTGTCTGATCGACGGCTGACTAGGATGATGATGTACATCCCTCAAGGATCACAAAGGTTAGTCTGGTACAAGCCCGATATATTGCATGAGGTGGGTCGTAATATATAAAGTCGCTGTACGGAGTACTTTACTCACTATATAAATTAGTAGAGTAAAAAAATAAATCTACAATTTATTCTCATTAAGCTAAAAACAAAAAGACGTCAAGCTCTGGTATAACAAATACCATACATAAGGAAATATCCATTCTTTTCTAATAATACGTAGTTTTGTATTTATTATTATTTACTTTATTACTTTATATATAATATAGTATTTATATAAACTTACTAACTTATGTAATGCAGCAGAGCTTGTACTAAGCTAACTTTTGTGATCCTTGTGGGATGTAGGTTTTGCTTTATCTTGTTGATTGAGTTTGCATGCAACGAGGTGGCTTTGTCTGAAGTTTGATAGCCCACGTGTTGTTGATAGCAATCAAACTGGCCGAAAAAGTGCAAACGTTCCTATCATAGAGAATAAAAGTTACATTTTTGATATATGACGGCAGTGGAAAAGACTCAATGCGACTACGACAAACTAGAATAACGAGCAGGATTCGCGATTGCATCCCTCTTACCAACTGGCGATTGTTTATCGATATGGCGTTACGAAAGGAAAAGGTACGAGTACGTTCGGATCCAATGCAAAGCAGATCTGCCGCATGTCTGGCCAATGAGCGACGATAACAGTGTGGAGACGACTTGTAAACGTGTAATTACCGCAAATAAATCGGGGCGTATTCGTATTTAGCGCAAACTGCCTCCAGTTTTAGTCAGACAATTTTTTTTTGGCGGGAGGTATTCGTATTCGCACTTTGTTTTCGTTGGTCAATCTCCAATCTCTTAATGTTTCATGCACGGTATAATACCGATGGGAATCTGACGAAATGCGACACATCATGGAGCTAAGCTACCTTATTGGTAAAGCTACAAGCTGCGGACAGGTTTCCATTGCATTTCGGCATTGGTGAATTCGTATTGGGTACCTGATCTCGTTTTGATTCATCCAGCTAAAACGCATGTCTCGCTCGCCTGGATCCGAACCTTGTTCCGTCCGGAAGTGGGGCCGGCCCGGAATCCGAGCGGCATTGCCAGAATACCAAAACAGGTACTCGTACTCCGTACTGCTCTGGGGGCCCAAGCTCCTCTCTGCTGCTGAATCTGAGATGAATGATGACGATTCCATGGCTCAGTATGTATGATGCGGAGTGCTGATGAATGAGAGACTCTCTACGGAGTACATGTAGGTGGATACATCCCTCCGAAGCTGAGAGGATATACTATGTAGGTAGCTGAACTGCAGCTCCGTATCTCCGTGTCTTATAAGCATTGGAAACGGGGGCGGGGCAAGGGTGTCGCCATATGGAAGACCATGTGGTTACAGGCGTTCGAAGGAGGGCAACTTATGGGAAAGGAATCAAGCTGCATGGTAGGAATCGGCCATTATCCCGAACAAGTATTCAGCTGTGCACGGCCGCGTCTTGGAGTGCAGAGTCTGACCATAAGGGAGAGAGACCACGGTGAGTAGCCTTGCGGCCTCAGAGTGATGCCCGCCGTTCGCCACAGAAGGATGCGTTGCGAGGCCTCACAAGGCTCTGGATTCGTCTGTTTGTCCTGCATTGTACTACGAATATACGAAATAGACACGCTATGACGCTTTTTGATGCTTACTGTACTGTACATACCAGGCACGGCTATCTAGATGGGAAAGTGAGATTTTACCTAGCTAGCTTACATAGTAGTAGTAGTAGCCTCTAGATGGCGGTGGAGCCCAACTGGCGCGGGACTGGCATGTTGAAGAAGCAGTTCTGGAGGCAACGAGCGATAAAAAACAGGACCGGTGGGGCATTGACAACGCAGCGGTGTTGATGGTGAGATTGTGCCTTTGATGGATGGGAATAGAGACACTGAGCTAACAGCTTTCGGCACCCAAAGCCCCGATTTTGACGACGCAAGGCCCGGCCTAATAGAAAGGCTAATAGGAAATATGGAGCAGCAACGGAGAGAAGGAACATGAAGACGAAGGGGAGAAAAAGGAGACACGGTAGCAACAAGGTGTGATATCTTTGGTGCGAGTAAGAGGTGCTGGTTAGATTGGAATTAGTCCGTGTTCCTGTATCCGTTTCCCCCCCCACAAGCTTTTTTCCCTGGTTGCGTGGAGGAGATAAAGCGAGAGGGAGAGAGAGAGAAAGAGAGAGAAAGATCAGAGATAACAGTAACAGTCAGATGAGCAGGGATGCGAAGCCAAGTCGCAGTCGCAGTAGAAAGGGAATAGCGGTAGTAGTACCTGAGCTGCTCGTATCTGGATGCTCAGACGCAATGTATTCGTACTTGTGCCGCCGTACTCGTAGTCGCGATCTGGCCCGTCCTGTGCAATACATAGGTACATGTACTCGTACTTGTACTGCTCTCAATTTATGGTGGCCGCCAACAAAACGGCCCCTCCCCACCATCTCTGCTGTAGTACACGCTGCTGAACCCACTAAACCCACCGTGGCCGACCCCTGGCAGAAGCGCTCCAAGTCCCCTGTTTCTGCTGCAGCTCAGACGCTACAGCGATGCGCACCGCCTGCCACAGAGTGCGGTGAAAATTGAACATTTAAATGCACAGGCACGCCGCCACGTTCCACATTCATCAAGTCGACATCCATTCCCTCACGAGCTTCACTCTCTCTCCAGTTCCTCTCCAGTTCCTCTCCTTACACTCGCCTCGCGTTTCCCACAGCTCAATTGCACCCAGTCCACTTGCACCATGGCCACTCGTCCTCAGAACATTGGCATCAAGGCCATTGAGATTTACTTCCCCAGCCAGGTTGGTCCCCCAGCGAATTGCCCCTCCATTCCCGTATCCCGCATCCCACGAGACACGACGTCGCTGACAATTGCTTTGCCAAACAGTATGTTGAGCAGACCGAGCTCGAGAAGTTCGATGGCGTTGCCGCTGGCAAGTACACCATTGGTCTAGGCCAGACCAAGATGGCCTTTTGCGACGACCGTGAGGGTACGTTGAGAGTTGCTCGCTCTTTTCCCTCGTCTCTCCCCTGAACTTTAGCTGACTCGACCGTGTGCCTCCAGATATCTACTCAATGTCCCTCACCGTCACCTCCAGACTGCTCAAGAACTACAACATCGATGTCAACTCCATCGGCCGCCTCGAGGTTGGCACTGAGACCATCCTCGACAAGTCCAAGTCTGTCAAGTCTGTCCTGATGCAGCTCTTTGGCGACAACACCAACATTGAGGGTGTCGACACCATCAACGCCTGCTACGGCGGCACCAACGCCTTCCTCAACAGCGTTAACTGGGTCGAGTCCTCCGCCTGGGACGGCCGCGATGCTATTGTTGTCGCTGGCGACATTGCCCTCTACGCAAAGGGTGCTGCCCGCCCCACTGGTGGCGCCGGTGCCGTCGCCATTCTCGTTGGCCCTAACGCTCCTATTGTTGTCGAGCCCGGTCTGCGTGGCAGCTACATGCAGCACGCCTACGACTTCTACAAGCCCGACCTGACCAGCGAGTACCCCGTCGTCGACGGCCACTTCTCTCTGACTTGCTACACCAAGGCCCTCGACGCTGCCTACCGTGACTACTGCAAGAAGGAGGCCAAGCTGGCCAACGGCACCACCAACGGTGTCGACGAGTCCAAGACCCCCCTGGACCGCTTCGACTACCTTGCCTTCCATGCTCCCACCTGCAAGCTGGTCCAGAAGTCGTACGCCCGTCTGCTGTACCACGACTTTTTGAGCAACGCTGATGCCCCTGCCTTCGCCGAGGTCGCCCCTGAGCTGCGCGACATGGACTACGAGAAGTCTCTGACCGACAAGGGTCTCGAGAAGGCCTTTATGACCCTCACCAAGAAGCGCTACCAGGAGCGCGTCAACCCCGCCATCCAGGTCGCTACTCTGTGCGGTAACATGTACTGCGCCAGTGTCTGGGGTGGATTGGCCAGCTTGCTGTCCTTCACCGACAGCAAGGCCCTCGAGAACAAGCGAATTGGCCTCTTCAGCTACGGCTCTGGTCTGGCCGCCACCTTCCTGTCTCTCCGCGTCGTCGGCAGCGTCGAGACCATTGGCAAGACTCTGAACATTCCCGCTCGTCTGGAGGCCCGCCGCGCTGTCCCTCCTGAGACTTATGACGAGGTAAGTTTTGATTCCATTTCAATATCAATTATCCATCTCCTGACTAGTATGCTAACTTGATTTCTTAGATGTGCAACCTCCGAAAGCAGGCCCATCTCCAGAAGAACTACACCCCCAAGGGCGATGCCTCCACCATCACCCCCGGCACCTTCTACCTCGAGAAGGTCGACGACATGTTCAAGCGCGAGTACTCTGTAAAGGCTTAAGCGTCTTTTCATCCTTTCTGAACCTTTTTCGTCGAACATTCAAAAAGATTACCCCCCTTTTTATACTTGAATAATTTGTGCGGCATGGGAGCACACGGCGTCCTATTTTTACCACGTTGGGCGATTTTTTTTTATTATTACATGGGAAACTGTCTACTGGCACGAAACGAGCACAGCGATAGACTCATCTGCTGAAGAATATGCAGGTGACATGTTTTTGGTTTTTTTTTTTTTTTTTTTTTTTTTTTTGCTATGATTTTTATATGTTGTCCTTCCGCTGGATAGACAGACGAGGCGTTGGGCCATAATGAGGGGGTTGCTAGGAGGAAAAAAAAAGACGAGGATGAAGCGACGATTGCTCTCTATATGATTGGGCATACTTGGTGTAAATATTTAGAGATGAGCCACGTTTTCTACGGGCCATGCTTTGAAAGAAAGAACAAGAAAAAATGAAATAGACATGATGCGCTAGAAGTTGAAACTGTTCCTATTCTCATTTCGTTCAGGGTATCCATCCATTTTATTGATCCATGCAAGCTCTCTCCATTTTGGCTGTCATGAGGTTCTCGGTGTAAGTGAGCAAACCTCATTCTCGTATCTAATCTATTTCCCATCACATTTCCCTCTTTTATATATCTACCATGTATTCTTGTTCTTCTAGCATGTATTTTTACTCCTCGCCCTTGTGTTTCCACTCAGCGTTTCTATGTAGGTGGTAGTCCCCCGTAAGTATGCTCCTCCAGATGCCATACAGCCCGCCGACGGGCCACCTGCTCTTGAGCGACTTCTTCCACATCTGGCGCTCCCTCCTGCTGGCCTCGACGTCGATGCGCACCTTGTCGTACACCGACGGCAGCGTCGTCGCGCTGTACTTTTCGCGCAGCGCCTGGTACCACGGCTTGTCGTAGACCTGCCAGAACTCGGGCTCCGAGTAGTACGTGTGCGCGTAGAGCCACTTGCGGCCGCCGAGCTGCACGAGCTTGTCCTCGAGCGCGCGGTTCTTGGTGATGAACTCGTCGTGGTTCTCGGGGCCCCAGCCCCAGACGCCAATGTTGAGCATGGGCTTGGGGATGACCTTTGTGGTGGTGCTGCCGCCATCGGTGGCCGTCACGGTTTCCGTCTCGCATGTTGGGTGGAAGGTTGGGCCGGGCGTCTCCTTGAGGGGGCACAGCCAGAGCGGCCAGATGCCGAACTCGTCGGTGGTGTAGTCAACAAACTCGGCGGCCTTGTCGTAAGGGATGGCGAGGTCCTGGACGACGAAGCGGGCGGATTCGCCGCTGGCGTGTAGTGCACGGTAGAGCATGCGGGTGTGCATAAAGTCGTCGAGGAACCAGCGCCAGAAGCTTGTGAAGGGCACGTACTTGAAGTAGGTGAAGCCCTGGGCGCCGACCCAGAAACCCGCGCGGTCGTAGCGGAAGAGATACTCGGCCAGCGGGATGTAGTCGGTGACAGTGTCGGCGCTGGTGTTGGCATGCTTGGTGCGGTCCTGAACATGCAGATAGAACCAGGGGTCGCTGGCGTGGCTAAAGGTCTGGATCTTTTGGTCGGCGGGCTTGTCGTCGGTCATTTGGCCGGTGATGACAACGCCGTGATCCTTGGAGAAGAGAATGCCGTCGACATAGTCGTTGCTGGGGTTCTGCGTCTCGGCCCGGACACGCTCTGCTACCTCGGCCACGCTGTTTGTGCGGTGGTATGTGGTTCGGACGAACTTGCGAGCCTCAATGAGGTTGAGCTCCATCAATGTCGTGATGCCCAGTGTACCCACGGCTCCTGCGGCGCCACGGAACAGATCTGACCGCTCGTTGGGCGATGCCTGCACGACATCGCCGTTGCCCAGAACCATCTCGACATAGTTGACCGTCTCGTCGAAGAAGCCGTGGCGGAACGAGCTGCTCTCGCCGGCCGTGCCCGCAAAGCCGCCGCCTGCCGTGATGCCGGGGAACTCCATCACCACAGGCGGCACCAGGCCATGGCGAAGCGTCGCCTCGACCAGGCGGTCCATGGGCACATTGGGCTCAACCAGCGCCGTTCGTGCGCCGCGATCAACCGTCAGGACATTGCTGAGGGCGCTGATGTCGACGGCTCGATGGCCGGGGCCGGGGCGAGGCCGCGTGCTGTTGGTCGAGCCGTGGAAGATGCGGTACGACTCGCCGCGCTCGAAATAGCCGCGGACAGCGGCGGCGATCTTGGTCACGGCCTGCTTATGGCGCTCCATGGCGGGGGACGCCCAATTGGCTTGGTCTGGAGTTGGGAGATGGAGATGGAGAGGGTTGGAGTTGAGGAGGATGAAATTCCATGGATCTTATCGACAGCTGCGGGTAGCAAGGGCCAATAGGGTGGCATGGCGGGGCCGATAAAGCTCCGGGTCTTGTGCAGGAACTCCAGTAAGATCAACGTAAGATCCACGATTAAGCTGCAGCACTACTATTAGGGAAGCTCGATAGTAATAGTCGAGCTTGTGTGAAGCTTCTATAAAAGGATTATGAAGCTGTTTCAGAATTCTAAGTAGGTAATATTTAATTTAACAGCTGTAGAAATATGTCCATGGATGATACACACTAGAGAATGATCTGCACATTTACTTGGCAGTGTCCCGCCTCAACAACAATGGTAGAATACAACAAATAAGCATACATGTTGAAAATAACTAATTACATATATCTATACACACTATATCATAATGCCGTTTCACATGCCCAGGTAATTTTTACCCCATATGGTATATCGCTTTATCATAGCCTTGCTGCGACTTCTGTCTTCTTAGCTCCCCCGCCTGCTCTTTTCAAAACAGAAGCCTGAATGTCCTCAAGCTTATCCTCTAGAAGCTCATCAAAGTTCAGGGGAACCTCTTCAAGCGTCGGGGCCTTAATGGTCGTTGCACTTGCCTCTATTGACTTTGGGTTTTCTATTGCGCGGCGGATAAATCTGATCCAGCTCTCGACACAAAGCCGTGAACTGGGCGCACGAGTCAGGAATAGAGGAAAGACATGCGGCATGGCCTCGTATTCCTCAAATACCAAAGGAACGCCATCCGCAAAGAGCTTCATTGCAAACGCCTTGTTCTCGTAGGAGAGTATCTCCCAGCCTGTGCACATCCATACAGGCGGTGACCCTTCCCAAGAACGATTCATGATGAGCGTCGCCAGCGGATGCACAGCCAAGTCATTGTCAGCATAAATGAATTTCCGTGGGGGGTTTGCCGGCCATATCTCGCATGGGGGAACTCGAGCTTCGAAATCAGGTCGTATTCTGGGCAAGTAGTCATAAGGATGAGCATCTTCGACGTGCCACGACGGCGAGCTCTGCGTGATGTCAACCCAGGGAGAGACGCAAGAGACACCGGCCGGTAGAGGGACTTTGCGCTTCTCGCCGTACCACTGGATGTCGATATCGAGACGGCGCAGCTGAAGAACGAGCTGCAATAGTGCGAGAGCAAGGTTTCCACCAGCGCTGTATCACACACAAGAGACAGTCGGGGTCAGCCACATGTAGATGATAGTCTGGACGTGGAATGTTGCACAGCATCAATTTTTTGCCAGATATAGACACTTGGACTTACCTGTCTCCCGCAAAAACAATATGCTCCGGTTCCACAGCTTCATGATAGGCGTCTGGAGGCGGATACAGCAACGTAAAGTATGAAACGAGGGCATCCAGCAGCGCACTCGGGAACGGATGCTGAGGCGCCAGTCGATATCGCACTGAATAGCATCTTCCCTTTGTCATCTTGGCCAGCTTTTTGACTATGGGGCGATGCGTGGCGGGATCGCAGAGATAGTACGCGCCGCCGTGGAAGTAGAGCACGGTGGTGGGCTCTTTGCATTCTTTCATGAGCTCGTGGTATTTGGCGGACTCTGAAATGTTGGGCAGGGGGTCCTTTTTCGATGCTGCGGCTCGATATCCCGTCCATTCACCTTCTACAGATGTGAGCTCAGGAACTCTAGTGTTGCCTCCTGTCAAGTTTGCATCTCTCATGCTCTCCATGGCACGGAGCAGCGAGTCTCTGATGTCCGTCTCAGGAGGCGGCGGCGAAGCATATAAGCTGACCCATATCCGTCCCTTGATCTCTGCGTTGCGCGTGGTGAGCTTCTGGGTGTAAGAAATCGAGTGTGGATTAGCTGGTGTTAGGAGAGCGCGCATAAACGACACCACCAGGTTGGACTGCAGATCCACGTATTGGGATTGTTCCGAGAGCTTCAAGACGTGTAGAATGGCTACTCGGGTCAGAAGAGGGACTTTGGAGAGCAGGAGGAGGAGCATTTTGAAGGCCGAAGTGAGCTTGGCGGTGGTGGATGGCAGTGGACGAGCCACGGTTGGAGGAGGGTCATTCATTTTTGCTGAGGAGGAAGAGGAGCAAAGTAGAAAGATTGAAGAGAGAGAACTCGAGTAGCTCCCAAGGCCCAAGGATTAATAGGGAGGGGTATCCTGTGATAGTTATATACCTAGGGACAGCAGCATAGTGGGTGAGGTGGTGTGTATATCCAGTATGGAAAGTTGGGCGATTGGCCGGCTGGGCTACAAGTATTTATGACATATCCATCCATATCAAACAAGTCCAGCACGTAATTGATTTCCGGCACGAATCAAACAACTCGGGATGGGCCGGCACGTGGCTGCTGCACCCGCTGCTGCGGCCATTACTCGAGACGAAATCCGCACATGAACCCCCCCGTAGTCTGCTGTATCTGGGTAAAGCTTGCGAGAGGTGGCATTGATTCCAGCTCATCCATATCTCACAGGCCCGGATCTGGGGTGGGCAAGTAGGGATGGATGGCCTTCATAGTAGTAGAAACCGACGGCCTTGGTTAGCGTGCATTAGTGGTTGCAGGCGGGAGCAACTAGAAGCCCGAGCCTCGGCCCGTCCGTCTCTTTGGAATCTCACTCCTCACTTTAATACAACCGCCATATCTACGGAGTACCTGGTGCATATATTGGATGGACTCTATAATGATGTTTTGTTTCTACATGGTACGACAACAGCGACGATGACTTCTTCTTCTTCTTCTTCTTCTTTGTCTTCTTCTTCTAATAGTAATATGCAACCCAACCGACGAAAAAATAAAATAAAATAAATGAAACTGTATGTGGTCCATTTGATATTAAATACATAAAAACTTGATAGAGCAACCCAACGCTCCGGCCGTTATCCAATTGGTGTCTGCATTGTCCCTTTATCCGTACGTACGTAGCGCAACAATAACCACAATTTGATCGAAATCGTACAATGCATGGCGAAACTCAAGCAAGCAATTATTTACGAGCTGCCGGCTGCTGCTGTCTCAGTGGTGGCCTTCTCGGCTTCCTTGCCCGACGACGAGCCAGCAGATGCGGCATTCTGGTTAGCCATGGCCATCTGCCAGGCTGGGATCGACGCCTTGGCCCCGGAGCCAATGGACATGCCAGAGGCTCTGTTGAATTTGTTCTGAACAGGGCCCTTGGAGGCATCAGCCTTGGGCGTGCCAGTCGCTTCCGTGGCGCTCTCAACAGGCGGGGGGGTTACTGATTGGCCGGGTGCTGTCGTGGGTGAAGCCGTTCCGCTGGTTCCGTTGACGCCATTCGATCCGTTGATACCGTTGATTCCATTGTTGCCTCGGAAGTAGCTGCTTGAGACAGAGTTATTTGAGTTGGCATTCATCCTCTGTGACACGAGAGTCTTGAGGCTGGCAAGCTCCGTGTTGATTTCGGCAAGTCGGTTGTCGGTGAGTTCCTTTTGATTGTTCATGGCCCTTGGGATGGCGTCCTTGAGGCTCTGCACTTCGTCGCGGATGCGCTGCGCGTCGTCCTCCCGGCGTTTGTTTGCTGATTTCAGCTCCGTCATGATGGTGTCCAGCTCTGCCAGCGTAATGTCCAGTCTTTCCGTCCGCTGCTTCTCGGCATCCTTCAGTGCCTCTGTGTCCTTGGAGAGTTGCTCAACCAAAGAGAAGGCCTTGTCGAACTGCTCCTCGATCGACTTCTTGTCCTGCTCCAACTTTTCAGGGGTAGGCGGCGCTACGAGGGGGTATACATAACGCTATGGTCTCGTGGTCAGTACAGCTGTGGCTCAAGACGCGCAAAGTGTTGTATCTACCTTGCCCAAGGAGTATAGCCCATAACTGACTCCGCCCACCACGGTTGCCATGATGAACCAATCTCTCCAATCCCGTTGTGTCGACGCAGGCGGCTGCCACGCATACTGGGGGTAAGATTGGTAATACTGCTGAGGAGGGCCCTGAGGAGGACCCTGGGGCGCGCCAGCATAGGGAGCCCTAGGAGCTACCGCGCCGCTGCCGCCTCCCGCTCTCGCAATGGCGGCATCAATCTCCTCCTGTGTCAGATTCTTGGTTCGAAGAAACGAGATTTTGTTTTCGACGGACGACGTTGCAACACTGGGGTCTTGTAGAACTGCGTCACTGTTAACATTGCGTTTTGGAGGGAGTGGATATGTCGAGAGTCGAAACTAACATTGTGCCTATGCATGTAACAGTCAGCCAAGAGACAAACCCGTGAGTGTTGATCACAAGGAGACGGAACGCATCACTTACTGCAGACGCCACGATTTCCTCGCGTATCGCCATGATGATGGATATCGTTGCTCTCACCGAGCCTCACAGCCACGTAGAATCACCAGAATCGACAGGAGACGCACTTTCAGGGCGATGGCGATGAAATATCGACGCTGAGAATGAAGGAGAGACGAAGAAGACAGAAGCTCTTGGATGCGACTGTATGTTGAAGCTCGGTAATTTGTGGAACCGGGATGGCTGAGCGCGGCCGCAAAAGCGCCAAAACATGCTGGACCGAGGCAACGGTACGTACCTTGTACTCTTTTGCTCTGGAAGCATCACTAATTGAGACCCACTTATTTTTTCAGCTGTTGCGCGAGTGCGATCACGTGCGCATGTGTGGCCGGCCATTCGCACTAGTCCGCTCTTGGCCAATCAGGCATTTGTTTACTTTCTCACCGAGCAACTGCCTTATCTTTTCCCCCCAATCCCACGGCCCCACGAAAGCCTTGCCTACCAAGCTTCAACATACCAAACCCGCCTCGTCAAATTTCTGTCGTCTGCTCCCGAAATTAGTCGCTACACCTACCGCGAATCGCCTGTTAGCTGCTCGGATAGCGTCGCATAACCGCAACCAGCGGCAAAGGGGAAGACTCTGCTCATAATGTCTCAAGACACGGGGCTGTGGAGCGTCCGCAGGAAAAGAGAGGTAGGTTCCCTTTCCGTCGCAATCTGGAACATCGCCGCATCGTCCGCTGACCTACGCCGCAGACGCTGGGCGGCCTCAGTACAAATAGCGGGATCCCGGCGCCAGGGTCGACGATGAAGCGCCAGAATACGGGCCACTCCAGCTACGGCACCGCTCACGGCCGATCAATGTCGGGATCTAGGCACTCCCTGGCAGTGACGCGCCCGAACCAGCCAATGTTCCAGCGCGCATCATCTGGCGCAAACCTGGGCGATCTTGGCCTGTCCTCCATCAAGCGAACATCCTTTCAACAGCCCAGAGCGACCTATAATCCGGCTGCTTTTACGCCGCTGGCCGCGAGGCCCTCAACAGACAGCGACAGACGGAGCAGCGTGTATCGTCCACGGCAATCTACAGTCGGCCCCGTAAGCCACCAGAGCTTCTTCCAAACTACACCCCAGGCAGCCGGCGTCCCTCGCGATCCGCGGCCACTGAGAGACCGATCCTTCCAAGCCCGAATCGCCCAGGAGCTGATGGACTACATGGTGCAAAACAACTTTGAGATGGAGATGAAGCATTCGTTATCGCAAAACATTCTCAAGTCACCGACGCAAAAAGACTTCAACTTCATGTTCCAGTGGCTTTACCATCGAATCGACCCCAGCCACAAGTTCCAGAAGAATATCGATCAAGAGGTACCGCCCATTCTTAAGCAGCTTCGATACCCGTTTGAGCGCAGCATCACAAAAAGTCAGATTGCAGCCGTGGGCGGCCAGAATTGGAGTACTTTTCTTGGTCTGCTGCATTGGATGATGCAATTGACCCAGATGCTCGATGGCTACGCCAGCAACCAGTATATGGATGCTTGCCTCGACGCCGGCGTCGATGTAAGCGGCGATCAGATAATCTTCAACTTTCTTAGCAGTGCATACCGAGACTGGCTAGCTATGGATGACGACATGGGTGATGAAGATGCCGAACGACTATTGGCCCCCCACGTTGAAGCCATGGCAAGGGCGTTTGAGGAGTCCAACGCAAAGTACGCGGCCGAGCTTGGGATGCTTGAGGCAGAGAACGAGAGACTGTTGAAGGAAATAGAAGACCTTGAAAAGTCAACCCCAGACCCTGCCGTCTTGGATAACCATTTCAAAATCATGGAAGAAGACCGTGTCAAGTTTGAAGACTACAACGAGCTTGCCATCCAGCGATCAGAAAAATACGAGGCGCGCATCCAAGTTTTACAAGACGAGCTAGAGAAAGTTGTGGAAGAGCTAAAAGAAGCGGACGAGGAGCGACGGGGACTTCAAAGAGCTGTTGACGACCAAGGCATTAGCATGCAGGATATCGACCGCATGACTTCTGAACGGGAACGTCTGCAAAGGGGCATCGAGTCGGCTGGACAGCGCTTGGAGGAGATTAAGAAAAAGGTCATGGAAAAGGAGGCAGAGGCCAGCCGAAGGCTTGATGAGCTGGAGCGCGTGGTCGACAAGTACAACACCATTGCCTACCAAATAGCTCTCATCCCAGCTACCGCAGCCAATGCTAAGGGCAGAGAATATGAGCTGCAGGTCACGCTGAATGAGAACGAGATGAATTCGTCCAATTGGAAAAGCTCGAGCACAACACATACCCCCGCGACAGACCGACTACTGGTTGATGCCACAACGGGCTATCAACCAGGACACGTCCTTAACCTGGATCTGAGGGGCCAAATCCGAAGCAGTTTCATATCTTTGCGGAAGGAGATTGCAGAGCGTCGAAGTGCTGTCATGGACGATATGATGAAAGACCACGAGCTCTTGGATGGTATTAAGGAGGCCATCGAGGACAAGCGGAATGAGGTTGAAGCCTTGAATCACAGAGTCAGGGCCGCTGAAGAGGAATACGAAAAGACAAAGGAGGTTGCGACAGCTCAGAAGATGGGATCTGACGCACAAATCGAAAAGATGGAAAAAGAGCTATCCAGGATGCGCGCCGGCTTGACCGAGTCCGTGCAGTTGCTAGAGCAGCGCGAGATTAACACCACCATAGAGTAAGTCTTCACCTTGCACGAAACTCACCACATACCTCTTGAGCAAATCAGAATGGCTAACACATATCACCAACGCTAGATACGAGCAGCTTGTATTACGGGCCAACTCATTACGAGAAGAGCTACACACAGAGATTGATCGTATGCTGAACGACGTGATCAAGTTCAAGATTCACGTGCAAAAGAGCTTGGACGACTACGAGGGCTTTGTGGCTGATGAGCTGGAAAAGGAGCTGGGAGGCGACGAGATGCAGGACGAAACTCGGACACTTCCCGATATATAAAGGAGCTACTCGATGTTTTGTGTGTTTTGAACGACATTTACGAGATGAAAATAGCGTTTTTGATGATGGGTGGAGTTGTTGGTGTTGGCTGGTAGAGGGGCTTTGTGTCGACTATATTTTGTGCATACCTACTTTTTGAAGATACCACTAGCAGCTGTTCTTTTCGTTGAACGAATGATGACTTGGAGGAATTTTGAATGCTTTCATTCTCCATTCAATGAGCCGGTACATTTTGATGGACTCCCCAGTAGAGGTGACTTAAGATGATGCCTGAAGGACAGGACACCTCTTGCAAAATCTGCCACATCTCTTCAGCCACGTAATTGAAGGAACTATCAGCTATCTGCCATCTTCAAGAACTCCAAACATACTAATATTACTATATATTTTCTAGTTTGTCCACTCTATGGTGTCCTATGCGGGCCGTATGACCATATGCGCACAATCCCACTGTCGGAAGCTGTCGCGAAGTAACCACCGTGGGGACTAAACACTATTTCGTCAATAATATAACATCTGTGTGCGTGGAATATGCAGTGACTTTTTCCCGTTGTGCGATCCCAGAACCGGATTGACCCGTCATTTAAGGTCGTTGCAATCCACCTATCGTCTGGCGTCATAGACACGGATAGGAAAACGAGCTCGTCATCCCTAATGTCTGAAAGACACACGCCAGTATCCATTTCCCATAATTTGAGAGTATGCTTTGCTGCGGTAACTAAATACTTGCTATCCGAAGAGAAGGCTGCTGAGCAGACTGAGTCCAGTTTGTGGCGGAGGCTTCTTCCCTCTGAAGCATCCGTCGTCAAGTCCCAAATATAAGCATTACCGATTATACAGCCTGCAGCTATAAAACGCCCATCCGGGGATATCTTAAGGTGTAATATTGGTACATTATTACACGTGGTGAATTTTTGAATTTCAGCTCCTTGTTCTAAATTCCAAAGATGAACATTTCCACCGTAATCGCCGGATGCAAGTAAACGGCTATCATTGGAGATATTAAGTGTTAAAACTTTCTCTTCGGAATAAAGAGAATATGGAGCAGCTCTCCATTCAAGATTTAATACCTGCGTTTTAAACATATTTTAGTATTTGATATCGAATAGTTTTCGATTGGTGATCTATCATATTGACGGCTTACTTACCCGGACGAGGTTATTAGACGCAGCGGCCAAGAATCGTCCATTAGGACTGAAACAAGCAACGTTAACAACAAAGTTTCGGATCAAGTTTCGGGGAAATAAATCCCGCATTATCTCAAGGTCGAAAAGTTGCCTAATTCCATTCGAGTCGCATGTCGCAATATATTTCCCGTTGTAGATGAAAGCCGTGCTAGAAACGGACCCGCGCTGTAAAGTATCCACAAGGCTGAAATATACAGGTTCCAATAGAGGGTCGATAAGGGCATACCAATCATCACCTTGTATTATGCTTCCTGCCGCTGCAGTGCGATCTTCGATATTGAAAGTTTCCTGAGCAAAACTTAGAATTGCTTGATACCTTGTCCACAGGTCGCTTAGGATTCCGGCCGCAGATATATGCTTTTGCTCTTTAGCCCATGAAATCGCCCCCTGAACTTGATCGTCCGTGAATCCTTGGTACGCGTTCGGGGGAAACAACAGCGCTCTGATGATCTTCCCATCACCCTTTTTAATGGCCATATGTAGCGCTGTTAAGCCGTCGTGATCCTCTATATTCATATCAGCGCCGGACTCAATAAGAAACTGCTCGGCAATTTCTAATTGCGTACCATCGGCCGGATTATTCTGGTTGTCGAGACCTCCACTTGATAAGTCGCTTCGTGCTGTTGAAGGCCTTGTTTGATCAGGTTGACGTTGGGAGGAATCTGCTGAATCCTCGTCTTCAAAGTAGTCTTCTGCAGACTGGTCTCCCAACCAACATTCTAAATATCGCTTGAAGTCGTCAAGGTTGAATGACTTATTGACTCTGCGACTTCTTGATACCTCGCCAGTGCTGGGTATCGAGATCATAATTTCCTCCATGCCTCTGATAAGGGAGTCTATGTTGAACAATGTCTCCGCCATGTTATGGCCTTTACTACCGGTCTCCAGGTGTTCATTTAAAACAATTGAAAGGAGATTGAAGTAGCCACTTAATATTTCAAGGCAATGAAGCTGAAAGCTAGAGTCGAGAGATACACTAGACTTGGCCTTGGCTTCGACATTATCAATCCACGAGCTGAAACGTGCCAGTCTGGTTTTCAACTGGTCCTGATAGTCTATGTCGTTTGTGTCTGTTATTGCCTCATGAAACTTTTCAAGACATTGCTGCACGAGGTTCGAAACAGATTCGACAGCAGACATGGTGAGAGCTGATATGCGTTGATGGATGTCAGAAATCGAGGCACACGGAAAAGAGTGATGAGATTAAAGTGGTGAAACCCTGCGAGCTCGAACAGGTGCTGCAGCTAGGTAGGTAATAATTATATATGATATTCCATCAATCAAGGGAGAGAGCTCTCCTTTTATAGATTTGTTCAACCCACAATTACCTAACCCAAATTTTGTTGCGTCCTTGTTGCTAAAAAGCTCCTTGGTCTTTGACAATGAATTACGTCCTAGTTATCTATTTCTCCCTCTGCACTTTGCCTTATGTTGGAATGTGGGCTAATTTCCGGGCTTTGTTGCAACACATCTTACAAAGCAACTAGGCCTGGCTGCAAAGCTCACAAAGCAGAGTATTTTCTTTGCCATCACATATCCATTTGTAACATCCGAAGCGGCATTTTCCTTTGTATCACAGGGCTTTGTGGAACCTCAATCGTATGCCCTATCTGACCAATCCAAGCTTTCCAACACCTTAGCTAGTTTTTCTATCTCTGTCATCACACATTTTCAGATACACAGTCACGTTGCTTTCTTTTGCAGTTGAGATTAGTGCCTTTGGTCATCTAGTTTATTTTATCCCTTTGCCTTCGTCGTTCCTTTGTGACCTCATCGTCACCCCCCACAGGAAGCGCAAGTGAAGAGAGGAAGCCTCAGTGTTGCCCAAGCTAGATCAACACTTACGTGAAAATATCAGACATAAGAGCACAAATGAATTTGGTTTAGGATGTAATTATCTATATTAAGAGGCATTTACATATGCATGTATGTACATGGGTATGCATCCTAGGCGGGGAATGAGAAACGAGGCTGAGAGTCGCACGTTGCTCCAGATTTGGGCATCAATGCTTCCTTGGTCAACAAGGCCACAGTCGAGCGTAGTACCTAGTTTCCCCGTCTTGAACGGTCCGGCCCGAACCAACTAACTACATACGCTTTCACCATTGAAGTTAAGTACCATGGGTGCCTGGGGCTTATTCGGAACTCCCGAGCCGGTTGATACAGAGGATATATACAACCTATTCACTGCAGTTCTGCCTAGTTTCATTGAAGTAGGCCAGGATTTTTCAGCGGACTCTGACGATAAAAGCACAGCAACGCTGGGATTTTATATTCGGGTTACACGCGACGCCGAACGCTTACATCGATATCTTGCAGCCTGCAATCCCACCGAAATCGTATCGTGAGATTTAGAAGAGAATAAAAAAGTTCAGGTCATTCTATAACATGTTCTAAGACGGCTCGAGGACAGCTTCTTGTCCGGGAAGGGCAAAGGGGCTGAATATCTGCGCCTCGGACTTGAAACAGGCAAGGTGATATATATCCAAAGCTACGTGCCCTCCGAAGAGTACTACCCGAAGATGAGGACATCTTCAAGGACTTTGGCAGCAAACTGAATTCCATCGTTTGCATGGATCCCGGCAATGCCGAGAAGAAGGAAAAAATTCTAAACGCTTTCGTCGTAGCGACCTCGTTCTTCGAAAAACTTGATATTGAGTCCAACTCCGTGTGCCCCGTCAGGTTCTCGAACTATCCTTTCAAACATATACGAGCAATGACCGAGACACTCTTTAAAGTGCTGAAAGCGAAGTGGTCCTGCACGTGCAGAATCCATGCTAACCGCAAGGCACGCCTGAGCCTGACCCAACATCGGCGATTCGAGACGGTGCCCAGCCAGGGCCAAGTCCTTCTAAACAAAAAGACCATTTTTCGGGTATTGTTCTCAACTAAATCGTTGAATCGTGAATGACAAGATATGGAGATTATTGCCAAGACCTAGAGTGAGTTGGCTTAACCTAATTCTATGTCCTGAGCCCAGCTAATCAAGTGGCTATATATACAAGGTAGTCATGAGAGCGACGACCATAAGGAAGTTGAGCATGACCTCTGTAATACTATAGATGTCTGCCGCGGAATTCGCACAAGGGTGGTAATCTATTCGAAAACCCTGTGGACATTACGGTCCGACATTGATAACGATTCTTGTCCTCAAATAGAGGATAGAGAATTTAAGTCTCTGAAAGAGCTACTTAAGCCGAGTCCAGGTAGCGGCAAATCCTCACTGTCATCAATCGAGAGGAAGGGCTGGATCAAGGCCATCTATCCGGATTAAAGTCATCCAGCTAGTCGAGATCATCTAGCTAGTTAAGGCTATCCCGTTTAATCAAGGTCATCTAGCTGGATCAAAGCTATCCAGCTGGATCAAGGTTATACTTATAGTAAAAAGAAAAGCATCGTAGCATAGCAAAAGAATATTGTAATATAGGGCTTTCACTTTACAAAGTGACAGTATATATTTATAAATAGAAGCTTTATTGTTCTTAGATATATAGTAAGCCAGGAGGGATACTTGATGAGCCGTCCTTAAATATTCCACTCTATGGCTGCCTAGGCGGACCGTATGACCATATACGCACAGTCCCATCGTCAGAAGCTGTCGCAAAATAACCACCGTGGGGACTAAACGCTATTGAACGAATTGCGTTCTTATGCGCGTTGAATATATAGTGGCTTTTCCCCATTGTGTAATCCCAGAAGCGGATAGATCCGTCCATTGAGGCAGCTGCAATCCACCTATCGTCTGGCGTCATACACACCGATAGGAACTTGAACCCATGCCTAGAATTCTCGATCTCTGAATGGCATTCGTCAGCGTCCAGGTCCCATAATCTGAGGGAATCCCCTCCACCAGTAACTAAATATTTACCATTCGAAGAGAAGGCTATTGACTCGACCTCCCCTCCGTGGTGAAGTGTTCTTTTCTGTGCGTTTTTCCTCTTCAAGCCCCAAACACAAGCAGAGCCCCGGTTGCCACCTGCAGCCACAAAACAGCTATCCGGGGATATCTTAACACAATTAATTCTTGCGTCAACAGTCTTCAGTTCCTTTTTTTTCACTCCTCTTTCCATATTCCAAAGCTTGGTAGTGCCACAGCCATCACCAGATGCAAGCAAACGGCCATCTTTTGAGACATCAAGTGCATGAATGCTCTCCTTGTGAACAAAAGAATATTGGGCGGTCTTCGTTGTAATATCCCATACCTGTATTTTAAACATGATTTAGTATTCGGCATCGAACAATTTTCTATTGGTGATCCGATTGACGGCTTGCTTACCTTGGCGTATGCTTGAGCTGCAGTGATTAAGGATTGTCCATCAGGAGTGAAGCAAACGGGATAGACTCTGGCGTCTATATTCAAGTCTAGGTGACATAGACATGCCTTCGTCATAGTGTCGAAAATCCGCATATCTCCTTGGTAGCTGCCAGTCGCAAACTGCGTCCCGTTGTGGTTGAAAACGACACTGGAAACTCTGGATCTATGCGGCAAAGTTTTCACAAGGCAGAAAGATGCAGGTTCCAACAGAGAATCGATAAGAGCATACCAATCATCACCTTGTATTATACTTTGTGCTGCTGCAGTGCGATCTTCAATACTGAAGGTCGCCTGAGCATGACTCAGAATTGACTCGTATCTAGCCACTTGGGCGGCAGATAGGTGCCCTTGCTCTTGAGCCCATGAAATTGCCTCCTGGACTTGTTCATCTGTGAATTCTCGGTGGGTATTGGGAGTAAGCAACGCGCTGATAATCTCCCTACTACCGTTTTGAATGGCCATATGTAGCGCTGTCAGGCCGTCGTGATCTTTGGTATACACATCAATACCGGACTCAATAAGATGCTGCGCCATTGGCATGTCACTTTGCTCAACAGCTAAGAAGAGCGCCGTTCGGCCGTGTGTATCCCGTGTATTTATATCGACATCAATCCTGAGGAGCTGCTTGACAACTGCTATGTGCCCTCCCTGGATAGCAAGTTTCAAGGCTCTTTTCCTTTCTCTGCGGCCTTTTTTAAAGATTCGGCCATCTTCAATCAGGGAGCGAATGGCATCCTCATCCCCTCGCGCCGCGGCTGCATTTAAATTTATTCCGGTTTGCATGGTGTCGTCCTGGCTGTTCTGATTATCGAGATCTCTACCTGACGCATCACTCCATATCATTGAGGATCGCGCTTGAGCAATTTGGCATTTGGAAAAACCTTCCAGCTCCTTGTCTTCGAAGTAGTCGTTATTTGCAAAGTAATCATTTGTAGGGGTATCATTTCCATTCTCTTGCATCTCATGATTCATTTTGTCGAAAGATGACATTGCGAGTTCTTTTCCAGATTCTTGTAAAGAAGCGAGCCAATTTTCAAGACGCTTAGCGTTAAAAGTGTCTTCTGGTAGGGAGTACGTTCCTATCGGCTTATTGAGGTTCTCCATAACAGGCTGTGGCCAGGGAAGAGCGCGAAGAGCAAACTCATACGCATGACGCACCACATGGTCAACTAACTCTGGCGAGTCTCGTGGCCCTTTTGATGGGCACAACGGACACGATTCGATGCCCATGTATCTCACTTCAGCTGAGGATACAAGGAATGAAAGATCGTATTTCAATAGTGCTTCCTTGTGCTGAGTCTTTATATGCGTAGTCAGATCCTCCTCTGATGAATAAGGCTCATCACCTTCATCGCATAAGAGACATTGCCACTGAGGCGCGTGGTCGTTCTCAACATGGAGTTCCCATGCTTTCCTGGTTGTAAAAAGCATATCCGGTGTAGGGCATGACTGCGCGATACAAGTGTATGGACACAAGTCATCGATGAGATGTTGGCTACCCGAAGAATATGAGATTTGTTTCTAGTTGTTGATCAATGAATATTCAAGGGGTATTATCTTACCTCCATCTACTAGCAGAATTTCGAAAACCCTCACTAGGCAGAGACTGACAACAACATGGACATTTGAACACGAGCTGATTTTGACAGGACACGGGAGCTCTCGGGAATTCAGTGTTGGCAGCAATGCGTGAGATTTGGGAGTGTGCAATGGTTGGATCTTTGGTTGAATTGAACGCCAAAGTCCCCTCAGCCGTTGATGCTGTTGTATAGCCAGTCACCGTAGGCGGCGTTTTGTTTTTTATTAGCTTGTCTTTAGGTTCAAAGGATGCGGACATCTTGATTTGGTCTACAACAGAAGCTGTAGGTGTGATCTGTGAGATTTTGAGAGGAGCAGCGTCAGCCTGTTGTTTGTCTGCTGTTAACTTGGATGGTGCTGTCTTTTTGACACGCTGAGACCTCTTTTGAGCCAGCAAAAAAATATGTCTGCGTCTTAGGTTGGCCTCAATCAGTCGTTTTTGAATATCGGTCAGTTTGGAAGAGTCGAGATTTTCTATCCTGGATTCAGCTACTTGCTCAAGCTTGGCCTTCAACATGTCATTTTTCTCGCTTGGCTCAGCTGGTTTGGAATCAGATAGTTCGAGTCCAGTTAGCTGAGGCTGGTCTTCAGCGGGTTGAAGTAGAACCAAAAATTCTAGATGCTGCTTGAACTCATGATGCTCGTCAGGGTTGAACGACTTATTGGCCCTGCGATTTCTTGATGCATTGCCGGTGCGGCGTATCGCGACTCCAATTTTCGCCAGGGTTTTAATGATGGAGTCTATATTCGCCAATCCCTCTGCAGTGGGAAGACGTTTATCGACGATGTCCATGTACTCATCTAAGAGATCGGATAGAAGATTCAAGATATCCCTCACTAGACCCAGGTCTTCCGGTCGCGACCTAAATCTAGAGTCGAGAGATGTGCCATCCGTTTTATTCGCCTCAACGTTATCTACCCACAAGTTGAAACCCGCCAGTCTGCTTTCCAAGTGATCTTTATGCTCCGTATCACCTTTGCCCGTCATTGCCTCTTGGAATTTTGTAACGCATCGCTGCGCGATGTCTGAGATGGAAATTATGGTAGACATGGTGAGAACTGACGTGTTTTGATGAAACAGGGGAGCAAGATGAATAGAGCTAACACCAGCGCTGCTCAAGCTAGATCAAGGAGTATGAAAAGAATATCAGAGAAATTTGAGCCAGTCAATCTAAATAGGATGTGTTCATAAATATTAAGAGGGGTTTACGCGCCATGTACTCCCATGTACAAACGCGTGCGTCCGAGGCGGGGAATATGAAACGAGGCTGAGAGTTGCACCTCGCTCTAGATTTGGGCATCAATGCTTCGTTGTCTGTGTAACATCAATGGTCACAGTCGAGCGGGGTATATATACCCATTTCATACAGAGTCTGCCAGAGCATTTGTTTTTGTATGCTCCGTCTAGTTGAAGACGACATGGAGAATCCCTCGAACAGCCGCGATGCTTTTTTGCATTGGGCACTCAAAATCTCTCGAATTCTAAGAAAGGCTATGAGAGATACGAGCTTGGATTCAGCGCGGCGATGTGTTGTATCAGAGATTGTTGCGAACCTGGCCCTGGCTTGCAATGCCATCGAATCGATTCCGATCTACTGGATAGAGCCTGAAGTTCACAAAATGTGTCAAATCCTCTTAGATGATTTTGCTGACATAAATAGCGTACGTCTATGACGATCCCAAACGACTAATGTCTACAAATATAGTACAGAAAGGCTTATTGGAAGTTTAGTGGGTGAAAAGTGAGCGGCGGAACCATCTCTTCGACTTCGATCCTCTTCGAATGCTTCTCGGAAAGGACCGGTTGGGGGAAATTTCTATCATCTCCTTTTTCAAGGACTTGAATGCTGGAAATATTATAGCCGCCATCAGCCATGATTGCTCTCACCTTGCTAAACTAATAGCTCCTAATAACGAAGGTGATGGAGACGGTGTGCGAGCCACGTATAGTCAAAGACCAAAAACCCACTTCATTGATTTCACCAGAGATCTATTCAAAGCGCTTGAGATTCACATTAAATGTGAGCTTGACAGGCAAGATTATCATAAGAGTCATGCATGGCATCCCGCAAGATTGTGCTTGATCGAGGAGGAACATGACTCTCCCTCCATCAGTCTTCTTATATCTCCGATGCAGATGGCCTACTGGCAGGACTTCCACCTGGTAGTGTAAGTTTCTATTTCACCGCCCAAGCACTTACATATACTAACAGTTGATAAGAGAGCCAAATAATAGCACTGTTGTTGACGATAATACGGATTCTCAGCCAGCATTTTGCAATCTGGTAGACACTCAGTATTGTGCTCGTGTAGAGGTTGGCTTCGATGTTTCCAAAGGCCAGTTTCGGTTTCATAGGAACAAATTCTTGAAATCTGAAGCCGGGTCTGGGCATGGAGAAAGCCTTGCCGATGTGCTACGCGAACGCCAACTGATGCCCAAGGAGAAAGTCATATTAGCATACACCATTGCGCAGGCTTTCTATCATTTCTATGACTCAGACTTGATGCGTATTAAGTGGACGAGCGAGGCCATTTGGTTTATGCCTCCCACTACGGGAAAAGATGAGATTCCATTACGACCATACTTGATATTCCCCTCTGGGATTCCAGACGACCCGGAGGAAGATTTTGTTGATAATCCGAGACTTGTTCATCAGCATCCCCGTATTTTGGCTTTTGGGATACTGCTACTGGAAATCGGCCATTCGAAACCTTTTCAATCGATTCCCCAGCTCAATAGTATCGCACAAGCCAACTGCGACCACAAGATCGCTGATAATTGGCTGAAAGATCTGAAAGCAACTACATGGGATGAGTTTGCGTACAAATCGTTCTTTGATGTTGCAATAGAATACTGCATTCGAGAAGCCAAACTCCTCGTTGACAGGCAGGACAATCCCAGTCCTGTTGGCACAGCTACGGATCCGCTAACTCAAACATTACCGGATAATCAAAATGGAGTTCTCAAGCGAAAGGAGAGATTCTATAAACATGTGGTGCGTCCATTGAAATACCTGGCCGAGATTGGCTTCAACCATAACATTGGAAACACACTATGCATTCGCAAGAAGCCAAGGGTAGACCGCCTGAACACAGATTTACCAAACGAATTGTCTCTACTCGAGGAATCCTTTCATTCTGGGAACACTGTAATGCCTGAAAAGTGGCTTAACGATTTGAATTCAATTGGCAGGATGATTGCACGACAACAGCGAATCCACAAAGTGGAGAGGGCTATCAGCGTGGCAATCCTAGATACCGGCATTTACTTGGACGATGACGACAGCATGCTACCGCGTATTAAGAAAACGCGAGATTTTGTTGACAATTCACCCACCAAAAAGACAGATACGTTTGGTCACGGCTCCTTGATGGCAAAATTCGTCATGCATTGTGCCCCCTCCGCTGAAATCATCATCGCCCGTGTGGCGAAAGACACGAAAGGGCTGGGTGGCAGTCAAGAGAGAATTCGAGATGTAGGTTAATATGTATTGTGGCATAACATCCTTAGACATCCCGCTAACAAAGTGTGACATAATAGGCAATCCTATGGGCCGGTAGAGACTGCCAGGCCGATATTATTTCCATGTCATTCGGATTCCCAAGGGATCATGAAGGCATCAGCACTGCTATCAATACGGTCCAATCGGAACGAAATGGATCTGTGCTTTTCCTAGCCAGTGCTGGTAACTCCTCTTTTGAGGGTGAAAAATTCCCTGCTCGCCACTCTTCGGTCATATCTATCCATGCTGCTAATTGCCACGGCACCTTCATGGAGACAAATCCGCGGCTCCCCGATGGGGCACCTGCTATATGGGGTACTTACGGAAGCGACATTCCGGAAGAATTCTTCGCAGATATACAGGAAAAGTATCCTAATGTTTGTCGGCCCGGATCATCAATTGCCACAGCTGTGGCGGCGGGTATCAGCGCTTCTATGGTTGCGTATGCAGATCTTTTGCCCTATCTCGAGCCATCTGCGAAAGGAAACTACAGATTATCACGACTTAAGCTACTTCGAAGGAAGAGCGGTATGGAAGCGCTATTCAAGTCCATGGTGGTGAAGAATGAAGGCAGTCGAATGTGGTTTTTAGATCCAATTTCATTCTGGAGGGATACATCGGACCAAGATCCTGCCAAACATTTTGCGAGATACTCTAAGATCTATTCATGTCTGCAATATGTCAACTCCCAACAGGCGGATATTTCTCAAAGCTTCTAGTTCGTTTGTGTCGGTTAATGGTGTTCCTAGGCAATGTGACGCCGCCCATGATTGACGAACAGGCTCACGTATAAATTGTGGGAAAAGAGTATAAACAAATCATAATGTAACTCATTGCATCTGAAATATATAGAGAAATAGAGGTATTCATTTCGTATCTGTTTTATGTACTCATGAGTCGCCCGCTATCTTGAAAGTTAATGTAATTGGTTCTGGCATTGCTGTGATGCAATAATGCCAAAATTATACGATATCCAATCATTGAACCGTCTGTTATCGTGCCTAATTGAATTAGGCTGCGATGCATAAATTGGACGCCTTCTATATCATGCCCGTTGCAGTCCTTGCAATTGGAGCCCGACTGGAAAACTCTTACTCTTACAACATACCTTTTAAGCTATGAGAATTTCCCCTGCCTCATGAACAATGGCACAAAAAATCTGGTTCTTTCCACCAAGCTTCAACTTTCTTCCTGATGGAGAGGTTTCATTAGGCTCGATTATTCCTCATCCAAGCAGGCCTACCCTCTCACTCGCCTCGCTCGACTCAGAATCTCACCCAGAAATTGCCCTCCCCAAGATCAATACTTTCACGGAATCTGACCACTTGCACTCCCAAAATAAGAGCACGTCACTTACCACACAAACGTTCCTCAAACTCGTGAGTCTAGCCTTGCAGGTCGGAAATGTGCATGCATCTCGCTTCACCAAAACGACATATGGCAGTATAGATCTCGAAACGAGAGCATTTGGTAGTGGCATGAGCGAGGATACATTGAAAGCGATCGTGGGGTTGGCTCGGGTAAAGAAGCATATAGACGGCGGCATGTTTGGCAAGCGGCCCGTCTATATCATTTCGGGATTGCGAATTGCCAAAGACTCCTTTCAAGTGACTAGCGAAAGCGGATCGACAAATTCAACATCGGCGGGAGTCTCTACGTCTACAGTGACGGGTCCTCCTCCTGTTACTGGGGGAGGTAATGTCACCTCCAACAGAGAGCAAGGCAAGAACGACAGTTATAAATCTGCTCCTGGAGTCGTGTTTGCGTACAGGTTGCATGTAATTCGAGTTAAAGGGGACGGTGATATTGAAGCTGAGCTGTTTTCTCACAGAACGGCTTTTCTTACAGGTGAAGGTGAAGATGAGGACTCCGAAGAGGAATGGGAGTATGGAGAGGTGTCTAAAAATGTGTTGCTTGAGGACTTGGAAATTGATCCAGATTTTAATGAATATTCGATGGGAGAAGAAGGGCAGGAATCCTGTATTGCATTCAAGCATTTTTAATCACGGCTTTGGTATTTCTGATTACCGATATTTAACGGTGCCTGGAGGAGACAATGGAGAACATGTAACCCTACTGGAAATATCCCAGAAATAGAATGTTCTCACGATACATGTGCCTATGCATAAAGACTCTAGTAATAAGATTCTACCTGCAAGTCAAAAACACCAATGCCGTAACACCAAAACCATAGCGTGAGTATATGGAGAGGGTTATCGAAAAATATGTAAACTTGAAGCCAAGCCTTAACTTTGCTACCTTTAGTCTAGTCGATGAGTGGCCTGCCACATATATCCAATATATGCCACGCCGTAAAAGCCCGTACAAGGGTAATTATTTGTATTTATATGACGCACAAGATGGAGACGTGAAAGATCAGGGTGTGCTGCCCCAGATATCAAATTTGCTCGGAGCGAAACGCTCTGGAGTTCGAGACTGCAACTGCTGGTCAGATGATTTACCTTTCACGTTGCATGCAATTGTCCAGTTGCCATCCAGATACCTTGTGCAATGTCACGGTTCAAGCTTTAGCTATTGTGAGCGCATTGACGCCGTGTAGATGTCGTTTCTTGTTTCCTGATCCGGACAGTTCTCTTTCTACCCATCAAGATACTTTGGGCGCGCTGACTGTGAAGCCCAAGGGTGATGGTGGTGGATGAAAGCCAGGGCAAGGAAGTCAAAAAGCCTGGTATATAGGAACAGGGAGTGGGAAAAGACAAGCATCACAGAGAAGATACGCCAGGTTCTCTTTGAGTCTGTGAGTCAACCTGTTGGGCTTCGTGAGCCGCGCATTGGCCGTTACGAGAATGACGCTCGAGCCTACGAGGACTCCTATGACAAAACTTCTGGACCTGCAGCCAAGACCACCTGAGGTGCTAGGACCGAAAGGCCCATCACCGAGCTATCGGTGTCCTCTTGACAGCTGAGATTTCTTTGACATAAGGAACCCAAATTTGAAGAAGAATAGATATGCTTAGCTGAAATCCTTTGACAAGCTGTTGGCGCCTCTGGCACCAATGAAAATGATGGTGCTCAGTGTGCTCATGAAGCCGCTGTCCAAGTTATCGTCTTCAGGCCGTTTTCCATTCTTTGTTGTGCGCGTTCATGTAGCTTTGGATACAGGTATCAAATTTCCACCATACATCAACAAAGAGCATACCATTGTCTAGTGTATGTCAAAGGATTGGACTCACGCGCGGATGAAAACTTGATACCAGTCTGTTATTTTATTACATGTATATAAGGCAGCACTTACTCTGAGTACATGTGTCTAAAGCACCTGCAGCGTACAAGCCCCTCCTATTAAGATCCTCAAACGATGACCATGGATAAAAAGGAGCCGTCCGATGCCATGACTTCGGATGAGATGCTCTTAGATATCCGAGAAAAATTTAATCGATGCACTAAGATTCTACAAAGCATATCCAATGACGATAGAACCGATGCCGCCGAGGCAAGAGAGCAAATGGCAAGCATTTACACATGGGCTGTGGATATGGGCGTATTCTGTGAAGCCCAGCTACAGTCGATTGATTCTCCATTGAAACGCAATCCGAAAACAGGTTATCTGGTTAAACGCCTTCTCTCCGCACTTGAAGCCACACTTGGTAATTAAAACCTTTCACATTCGCTAAGTTTAAGTAAAAAAAATTTTAATGTTTGAATATAGAAGGCCTGAAAAAAAGCTCAATCAGCCTCGAGTCCAATGATTCTCCAGGACGTTCCTCTTCCCGATTTACATGTAGGCTACCTCAGCCATCGAAAGACAACAAAGCGCCATGGGCAGTGTCCTGGAGCTCTATTAAGAATCTTATCCACAGCCTCTTTGTTTTCATCTTACTCCAGAATCAAGTTGGATATTGTCATAGCGAAGAACAAACTAAAAAAATTAAAACCTTCTCTCAGAATAAAGAAATATATAGCCTATTTAAGAGTTATGCGAGGCAAAAGATTGATAAACTTATTCCCAACGCTAGCTCAATGCTCCGGGAGCGCATGGTTGAGTCGATTGCAACAAGGCGGATCCGGTTTCTGTTTATCGAGCAACATCACAAAACGACTTCTATTCAAGGTGAACCAGCAACAGCGTTCCAAAAGAAGGAACCGAAGCCCTGCGAAGGGGAGAGCGCTCAAGCAGTGCCGCCAGCTGATCGTCAAGAAGTAATACGGGGTGGTATTACCCCTATTAAGTGTTATTTGGATCCGAGCACACAACCAAGCGTGATACCATCTCTAACGTTTACGAAGCTTGAAACAGAAAACCCCCAACCAGCTCAGGGCCAGCACGTGGATTCCGTGTCATCTGCGGAATATTCGACAGCGATAGACCCTACATGCGCCTCATTTACTTGCCCATACTGTTTTCTTATCTATCCACTAGAAGAAGCCAGTAGACCAAGTCTGTGAGTATACATGTAGTTTTGAAGGGCATGATTTCGCATTGCTAATTCAATGACTCAGCTTAAGTCGGGGCCATCTAATTCACGACTTCGAACCTCTATTCTGCGTATTTGACTCCTGCTCGTCACCATTCATGAATACAAGTGCAGCTACATATGATGACTGGTTTGATCATATACTTCATGACCACACAAAATCTCAATGGCTTTGCTGGCTTTTCGGCATGACTCCTAAACCACTTCTTGAAGAATGTCCCTTTTGCGGCGAATTCCCGGCGGAACTTGAAAAGGCTTATCCCGACCAGAAGAGTGATCAGGCATACAAAGCTTTGGTGGAACATATCAGGGATCATCTATTCATGGTGGCAATGGACTCTATTTCCAGTTAAACAAGACGAGCGCCGGATGGACAGGGTAAAGGCTACATATATATGGTTTTAATTTACACAAATAGCTTGGTAGTCTAGACACATGGGTGATACATAGTTAAGGAGATTATTTTATTCTATTCGTATATATCCCTTTCTCCAAATCAGTTACATTGGTTAACCGATAATCTAGGAGAATAAAACGGTTCAAATAAGGCCCATTGAGGCGCCGCCTAGTTTTTGTTTCCTAGGTCTAATGTAAATAAGCAAACTTGATATATATGTACATGCAGTCACTCAGTCCTACCGAAGTGCCAGGTGGGGATGGAACTTGGGCTATTGGTGTATATGCTCAATGGCAACTGGATTACTGTGAGCCTCGTAGGTGATGTCGAACCTCCGCCCTTTCAAAGTTATCAAAGAGTTTCGGTCTCGATGGAGCGCGGTCAAGAACAAAGAATCGGGCACAGTGGCGACCAATGTATGCCTGTATGTATCCGCTGCTAGAGACACAGGCCTTGGGGTTGTAGAGGTCAACAGGGCTTCTTTGACATATGCAGCCTAAAGCTGAAGAAGAACAAAGAGTTGACTCTTGGCTGAAATCCTTTGACAACTTGGCCTGCTATTGGCATTCCTGGTACCAATGCAACAAATAGCAGCTAGTGTTATCATGAAGCCGCTGCCCAAGTTATCATCTGCGGCCGATACATTCGATGTATTCTTTGTTGAGCACGTGGTTTTGGATATAGGCTGCCATGTTTCACCATGCATTCATAAAGAGCGGACCTTTGTGCCTATTGCATATTAAAGGATTGGGCTAAGCGCGGATCAAACTTGAATCAATCTGTTGTCTCATTACATCAGGTATATAAGGCAGCCCCTACTCTGAGTACATGTGTTTAAGATTTAAATCAGCGTACGCAAGCACCCCCCATCGTTCTTTCATCAAACGAGCCTCAACACGATGGCCATGGAGAAAAAGAAGCTGCCAGTTTCGGTGACTTCGGATGAGATGCTATCAGGCCTGCCAGCAATATCGGCTCGATGCAAGACACTTCTACAAAATCTATCGAATGATGATAGCAACGACACCGCTGAGGCTAGAGAGCACCTGGCGAGCTTTCACATGCTGCAAGTATGAACGCGTTCTGTGAAGGCGAACAATCGATTGCTTCTCGGCTAAAGAGCGCACCTGATGTAAGTGGACTGATTTATCGACTTCTCGCCGCGCTTGAGCGCAATCTTGGTAACTAGAACCTTTTACACTCACAGAGCCTTAGCGACAAATCTCTGATATTTTGGTGCAGGAAAGGCCTCGCAAGTAGAAGAAGAAGAAGATAGTTCATCCGAAACCGGGTCTGATTGTCCTTCAGATCGATCCTATCCCCCGTATGGGGGAATCCAAACCTCGGAAAACGACGAAGCACCTCCACTGCATCAGTCAAAATCCTGGACCTCTATCTATCACGCTATGACCAGCCTCCAAAATCTCGCTGTATGCATTAATAAATATGGAGTCCAATGTTTCAATATACCTCGAAGAAGGTTATCCAGAGCAGAAAAGTGATCGGGCATATGAAGCTTTGGTGAAACATGTCAGTGACCATCTCGGCTTTGTGGCTTTCATGCCTCTTGAGGTTATAGCGGGGCAAGAGCTAGCCGGCTAGGGTTGAAATAACTTATTGGAGGCTTCTATTTTTTTATTTTCATTCTCTTGTTGGTAGATGAAAGAAATAGAAGAACAGTGTTTATTAATCATCTGGGTTGATAGCTAATGAGATCATTTTACTCGAATACATTCCTTTCTTCAAATTATATAGCTATATTGGTCAACTGTTAACCTAAGAGAATAAAACAGTTCAAATAACTACCATTGAAACGCCATTCAGCCCGTGCTGCCCAGGTCTAATGTAAATAAACAAGCCGGTTCATGTAACGAGTATCTTTGTGAGACTCAGGTTGAGGTGCCCATTCCCCATCAGGCCTCATGTCAGGGGCCATGCCTTGTGCTGTATCCCACAAACGAACCGCCCTTCCTGGCGGAATATTTGACATCTTTCTGATTCGTGGTGACGCACGGGCTTCTTCGGGACAATATGCCATAGTGTCCCAGGACCAATCTGCTGGCAGCCGGGATGTGTTGAGAATGTGATAGGCATAGACTCCCAGCTTCCATTTCCCGCGTTGCCAAAGTATATTAATATAATAGTCTGTCAGGCATATAGGACAAGACAGGATTGTTCCATGAAGTCTCGAAAAGGCATCTTCCGAAGGGGAATCCTGATTGCCAAGCATCAACCGACCAGTATTTACATGGCGGCAGATGGAGAGCAGGCCCATGTCGAAATACTCTGCCGGCTTCCTAGTACCGTCAAGGGTCAAGATAGTTTGAGAATACAGTGCCAGTTGATCGTCGACAATCCGGGCATTCCATGATTTGACATAATTCACATTACGGCAAGAGCTTTTCAATGGCCAGCGAGGTACCAGCAGCTCAGCCGGATAATCATGAGGGGAACCACTGCGATGGGCATCCATAACCTTGCGCGCAAGCTGGAAAGGCACACTGAGACAATAGTCAAAATAGAGAGTCCTTAAATGCTGAGGACTTAGGTATGCGCCATAAAAGTCATTGCAGGTAAGGAAGTGTGCGAGAAACCAGTAATCTTGATCTGAAATTGAGTGGCCGTTGCTGCAGTCGTTGCAGTAGTATTCGGTTTGGCCGGTTCCTAGCAAGGTATTGACTCTCCATTGCCTCAAGAGAGAATAAGGAAAGTATTGGGCATAAAAGCCTTGATGGGCCACAAACAAGCAAACACGCGGGTTTTCCTCAAGGTGACTTTTGATGAGACTAACGATCTCGATGCTGCGCTTGGTGTTCTCGGACTGAGGAGGGTGAGTTTTAGCATCACGTTGCCGAAATAGGGTCCAGCAGAGGATCCGACAGGCTTCCTTTCCGGAACCCATAGTTGATATCAAAGGAAAGGCAGATGATGGGTAGTGGTCTCGGCGAGATGGGATAATATGAGGATGGGTGGATAGAAGGAGGAAGATGGAGGAATACGGCCACCATGGGAGGGGAGCGGCTTTATATACATGGACAGAATCATTGAAAAAAACTCAATATTGCAAAGGCTTCAAATAGAAAGTTTGAAGCGCAAGATAGATTCACTACAGGAAGAAAGATTTAAGACGTGGTGGCTGTACTGGGACGTCTTGTTGTAAATGAAGGTTTGGAGCAGCGCAAGTTGAAGGTGTTGAACAGCCTGCCATATAGAAGGAAATATGCTTTGTGGAGTTGCGCTTTAGTTTTCACAATGGCTTCATTTGGGAATTGTGTTCCAGGTTTCATCTTGTGTAGGTGTTTCTTTGGGTCCTCATCACGGTGGCTGTTTTGTCTCTGCCTCTTTGTGGTGATGAATCACGGTATATTCCACGATATAAGTGGAATAAAAACCTAAAATGATGTTTGAAGGAATACCAATAACAGCGGGATTCAGTGTCAAATAGATTGAAAGGGTGGCAAAAGCATGGCAGATAGGTTGTCCGCTGGCAGAGATTCGGAATCATGGAGACATGGTGTAATATCCACCAGGAATGAACAGCGCTGATAAGATGAGCTATAAATAGAATGAAGCAAGGAACACAATTCTAGAGCTTCAGTATACGCAAGATGTAGTCTGATATCAATCAAATGATTAGAAAGATGGTATAAAGCTTAAGGGGCTCTTTGGCCTGCTCATCACTTCAGCCACCAGCACGTTTCGCAGGCTAGAAATCGGCAGGAAAACAAATACAAAAGTAGATTTGCTAACTCAACCTGGCAAAGGGGTTGAGTGCAAGGAGGGCGCATTGTCAAAAGGCAAATCCAAGATGTGGTGGCTGCGAAAAGGAAGCTTACTCAAGCCGAAGTGGAAGGCTAGAGTGCTGCAGTGTAGGTTGTTGAGATGGAGTTGAACGAATTACGTGGAACTATGAATGAGATGCTCACTAGATGTAAGTAAGTTTATTGGAAATGGGTAGATGTACTAGATTTGGGCCAGACTTAGTGAAAATGGGCATATCTAAGGTAGTAAGTGTAGAGATTCTATTCGAGAGAGGGTGGAGAGTATTAGAGGTTTGATGTAAGCCGCAAGCGTTGGCTGGAGATGTATCACGCATTGTCACCCCAAGTCTCAATAAAGTGAAGTAGTCTATTAGATGTATATAATTAGAGAAAGGAGAAGATGGAAATGAAGAGCTCTTCCTTGTCTTCACTTGCATCCTGCTTGGATTATCTGATGCCATGATAGCGCATTGTTAGTAGGTAGATTGTACTGTACCTTTACCGGGCGAACAAAAGAGTGGGGATCTTGTATTGGCGGTTTCTGTTCTCAAAATACTGCATTTTATAGAGGAATATATATAATTAATGAAGTAAAGTAAAAAGAAACTGTAATAAATCCATCTGATAATTGGAAAGAATAGGTACGCAGAGGAAGAGGAAATACCCGAGGTGGGAGATTCCGGTCAAGAAGCAAGATGCAAGTAGCGCCGTGCGGTATTTTCGCTGGGGGTGTACATTGCGAGGAGCTTTTTGCCTTTGATCCGATTATTCCCTCGTTGGGCGTTCCCGATTTATGTACCGGCATTTGTTGAGCCGTATCCTTGCTCTTTTTTTTTCCGGGCTCTTCTTTTCGTCTTCGATTTTTTTTTTTCTTCTATACCGCACATCCCCTAATACAAGACTATAGAATAATACTGCAATTGGTTTGTATAGTGCCAGGTTGCGCCATACAATCCGACCCAATTGACTGAATAACCACCTCCTATAATCCATTTCCCTTCCTGCAGAGACACACCAAAAATGCTTCGGAGAGCGTCGGCAAGAGCTGCGTCGGGTGCGATCGCCGGGTCTCGCCTGTGGCAGAAAAGCGCCTCCCCTCACTGCCTCACCCCGCAGAGCATCAACTCCCACCTCAACCTGTCCACGACGCTTCCCGCCAGCTTCAGAGCGATCCACGCCACCAGAGTCAACATGGCCGACAAGCGAGTTGAGAGCGATGCCTTTGGCGAGATCGAGGTGCCGGCGGACAAGTACTGGGGCGCCCAGACGCAGCGATCGCTGGGCAACTTCAAGATCAACCAGCCGCAGGACCGCATGCCGCCGCCCGTGATTACGGCCTTTGGCATTCTCAAGGGCGCGGCGGCCACGGTCAACATGCGATTCGGACTGGGTATGTGTGAATTGAGGATGGGACTGAGAATGAGAGAGAGAAACGACACCATACTAAATCTTTAATGTCTTCCCACAGACCCCAAGATTGGCCAGGCCATCCAGCAGGCCGCCAAAGAGGTCGCCGACGGCAAGCTCCTCGACCACTTCCCCCTTGTCGTCTGGCAGACCGGCTCCGGCACCCAGTCCAACATGAACGCAAACGAAGTCATCTCCAACCGCGCCATTGAGATCCTCGGCGGCACTATGGGCTCCAAGAAGCCCGTCCACCCCAACGACCACGTCAACCGCAGCGCCTCCTCCAACGACACCTTCCCCACCGTCATGCACATTGCTGCCGTCCTCGAGCTGGAGCGCGATCTGCTGCCCGCCCTGCACAGCCTCCGGGCTGCTCTGCAGGCCAAGGTCGACGAGTTCGAGGCCAAGAAGATCATCAAGATTGGACGCACCCACTTGCAGGATGCCACTCCTCTCACTCTGGCCCAGGAGTTCTCCGGCTACGTCGCCCAGCTCGACTTTGGCATCAAGCGTGTCGAGAGCTCTCTACCTGACCTGAAGCTGCTCGCCCAGGGTGGCACTGCTGTCGGCACCGGCATCAACACCTTTGAGGGATTCGCCGAGGGAATCGCTGAGGAGGTTAGCAAGATGACTGGCATTACCTTCAAGACTGCTCCCAACAAGTTTGAGGCTCTGGCTGCCCACGATGCCATCGTGCAGGCCCACGGAAGCCTCAACACTCTCGCCGGCTCTCTCACCAAGATTGCCCAGGATATCCGATACCTGGGTAGCGGTCCCCGATGTGGTCTCGGCGAGCTGAACCTGCCCGAGAACGAGCCCGGCAGCAGCATCATGCCTGGAAAGGTCAACCCCACGCAGTGCGAGGCCCTCACCATGGTTTGCGCTCAGGTCATGGGTAACAACGTCGCCACCACGATTGGCGGCATGAACGGCCAGTTCGAGCTCAACGTGTACAAGCCGTTGATGATCCGCAACCTGCTGCACAGCTCGCGCATCCTTGCCGACGGAATGCGCTCGTTTGAGGAGAACCTTGTCCACGGTCTGCAGGCCAACGAGGAGAAGATTGCCAACATCATGAAGGAATCGTAAGTCTTTTTTTTTTTACTCTGATTGTATCCCCCCTGTTTGGGTTGCAGAGCTAACTTTGATTATTACAGGCTCATGCTGGTTACCTGCCTCAACCCCAAGATTGGCTACGACATGGCCAGCAAGGTTGCCAAGAATGCTCACAAGAAGGGCCTGACGCTGAAGCAGAGCGCCATGGAGCTCGAGGCTCTGACGGAGCAGGAGTTTGACGACCTTGTCAAGCCGGAGCTCATGGTTGGACCCAAGAAGGTGTAAAAGCATTCTGGCATAGATAGTGTATCATTAATAGTGTAAAAAGCATCATGGCATAGCTTGTATCAATAATAAAAATAAACAATACCAACCACGCAGAGTTTGTCTATCTCATATAGAAATGCATTCTTGGTTGGATAAAATCGCAAGTTTGCGGTAGCTCTGTGTAAGTTCAATGCTCAGCCCGTTGACGGCATTTCCATTTGAGGCAACTCAAGGACCCACTTTATTGTCGTCACTCTTCTAGTACCTGCCTGTGGACTGCTTCAGCATAGCTGCACGTGATATTCGGAAAAATTACTTATCCATCACCCGATCGATAAGCTTTTCACCATAGCTATCGCAACTTTTTTTTTCTCTTCGTCCAGAAGCGCATCTCGTCCATCATCCTCCAACTTTTTCTCCAACCTCCCTCAAAACACATATCCGGCCGTGAGCCTTGTTCGGGCGAGCCCCCTTATCCTACGTCGTGAAAAATGTCAAACGCCAATGAAGCAGGTAAGTCGATTTTAAAGGGCAATTGGCTCTTTTCTCGTCCCCCCAGTTGCTTCGACTTGTTGTGCTGACTCTTTTGTTCTTTCAGCTTGGCCCTTGGCCGATGCGGCCCTGACCCAGGAGATTCTCGATCTCCTCCAGTCGGCCATGCACATCCGTCAGGCTAAGAAGGGTGCTAACGAAGGTATGTTTTGACCCCCCAATCATTGATGTTGCTGGTCAGACTTTTCTGACCCCAGTCCAATGTTGCAATATGATGACTGACTTTTTTCTTCTTCTCAACTACAGTCACCAAGGCTATCAACCGTGGAACTTGCGAGCTTGCCGTCCTTGCTGCCGACACCGAGCCCCTGGCTATCATCCTCCACATCCCTCTGATCTGCGAAGACAAGGGCGTCCCGTACGTCTACGTTCCTAGCAAGACTCTGCTGGGCCGTGCCTGCGGTGTGAGCCGTGCTGTCATTGCCGCCAGCATCAGCTCCAACGAGCTGTCTGAGCTGTCTGGCCAGATCAAGGCTCTGCAGCAGAAGGTCGAGAGACTTGCCATCTAAACGGGACATTGCGCCGAGTCTTTTTGCCGCTGGATCTAGGTCGGAGCGTTTTGCGTGGTTGGAAATAGCCGTGCTCCGTGTGCGCATCTGGCTTGACACGTTGGCTGTCATGTAAATGCGAGTGCGAATGCGAGCGCAACGCTTTAGATTTAGTTGAGCAGGGTCAATGACATTTTTCACCTGGGATAAAAATTCCCTGTGTTGAGCTGAGCAGCTGTTGTTGGTTCCATTCATCTTGTTGTGATGATTGTGATGATTTTGATGATTTGTTGTGCATGTAATTGATGATGTTATGCGCAAACCCTACAAAGTCAAAACTCGAGATTACTTAATGACACACACCACTACAGTGCCCGTCTCAAGGCGAAGAGCTTGACATGACCAGCCCAATCCCCTTGTGAATCCAAAGTTGGTCTAGAGCCGTCAGCACTCTGACTGTGAGCCACGGACCAAAAGCGGCAGGGATCAAAGCAGCTGGCAGCGTATTTTCCGTAAAAACGCTGCCCAGCGCCGCTCATTCGTCCGGACGAAGCAGCGGGCGGAGTTAAAAGCAAGCGCCGCTTACTGAGCTTGGAAGTGAGTAGCGGGCCGCGCAGGTCCGATGAAATGCGGGTTTATAATATGGAGTTTATATCGTCGGTAGCGCGGCGGACTATGTTGGGCATGTATGAATGATGAGGTTGCTGTTGGAGAGAGAGAGGATGGGAAGAGATGGTGCATTTTGCAGGTAGTAGGACAATGGGCATTCTCAACTGTTCCTGCATGAGGAACTGAGACAAGAAACAAGATTATATAATCCAACACATCAATCCCCAAACCCGGAATATCAGTCGATGCCGAACCCCGCAACCGCCAGAAATCCTTCCACTAACAAATGAATCCATCCGCCCAAAAAAATCATCGGACGAGAGCCAACTGCAGCTCCGCAAGTGGTGCCGGACTCGCACTCGCTTTGTTAACTCCGTCGATTTCAGTCCAAAAAAATGTCTTGTTTCTGCTTAGCCCACAAGCTCAGCCCAGCCCAGCCCAGCCCTACAGCGGCAAAGGCGAGGAGGAGGATGTATTTTGCATGGAAGCCTGCCCTGGAAAATGAAAGGGCTAAAGCCGCGTGCGACAAAAAATGCGGACGAAAAAAAAAAATAGAGCCATTCTTGGTTTCGTGATTGTGGCTTGCATTGAGGCATGACGCAGCCCATCGCCCGAGTCTAGAGATAGGGAAAAGCTCCCTGTCCCAATCCCAATCATCATCCCCCTTCCCCCCCAAGTCACGTTGGGCATTGGCCGTGAGAGCGAAGAGTATATAATCGTGTCGAGAGCTTCCCTTCCCTCTCGGTCCCCTCTGATGTCGCAGTTCCGCCAGCAGCTTCTCCCCAAGCTGTGGCAACGCTACAACACCATCAGCCTCAATCTCAATAACATCAACAACAACACAAACCGCAGCAACACCAACAAGCGCCTCTCCCTCTTCGTCTTCGTCTTCGCCGCCGCCGCAACAGCAACCACCGCCACAGCCATGACGCGCAAATCAACCTCCACCATCACCTCCTCCGCCTCTCACTCTCACCCTCACCACTCCTCCACTGCCGTCTCCAAAATCCCCGGCCGCACAAACATCCCCGCCGAGGCAACCTCCAACCCGCACCACGTCGTCAAGCACAACGGCGCCATCTCCGGTTTCAAGAATCCCTATCCGTCATGGTCCAACCCGCCCAGCGTCACCTCCATGTGGAAGACGGTCTTCTGGCCCACCATCACCGGCGACCTCAAATGGCCTGATACGAAGCCTCCCACCGTGCCTGTTGTGCCGCCGCAGTGGCTTCCTGCTCGCGATGCCTCGGACAAGCTGCGGGCGACGTGGCTGGGCCATGCTTGCTACTACGTCGAGTTTCCGTCGGGCCTGCGCGTGCTGTTTGATCCCGTCTTCGAGGATCGCTGCTCGCCATTCACCTTCATGGGCCCCAAGCGCTTCACCCCGCGGCCCTGCGATCTCAAGGACATCCCTGTAGTCGACGCCGTCGTCATCAGCCACAGCCACTACGACCACCTATCGCACAGCTCCGTGCTGGAGATCCAGAAGCACCACCCAGACGTCCAGTTCTTCGTTGGGCTCGGCCTGGAGTCGTGGTTCCGCCACAGCGGCCTCAAGAACGTCACCGAGATGGACTGGTGGGAAGACGCAGAGCTGACCGTCACCGCCCCCATTGCCGGCGAGAAGAAGACCATTTCCGCGCAAATATCGTGTCTGCCGTGCCAGCACACATCAGCCAGAACCGCCTTTGACAAGGACACGACGCTGTGGTGCTCCTGGGGCGTCAAGTCCGGCGACAAGAACGTCTGGTTCGGCGGCGACACGGGCTACCGCGCGGTTCCGCATCTGCCCGCCGGCGTCGACGACTACGGCCCCGAGTACGAGTCACTGCCCCGGTGTCCCCAGTTCCAGCAGATTGGCGAGCATCGCGGGCCCTTTGACCTCGGCCTCATCCCCATCGGCGCATACTACCCCCGCGCCGCGTTTTCCGCCATGCACGCCAATCCCTTTGATTCAGTCGAGATCTTTCAGGACACAAAGTGCCAAAAGGCAATGGGCATTCACTGGGGCACCTGGGCTCTGACCATGGAGGAGGTGCTGGAGCCTCCGCGGCAGCTCAAGGAGGCGTTGAAGCGCAAGGGCATTGCCGAAGAGGGCGTCTTCGATGTCTGCGACATTGGTCAGAGCAGGGAGTTTTGAGTTGTGTAGAGAAATGATTCTGATGATTCCCTTTTCTTTTCTTTTTCTTTTTCTTTTCTTTTTTTTTTCTTATTCCAGCAGCGAAAAGAGCAATAAAGTTGGTTAAATCGTGAGGAGCAAGAGGCAAAGTCCACTCATACCCGAATCAGCATTTACGTAACTGTATAATTATGTCTTACTTTACTCCGTACAGTATTAGATCTTACTCATCAAATACCATTCATTCACAACTTTTTCATGCGTCAAATCATGTGCTTCAAACGAATAGTCTATTTCTAGCAATTCATATTTGGTAGATTTATTCATATTCACATATCCACAGTAACCCTCCCGTATATATATCCAAAAGGCATCTTTTCTACTCAAAGACGAGAACCTCACTTACGGATGCTAAAGGGGTGAGCCTCGGTGTTGAACACAAACTTGTTTCCGCCATTGGGATTCAGCTGCACATCCGACTCCTCGGCAAAGATCAGGTAAGCGTACTTCAGCGCCTCGGCAAACCAGAAGCTCTCCATGTCGTCGGAAGCCCCTCCGCCATTGGCCTGTGTCACGTCGTTGATGGACGAGTACGCACTGCCGGCGCGGCATACCTTGGTGATGGCACTGAAAGCCGCCCACGCCCAGTCCTGGTACTTGGAATCGCCTGTGACACGGTAGGCGTAGTACAAGCTCTCCAGGGTCTCGGGCCTTAGGATGTAATACCCTGCCGACACCCAGAATCCAGCCTTTGAGTAGAACGAGGACTGGGATGAGGGAGGCGAGCCACCGGCGCCTGTGACACTGTCCACCCACGCGAAGCCTTCGGGGCCAATTCCAGAAGCAGTCTGGTTATATGTGGCATAGTACGAGTTGGTAAGCTGGATGCCAAAGTCAATGTACTTTTGCTGGCCCAGGAGAATGCCTCCCAAGATGAAGTTGCCGCCGGCAAAACTGGCCACTAAGGAGGTGAGATGTTAGTTCAATGCCGTCACTTGTTTGTATTTGAAAACTTACAGTGTCCCGAATTTGGTGACGTTGATTGTCCAGAATACGCCGACAAAAAGGTCAGATCTTTACGGGTTGTTGGGTGAGAGGCGAGATGCGCAATGGTCGAGTCGGCAGCAAGAACCCAGCGGTCCTTGTAGTTTGCAAACGCAACCGGATCATACAAGTACATCTTGATCAGATACTCGTAGAAGCTGTCCGAGAGAGCAGACCAACTGCCATTGCTGTCCTGGAAGGCACCGCTGCTCGTGCTGACAAACGTTCCCACCAAGCCAGGCCATGCCTCTGGACTTCCTGTTGGGTTGAGGAGATACGACTCGCCCTTTTGCGCAAGCTGGGCATACAGTGGGTTTCCTGTGAGGTCGCTCAGGCGCGTCCACTCAAGTACCAAGGTTCCAATCTCGGCAATGTTGTTACTTGAGGCACCACTCCTCCGGTACGTGGGATTAAAGTAGACGGTAGGGTCTGGAACACCACTTGTGGTGTTGAACGCCACCTTGAGCCCATTGGCCAGTGTTTGGGCCTGGCTCAGAAGATTGTTTACCAGAGTCTGGTTTGTCACCAAGGAGCTAAAAGGGCCTTTCAGTAGGTCATAACCTACACAAGTCACAGTGATTAGCACAATGAAAAAAAAGAGGCACACATGTCGAAACTTACTGGACAGCAAGCCACCGATATATCGGATGTTGGTCTCAAACACAGAGATGCCTTGGTTGGCAACAGCAGTAGTGGTGAAGTTGATCTGAGGCACACGCTGCAAAATGGTATTGACAATATCACTCGCTCCCATGAGAATCGCCGTGTCCAGGCCATCGATCGCCGATGAGCCCCAGCCGTTCCTAGGCTCAAGTTAGACTCTGTACATACATGATGGTGCCATTCTTCGGAGAGTTTAATATCAATAGCTTACCTCTCATCATCAAAGCCATTGCTAACGGGGTGGAGATCGTCATGAGGGAAAGCAAATTGACGATATGCGTTCCATGACGTCTGGAATGCGGCCTTGACCGCTGCCGCCCGCGTAGGGTTGGGTGAACCGCGTTTTACAACTTCAGGGCGTGGATACGCCAGTGCAGGCGCAACAAGCCCGAGGGCAAACACGGAGCTGCTGATGAATCTCATCGTGACAATCTCCGATTCTTTGAGAGAGGAAGGACAGCCGGCAGGAGGATGGAGAGGGGCCAAGCTCAGCAACGGAAACGGGTTGCAGATCACAATTCAGACGCGGGAAGTCGTGTATTTGAATTATTTCGCGAACCCCTCCTCCTCCTCCCTTTCCTGCAAGGTTCGAGAGAATGACAGGGGCTCCTGATGCAACACTAGCCACCAGTACTACGGATTGTTCATGCGTGTGGAAAAGCATAAATCACAATTCTTCTAATTCAAGACATGGCGCCGCCTAGGGATGCGAAGACGGCCGTCCGGCATGCTTTTTGCTCAAAAAACTGCCGGGATTGTGCACTTTAGCTCCAAGGGTGGACGAGGATTGCCGGTGAACAGAGCCACAGCAGGCAGGTGACACCATGAACTAGCAACGGCTCGCATGTGCCGTCTGTTCATGACGGAATCGTTCGTGACCTCGACAAGCCGGTTAAGATGAAGCTTCTCAATGGGACTCAAAGCCGTTGGTGACGGGTCATGTTGAGAACTCTGATTCGTCTAGGCTAGTCTAGTTGCCTAGGCACGCTTGCAGGGGACGAAGAGGGGGAACCAACTTTTACACTCAGCTATCATGAGGTGTCATTCGGAGCCGACCCTGGCATTTAGACCATGTGTGGTGGTATGTGAGCTGGGGAATGTTGAGGGGCGGGAAGCGACCAAAGACAACCAGCCCCCCGCATGGATCAGACTCTCGGATTAGTTATTGTATCTGAACCGAGACTGTGAAAGGACAACGCGCAAGTAACGCGTCGTCACGATAATTCTCTTCATCAATCAAGCCGGGACGCAAATCTTGGCAGCGGGTTCCGTGGAACAAGCGGCCAGACGGATCGGAATTGAGCAGCTCAGCTAGCAAGCATTCGGCATATATTTCGTGCTAACATCCATTCAATCGTAGCATCATCACCACTTACAACAACAGCAGCCGCTCAACCTGCTTCTTCCTGCCTAGCGCGGCGAGCGCCACTCGTACGTGCGATGATATCAGGAGCAGCCTGATTTCCCCACAGATTGGCGACGGCACTTCAGGAACCGGCTGGTGGTTGGGCCCCGCATCTCAATCTCAGCTCCAGGGACAAGCTTAATGTCCGGCTTTGGTTGGACGAGCCTCGAGACGCGCCACCACTTGAGGTGATCGCTGCTGATGCAAAGGCCACTAAGAATCGATCGCTGGTGTGTGTATGTACAACGATCTATAGATAGCTGCGACCTGTTCTCGTGCTTGTGCTCCATCAACGGTACAGTGCTGCCACACAGACTCAATAATGCAACGTATGGTTCAATATAGCCGACGTATGTCTTATGCAAGGGTAATCCTGACCCCACGTTAGACCTTGCAAGGTCTCAGTCAATCAGTGTCCGAACAAAGCCAAGTCCCTGTATCCAGATTCCAATGTGCGGCCGTATTTCATAGACGATGGCCAAAGAAACACCGCTGTGCGGAGTCCAGAGTATTACTATTACGCAGCGTCATGCGTTGTGACCCGCGGATCGCATCAACTTTCCCCTCTTTCTCGGCAGTTTCGCGGCGCTCCATCACCAGCCGATGTACTCCAAGCATGCAACTTCTGTTGGGAGAGCATGTGAAATTTATGCGAGTGAACTGGTTGCCTTCAGCCATTTTGCCGCAACTTTGCCAATGCCGCCGCTACACCTTCACTAAGCTGGCTACTTTCTTTGTTGGGTTGTCGCTCCTCCCTGGTCTGATCCGTAGCTTGAGGAGGAGGCTGTTTTTCTTGCCGACTCATCGTGGCAAATGCTTCTTCTTCGTCAGAATCGTCATCTTCGTCCAGGAAGTGAAACTGTGCAGGAGGTTGTGTGCTGCCAGATTGACGGCCTGGCGCGCTCCCACCAGGCGAACCATATTTAGATGAAGCGTGTGATGTCATCTTGGTCGGGGCCCCAGAGCCGGACTTTTCAGCCTCTGACCCAGAAGGCCGATCAGTGTCAGCAATTGCAGGCGCAGCCCTTGAATCACGTCCTGCCACGGCTGCTGATGAAGATTGTAAACCTCTCTTGGCTGCTTTCCTTGCTCGAAATGGCTCCTCGACGGCAGAAGTCCATCTCTTTACCTTGGTGCCACCCCATCCGCTAATCATGCTCAGCTGCTCTGGCTCTGCATTTATCGCATTCTTCAGACTGCCAAAATTAGCAACCAGAGCTACGGCGTCTGACTTATTCAGACTTCTCGGCACAGTGACGAATTCAACCAGTTTGTCTGCATAATTGGATGACTGTTGTCCGCGGATGGCCGAAAAGTTGGCGTTTTCGTACGACTTGTAGAGTTCGAGATAGCGAGCGGCTTCGGCTGCGGACCAGCATAGTATAACAGTCACGTTGTTGACTACTGAAGTCTTTGAAAGCTCGCGGAGTGAGTCCTCATGGTTTGGGATATCAACGAGAGTGAGAAGAATGCGCAGATTGTATTTGCCCTGGAGATTACGAATGCGGGTGTATATGTATTCGGGATGGAGACGGTGGTATTTGAGACTGAGGTCAGTCACAAAGTTAGCAATGACATATGCTCTAGCGGATAGTCTGTGGTGATGACTATATAAGATTCCCACCTCAAGAAGAGCGCACACGTCGTCAGCCCAAGGACGTAATCCGCCGGTATGTCGCTGTATTCCCACGGTATTGATCGGATGCTGGTCAAGAGGGGGTTGCCGCGTTGGCGAGGCGATACCAGGATGGCTGACCCAAACGTCTTTTGCTGAATTACTTGGGGCTTTGGCTGCACCACGGTATTTCCGGAGCTGCTGCTGGTTGACGGCTTGTCGAGAGCTTGAGGCGCCGGCTGCTTAACGGAGCTGCGCGCTGGAGGAATCGAGTCGACAGCTGCCATTGCCTCTAGCAAGGCATCGTCAACGCCATAATCGTCATCCATGATTCACCAGGGTATTATGTCAGCTTTTTGAGTTTGAAACGACGGGTTCAGATGATTGCGGTTGGGATGAAGCGTGGATGAAGATGAAGAGAAGCTCGGTGAATCTCAAGCTCGAGAATTAACGGTTGACAAAAGTGGGGCACGTCACTAACAGGTTCGAGATGGAATTTGGCAGGTACCTTTACTTGTATTTGGGTATGAGAGGTAGGTAGCCTCACACGCAAATCATGACGCCTCTTGCTTCTATATCGAGATATGATAGATCAGTTTGATTATGTACTTGGAGCTTATTGGTTCATCTGGAGAATTTGGCGGGCGGGATGAGCATTGGTCAAAATAGCCCGACAGAGATGTATGAGGACTGATTTAATCGCCGATGAACTCATGGAAATGGTGATGGATGGCATTTAACTGAGGGGGATATTGTATTCTTTGTTTTTCAGATAAAGGGGCTATTTCGATGCTACTATTGAATAGAAGTACCAGGTTGTGTGATAAAAACATGGGTTAACCTTACCAGCCTCTCATCAAAGGCGTCATACAGAAGTATAGCTTCGGCTACCCCAGCCTCAAAGGCTCAACCAATAGGTAGTTGGAATCGCTGAATAATGCAAGCTGAGTAGATGCAGGTGCAGATCTGCAGCTCATTTCGCAGTACATATGGCCTAACCCACCACCTCTAGCCCTCATGTCTCATGTGCCACGCAGTTGTATGATGGACGTCAAGGCATGACACGCCATTTCCATTGAGCAAACTTACGGTATATGACCTTTTTCATCACGAATTCAGTAATGAGCTTCCAACTACTGTTAATAATAGCCAGAAAAGCCGTCGGGAAATAGCCGTCTATAGTTTGTTTGTCACTTGGTTGGAGTAAAATGTAATTTGCCTGATTGAGCGTCGGGAGGAGTCAGAAACCGACGGGATTAGAACATTGGCATAAGGTGAGAAAAGCCATCAACAGATGGTGATGATGGAGGATGAGACGATATATAAGAGAGAGAAGGCGCATGCTCTTCTTCTCCATCGTGCTCCCTTGCTTATCTGATACAACACATAACCATTCATTGACGATCCATCCAGTCAAATCATTGAACTCAACTCCAAACGCAGCTGCGAACCAGACACGAGATTCCAGTGCGGGGGAGGGGTTCCGTCAAATCTTCCGATGGTACCCCGAACCCCTCCAAAGGATTTATTCAAAGCTTGAGCAGCGGCTAATCCGTACCTTATTTTCTACAAAACACCGAATCCCACAAGCTGATTGGCCTCTTCGGCTATATGGCTATATCCTGGCCAATAGCACAACACCGCCGCCAGGACAGGCAAAGTCGTCCCCTCATATTACACGATTCAGTCTCCAACTCGGACCCCCAACCGATGTCATTCTCTCGAGCAATTTTGCCTTGTCGCGAACCAATCGTCTGCAGCGAGCTTTCTCGAACTCCGTAAAAGATCCCCTGTGCTACGCGTAGACGGCCTCGGCGATTTGCCATCCCACCAATGGCCGAGGAAAAGAGCTCGCGAGGCGCAGGCCATTTGCGGCTATATATTCTCCGTCGCATATATTGGCCACTTGCATCGTGACAACTGGAGACGCCACATGTGCTTGTGATTTCTTCTTCTTCAGCGAAACCGGCTGTCTGCTTTTGGTGCTTTGGAGCATCGAGTAGACCAATAAATACCCATTGGCGACCTCCATCGCAGCTGAAGCTTGTCATCATCCTTTTTCTCTGTCATCCAATCCAACATCTCACCACCCAATTCAACCCCTCTCTACTCCCTCTCTACTCCCTCTCCCATCCACATCTACATATCGCCGAAATGTCTGAAGTCACCATCACAGGCTTCCGGAGCCGCGATGTTCGGTTCCCGACGTCCCTCGACAAGACGGGCTCAGACGCCATGAACGCTGCGGGCGACTATTCAGCGGCGTACTGCATCCTGGAAACCGACTCTGCGCACAGCGGCCACGGCATGGTAAGTCCTTAACTCCATCACCAGTATTCAATGTCCAATTGGTTCATAGCCAGCTAACCAATTACTTCTCCCCAATAGACATTCACCATTGGCCGCGGAAACGACATCGTCTGCGCCGCCATCAACCACGTCGCCGACCGCCTCAAGGGCAAGACGCTCTCCTCACTCGTCGCCGACTGGGGAAAGACCTGGCGATACCTCGTCAACGACAGCCAGCTGCGGTGGATCGGCCCCGAAAAGGGCGTCATCCACCTCGCCCTGGGCGCCGTCGTCAACGCCGTCTGGGATCTGTGGGCAAAGACGCTCAACAAGCCCGTGTGGCGCATCGTCGCCGACATGACGCCCGAGGAGTACGTCCGCTGCATCGACTTCCGCTACATCACCGACGCCATCACGCCGGAAGAGGCCGTTGCGCTGCTGCGGGAGCAGGAGGGCGGCAAGGCTAAGCGCATTGAGGAGGCTCTTCAGAACCGAGCTGTTCCCGCATACACAACAAGCGCCGGGTGGCTGGGATACGGCGAGGAGAAGATGAAGCAGCTGCTGAGAGACACCCTGGCCGATGGATACAGACACTTCAAGGTCAAGGTTGGCGGCAGCGTCGAGGAGGACAGGAGGCGTCTGGGCATTGCTCGTGAGATCATTGGCTACGACAAGGGCAACGTCCTCATGGTCGACGCCAACCAGGTCTGGTCCGTGCCCGAGGCCATCGACTACATGAAGCAGCTCAGCGAGTACAAGCCCTGGTTCATTGAGGAGCCAACCTCTCCCGACGATGTCATGGGCCACAAGGCCGTGCGCGAGGCTCTCAAGCCGTACGGCATCGGCGTTGCCACCGGCGAGATGTGCCAGAACCGCGTCATGTTCAAGCAGCTGCTCATGACGGGCGCCATCGACGTCTGCCAGATCGACGCCTGCCGTCTTGGCGGTGTCAACGAAGTCCTCGCCGTCTTGCTCATGGCCAAGAAGTTTGGCGTCCCCATTGTGCCTCACTCCGGCGGCGTCGGCCTCCCCGAGTACACTCAGCACCTGAGCACCATCGACTACGTCGTCGTCAGCGGCAAGCTTTCCGTCCTGGAGTTTGTGGACCACCTCCACGAGCACTTTTTGCATCCCTCCGTCATCAAGGACGGATACTACCAGACCCCGACAGAGGCCGGATACAGTGTCGAGATGAAGCCGGAGAGCATGGACAGGTATTCTTATCCTGGTGAGAAGGGTGTGAGTTGGTGGACGAGCGATGAGGCTCTGCCCATCCTGACTGGAGAAAAGATTTAAGTTTTGAATGACAGCGATTTGTTTTTTTTTATATATATCATGGATGATTTGTACTCTTTATATGCAAAGGAACTGTTTGTTGGGATTTATAGAATTGGTGTACATGTAGGAATCAGCCACAAATGAACAAACATGAACCGAGTTTTGCATCCAAGAAGCGTGAGTGATCTACGCAACGTAACGCCGTAAGACCCTTATGAAAAGTTCTCCCTTGTCATAATGGCCGCCATGATTTTTTTCACCTAATATCTCCAAAAAACCATCTATGGTGCCACATCGCGAAATGTCCAAACCAATGTCGAAGTATTCCAATAGCAGAGCGAAGCGGTGTAGAATCGCAGATATCGAGTCTTCTCCCCATTCTTGGGTACAGAGAAGAGGGCTATTGTTATGGTTATGGTTGTTGCTAACGCGACGTTGAAGATGGAGAAGATGGAGGATACGGCAGAGAATATTATCTAGCTCTTTTATCACCCCGGCTTCAATCTTATAATATGTTGAACAAAACGTCTTCATGAGATAACGCAAGAATGCGTGCCCTTCGCCATTTGTCACCAGTAAATCGAGATCTGGCCGTTCGACAAGGGCAGATATGGCTGGAATATTGAAGCGTTCGCTTGCATGCATCAGTGGTGTCAAGCGATCGCAATCTAGATTATTGATCTGAGTCTTATCGATGGCAATAAGTTGACAAGCTACGTCGGTATTGCTATTACTAATAGCATAGAACAAGGGTGCATACCCATATCGATCAGCAGCGCTGGTGTCCATCTCAGCTGCTGCTAGGAGCGATCGAGTTGCCTGGCCGGTGGCTCTCGACACTGCGTATGAGAGTGGACTCCGACCTTTAGCATCGGTGTTCTGGAGAATAACCGCAGGGCAGTGTGCAATCAGAAGATCCACGGCATCGTCGTTTTTGTTCTTCAACAAAGCAAGTGAAATCAGGGTTTTCCCACCGTCGTATACGTTTGCTAGATCTGACGCCAACGTGGTGGTTTCCAAGACTGTTTGAACCATGTCCTTGGTGCCCGTCCTCGCCACGCCAAACATAATGCTTTCCCCTTTTTTGTTTCTGTGGTACGGATTTGAGCGTCTGTCGTGGATCAACATATTGAAAATAGATTCACTGTATTCGCCGAATTCTGCGTCTAATACATCCTGCCAGTGGTGTACGTTATAGCGAGATGGTATCCCCTGAGTTCTGAATTTACACCCATAGTGAAGCTGAATGTAAAACGCCTCGCTCATGGGAGCTTGGAATGAGGCAAGCAATAGGGCGTCATTCCCTCCCCCGTCTTGGACTAACACATCCGTTTCTTCTCGGTCCAGAAGCAAGCGTACAACATCTCGCTGGCGATTTTTCACTGCGAGGAGAAGAGGTGTCAACCCGTTCCCGTCGGGCAAGTTCACGTCGACCTGAGGCCACTTTAACAGCTCAGCAACAAGAGGACCAGTGTTAGGTTCCAAAAACTTTACGAAACATTCACCGTTCGCAGAAAACGAGAAGTCCGGATGCAAAGAACAAGCCTGGTGGAGTAGGCTATAGCCTTCGGAGTTCCTTTTATTGACATCTACAGGTAAAATAGATGTCAAAAGAAAAAAGTATTCAAGATTCCAGAAATGACGAACAATATAGTCATTCGCAGCGTGACCCTTCGCATCCCTTCTGTCAAATTGAATGCCCCCTTGTTTGATGAGCGCCTTCATAATGTCACAATGTCCACACGCAGCTGCCAGGAGAAACGGCGTCCGGCCACTCCCATCGACAGGATCTGGCTCTACATTTTCTTTTTTGAGAAGTAGCTCAAAAATTTCAACATTGTCCCATTCAGCTGCTACGTGAAGAGGCCGCCAAGTACCTCCCCGGTTGACATTGGCATGCGGCAGCAGCAGTTGAATAGCTTGCACATCTCGTAGATGAAGGGCGTTTATAAGTGGCGTCTTTTGCTCTGCGTCGCTTAACTCGCAATAGGTTGAACGAAGAGTCCACCTCCATTCGTTATGAAGATCGAGATCTATCTCGTGGTCTGCTGCCGATGCGTCGTGTTCTAGTAGCCGTTCCAAGAGGCTATGATATCCCTTCCGGATAGCGTAGTACACGGGTGTAATCCCACAGCGTCCGCAGCTCTGGGTTTTTGTGTAGGGCAGAAGAAGCGAGGCAGCTTTTTCGTGGCCACCCCTTATCGCCGCAAGAAGCGGACTGCCACAATACTCTGTGTCAGCGTAGTTGATCTCTACTTCAGGCCATTTGAGAAGCTCGGAGATGATACTGAGATGCCCGGCAGCGGCAGCCAGCCACATGGCGCCTCTTTTGTGGCTATCCCTCAGTCCACGATTAGATTTCTCGAGCAACATCTTGAAGCATCCTTGACGGCCGAGGTCAATCGACACCAGGAATGCAGTGGAGTGCCCCTGTAAATGCCGACCCATCTTGTCTGGCCTGATGGACTCTTGATCCAGGAGGAGCGATACCAAGTCCTCGAAGCCATTCGTCGCGGCGATAATCAATGGTGTTTGTCCCCAGCCATTGCAAATATTTGGATCTGCCCCTCGCGCCAACAACATTAAAGCCATGCTGTAATCTCCTCGCGCAGCCGCGATGGTCAACAAGACATCATCTCTGAAGGATTCGTCATTATTTATATATGCCTCTGGAATTTTGCCATATGTACTCATATCGTAGTTGCGAACGACTAAAAGCTGCTCCACCCATGCCTGATGGCCGGCGTAGCAGGCTTCGACAATAGTAGAGTGCACATCGGCGACTTCTTTAGTCATTTGCTGGATGGAGAGCTGAGTAAATGCGAGGTGGCTTGGCAAAGAGCCACGGTCAATTGCCGAACTTGTTTGTGAGGCATTGCCGGAAGCAGTCTCGTTTGCAGCCTCGTTTTCGCCCTCTATCGAATGGTAGCTCCAGTTTGCCTTGGCATAGTAGTAGAATGGGGCTTCTTCACCCCTGGTTTCTTCTGGCTTTGTCTCAGCAATTTCAAGGTATCTGAGGCAGATGAGCGCCACTTTCTCATTTGCTCTTGGAAACCAACGGGATCTTGTGCGCTCGAAGTATTCGGCGGCTGATTTGTGCACCAAATGCACGATATTGCTTGCGTCATCTAACACGACAAGACCAGTACACGCGGCAACCAGATCATCCATGTCTGGAACCATGTCTTCGTCAAAAGTTTCACTTCCCTCGTCAATGGATAGAGCATGACTGAGCTCCTCGGGTGAAAGGGGCCGCCTCGCGCATGTCAAGACTAAAAGCATCTGTAAAGCAACACGCTCTGATTCGGGCCCTTGAAATCCGATTCGAAGCATCGAATCTTCATACAAAGTATCGTATGAGCTCGAACCGGTTGCCAGGTTGGAAAGTCGCTTGCAAAGACTGCCTTTTGACATTGTGCTGACCAGAGATTTCAAATATAGCTCGGCAAGTAGAAACCTAAAGAAGGAATGAGCGAAGTCTAGCCAGCGAGCATACTCGGGCACTTATGAAGGGATCAAGGACATACATGCCGGCACTTGCATTGGTAATCGAGTTGATCACTTCATCTTGCAGTTTTTGAGATCGAGCAACAAAACTTGGTAGTTGGAAAATATTGTCCCGTAGGAAATTCTGGATATCTTCATCGCTTGATCTCACTTCCAGAGAGGTATACATTTCACAGCGCTCAAAGTGGTGTTGGATCTCTGGAATGTTGCGCGAAGTCACAAACAGGCAGACATTGCCCTGCCTATGCAGATTGAATAGGTCGTATATGAGTGGTCGTCGCACTTCGTTTGACAGTTCGTCTAGTGCATCCACTATCAAGTTGACCCTCTTAAATTTAGAAAAGAGGTCTTTGAGCAAGTCCAAGCAATCTTTTCGAGATATCGTTTTGTTGGACGAACGCATCTGCTTGCAGGTGGAAAGGACTTTGTCGCCCTCATGGTCCGCCTCTTCGAGCGCAACTCGTAAAAGGCTGCAGAGAAGTTTCTCTATAGTTTGGGTGTGATTCTGGTAGTTGCAGTACATGTACGTTGTCAGAGTCTCAGCATCATTCGCAAGCCGCAGGCTCTCAATAACCATTGCCGTAGTAAACGTCTTTCCTGTGCCAGCGTTTCCGGGGCAAAAGAGAAGACTGCCTTTCTGGGCGTACCATTTCTTGTACACTTCAGATTCAAATAACCATCTGCGAGAGCCTGTCTGGCAGCGGAGAGCGATATCGTTCTGCTGCGCAATATAGTTGATGTCGCTGACCCATTTCAGCGTAGCCTCACGTTCCGTATCTTCCTGATGACGAACAAGCTTCGCAATGTTTTGGCTGGTAACTTGATCGTTGAGGCTGTTCAAGGTGGCTATTCTGACAGAGATTTGGGTTCGTATATCACGAATGGCGTCGGGTTCCCATTTGAGCCTCTTCCAGACTCTTTTGATGGCCGTCCTTTTCCCAGCCTTGCCGGCTTCAGCCACGTCGGCGTATTCATCAAGAATCGTTTGAAGCCGCTCAAGCAGATGCTTACAGCTGGTCACGACGCTCTGGTATTCCTGAGACTGTTCCGGGCTGAGTTGGGTACAGCTAGCCTCGACATCTTGTAAAATGATGGAAAATCCCCGAACGTCGTCCGAAATGGCCCTGAACTGTTCGGGGGCGCCGACGAAGCTCTTGCGCACCTGGTTCACAAGGCTGATCACGGCCAAGAAGTCAACGTCGAAGCCGAGGCTCATTGCAGATACCAGATGGCGATAGTAGCAGAAACTCGGAGAAGCAGTTGGTGGTCCAGTAGACAAATTGGACTTCCTCGGAACGCAAACTAAAGACGCTGGGGTCTGGTGTTGTAATACATGTACCTTGTCTTGTGAAGCAACGTTTTCAGCTGAGAGACCACCGCAGAAGAGGCTGTCTTTCAGCTGACTGCAAAATGCCGCAGACGTGGGGTTCTGCTATTGGTTCATATGCATTCGTGTGCATTGTGCACTGGCCAAACATGTAGCATCGTGCTGTTTCTAAAATCGGGTCGTGATAGCATCGCAGTCCGGGTTGGGCATCAATCTAATCCAGTTGATCTTGATCCAACGAATTTGCCAATGTGCAAGAAGGAGTCTTAACATGTAGTCCTGGGCCACGATGGAAATGTCTTGGAAGATCTGTGCACTTGTCGTTGGCTGGTTTCAACCAAGTTTCTCATGATGGGCGACCTCAACGCGATCGAGAAGACGCAGCGGCACTGTAGGATACGAAGCGAGTCGTTTGCCGGCCACAGCATCTTTGCACTCAATAGCCACCTCGACGGCCGGGAAAGAAGGTGTCCAATACGTCAAGCTGTAAAATAGTGATTGATGTCGGAGCTGTATTTGACGGCAGCGAGATCAAACCAACCACAGCTCGTGCTGTTTGGCCAGTTGAAGTCGTGCCTGCTTGATAGAGGATCCAGGTACGCGGCCGCTGATTAAGAATGAAATAGCCCTCGTTGTGATCGATGCTCTTCAAAGGCAAGCATAACAGTCCCCTTTCCACTGCATAAATCGCTCAAAATTATAGCAAATGCGGCCATTGATTGCGATTCTACTTGCAGATTTTGGTGGTTTTGGACATGTCGTCAATGGAAATCGGGGTCCTAGATATTAGTAGGTACCCACTCGCTAAGTTTAGTCCAGCCCAGGTACTCCTAAGCTCAAACAGTGCCAAACTGCCGCAAAGATGAAGCGGCAGGTACAAGAGAGCCATCCATCAAGTTAGCAGGTACTTAAACATCAGACGTATTCAAGCCTGGCTGAGCATATGAATGGACGATATCCAATACTTGCTTCATCCACCTTACACCAAACCCACGTCTCTCAATCCTCTTTTGTTTGCATTCCATTCGAAACTCATTCGGTTCATTTCGCAGTCGAACTGATAAGAGCAAACCAACAATTCCGATGCACTCAAAGCAAATGATTTGAACATCAAACAATAGCTACTCACTCACTCCCTCGTTCCCTCATCCAATGTCCATCCTCCCCTATAAACAAACATGAAGCCAATTCCCTACCATGAATCTCGCCCATTGCACTCCCTAATCGCCGTCTTTGCTGCCTGGAAAGGCTTCTTGCTGGCCGTAGCCCTCGGAACTACCGTCAGCCACGACTATGACACGTCAACGTCTCTCTTCTTCCAGAGCTTGTACGGCTCAAGCGCCAATGCATCGGCCCTCGCAACCCGGTTGACGCGATGGGATGCGCTGTATTTTATGAAGGCTGCGCGCGACGGCTACGTTTACGAGCAGCAATGGGCGTTTGGAGCAGCATTGCCGCTCTCAGTCCGCGGTATTCTGTGGCTCTTGAAGCCGTTGACGCAACTGGTCAGCGATGATGCCGCCGCCCTCGAGCCCATGGCGGCCATCGCATTTACAACCTTTGCTCATCTATTAGCTGTTCTGGCTCTTCACAGGCTCACTCTCGTTCTCTTCGGCAATAAATCACTGGCCTACGTGGCAGCGGTTCTGCACATTCTCTCTCCAGCCGGCCTCTTCCTATCCGCCCCTTATGGAGAGAGTCCGTTTGCCTGCCTGTCCTTTGTCGGCAACCTGCTGTTCGCCACGGGTCTTCGGCCCGGTGCTGGCCTTTTCAAACGGACCCTGGCTTTTCTCGGCGCGGGCATTTCGTTTGGATTGTCCACTGCTTTTAGGAGCAACGGCTTGATCAGTGGACTCTTGTTCGCCGTGGAAGCGACCAGGTGCTTGCTCGCTTTTTTCCGCCAGCCAAGCTTTTCAAAGCTAGTGCTGCTCGCTTCCTTGATTATTGGAGGGCTCTCTATTGCGGCTGGTAGTGTTGTGCCGCAAACGGTAGCGTGGTTTAGATATTGCAAAGTTGATCTCGCCGACACGGAACCAAGGCCGTGGTGTTCTCGCTTGGTGCCCAGCATATATACCTTTGTTCAAGAATACTATTGGTAAGCTGCTACTTTAAACCTTAAATACGTACAGAAACTTTTATACTTACTCTGCTTGACAGGAATAATGGGTTTTTGAGATATTGGACCCCAAACCAGCTGCCACTGTTCATATTGGCCAGTCCTGTACTCACATTTCTCATCAAGTCGGGAGTACAAGTTATACGTAACTTGGGCCAAGGACTTTCTAAATCCACACCAGTGGTCCCAGAGTCGCTTCATACCTTTGTACTTACACTGGCTGTGATCCAGACGGTGGTTGCTGTCTTGGCCATTACCAACTTCCATGTGCAGATCATAACCCGGCTTGCATCTGGGTATCCCGTATGGTATTGGTGGGTGGCGAACAGCCTAAGCAACATCGAGACTCGTAAAACGGGGTCCATGATTGTTGTCTTTATGGTCATGTATGCCGGCATCCAGGGAGGCTTGTTTGCGTCGTTTATGCCGCCAGCATAGATGCCTCGACCGATCTAATGTTGCAAATAAAACTCATACAAGACTATGCATCTATCCCTTAATTGTCCCTAGTAGATCTATGAATATGCGGCGTTTGGTGTTGAATAGAAAACGCTTAACAAGCCCATTACAACGCCGCCATTCAGCCAATTCTATATATCATTGACACATTATTACTCCCCAGTCTCTTCATCATTCATATATATATCATCTCATCATTTTACAAACACATAATACCATCGCCAGCCTGGAATATTCGTGAATCGATGCTTCGCATATCTGCAGCGGACATCTGCATATGCCTCCGTGATTTGGTGCCTATCCGTTCTACCATCGAAAGGTCAAAACAGGCAGTCCGCCTTTTTCACGACGTTTTGTTCTGCCATTCAAAAAATCTACACCGCTTGCATTGCCCTTCTAAACGACATATTTAAAGACTCGAAAGCAAACAGACACTATCCATATTTTATCGCCAGTTGCTACCACAACATAAAGTGCCAGTTAGTCTTGCTCAGGGGTGCAACGGCCTCGGAAGCTTAAATACAGGTACTAACCAGAAGACGCAGAGATATTTATTGATCATCTGCTACATCACATCAGCACGCGATATTTCAACAATAGCCATCTATTTACCCAACTCAACAGCATATCAGAAACCATTCCAAAGAGTCCCGGCAACGCAAAATGACAGCCGCAGACAGCGACGCCGAAGCCTCATTCAGAGAGCCCACAGGAAGCATCTCTCAGGAGAACCAGGTCCAACATCATCACGACCAAAACGATGCCGCCTCAGACACCGACAGCGACAGCGACCTCAAGCTCTGGCTCCAACACACGGGCTACTTCAACATCGAGCACCGCCAAAAGGTCCTCGGCGCACTCCGCAAACTCAAAGCCATCGACGAAGAGCGCTCCAAGATTCTCGACGAGATCCGCTCTTCTACGGAGTACTTTCCCGGCAGCTCTCTGTCTGCGTCTACCATGCCGCGTAGTCCAACTATCTCGGAGAGCTGCTCAGCTGAAAAGCCCTGCTATGATGTCGATTACACCTTTGGTTCTCGCCCAGCGACTCTTGAAAGTCCCGGCGAGCCTTGTGGCTCTGAGGTTTCTTCGGAGAATAAAGAGGTTGAGTCGGATAACTGGTCTGTGACATTTAGAAACAGACCTACACCTGGCCAACAGCATGTTCAAAACGCTCAGCCATCTATCGAATCTACTACGCCACTTGATGACCCAGACTACGAGAGTCAAGAAGCTGAATCGCCGTCTTCGTTGGATAAATCCTCTGAGCCTGAATCTCGTCATTCAGGAAAAAATGAGGGAATGAGAAGCTATACTCCATCCCAAATCTTGTCGTTGGCTCCCAATCAAAGTAAACATCTATTTCCAACACGTTTCAAACACAAATCTTTCTAACATACTTGTATAGAATCGCGATACTTTTTGGTGAAATCCTTCAACATGACAAACGTCGAGATGTCTCAACGAGACGTAAGTTACACATGCTCTTCATATCACTCGTAAACTCCATGTATTAACAGCAAAATAGGGCCTATGGATCACAAGCGAGACCAACGGCATCCGGTTCGCCCACGCCTTTCAACAGTACAAAAACGTCTTCCTCATCTTCTCCGTCAACAAATCCAAAGCCTTCCAAGGCTACGTAAGTCCCCATCCAAACCACAACCCCCATCAAACCCTCCCCAAAACTAATCACATCACCCCCTTTACCAGGCCCGAATGACCACTCTTCCCACAGCAAGCATCCCCCCCGCAAAATGGATGAGCACCATCTCCTGGGAACCCAGCGCCCCCTTCCGCATCCAATGGCTCAACACCCGCCGCACCGAGTTCTGGAAGCTCGGTGAGCTCAGGAACCCCCTCAACGACGGCGAGCCCGTCTTCGTCGGCAGAGACGGCCAGGAGTTCCCCGAGGCGTGCGGCCGTAAGATGCTCCGCGTCATGGATAGGGGAGGAGGCGCAAGGGAGCGTAACGGCGCTGCCTCTTCGTGGATGACGCGTACCAATGTTGCTTCTCTTTGGACGACGCGGAAGACGTGTGATCATGCGGATAAGGATGAAATTTCGGCTTGGCAACATGATGAGTCGTCAGAGGGTGGTGAAGTTGTCTCGGCCGGCACAGAGCCCGAACCAGTAGATGATATGCCGTTGATAAAGTATTAACACTTGCAGCTATAAGAAGCCGAGGATGAGGCACGGGGGAGTTTTCTTAGGGTAGGATGGACTGCTTATTCTCTATCAAGTTCTATTTAGAAAGCCGGTTTATTAGACTCGTCGGGGGCCATCCTAACTAACACCAATTATGATGAATGTTTCTATCAACACGGACATGTGAGAACCATATTACCTAGTGCCACCCATTAACCCGAGAAGACAAAAAGAGAAAGCGAAAATAAAACACTTCAAGTGCATTCAAAACAATCTCGGGATGCAAATCTTGAATACATATCCAATCCACTGTGCTATTACTCCTATTATTACATCCCAACAGTTCCCAACACAAATCCAGTGCACCAGACACCAGTTACTCCATTGACACAAAAGAAACCCGCCTCTTCCAACCCAATCATGGTGCAAGCAAGGTTTATTCCAATTTCTCGAGGACATTGTTGGGCAAGGGACCCTCAGGCATGTCCTTGTTACAGTAGTCATGGCAGAGGGCCATAGCCATCCGAAAGGTTCTTGGATCTCAAAGATATCGACTAATAGTCATCGTCAGAATCGCTATTGTCGTGAATTGTAATCGCTCGCCATCGTCTATCAGTCAGATCTTGCGCGGCCGTACCCTCGCTTTCAGGATCGACGTAGCCTTCACCTCCAGCAAGGCTCAGCGCAACTGGCAAAAACACCAGGGCGTGAAGAGCAGCAAAGACAACAAGCGCCAGCCAAACTCGGAAGTAGTAGATTTCGAAAATCTTGGATCGCGTAAATGCAAGAACGCTGACACCCAACAGCTTTGTAACCGTGATACCAGAAAACACCGATCCACCAACGTTTACCAAGGCTGTCCAAGCACGAGCGTCTTTTCCGTTAACATTAAAGCTGTTCTCCATGACGGTTCGCGAGGGGAACATGAAGGCTCGAGCAATATGCGCACAGAATTCAACCGAGATTCCGACGCAAATAATGAGATTCACGAGGGAAACGGCATTCAAAGAGACATTGAACACAACCATTGCGCCCATGATATCAACGACACTCATGATGACGGTCAATGTCACAATGGCCGATGTGCGAACGGAGCCCAAGAGGAACGACGCAATGACAAAGATGGCACCGACAGCAGCACCCAGAAGACCGCCAGTCAGCTGGATAATGCTAAGATACTGGTCGAAAAAGATGTAAAAGACGCTGTAGGGGAAAACATCCGCTCCGGTTGCTTTGGTGATATCTGAAGCAATGCGGCGAGCAGAAGAGTAGGCCTTGATAAAGTCTTCCTGGCTGCGAAGGCGGGTGTGTGCGGTTCTGAAATGGGTAGCTTTGACGTGTGCAGACTCGTCATCCAAAATCACTGCGTCTCCATACGAGGCTTGGCCGCCCAGCGGGCAAACGTCATCAGTCTTTGCTGCAAGGAACTTTTTGAGGTAATGAACGAACTCGTCATTCTCGGGCATGCCATAAAGAGACGTGTTCCATGCTGGCTGGCGGTCTGCAAAGCAAGTTGAGCCACGCTCAATACAGCATTGCTCATAGATGGGGTTCAGCCAAAGGAAGAAATCATCGATCCAGCTTGCTGTCGGGGACATGATGTATGAAATGTCAGATCGCTGCCTCTCAAGCTCCAAAGTATTCGTCAGCGAAAATGGCTGACAAGTAGTGAATCTTGAGCACACGGCTTGCTGCTGTGGGCGTTGAGACACGTCAACTCCGCGAGTAACAAAGTAAACTGGGGGGCCGGTTTCTAGGTAGTCGTAGAGGTCGTTGAAGTAGGGGATCAAGTAGGAGCCATCTGGAATGGCGACACGCTGGTCCAGTCCGAGCTGGATGCCTGGCAGCAAGGCGATAGCAGCTGACAAAAGACCAAGGAAGATAGCAACAACACCAACTTTAGTCTGCCTTCGCAGGAGAAAGGGCGCATAAGTGTTCCTGATGAAGATTTGCAAGTAGCTTTCTTCATCGGCATCAGACCCTCTTCCGGTGGCTGGCGGGTAGCCATTGCTACCATTGAGGCTGATTCTGGCTTTCTTGACTTGCCACCACGGCCAGAGTTCGCATCGATTATCCTCCACTCGAATTTGGTTCAACGCCAAGAAGGACACGAACATGGTCATCTGAAGAACAGCATTGATAAGAACTGCACCAGCGGCGTAAGCAGCAAAGTTTCGGACAGCAGGCATGCCAACGGCAGAACCAAGAGCAAACGCAAACGTCTCAGTCAAGGCTGAAAATAAGATAGAGGGCCCCATGCGGCCCAGAGCCCGAGCCACTCTCTCCTCTACCATCTGGTCCGGGAAATTGATGTTGACTCTTTCAAGCTCGTGGACAATAAGGAAGATGTTGTCAACGCCGACAGCCAGTACGATGAACGGAATGACCTCGACAATAATGAGCGTAGCCTTTAATCCAACCCAGGAGAAGAAGCCAATAGAGGCAGAAATAGACATGAGCACAATAATAATGCCGGCGAGACCCAGAGTGACTTTCGATTCGACGAGCAGCAGCGCCGGGTTTCCAAACAGGTGCTTCAGAGGCGTGCCAAGTGCGAGGCATGCATAGATGAACATGACAATGTAGCTTATGACGACAATCTTGGCATCTGTGTTTGTAGACTTGTTGAGTTCCTGCTCAAGGCTAATCTCCGTGGTAAAGGACAGTCGAAGGCCACGGCTCTTGGCCTCTTCTTGAACTTGAAGGAGCCGATCACGGAGAGCATTCTCCCAATCAATGGCGCGAAGAAGCGTATCAGATTTCTCCGGAGCGTTGTTGACAACCCATGTGACGGTGATGGCTTGCGATTCAGCGACATCGTCGTCGTAGCCGCCCAAAATCATGGTTGGTTCAATAGGTTGTCCGAATGCAGGCCGGCAATCCACAGGGGATCTTGCGCAGCTGCGCAGGTCTTCCTTCCAGTAATTAGGATCAATATCTCCTCCCTTTGAGTACCAATATTGCGTAACAGATTGCACAACACAAGAATCCCCAGTAGGCTTGAAACAAACATCGCTAAGCGAGCTTCCATAGGTAGAGCCTTTGAGTTTCTCAACGCTCTTTTCAACTTCCGTCCACCACTGCAATGTCTCGTAGCTGAGAACGGGGCTAGGGCCAGAAGATTCCGTATCGTTGACCAAGAATATCTTTTCGGCTCGGAAAAAGGGGCCAAAGTTGGAGTCAAAGTAATCCTTCTCTTGGGCAGCAGCCGACGCGGGACTAACCCAGAGTCGAGCAGGGTCTTGCTCTATGTCAAATCGGAACCAGCCAGCACTCAAGATACCAACAACTAGCAAGCTGATACCTATAGTGAGGACCGGAAACCTCGCAGCAGAGCTTCCCAAGTGATTGAACGCTTTGTCGCACTTGTCATTGAGCCAATAACGTTTCGTAGGCTGATCCCGCATAGCATCGGTGAGAATAGGCCCGCCCTCATCCTCATCATCGCTGTGATATGATTCGTGAAGTAGGCGAGTCCTTTCGACACGGCGCTTGAGATATTTGAACCAGAAAATGTGGCCAAAGACAGCGGTGAATAGAGCCAGAAGTAAGACGCCATACGTAAAGATGGATGCAAAGGAAAGACACGGAAGTTTTCCCACTCGGCAGGATCCAGCCTCTTTGACATCTGGTAGTGTAGGGCACACCTCGGGGCAGTCGACGCAAACACATCGATAGGCCGGGTCTTCGTCGTTGCATTTCTTAGGCTTCATCTCCAATGGCTCCATACCAGGCTGCTTGTACTCCTCCGGGAAGTTGATCTGGAAAGGAGAACCGACAAACGGCTTCTTGTCGCCAAGGAATTTAAGCATGTCGTGATAATTCTTGGCTCCGCCGCCAATCAAGTCCATGGCCCTGCTGTTTGCACCTCCAAACTTGACCTCTTTGCAGCTGTCGTAGAGCCCCGATCCATATTCTTCAGAGACTAACTGGTCAAGCTCAGTGACGAGCAGCTTCCCATTCTTTGGCGCGGCATCGGTGACGTTGATAAAGGTCGACTGGTCGGGAGAGCAAGTAAACTTGCAAAACAGGTTGAAGAAGTTGTGCTTGCAGGCTGGGCAAGAACCGATTAGAGTTTTCGGGGTACCCATTTCGGATTTCAAGGCTTGGACCTTTTGGATGAGCATTAGCTTTCATTCTCATTATACCCGTCAAAGAGGCACGCGGCGTACTTGTTCCATGTTGCAGCAGACGGGCCCTTCGCCCCATTCAGCGCCGCAGAGCTCAACCAGCTCCTTTCGAAGATCCTCGTCCGGATCGTGCGCGAGGCCATTGTCAACACACGGCAGCTCCTTGCCAAAGATGCTCTGCTTTCCACACTGGCCCCGGAAGGCACATCGGCCCAGCTCGTGCTTTGGCGTATACGATTCGGCATGGGCGCTCACACCAAAGAGCAGGGCGGCAAGGCCCGAAGACAGCACGGCCAGACGCATGGCGCCTCGTGGCCGAATGGCCATCAAAATGCGAGCTGAGACGAGCTTCACAGCGTCTCGCTTACTACTAGAGAAGGGGATTCAAGGGATCGAGGTAGAATGACTTCGATATTGTTGCGATGATCGGGTGTGTTGGGGATGATTGCGTCACGAATGGAGAGCGACGGAGCGTAGCGGTGGGTTGATATACGTACCTAGTATGGAGTACTGAGGTACCTGGAGCGCTGGGGTGCTGTGCTGTAGCTGCTGACGGTACCTGGCGCGGCACATGGGCTGGCAGAATACCAAAGTACCTTGGGCTAGTACCCAAAGGGATGGGATGTGACGGCTGCCGCCTATTTCAGGCAAGGTACAGCCTGCAGCATTAGCGCTGCCTTGTGTACCTGAAGCTGTTAGGCGGCCCCCAAGCCATGCCATGTCGTTGATGTCAATGAAACGGAGTCTTGAACTGGACTCCTTAAAGGAAGGGCATAGGGCATTCACAATGCATTCACTGACGTCACTATATATACAACTACAAAGACATTTCGTAATCATCGTCGTATATTGAGCTTCCCCAGCCAATCCGAAACCGCCTGCTGCCCAGCGTCGTTCAAGCCAAGCTCTTCTCCCTCTTGTTCTTGTCCTACTTCGACAACCTTGATCCTCCGCTCGGGCTCCGCAGCCAAGAGGTGCACGTCTTCATCCCATCTGGCCCGCTCCTTAAGCTCAACCTTGGCGATGCTGCGCCGCATTAAACTAGCCATTTCGTCTGCCTGAGCCATGAACGTGTGTCTTGTATCGTGAACTTTGAAACTTGGTGCTGTTGCTTTCGTCGTCTTCGGCTGTGGCTGATGCAACGGTGACCAAGCCGGTGCATCGTGTAAGAGCATCGTTTCAGGAATCTTGAGAGTCGACGCTCGCGGGGGAAACACAAGGTACGACCTACGAGGCGTGGTAGACGTCTCCGTCCCGTCAGATTTCTCTCCCTTCATCGTCTTCACAATGCCCGCAAACTCGGCAGATGCGTAAAACGATTCGGGTATGGGCAGCCCCGGGTTGTGGAAGAAGAGGCTCGGGCTCGCAAAGGGGTCAAAGAGATTAGTCGGCTCATCGAACAGGGATACCAATCGCTTCTGCAGGGAGTCGATTCGAGCATTGCCGTTTGAGCGCCGTATGGCCCTCATTGCGTCTCTCACGGACTTGGTGCCGAGAGTCTTGTGGCCTGGCAGGAACATGGTCCAGTTGTAGATGCCGTTGTAGGCTGCAACACCACGGACACAGAAGCGTTTATGCGGGTGCGCTTCTGTCAAGGAGAGTGACATGGCCAGGCCAGCGCCGAGATGAGAGCCGTAGACGTAGATGCCGCCTCGACCATAATTTGGCGGTGCCAGAGCTTCGGCGATCCATTGGTAGGCAAATGCCACATCGTGCATCGGCACAGGCCAGTTGGCAGTGTCGAGGAACTCGTCGTCTTCCTGGCTGGGGGCATTGAGGCGCTCAGTCGTCCACCGGTAGTTGATGCTGGCGACGGGCCAATCATACAGAAACTCTGGCAATCGCTTCACGCCATTGGCACTCTCCGGCAGCGGAGGCAAATGAACGATGAGGAATTTTGGTGGTAAAAACTCATCAATGTTGTACAAGCTGATGCCGGTGTTAGCTCAGTGAAGTGCGGTTTGAATATGGATTACAGACTCAATGTCTACGGAGCCTCCAGAGCCACACGTTATTGGCACGGTCTTCCGGATGTGAGGGTGGGCTGATCTTAGCACGCTGAAGCATCGGCGGCCAAGCGATGAGAACATGACAAGGAGAGTGACGATTTGCCAGAGCGTCAATGATCTGCTAGCTCTGTGTTTCCATCAAGAAAGCGCCGCATTTGCGTGTGCCAGACTGCTACCCTACACCCTAAGAAAGTAGTGTGGGGAGATGATGTTGCTGTTTCACTTCGAATTGAGTGTGGTGGGTTAAAATAAAGTTGATGTGCTTCATGTGTTAGTGGATGAAGCTATTTTTCCTTGTCTTTGTCTTGGAATCACATGCTAATAAAATATGGTGGTGTGCTGCATTCTTGCTCAATGCTGTATTAATTGGTGTTTATTTGATGCCAATTTAGCAGCCCAATGGCAGCACATTAAGAGACTTATTATATCGTGCCCCGTAATAGGACCACTATTATCATACTGCTAGTTCAATGCTGCAATCTCGTCTCCGTATTGTCCAAGCCCTCCTCATCGTGAGCCGTTAAAAACACCCAGTGCGACTACAAGCAGTACTTCATCCACATGCTTGTATCCCTCACCATACAATACACCACTGTATAAATTGCGGTGTACAGAGTACTTCTTCCTACATAATGGCGCTCTTGCATCAATTCATCGTCTTTGGGACGGACAATGGTGGGTTACATTCCCCTCTATTCCCCAATCAATTAACCACCGAGTGTGCAACTGCAACTGCAATGGCAACGACAATTGTAGAACAATGTGATGAATTCATCTACTGGCAAATGCTGACGCCAGCCAAGCCGGCATTGAGCGCTCATTACGCTTCGCCCAGGCCCTAGTCTCTCTCATCGCCACATATCCCACCTCTCAACTCGCGGCATTGCTCTATCTCACGCCGATCAACGTCCCACCCGCGGCGTCATTTCTGCTGCTGAGGTCAAAGATCAACCTCACCAGACGCCTCCTGCGTTTTTCCCGCTTCTTGGAGCAGTTCAAGCTGGGCTGGGATTTTTATGCCGCGGGGATACTGGATTTCGACACTCTGCTTGACGTGCTTGGCAAAACGTCCATGGGCATCTTTGGTATGCTTGAGACGGCGACTCTGCTCGATCTGCTGGAAATAGACCAGTTTGAGATATTCGGAGCGGAGCAGACTGCAAGCTTGAACTACCAAGCACAATATTTCTGGCTGACTGCCTTGTGCATCTCTCTCTTCCGCTCCACCACCAGATTGTTGCGTATTTTTGGCAATCAAGTGGCCTCCAGTCCCCCGTCTAGTAACGAGAAAGAGAAAGACGCGCAGAAGAAAAGCGAGCATCAAGATGGAGATGAGTCATCGACACAGAATGGCGATGAATCTGCTCCAAGAAAGCCAAACGAGACTCGGAACAAGGGCCTTGGGAATCAACTAGAAACGAGCAACGGAGCGACAGGATCCGGCGGGGCTGCCTCGCCGTTGATCATGAAGCTCGTGGCCGACGCCATGGACGTGCTCCTCCCAGCCTCCGCTGTTGGGCTGGTTCAACTAGATTCTGAAGTGATTGCAGTGGCCATGCTTATAAGCACGGTGATCACTGCCAACGATGTATGGGTTAGGTGTGGCAGGGAGATGCATCGTCGTTAGATACATATATGGAACAGAGTAGCAGCAAGCTTGATAGATACAGCAAATTACACCGCCGCCAAAGGCTCACTGCTTGCTGTCTCGAGTTTCTCAATAGGGTATTTTTTCTGCCACTCTTCTCTCTCCCGGACCATGTCCCGCTTGCACCATTTGATGGTTATCCCGCACCACACAGCGCACCATATAAATGGCACGGCCCAGCATATGCCGTATGAGACCGTTGCCGGAATAGGATGGATGAGAGCCACGACGGTGAGGCCGGCAGCTAAGATGAGTGCAGGGATGGACCAAAACAGAGACTGGACGAATAACATGCGCCGGAAGCGGGGGCTAGCATTATAGCGTGCAGCCAGAGCTTCTCGGTATGGCCGACCAGCACCAGCATTAACGGCGACAACGTCTTCGATGAAATAATACACTCCTGGCAAAACCTGTTGAATAAATGTTAGTACAGAGGTGCCAACTAATAATGAGGTAGAGAGAGAAAGATGTGTCGTACCTTTTCGCCTTTTCCCGTAGAGCTCAGACGGAAGGGAGCAGGCCAGTTCATAGCGTGGAACAGCGTAATCAGAAGGAGAACGCCGCCAATGCAGTACAAGATGGCCGGTGCTGGCATGCAAAGAACCCGGAGCCAGACCTCGTGTGGTGCACTGCCCACGATGAAGAGAGCCGTAACGGCCGTGATGGTGATGACCGACGTCCAGTTCAGAATGTCAAAGCACCAGCGACTGTTGGTGCCCAGCGGACGATAAAACCTCTCCTTCTTCATGAGCCGCAGCGTTCTGATGGCAAATTCGACATATGTTGGCCCGCCCCAGATGGTCGTGACGACGGCAAAGATGATCCAGCCCTGGACATGGCCCGCGTATCTCATTGCATAGTACAGCACAATGGGCACTATCGAGCCGTCGATGAAGACCATGATGGCGAAAAGAAAGAGTCTCCAGCGCTTCCATCCGTGATGCCAGGTAAACGGCAGCTGGGGCAGCAGCTGGGGGTTGTTGCTGTAGTAATCCTGCAGAGTGCGATCTCGTCGCTTCCACTCCTTGCGCGTTCCAGCCCGTGAGTCGTAGTAAACATCGGCATCTTGTCGCAAGGCATATGAGAGACTTCGTCGCGGAGCGTCTGTACGCGGTGATTCCGGGCCAACCTGCTGGCTTGGTCGACCTGGGGGGAGATCTCTGGACGCAAAGGTCACGATGTTTGGCAGCGAGGCGGTGCCATGGCGAGACGAGGTAATGCCGCCGTTGGCTGCAGCGTCAGCATCCTTGGCAGCAGCGGTACTGTTTGGCGACTCTTCTGACTTGCAGCGGACGGCAGCGGAATCCTGATCTGCGTCCGGCATCGTGCGGCGTTTTCACACGATGCAATCAGGGGAAGGCAAATCGAATTGAGGGTCGGTTCAAAATAAAAGATGAAAAGAAAGAAAAAGAAGAACGAAAAGAACTACTGGCGACAAGCGTCATTCGTTTGGACTGGGCGACGCTGCGGGCGCCATTTCTTTAAGACTGGAAAAAAGAACTTATCGAAGGGAACCAGGGTTGCCAAGCAGGGTCGGGCAACGGAGCTTGAAGGATGATGACGTTGTCACCTGAGAGGCCGATAACATGCTGAGATGATCCGGCTGAGCCGATGGCATAACTGACGCTCCGTACGGAGCAATTAAATCGTGCAGATGGCATTCTCTGCATGCTTTGGGAGACGCTCGAAAAAACTAACTCCGATTACTAATCTTGCAGAGAAATGCCCGTTGTCCTTTGTCGCAACTGATCAATCGAGCTTGAAGCATCTGGAATATGCCAGCCAGCCTAGGTACCTAGGTACTACAGGTAGGTCGGGCGAACCGAGAGAGAGAGGCTGCTTCGTATCTAGGTACCTACCTAACTAGTACTTACAGCAGGTATGCATGCAGCTTATAGAATACAGTAAATCGTAAACAGCCCTTAAAAAAGCTGACGGAGACGCTAGAAAAAAAAGAAAAACTCATCTAGGCTTGCTAGGCTCTCATTCCAAATGGACGGCAATCAATCGACCTCGGTTACCCCATACGGCGGCGACTCGTAAACTGGAGCTGCTAACTCTAACAGGTAGGCTTAACACTACGACTCCATACCTACGCCTTGCTATGGCGACTCTCCCACGTAAACGGGGCAAAGCAGCCCGTTACCCCATACTGTTGACATACCTCCTGGCATCACCACCCAACCCCGCAATCCTGTGCTCTGCTGTGCTGTGTTTTACAGGATTACAGTACAGTAGAACTCTGATTGGAACCGGAAATTAATTAAAAAACGCCACAAGCGAGAATGACAATGGGAGCCTCCGTCAGAGTATTGCCAAATGTATAGTACGCCTGATGCTTAATTCGACGTGCTGCATGTATTTACCAATCGCAATTCTAGGCCGCCAAGCGGGCTTCGAGTCTTCTTCGAACAATCCAATACTCCCATCCTCCGTCATGTCCCTGCCACTCCAATCCGGGCTACCACCGCACCTCCATCTCCCCTAACAAGAACATAGGCGGACGCCGTTTCGCCACGCCTTCGAATGCAGACCTCAAGGAGTATGCCTTTGAAATGGCCGCCTCGTCCATCCGGTTCGGTGCGGGCGTGACCCAGGAAGTGGGCATGGACCTGAAGAACCTCGGCTCCAAGCGAGTGTGTGTTGTCACTGACCAGACTGTGAATCAATTGGATGCCATGAAACAGGTTCGAGAGAGCCTCGAGCGTGAGGGCATCAACTTCAAGGTCTACTCTGACGTGAGGATAGAACCAAAAGATAGCTCGTAATTGTCCCCCCTTATACCAGCTACCAGCTACCAGCTTGGTTGTTGTCTTTCTCACTCAGCTAACGTACTTGTCCAAAATATTAGCATCAAGGACGCAATTGCATGGGCAAGGCCATTTGCACCAGATGCCTTCCTCGCCGTCGGTGGAGGGTCCGTCATGGACACGGCCAAGCTGATGAACCTTTACTCATCGTACCCGGACGCGGATTTCTTGGACTTTGTCAACGCGCCACTGGGAAAGGGGCTCCCCATTGACAAGCCCCTGAGGCCGCTGATTGCAGTCCCAACTACCGCGGGTACTGGTAGTGAGACCACGGGAACTGCCATCTTCGATCTCGTCTCCAAGAGGGCAAAGACGGGCGTCGCTCACCGAAATCTCAAGCCGACACTTGGAATTTGTGATCCAATCAACACACGGACCATGCCTGCTGCTGTCAAGGCTAGCTCCGGCCTAGATGTCCTGTGCCACTCCCTCGAGTCGTGGACAGCTATCCCCTATACCGAGCGAACACCTCGACCCTCAAACCCAATCCTTCGACCGGCCTACCAGGGCGCCAATCCGATTTCAGACATCTTCTCCCTCAACGCCCTGAAGAGCACAGTCAAGTACCTCCCCCGAGCCGTAAAAGACCCCGAGGACTTTGAAGCTCAGAGCGAGATGCTACTGGCGGCAACGCTTGCTGGAGTTGGCTTTGGAAATGCGGGTGTTCATTTATGCCACGGTAAGCGACACGACCCCACTATAACGCGAGTAGCTTGTTAAAGCTGATTGTAATATAGGCATGTCGTATCCCATCTCTGGCCAGAATCCAGGTTACAAGCACGCCGGCTACGACGTCCCACACTCCATCATTCCCCATGGCGTTTCCGTAGCAGTATCTGCGCCCGCCGTCTTCCGATTCACGGGACCTTCCAATCCAGAGAGGCATCTCGCGGCGGCCGAGGCATTCGGCGTTGACATCTCCAACGCAAAGGCAGAGAGTGCTGGCGAGATCTTGGCTGAGGCACTCATGAAGTTCCTCCAGGACCTGGGAGACCAGCCGAGCGGACTCAAGGATTTGGGTTTTGGAAGTGAGCACATTGATGCGCTTGTCGAAGGCACCATTCCCCAGGCGCGAGTGCTGAAGCTTGCTCCCAACCTCGCCACAGAACTGCAGGCCGAGAAGGAGCAATTACGGGGGCTTTTCGAGGACGCCATGAGCTATTGATGGGGCATGGAATTGCAGACTATCGGAACTTGTCTGGGTTACTCGGTATCATCTTCCTCAGCATAGCAATCTGCTTCACAATGCTTAGCTTCCGGAGTTCTGGAGTTCCGCGCTTGTCGGTTCGCCGTGTTCCATTTGAGTAAACAACTGTGTTGTCGGGTAGTACCTCGCCGCTAGCAATGACGGACAAGTGAGACACCGTGCAGTTCTAGATTGTATTAGCATCCTCTCCGTGTAACAAAGCCCAACAAATAGCATGGCAGCTTATTCCCCTTACTTTACCAATCTTGGCACCGCCCCCAATCTTGCTTCCGACCTGAATGACGCTGCCCTCACCAATTTCTGTCCCTCCGGCTTCAACAACCGAACCCGCCTCGATGAGAACATAGTCCCCAAGGCTCACACCACCGGCGCCCTTTTCGCGGTTATCCGGGGGAGCCCCGAGATGCACTCGCTCCTGAACGATGCACCGTCGCCCGACAAGAACGCTGCCAGCGCTTGATTCGATGCGCGACCGGGGATGAATCACCGTCTCTGCCTGCATCGTGATCGAATGGATGCCCAGCAGGACCGCATTGTCGGAAATCGTAAGCGACGTGGAAAAGTTGACGGGAGGTTTCGGGCCGCTGCGATCGACGGCCGGCAGGATAGAATGCCTCTTGCTCGACATGGCGCGATGTGATGATATTCGCGAGAGATGTTTGGAGTAGCTTCGAAGTCACTTGGTGGAGAGCTCTTTGTGGAATTGCGCGTTGGGGACCTTGGGCTAAGCCTCAAATGCACTAGCGTCTAGAATTGTGCCAAATGTGAAGAGCGATCTAGTACCGATCGGGCAATGCGAGCTCGCTTTGCAGTGTGTGGTACCTTCATGGTACCTCTTCTCCATATTCCATACCTTCAGGTATCGACAATACACGCTGCTGCTGAATCGATAGAGTCAAGGGCCAGTAACAGCAGGTTCATTTCATGGATTCCTCTAGATAGATCAAATTATTTACAAAACATAAAAACGCCCATCCATCAACAGCTTAATTGTCCTTTGGAACATTCAAGCTGTCTACGCCACCCTCGTATGAGGCAACGTCATATTCCTCGGGGTATGTTTCTAGAATTTCCTTGAGCTGTCCCATCTGCTCCTTGAGGTCGGGTGTTAATCCTTCGTAAATGTCCTCAAACATGGAGCCGATGGGCGGCTTCTTCTCCCGCTCTGCCTCACTAAACCCCTTGAGGATTTCCTTCCGCAGGCTGTCTCTGGCCTCTTTCTCCTTGGCCTCGTCCCAGATTCCTTTAGCCTCCATCCACTTCCTTAGTCGAGTGATGGGGTTATCTCGCCGCTTCCAATCCTCGACCTCGACACGGGCTCGGTAGGCGAACGAGTCATCGGAAGTACTGTGGTGAGAGACACGATAGGTCATGGCTTCGATAAGCACCGGCTTGCCACCGTCTTGCAGTGCCATTTCTCGTGCTTTCTTTGTGGCCTCTCTGACCGCCCAAATGTCGTTTCCGTCAATTCGAATGGTGTCAATTCCATATCCAATTCCTCTGCTTGCAATGCCATCTCCTCGATATTGATCGAGGGTGGGTGTGGAAATGGCAAATCCGTTGTTGCGGCAGATGAAGATGACAGGACAAGAGCGTGTGGCAGCAATGTTCAAGGCGGCATGGAAATCGCCCTCACTGGCAGCTCCCTCACCGAAGAAGACGGCCGCTACTCGCGGCTTCGAGCTAGGATCTTGTAGCCTCTGCAGCTTCAAGGCATAAGCCGCTCCCGACGCCTGCGGAAGCTGTGTTGCCAACGGTGAAGAGACAGTGTGCTGTGGCGGAAAGTGTTAGTCGACGATTGCAGGGGTGGTATCCCAAGTGTACTCACAATATTCAACGGCTTGCATCCATAGTGAATGGGCATGTTCCTTCCCCGGCCATTGTCGTTTTTGTTGGCAAATAGCTGTGCCATGAATTGTTCGGTTTTGAACCCCCTCTCCTTGAACAATCCCTGCTCTCGGTACTGGCAGAAGACAGGATCTTCTCTGTCCAGCACACTGGAGGTGCCAACGCTCACGGCTTCCTCGCCAGCGCTCACCATGTAAAAACTTATGCGACCCTGCCTCTGAGCATCGAACATGATGAGATCCATGATGGAGATGAACAGCATGTCCTTGTAGAGCTTGACGACCTCCTCATCGCTGATGTCGGCGTTGAAGGAGGGGTCAACCACTTGGCCATTCTGGTCCACGACTCTGTACGTCGGCAGGGCTGTGTATGAGTCGGGCGTCTCAAACTTGAGAGAGCTGGTGAAGGAGCTCTTGAGAGCGCCGGGGAAAGACACGAAACCCGAATTGGGCCGTTGAGAAAGGCTTCCCGCGCTCCGGATGGGATTGGAGATGACGGAGACGGACGGCTTTGCGAGTCTCCGGATGGAGGCCCTCCGGAGAACGCGAGAGTTTGCCTTGAGCGGATTCAACATGTTGGCTGCTGGGAGAAGGACAATCTGAGATCCAGCAAGACGACAGACCCCAACTTTTTTAATATCAGAAATCCGGGGATGGGCTCTGGTTCCCTTTAATCGTGCTCGGGATAAGGCGCGAGTCTGCCGATAGAGAGCGGTCACAATTGAGCCGACAGAATCCGGCAGCGCTAACAGGGGGGGTTTTCCGAGGGTTTCCAAGTTGAGCACTAATAAGCCGGCCTTTGGAATGGCTGGAGAGTGCCTGTACTGTAGATGAAGAGATTCTTTAAATATTCTTTCATCGATGTCGTTGAATCTTATCGTTGGTAGCAGTAAAGTTGCGGCATGGTTGGAGTTGCTCATATCTTGGGGTTTGATACTTGGTCCTTGCCTTATGTAATATACTGCAAAACAACAAATGCAGCTACAACTATGAATGTACAAAAAGAGCAGTCTTCTGAAGACACCTTCTGCTTGTCCTTGTCAATGCTTTCATGCAATATTGAGCTTCATTTCTTTCAATTTTTTGTCATGTTGAAAGGCTTGGGTTTGTCTACGCTCGATACGCCGTGAATGAACGGACAAGAGTGGCAGCCAGGTGGCAGACCAGACAGGCCACGATAGATCCAGCTGTCAGGCACAATTGCTTGCAAAATATTTCATTCAGCAAATTTATTCTTTCCGCGTAATAGTAATTTTAAGATTTTTAATATCTTGGCCAAAAACAAAACACAACACACGATGAAAACATTGCACCTCTGATTCTCCCATTGAAGCCATCACCATTACTTTCACACCACACATCAACACCTCACACTTCAACCCACAATCCAAATCGTCAAAAAAAGAATCACAATATTCCCCTAATTCAAACGATTCTTGTCTTTTAATTTTCTATCTCTTCTCAAAATTTCCCTCCAAATGGCCCCTCCAGCGGTCAATTTGGTGATGCTCATCCTCGGCCTCTTCTTCCTCATCGCGCTGATTGGCTGGTTCTTCCAAAAGAGTATCCACCACTTTATCCAGGCTCTTGTCGCCTATCGCCAAGACAACCAAACCGGAACTCAACACGACGTGGAAGCGGCAGCAAGACTGTAGAAAGTCTTTACAGGGTTGCAAACCGGCGAATATTTTGTCATTGAAGCGTTGCTAATCTAAGGCTTTCAAAGGAAGTCGAACAATTGAGTGCCTCACAAAGATTGGCAGCTTCAATCTGCGACTAGCAAGGGCAGAAGAGAGAAAATTGATCTCATCTTCACAAGTGAGAAGCAACAAAAGACACAGACAGAGAGAGAGTCAGAGTCGGACCATTCAAGAATCAACAACATACACATCAAAAACTACTCCTCTCATTACTTCACCATACATCATTCGTTCGTTTCCTTGAACGGCAAAAAAAAAAAGAACAGAAACCATCGCCATGTCTGCCCATTCACTGCTAAGAAGCCGCGCAGGGCTGTTCCGGCCCACGGCTTGCATCTCTCAAACAAACCGCCTCTTTTCTACTACCCGCCAGTCTCGGTCATCAGAGCCAACGCCTACCGCAAACCGTCCTACTCACTTTGGCTATGAAACGGTGACGGAATCCGTCAAGCAGGAGCGAGTTGCCGGAGTCTTCACTAGCGTTGCGGAATCATACGATAAGATGAACGACTTGATGTCGCTGGGAGTTCATCGTCTGTGGAAGTGAGTATTCATTCAAACGCTCATGAAAATTGCTAATGCCTCTCCCAGAGATCACTTCGTCTCCTCCTTAAACCCAGGAGCGACAAACCCCATCGGCATGCCGCAGCGCATCCTGGACGTCGCCGGAGGCACAGGTGACATTGCCTTCCGCATGCTGCAGCACGCCCACGTCAACAACGGCAACCCAAACGTGCACGTAACCATCTCCGACATCAATCCCGCCATGCTCGCTGTTGGCAAGCAGCGCTCCCTGTCTCTCCCGGCCTCCCACCAGTCTTCGCTCTCTTTCCTCGAGGCAAACGCCGAGGTTCTGCCCTCGTCGATCGAGGACAACTCCCTTGATTTGTACACTGTTTCCTTTGGAATTCGAAACTTCTCCAATATCCCCGCTGCCCTAAAGGAGGCACACAGAGTCCTGAAGCCGGGCGGTGTTTTTGCCTGCATGGAGTTTTCCAAAGTCGACAAGTACCCCATCTTCAACGCCATCTACAAGCAGTGGTCTTTCAGTGCAATCCCGTTGATTGGCCAGTTGGTTGCAGGAGACCGTGACAGCTACCAGTACCTTGTGGAAAGCATTGAGCGATTTCCCTCCCAAGACGATTTCCGAGACATGATTGCTGAGGCGGGATTCGCCATTGTTGGAAAGGGGTATGAGGATCTTACCGGTGGTGTGGCCGCCATTCACAAGGGCATCAAGCCTCTATGAGTGTTCCCAATATTTGAGCAATCTGCTTCTGTATATTATCCAGTGGAAGAAGGACCAATTTACGAGTGCTTCAAAAATAAAATAGAAATCTTCCTAGAGTATTTCGGAATTTAATATTTCACAGCATCACCAGCTTACACCCAGCCAACACCCAAACAAAAGACAATGCAAAGAAAATTTTTGTGACCTAACTACTTGAGGTACCAATCGAAAACGAAGGCTAATATTCTCAAGCCCGACATTTAATCCTCCCGGAAGCTCATGAGATACGTATGTACAACATGAATAGTTCTGGACCTTGCTCTCATACCTTCCAGAGCCTAACGCCAGATTGTCCCAAAGGAAAACCACGTGAATGAGATAAAATTCTCAAGGCTGGGCGCGCCCGAAACAAACAAAAGAAGAGTGCCGTCACAATGGCTAAGACAGTCAGGGAACACCATGCTCCTTGGCCGCGTTTACTAATCGGCAGCAGGAGTCGCTGCGGGCGATACACCCGCGTCCCCCTTTAAGCCTCCTCGCCCACGGGAACCGCGGCCTCGCTCGCTACCTCGTCCTCCGCGTCCTCCGCGGCCGCCTCGCCGGTTGCTTTCAGAATCACTAGTGCCGCCAGCACTGCGATATCCGCTTGAGGCAGCTCCGCCCCGTCCGCTGCCACCCCAGGTTCCAGCATTGCCGCGGGTGTTGAAAGGCTTGCCTTCTCGATGGTGGAAGATTTTTACTAAAGGTTTTGATCGGTCCTCCGTGGTTCTTGTCTTCACGGCTTCCGGCAGTCTACCCATAGCTCCGTCGCGGTCTTCGATCGTTCTGAATTGAACGACCTTGTTTGAGCCACCCCACTTCTCAATCTTGAGAATCTTGGACTTGTCAGCCTCATCAAACAGATCGCGGCACTGCTCGTCCGTGTTGACATTCATAATGAACAGGCCAATGATATCAGATGCGGATGTCTTTGGGACTGGTGAGGTGGCTGGTTCAGGTGCATTTGCAGATCCATTAATCGAAGCTGATGTCTTCTCAGCTTCTTTATTAGCTGGGCCACCCCCTGCGGTAGGCTGTGGGGTTGATCGGCTCGGTATCGTAGAGATGGGGGCAGCTGGAGCAGGCTTCGGTTGTTGAGCTGATGGCGATTGTTTGACGGCTGCTGCGGCGGGAGCAGCAGGAGAGGTTGCGCTTGGAGGGGCGGCGGGAGCTGCTGCTGCAGGTGCAGGAGCAGAAGATGACTGCTGTTTAGCTCCCCGGTGGGAAAAGTTGAATCCCTGAGCACGCATCTCGGTTCCAATTCGTCCATCTTGGATCTCCAGCACTAGATAGCCAAAAGCTGCATCGGCAAGGTTAAAGTTCCACATGTTCTTGAAAGCGCTTTCGTCAACTGCGCCCAGAGCACCTTGGCCAACCGGGCCCCCAAACGGATTTCCACCCGCAGCCGTCGTAGGCATCTTTTCCACTATCTGCAGGGCATTCTTCAGTAGGTTCTGTTGGGCTTCGTTCTGCTGGATAGCAGGCTCGACTTCTCCCCGAACTGTTTCCCAGACGTCGTTGAACGAGGCTTTCGAGGCGGCAAGCTTCCCACGGTAGTGATCCAGTGTAGGGTTGACGCTGAATTCATTGTAAGAACTTCCATATCGGAAGTGGAGTCCGGCTGAAATAGAAAAGTCCGCCTTTAGGGTAACAGAGAGCTGATTCAATATACCCTCTCGGGCGGGAGAGGCATGCGTGATAAAGACTCGAGTCTCGGTAGGATCATAGACGCGGTGGGCAGTGTCGACCAGCTCTCCCATCTGCAGTAGAGTCGTCCACATTGTACCTTGTCCTCCCGCAATAGTAGTGCGGCCCTCTCCGTTATCGAATAGTTTATGCATTACCACGGCGCCTCCGAGACCGAGAAGCCGGAGCTTTACACCACCTACTTCCAGCAACATGGAGCGTGCTTCGTCGATGATATGGAGGTTGGGAACCTTGTACTCGGAGGACCTGAACTTTTCGAGAACGCGAACATCCTCACAAGCACCCCAAACGGTATAGACAGGAACATCGAGCTTCAGCTCTCCACTGAGTAAAAGAGGGAGCTCGGAAAGGGGGAGTTCGCTCGCAGAGAATCTGGATTTCACGGAGCCAGGTCCACCTTGCTGAATAGCCTTCTTGACCGGTTCAGAGATGAGTGGTGAATACTGTGCAACGTGCTTCAGGGTCTTCTCCACAATCCGTTCCAGGGATGTGTGATCGTAGAATCCAAAGTCGCCAGTGTGGATAATGTGGTCAGCTTGAGCTTGTTTCGCAAGCTCGTTGAGCGATCGTAGGTTTCCTGGGCAGCATGTCAGCGAATGTCACCAGCAACATACGTGATGCCCGCAATATACCTCTAACGTCCGCAATGCAGAGAATCCGGATGGGCCCCGTCTGGATTATACGGCCTTGGTTGGGTAGGAGAGGCGCTGCTCCAGGTGATGGAAGGCTAGTAGCACCATTTTGTATGTAGCCAGGGGCATATGCTCGCGGCTGCTCTCGTTAGCCGAATCAAAGTCCAACTTCCAACTTCCAACTGCACAACGCAGCAATCGTGGGCTGAGGGGCGTGGCGATGCGGGCGGCCATGTTTCGTCCCGCATTCTCGGTTTGCAGGTGGAAGGGCAGCATCAATACACGAGGTAGATGCCTCCAAGGCAAAAAAGACACGGTCAAGTGTCCTTTGTGGCGTAGGAATCCAGAGAGATCCCGAACGGGCAGCTCCCCGATCTGCCACGAGAGCCAGGGTTGCAAGAGACCAGGAAGAGAACAGTGTGCACTTACGACAGCCATTCTATCAGCCAGCAGAGTAGAGGAGAATCGTAGCCTTGAAAGGTCGTCCGGTGGGTGGTTTCCGTACGAGAGAAGATGCTCTCAAGGTAGAAAATGACGGGTATCGAAGATATGACGAGAAGAAGGACGGCAAGCCGCAAGTGAAGGTGAATTTGGCTGCTTCAGCGAGCGAGAGTAACTATTGCTCCATAAGGTCGGGTACTGAGTGGCTACCTGCGATGCTGATTGGCAGCCTTGCCTCAGAGCATGTTTTACGCTAAGCCGGTTAGGGGAGTAGATGCCCAGGAACATGATAGCATTTAGGCAAAAAGGATTCATTTAAAAGCGAATTATAAAAGTGCACAAAGCAAAAAACAACAAACTATAAATTCAGTTAAACTCTATATTTTATATTATTTGATTTTTTATATAAAAATACCATATATATTCCTTTTTATTGTGTTTTTATTTTTGTGTTTTATTTTTATATTCAACTAGGAATACATTTATTATAATAATTTTAACAATGAAATATTATTACTAAAGTAAATATAGTATGATATAATGCTTTTTATATTACAATTTAAAAGAAATATTTTACGTAATCCAACTAGGCAGAATCTAAATTGTTATCTTATCGAGATTCCCATCAGTTATTCATACAGCTCCAAGCTTCAAGCAAACCCCACGACCAGCTTTTTTCGACAGCCATTGACATGAAAGCTCTACAAATGGGAATATGTTACGTCCATATCTGGCTTTTCCACGGAGTTTCCGACTAATACTGCGCCCTGTGGCTCTTGCGTCGAAAGTCACTTCTCTGAGCTCTGCTCCTTGGCTGACCGGAACAAGGCTCTCTTCTTCTGGGACCCAATGGAAAAGCCGCCAAGGTCGCGATGCCTATGTCCGTCATGCCAAGGTTCAAGGGCTTAAGAGCAGAGCAGCTTTCAAGCTCTTGGAGGCAAGATTGTCCCATCCTCATATCCCCGCCATCCCTTCATAGTATTAATACGAACAAAAGATCGACGCAAAGTACAAGCTCTTCAAGAGAGGTCAAACCGTAGTTGATCTAGTAAGTTATACAAAAAATCAGGCCGTAATCTTGATTGCAAGTCTCTAAAACTTGTCGTTTTTTCTTTCAGGGATATGCGCCGGGCAGCTGGTCACAAGTATGTCGTATCTTCGTATCCTCGTATCCATGCCCAAAGACCAGCCTACGTCTTCGAACAAAGTAGGAGATTCACATGTATTTTGTAGGTTGCAGTTGATCGCACTCGACCTCATGGCCGTGTTATCGGTATCGACCTTATACCCGCTCAACCTCCTCAGGGCGTTGCAGCATTCCAAGGAGACTTCCTATCTCCCGTAGTTCAAAAACTTGTCAAGGAGTTCATTGCTCAAAGCCATGGCGGCAGACCTCTTAAGGCCGAGAGAAATAATGTTGATGAAGATGACGACATGCTTCCAGAGAATACCATCATCGACCAGCCGAGCTACATTGATCGAGAGAGACACTCAACAGAGAGCAGAGGCCCTCCGTCTAGTAGCACACCGGCAGACTCGAATTCGAGAAATCTTGTAGATGTTCGTCAAACACGTCTCGTCGTTGATGGCAATGATATTCTTGCACCTACGCTGACGTCGATATAGGTCGTGTTAAGTGATATGTCAGCACCATGGGAACAAGTCTCTGGATATAGTTCAAGGAGTTTAAGTAACCCTTATGACAGGCTGATGAACACGAGCGGCATTGCGTCTCGAGATCATGCAGGTAGCATGGTAAGAGAAAACCCTAAGCTTCTTCTATTCACTGAACAAAAAAAGACAAGAATATGGCCCTGATGGCATCTAGAACCTTTGCGAAGCGGCACTTCATTTTGCCAGCGACACGCTCAAACCCGGCGGCCATCTTGTCTGCAAATTCTATACAGGATCAACGGATAAAAGATTGGAGCAGCAACTCAAGGTACTGTTCTCAGAGGTGTACAGAGAGAAGCCAGAATCATCCAGATCAGTAAGCTTCAACAGCTCACATTCACACGAGGCAGCAATACTAACTGCTACTACAGGAGAGCAAAGAAGCTTATTTCGTTGCCCTCTATAGAAAAGCAAAGGCTACTATTGAGCACTAGAATAAACACATAATTTTCACACGATTTAATGCTACGATGAGTTGGTCAAGCAGATCATCAATTTGGCCATGTCCAGGCACGAATTTTTTAGGTTCGAATGATATAAAGTCACGCCATCCCGTTTAGGTCCCATACATAAAGCGAAAATTGGAGACAAAAAGTATCTCCATCCTGATGATTGCCCATTTCCCCACCAACATTTAGACCTTGAAGCCACGTGAGCGTCTGCGACCACGAGCACGCTCGAACTTGCGACCCTTAGACTCGACGAAGGGTTTCTGTAACATGGATTAGTATAGTGGAATGACTGCCAGTTCCAAGTGCGATTTACCTTGTGCTTGTGGGGACCGAAGCCGAAGTGCTTGACGGCCTCACGGCTGTTCTTGGGTCCACGGAGGATCAGGGTGTTGCTACCGGTAGGAGCACGGAGGGCCAGCTGGTCCAGGGTGATGGCCTCACCACCAGCAGCGACGATGCGAGCACGGGCAGTGGCAGTGAATCGCAGGGCAGCGACGGTGGCCTTGGGGAAGGTCAGGAGACGGTTGTCATCGGTGACGGTGCCGACAATGACGACGGTGCGCTTCTCGCCCTCCTTGCTGATGTTGGAGACAATGCGGGACAGGGAAACGGGGGGGCGGTTGATCTTGGACATGAAAAGTCGTCGGAGAACAACCTTGTTGAAAGCGGCATCGGTTCGGCCTGGTGTCGTATGTCGTTAGTCGCTCCCAAAAGCTCTCGCGCTACAATTGGAGATTTAAACTTACGAGCCAGGAAGCGGTACAGCTTGACCAAGAGCTTCAGGTAGACATTGTCGCTCTTGGGGGCCTTGCGGTGAGTGCCCTTGACGTGGTGGCGGTCGAGATCGATACCTGGAAAATTGGAAAACCGTCGTCAGCCAGATGGTTCATGCTCAAAAATGGCAGCACATCTTGCTCAGAAGACGGCGCTCAAATCGCAGCGAGATACACGAGGTATCATCACCACTCGCATACACAGGCTATGTCAGTTTTTTTCACGTACCCATGGCGACGGCTGGTGCTGAGAAGCTTGATGATGGGCTAGAATGTCAAAGTCCAAGAGGCCGTGAATATCAAGGTGAACTTTTCCCAGAAATTTCAGGGCTTGGGACTCGGATTGAGGCTCTGATTGGTCCACGGCTGCGCTAGTGTCAGAGCGGTCAGCGAGGGCAATTAGGGTATGCTCTTGTGACTAAGCAGAACGCTGCCAGGAACGGGCAAACCAGCTAAAAATTCATTCGGTGGGGCGTATCGATAAGCTAGCCAACTAACGACGCGGGTTGCAAGTTGAGATCGCTAGAACCGATTAGGCAATGATGTAACAATCTGGAGCAGCGGCTAAACTTGTTAGATTGGTGACAGACGCAATCACGATCATATACTATACATGTAGCAATGCCAAAAGCATATCACAATCGTTTTAATATTGCCTGGAATCCTTTACCACTAGCGTACATCCTCGATAACTGCAATTTGTTCGGATTTATGTTTCCGATTAAGATGCTTTTCACATGAATCGTATCCATTGCGACAACACGCGCGTCCCATAACATGGTGGATTGGGAATGCAACCATCATATACTCCCTTTACTCTGTGAAATGCTCACTCTAACCACTTGTTCAAACCCCCAATGGCAATAGCTTCACAGTGGATGAAGCCCTCTGTTATTTAGGGCGTGCCTAATGTATAATATCTCGACTTCATGTCTCCTCAGCCATTCCATCTACATGAAGGGTGGCAGGGAGAATGGGTAACCGCCATTTTTAACGCGGAAGACGCTCAAGAGAAAGCTGTATACGAGGAACAGAGTAATGCTCCAGACAACAACCGCAACTTGCTGAGTCTTAGAGTCGGCCATACGCGGAACTTTGACAGCTAAAGTAATGGCGCAAAAGGAGAGGACTCCATCTACCACATCATGTATCAGTTTCTGAAACGAAGTGGCATCAAGGGGGCTTGTCTTACAGATGGCTGCCACAATCTGGGTTTCCAATCCAAGTTGGCTCTGGAAACCGCCCGCAATATAGCTAACTCCACCTTTACCATCGCCGACAATGTACGGCACTTTCCGAATATGGTTGAACATGTGTCCGCTAATGAAAAGAAGGATGGCTATCAAGCTGACTGAGGCCCAAATGTTGCGATTCTGGATGACGGGAAGCACATAGGCAGATGCGCTCACCAGCGCAGTACCAACACCAAGAACCAGGGTCACGGTAGAAGCCCATCGGATCCAGTTAATTGGTCGCTTTATAGCAGGATGAGGCCTGTCGGGAAGTTGTCGGGAGAGCCAGGTGTGGACCTGTTCAGCAGCCGTAGGCCTGAGATCTGGTTAGCATCAACGACAATGTGCAGTGCTTGAGAGCTAGATATGATGATTTACCCTGCCGTGAAGTCGTATCGAACGGGTTCTGGGGAGGCCGCGGCATGGGGTCCTACGGTCGGGTGAAAGAGCATGAGCACCGGGGCTGTCTGAAGGCCAAGCTATGGTACGAATTGGTGCGTTAGCATGGATATGAGATTCGTAATGCGCCAATTGCAGCTCTACTACCCACCGAAATGAAGGTCTCCCGGCCATCGGCAAAGTCCAAGGTGCCAAAGAGCAGTCGAGATTCGCCAGTCTTATCACCACGAGTCCAGCTCTTTCCTAGAAGATCCCATTCTGGCTGGAAATCCTGACATAGCTGGCAGCCAAATCTGGTTTCCAAGGCAGTAAGAAGGACAACAACACTGTGGTTCCTCGGAGCACCCGTCAATGAGGCATAGGTGGCATCATTCAGCTTGATCGGGGATGAGCGCTGAGCCAGCCGATTGAATTCCTCATACGGATCCGCCTGCGCCTTCTTTGCGAGGCCTCCGCCAATGAGCAAAAGCAGTGGCGCAATTGACGACAGGATGCGCATCTTTGTGGTTGTTTGCAGCTGTTGTGTCAAGCCGTATAAGCACAGCTGGGTGTTGCTGCCAACTAAGCTGCCAAGTGTTCCTGTGCTGTCATCAAAGCTGTCCCGTTTCATGATTATGTAACTCGTCAGTGGCACTTGGCCATATATGGCTAGAACGTTGCCCTGAGATAATGTAGCTTCTACCCGTTATTTACTTAACTTGCCGCAGATTGAACGCCTAGTATCAGGTAGACTCTAGGTTTTGTCTACTCCTCTATTAGCTCCATTCCTAGACCAGGCGCTCGAGCGGCAAGGTTCTCCGAAGCGGCACCTAAATTGTTAGCAGCTGAGAACTTGCATGCTTCTCTCTTGTTTACCATGTCAGCCGGTGTGGGCGAATAGGATATGCAGATGCGATAACGTAAAAGAGCGTTTTCACAATTGCCAGATTTACTCTGTAGTTCGTCTCTTCAGCATAGGTATTTCCATCATAAACCACAAATTGTTTTGTTCTTGAATGAAAGACAGCCATGAGCGCCAATTCGATTGAGGTAGCCATCCCCTTTGATGTTGCCGATGCTTTGACAAAGCGCTTATGTTGACTTTTTCAGCGCACGACGCGTCTTCACGCTCTAGACCTTGAATATCAACAAAACCGCCACAAAACCGACCTCATCGGCCGAGATGAAGAGGCTCGCCGTCTGCAGCTGCGCGTGCTGCTACTTCGAGATGAGAACACTCGGCTCCAAGACAAGTGCGCCGCCAAGGATGCAGAAATAAAGGCTCTGTCACGAGATGGCGATCAATTGCGCGCCGAGCTTGATGGAACCAAGACAGAGGATCGCCCCAAGGATACGCAGATTAAAGACACTACAATTGGGGCGGATGATACGGCTGTAGGTCATGTTCAGAACCATTGAAATCGCAATCTCCTCGCTAATACGCCAAAAGGCGGAGACAAAGTCATGTGAAGCCCATATGCAGGATTTGAGCAGGGCTTTGGATGAAAATATCGCCCTTACGAAAGAGTTGCAACAGTTGCGACCAGAAATAGAGCTTCTACGACAGCAAGTGGCAAACTACGAAAAGATGTTATCCGAACAACGGGAAAAGGAGACGGCGAGCAAGAAACAGTCAAAGGCTGAGAAGTCAAATGACGAAAGCGAAGACATCACCGAACTTCGAGCAGCGTTGGACAAGATCACAGAAAAATTAGCCCAAGAAGAGAGGCAACGCGAAACCATCAAGTCAAAGCACCGGAAGGAACTAGAAGAATCGGAAGACCAGAACCATAAGCTAGAGGGAAGAATATCGACTCTGGAGAAGAAGTTGAAAGACTCGCAGAAGGAACTTCGCGATGTGCGGAAACAGCTTAAGGCGTCTCAGTCTAGCTCGAAAGGAGATGAACCGGAGGACGAAAATGCCGCTCGCAGCCAAGAAGAGACGGCGAAACCTCGAGCCAAGGATCAATCTCCGACTCAAAAGGAGAGGTTGACTCGCAAGAGCAAGCGTGCAACAGAACAAGCGATCATGGGAGAAAAATCTACCTTTTCCATTACACCGTTCCTCAACAAGTCAAAAGACGCTACGCTAAATATCGCCAACGAGACCAATGGTCTAGGGTTGTCCCTCGATGATGTGCTTGCACAAGAAGGAGATGATAACGCATCGCCACTTGTGATGGCCAAAAAATCCGATGCTCAACCTATAATCGCACCGGATGCCGAACAAGACACTGTTACACCTTTGAGGCCTCGAGAAAAGTTGGCATCAAAGAGAAAAGCAGCAGCAGCAGCAGCAACAGAAGATGAGGATGAGGACCATATGACCAAACTCACCGCTTCCGTTCGAAAGATAGGACGTGCAAAACCTGAAGACACAAAAGATGAGGAAGCATCGGAGGCTCTCGACTCCAAGGAAGCAGCATCTGCCAAAAGAAGTGCCACGGCTGACCCTGGCTCTGTGGTTGAGCATAGGAAGAGAAAGAGAAAGCTTCTAAACAAGACTAACGATATTATACTAGAGGAAGACGAGACCGGGGAAGGAGTCCAGCCCATGGAGGCACCACCAGGCCGAACAAGAAGAGTGAAATCCTCCCTGACAAGCGCTTTCAACTCGCAAACCGGTCGCAAATCGTTTTCACCTCTTAAACGGCACAAACGGGGCGTTAACGCAAGCTTTCTCGCTTGATCAAGGCGACCGCCCGTCAAGAGTTTAGTACCTCCTCCCCTTGACATCATCTACAGCAAGAGCTGCGTAGCCAAGGTATCTTTTTCAAGACACCAAAGACAGCATACTACTAAGTATTGTATTGTGATTCTTCTGTGTAATTATTTGTTCTACCTAGGGTACAAAGTCATGGGATATAGAAGGAATGCAATGCCCTTTTGGTGCCTGCTGCTTAATAGGACCACATATTCTCTAGTAAGTCGGTAGTTTTCCGTAGTACGAGGATTCTCCCGGACCCAGAAACTTGGACGGCACTATAGCATAGCACTGCTGCACAAACATAGTAAGACAACACTACGTTGGTAGATCCTTGAAGCCCAGCCCGATGCAGTAATGGTCTGTTGAGAGGGGTGTTGCACCAATGTATCTTCACTAATTCTCGCTGATGATTATCCCCTTCCCTTCCCTTTTCTTCTGGGTTCATATCTACGAGATGGTTCAAATTAGAACAGTCAGGTACATTTATGTAATCTGTACAAACAAGAAATTCCTATAGAGGCTTCGTTCTCCTACAATATTTCAAATACCGTTTTTGTCTGCACTCATAATATGCTGTATTATATCGTTAATATGTACGGCACCACCCCTCATACTGCATTTTTGGTGGTGCTCAAGTGAACTAGCAGATAACGGATTGATAGCCAAGATTTCCACCTTGGTAAGCGGTGCTAGCCAATCGCATCGCTCGGCCCTAATTTTCCACCCACACAAAAAATTCACAATTTCAGCCAGCCCCAACTTCGAGAGCTTAACATTCAGCTTGCAGAAGAGAAGTGGTCTTCACTGCTAAAACTCTCTTTCCTCACCCATCTCTTTAATTCTTTGCGCAGAGGCGAGGCTGTACCCAATGGCTGAACAACTGATCCTCAAAGGTACCCTCGAGGGCCACGTACGACTTCCCCCTCCCCCATCGCTGCCGTTTTCTCCAGATTCGATATGGGACTGACATTTCATGTAGAATGGCTGGGTTACCAGCTTGGCCACTTCAATGGAGAAGTACGATAGCCTTGCGATCCTCACGAGCATAGTCGATCCTCTAAACTAACAGGAAATAGCCCCAACATGCTCCTGTCTGGTAGCCGAGACAAGACCCTGATCATCTGGAACCTCACACGCGACGAGACGCAATACGGTTACCCCAAGCGATCCCTCCACGGCCACTCCCACATTGTGTCCGACTGTGTATGTTGACCCAGGTGCCGCTGAACCCTTGGAAAGAGAATTGTGGGCTGATTTCAGTTGATTGAATAGGTCATCTCCTCTGACGGTGCCTACGCCCTGTCTGCCTCTTGGGACAAGACCCTCCGTCTGTGGGAGCTCGCTACTGGCACCACCACCCGAAGATTCGTCGGCCACACCAACGATGTTCTCTCCGTCTCCTTCTCCGCCGACAACCGACAGATTGTCTCCGGTTCTCGTGACCGAACCATCAAGCTGTGGAACACCCTCGGTGACTGCAAGTACACCATCACCGACAAGGGCCACACTGAGTGGGTTTCCTGCGTCCGATTCAGCCCCAACCCCCAGAACCCCGTGATCGTCTCCAGCGGTTGGGACAAGCTGGTCAAGGTACGTGTTTTTCTCTTTTTGCTCTACGCTCTCTCCCCATGACAATACACCATTTTTATGATGTACTGCAATTTCTCAAGTATTTGCTACTTCAGAGCCAGCAATGGCCATGAGACAAACATTATCACTTTGCCCTGAATTTGGTTTATTTCCTCTCCTTTTTTTTAAAGAAAGGGAAAAAAAAATCAACATACACACATGATAATTGCCCTGATTTGCGTGTTTGACACCATGTTCTAACATACAATGTCAATAGGTTTGGGAGCTGTCCACCTGCAAGCTGCAGACCGACCACAGCGGCCACACCGGCTACATCAACACCGTCACCATCTCCCCCGATGGCTCTCTCTGCGCCTCCGGTGGCAAGGACGGTACCACCATGCTCTGGGACCTCAACGAGTCCAAGCACCTGTACTCTCTCAACGCCAACGACGAGATCCACGCCCTCGTCTTCTCCCCCAACCGATACTGGCTCTGCGCTGCCACCGCCAGCAGCATCATCATCTTCGACCTTGAGAAGAAGAGCAAGGTTGACGAGCTCAAGCCCGAGTTCACCTCCGTTGGCAAGAAGAGCCGGGAGCCCGAGTGTGTCAGCTTGGCCTGGTCTGCTGATGGCCAGACTCTGTTCGCTGGTTACACTGACAACATCATTCGCGCCTGGGGCGTCATGTCACGGGCATAAATGTTTGTCATGGTAGGTCGGGAGACGGGGAGTGAGCATGGCTTGGGACGTGGTGGAATACAGGGCATCGCATAGTTAGCTTCTTCCTCAAGCTGTAACTGAGATAGGGCAACAGTGTGTTTGAATGTAACCTGGCAGAGGGTTAAGAATTGCTGGCATCAGAAATACTGAAAAAAAGGGTACTGGACACAATTCGCTTCTAATAAAGAAGATGGTTCTTAGCTCCTGTTTCTACTAAGTACAAGGGAAAAAGGAATACTAAAATTTCATACTGTTCAACGCGGTTGGGTCAAAATAGTGAATGCATCGTGAGACATCCTTGATTGTGTATATGTATATGTCGAAAGCCATCCTCCCGTACCGTAGTAATCGCTAAGCTAGAATGACGCCGCGGGTATAATATATATATATATAAATGATAAAAAATCCTGGCAGGATAGCCAATCTAAAAACTGTTCCTGCGCTTTTCCATCCACCAATCTTGCAAATGGTTGGAGATGTGAGAGAACCACTCGATCACTACATTTTCAAACGCATCATAAAGCGCTCGATTTCTTACCCAGACGAGATACCTCCCTTCTGGAAAACTTGACATCAGCATTGACAAGCATGCTGTGGTCCGCAATGTCCACCTTGTCGGCGTGCTCTCTGAACCGGTCTCCCCCCATGAACCGCTTCATAGTTGACTCCCATAGCCGGAATCGTTCTTTGCCTTGGCTGTCGCGTTCGACCAGTGACTTGACTTCCTTTTGCTTCCGCATTTTCGAAGCGCGTACTAGTCTGCGCAGAGCATCCTCGCCCAGCTGTGCGCTCTTGGCCGCGTCCTCTCTGATTTGTTTGGAATCTCTAGTCCTCCTATCCTCTTGCGGCGTAAATCTGTAGGTGTGCGTGCTAGGAAATCCGGGGAAAGATGCCGGTATAAATGGCTTGCTCTCCTTGTCTGCCTGACCACTGAGCTCGGCGCCGAGAAGTGGGAGAGAGGTGAAGGTTTCGTCAACGGTTACAGCCTCGAAACTGCGGTTTATTGTATCTTGAGTGCAAAGCCGGTTCTTAACGTGTGGTTTTAGGGATGAGAGTGCGATGTTGTGGCGCTTTAGCATGCTTTCGAAGTCTGACGGAATAGGAGCTTCGCGGCGTGACGATATTGCGAGTGTCTTGACTTCCTGAATGATGGAGCTCATATCTATGGAGATGGGCGCGTTAGCAAAATTGAAACGGGTTGGTACCATACGTTGATAGAGCCCTACACTGTTCAACCAATTCCGTGAAGCTCTCCAGTGCCTCGGGACTGGCAGATTGAAACCCATCATGCGACAAAACCAAAGCAATAGATCGTTGAATACCAGCACGGGCAAACTGGTGCACAGTTGGAGACGTAGAAGCTACGGCCGACATAGACTCTTCGTCCGCCCAATCTGAAGAAACATCGTTCTGTACCCCGGCTCGAGTCGTTCCAGATTGCTCCTCTTCACCATCTCGCGATGCAAGTCTCGGCCGCTTTGAATCTGAATCGGGGGTAGCAAGAGAGACGCTACGTTTACGCGACGTTGTGTCAGACATGTCGGCTTTTGACCAGCAGGAGGCGAGGACTGGAGACGGTGATTATAATAGGCCAGGCAGGTAGCGATGCAGGCAATTGTAGGAGGCAGTGATGGATATGAAGAGGAGCTGCTGGCTTGTCGCGGCGCAGATGGAACTACAGAGGCGTTTTGGCAATACAAGTACAGCACGTGAAGCTGAGCGCCATTATCGATAAGCAGCTTGATTTTATTGTGGGGGCGATGCAAAGGCAAATGGATGAATGCGAATACGGAGTATGAATATAGTTTCTGTTGGCAATATTGTTTCTAGAGTGATCATTATTAAAGTTGCATCTACTCCTTTTCTTGGCTTCCACTCAGCAACTCCAAGTCATCACGTTATGACACGCCCATGCCGCTATTTGCTGTAATTACTAGGCAAACCCTCTGATTGGCGGGCTATAACCGGATCACCTTGCATAGCCTTCCATCCGCTTTTACTTCGTGCCAGAACCGACGATAACCCGAAGTCAAGACACACAAGCGCCAGCACATAATCCAGCTTGTCGACTCCTTGATTTGCATGATTGTTTTGCTCCAATTCAGAGTTTCCGTCGCTGAGGTTTCCAAGGGGCCGTTGCTGTCACCCATTACTTACTTTGATTCGTTGCGATACCGCTTTGGCTTTGATTGCAACGGCGTTGACTGAGAGGCGACCAAAGGCAGATGCCATCCCGACTGCATCGCCAAATCCCGACGATTTTCTTGACGAGCATGCCACCTGCGTTTCCGATTGCCAAGTCGCTCATTTGTATCCATTCGCCGGCAACAATTGCGTACGATCGAACCATATTTTAACAAGCGACGCTGCGTGGCCGCCAACCAATGCTGTCGCTTTAGCAGACATCGGCTCCCGCACCCTCAAGTTGAGAAACGCTACTTAGACTAGAGATCGAATCGAAATCTTGACTCAATTGAGTCTCCCGCCATCATGTCAGCTGTACGCAGAGCCTTTGACTGGGTCGCCACCGCGCATGGGCTTTCGGCTGCTAATTGATTCTTATAGTCCGTACCCGACGCGCTCAAGCCTTCTCCCGGCACCGATTGGTCTTTGCGATTTCGGGATACCATCTCTCAGCCAGTGGTCGCCGCCTTCTGCGGTGGAGGTGTGGCTGGCGCCGTCTCCCGAACAGTGGTATCGCCGCTGGAAAGACTCAAGATTCTGATGCAAATCCAGAGTGCTGGTCGAGATGCCTACAAGCTGTCCGTCGGCCAAGCACTTGGGAAGATGTGGAGGGAAGAAGGCTGGAGGGGCTTCATGCGAGGAAACGGAACAAACTGCATCCGCATTGTTCCCTATTCTGCTGTCCAGTTCAGCAGTTACAACTTTTACAAGAGGGTATTTCATCTCTTTGGCGGGAGCAACAGCGGCAATTCTCATCGTTACATAACCGGGCTAACCACATGGCCAGAATCTCTTCGAGGCATATCTAGGACCTGATCTGACACCGTTTGCCCGCCTCGTCTGTGGCGGCATTGCGGGGATAACGTCCGTCGTCTTCACCTATCCGCTCGACATTGTCCGAACGCGCTTATCCATCCAGTCAGCGAGCTTTGCAGAGCTAGGAGCGAGGCCAGACAAGCTGCCAGGAATGTGGTCGACCATTGTTTCAATGTACAAGACGGAAGGTGGCATGTCGGCGTTGTATCGCGGCATCATTCCAACTGTAGCCGGCGTGGCTCCCTATGTATGTCTCATTGGTCTCGCCCAACATGCTGAAATGATTACAACAGACGCTGACAGTCGATAGGTTGGTCTCAACTTTATGGTATATGAATCAATCCGCAAGGCATTCACGCCTGAAGGCGAACAAAACCCTAGTGCTCTTCGCAAGCTTTTGGCGGGCGCCATTTCCGGTGCAGTTGCTCAGACGTGCACCTATCCATTGTAAGTTGCTTTCCCCCCCTTTTTTTGTGCGGATTTTCATGCTCATTGACTGCACAGCGACGTGCTACGACGGCGTTTCCAGATCAACACCATGTCGGGCATGGGATACCAGTACAAGTCCATATCGGACGCCGTTCGCGTCATTGTCCTTCAAGAAGGCGTCAAAGGGCTATACAAGGGCATCGTTCCCAACCTCCTCAAAGTGGCTCCCAGCATGGCTTCAAGTTGGCTGAGCTTCGAGGTTACGCGTGATTTCCTGACAGATCTAAAACCGGCTGAGGAGAGTCGAAGTTTATAAGGAGTCTGTTGGACTAGATGAAGTCGGTGCATAATATTGTCTCTTGTTTATTGTCCTTTTTTTTTTTTTTTTTTTTTTTTCTTTGTTCTTATTTATTTCATTTTCCTTGCCTCTTGTCATTTCCAGCATATAATATGTGTGTAAATACGAAAGCAAAATGGGTACATATAGATGGAGTCAAAACAAGTCGAATAGATACTAGGTAGCATAAATATCAAAAGCTCACGCTCCATGGCATGGATATAATGGCTGCTTGGAGTGCTTATTGGATTTATTACAGCATTTTGAACACTATCATTATCCAACAAGCAGGCTATAATAAGAAGAAGGACTAAAAGCAATAACCTCTACCTTGGGCTCATTCAGAAGTGGGTCTGGATGCTTACAGCAAAAGCAAAGCCCCTAATTAATTCAGAGGATAGTCAGTCAGTCTACTTACTTACTATAACTCGTACTAATAATGCAGTAGTCGAGATATTTACAAAGTGCTCCTCCATGCATGTCTAAGCCTGCCGTGCGAGTATCGACGCTCAAAGAGGCGAACAAGGCGCGATCAATCCGAGGGATAGGAGAAGGGACGATAAAATGCCGTGCTGATTTGTGCTGGAGGCTCAACTCACGCTCTCTTACTCATGCACGCACTCTCTCTCTCGTTCTATTTCCGCCTTCACCTCACTCCTCCTTTCTCACGCTCTTTTTATTGTCAAACAAAATAAATCGCTGCCTTTCTCACACAGCTAATTCATGAGATCCGAGTGGAAACCTAGCTTCTGCTCACGCGTCTCCAGCCACGCGTCTTCATGCTGCCACATCTAATGACTCTGCTAATCTCTTCAAATCAGGAAGCAAGCTTTGGGGATTGCATGGCTACACCCTCCACTTACACGTGAACATCAATCCGATATCATCTAATCTGATGAAGGGCTCAGCCTCACTCCTCAAGCCATGCTCCCAGACTCTCAATCAAGCGATTCCGCGCCGCAAGGCCGAACCTACCGCTCGACGCCCTCTGCCAAGCAGGTCCGTTTCCCGGTGAGACGCAGCAGATTTCGGGGGCAGGGCAAGGGCAAGGACGCTCAGAAGCGGGAAAACGCGTCGTTGAAGCAGCAGACGCTGACGCAGATGGATTTTGTCTCGTCCTTCAGTGAGGAGCTGGTTACTCTTTCGGATGACGATGTCTCAGATGAGCCGGCTATTCTCCAGCGAGAAACCTCGGAAGCTGAAGCTCGGTTGGGAGAGAGACTGCAGGAGGGAACAAGAGGGAACTCGCCCGTCATTCAAGACACTTTTGCTTCTCCAGACGACAGCTTGTCGGCCTCAGTTCAAGTCTCACCTCCGCGGTTTCAGCCTCTACAAGTACGAGATGCAATACCATCATTATCCCCCAGCCGTGTGAAAAGAATGGGGCCATTGGACGAAGTCAAGGCCTCCCCGCGCCGTCGTGCACATTGGAGTAGAAATTTAGACGGCTCGAAACGACTCAAGCCGTCTCAAGGAGACGACATGTCGTCCCCAACACGGATCCATCCCTTAACCAAGGATGTCGATGACCGGGAAATCCCAGACTCTGACGAAGAATATGAAGAGTTAGAGTTGCAGGAAGACGATCCAGGACTGATACATCAAGACACGTTTGTGACCGGCCATGAAACACAGCTTGTCCTGGAGGAGCTTGCCTCTCTGGAGTATCCGGAACGAGACGGAGAGGGACATGACGCGGAAACCAACCAGCTACTGGCATCAACGCAACACTCGCCCACGCTCACCTCATCTGGAGGCTCTTCGAATAGCAAGCCTATTCCACCAATAGAGGATATTGATCGTCTACCTACAGCGAAAGCATCGTTACAGTCTCCTACCATCTCACCATCACCAAACTCCACATTTGAATCTCATCATCAGACCCAGCTCAGCCAAAGACGGCACGATCCGGTCTTTGAGTCGCAGCGCGTACCCCTCCACATTCTCCAGTCATTCACCCCCGTATCTGCACGTTCAGATATCCTCCTCCCCACGCCTTCCAAGGTCCTCAGCCCCCTCGTCAATGGCTCCGAGACGGTTCTCCATCTATCGTATCGAGTGCCCGAACAGGTCCGGCGGTTCTGGCTGTTGGGCCAAGAAACACTGCGCTACATGGCCTGCGTACAGCCTGGCAAGCCCAACGGACTTGGCTGGGACTATCACGCTGATCAGGTATATGAGCTCAATAACCCAGTGGAGGAGCGTGATATGCAAGAAGAGGGATGGGTAACCGGACAGGTCCGGCGATATATCTACCTACCCCCAGCCATAGTGGGACAACTCCTATGGAATCTACGATGCGCAACCTTTGACCGCGCCGGACTAGAACAGGACGATGAAAATAGCCAAGAGAAGAAGAGCAACATCGAGGTTGTGGACTGTCGCGAGTCCGAGTCCAGCATGCCTTCACAGCCGGCGGCCCATTCCGAAGGCTGCACGGGTCATCATGATACCGGCCAACCAAGCAGTTTACTATTTCAAGACCACGGGAGCTCCTTAGCCACTCTCCCAACGAATGTTGTCTTTGACTCCTCTCCACTGTTGACAAAGAGTCAGATGCTTCCCGACAGTCTGCTCAGCGATGATGTTTTATAGCCTTGAAGTGTTGGTGGTTTGAATAGCCTCAGGAATGGATTGGATAATGATAATGTACTCAACTAATGCTCATGTCTACAATTTTATTTTTTTCAACGCGGGTTTGGCAATATGATTCCACGCATATCAACACGCCTGCGTCTCTGGCCAGATGAAAACATACAAAATTAATGATCACTATAAACAAAAAGAAAGAAAAAAGAAAAAACATACAACAGCCGGTGTTCGCTGATGGTCACCCACTCAACTACTAATCTGCCGGTTAAAGGCTTGTCTATGGGGGAGCAGACGGGACCCCGAATTCTCCTCTACCTATGGTCGTATGTGCTAGTAAATACAGACACATGCACTTATATTAGAAGCTGATAATCGACACCAGAATATGGAATCAGGGGTTTTTGGTCAGCGCTCTGGCCCAATCCCCATTCCTATGTGCTGGAAATGTCTTCTCTGCGTTTTGCAACCATCTTCGCGAGCATTGCATGCGCATCCCTCAAGGTGGGTGTATCACTTTGCACAAAGCTCATTGCCCATGTCCGCAGATTTATTTAACACATCCTTCATCATTCGCAATATACTATTCGGTATTAATAGACTGATCCGTCCAACCAAGCCGTCTAGTTAATTAAGCCACCCATGCTTCCACTCCATCATGGCGCATCAAGTCCCATGGCCAGACTGTCAGCTGCTCACGACAAATGGAAAGCTCCCTGCCCTTCCCTGATTGCAGTGTACAACTGCTTTTTAAGAATATCCATGGTAGTGTAATCTGGAAGCTTCAGATAATTCACGCACGTCATGACGCTCGGAAGGTAAGCATCCGAGGTGTATGGAGGCTCGCTAGGTTTACAAACAACAGTAAACATCGGAGTTAAACTTTTAAACCCTGTCATATACGGTCAGCACATGTTCACTACGTTCAACTGTCGTGGGAATACTTGCCGCCAATGGGAAGCTTTGGGCTGCCCGTGGTAAACTGTAGAAAATCTCGTCGTTGTTTGAGATCTAATTCGCTCATAGTCTGCAGTAAGTTCTTCACACTTCGGCTGTCCATGTTATAACCATGGTCGGCCTTTATTGAATCCATGAGAGCTAGATCAATCAAGTCAGCCAAATATTGACCTCGGCAATATTCCAACATGAGTTGGGGGGGGGGGTACTCACTCTCGAGGCTCCAGTCCTCTTCTACTCGGCCAAACAATGAAACTAATTCGTCTGGCGTAAAGGCTCTCAGTGCCGTATAAGGGAAAACTTGCGAGAAGCCAGTGCGGAAGGCATCAATCTGGCGTTTGACGCCAGACCCCAAGGTCATATCAATCACCCTTTCCAAGTATAGATCAACATTCTCAATGGTGACTCGCTTTAGAGAGCCATGCTCTTGGAGCTCAATATCCGGATAGCCAGGCAGGGTAAAATCAAGACAAAGGTCCTCTAACCGCATATTGTCGATCATGATTCCCTCCGTGTCAGCCACTTTCTGTGCCGGCGTGCGGGCTGGGTCTTCGTCAATTTCTTTCTTGGCCAGCACGAACTTCTTGATTGTGATGAGCGAGCGCGCAAGAACAGGATCAACAATCTTGACTGCTCCTAGAGATGGCTTAACACCAGTCAAAGAGGCATCTCCAATTCTAAAAAAGATTGGATTCAAGTGGATATCAATGATGCGTGAGTCAATCATTGATCGAGCCACAAATTTGCCGAGAGCCTTAAACATGTGAAGAATGCGCTCCCCATTCGGTGTTGTCGTCTCCTCGGGGCTGAGTGGGCGAGGGAATAGCCCTGTCTGACCTGTCACAAATTCGTCTGACCCAGCAGAGTCGACTTCGCGCCAAAGCTTGAGCTTCTTCTTGGAGAACTCCTTCGACACTGTAGAGTAAAATTCAAGCGTTGGGCCTAAGCCAGTGCCAACTTCTTCAAAATACTCCACCTCCAGTATGCTTTGGGATGCGCCGTACAATTCCATCACTTTCAACGCGGATTCAAGAATCTTAAGTCGTGAAATGCGCACCTTTTGCCGCTGGAGGCGACCCAAGAACGGCCTTTCGTTGGAGCGATCTCGCCGGTTATCATCTGTCGAATGCGCATTCTGCCAACGAGCCATTGATCGGGCATACCCAAATGATGTCGACTGGAGAAAGAGATGTCGTGTCTCAAAGGGAAATAAAAAGGGGTAAAGGCGTGCCAAGTCTTCGGACCAGCTTGGCAAGCAGCTGCTTGCAACGATGAGTGGCTCCTCCAGTTGACGATTGAGCTTGGCTGTAAGCTTTGTATTCACAAACTGTGACAACGGCTCAACGCGTAGGCCAACAAGGCTATTCCTATTCTCAACCAAGACATCTTCTATGTTCGCATTGAGGTCGTGAAGGATGTTGAGGAGCTGCAAAATGGAGGCAGTTATCGGATGCTTCGCTAACGAAGCCGCCATTCCCCTATCCATTTCTCCGTCAGCTTCCGGGTTGAAGGTACTCGTCCTAGGCTCTGCAGGGGGCTGCCCGGAGACCCTCCGAAATTTGATGGGATGTGTCAAGGACCAGATGTTCTTATTGCCATGGTCATTCGCAGAAGACGTCGACGTATGAACAGCGCGATAAATAGTTGTCTCGTTCGGAATAACCTTGCCATCTAGAGTGAACTCAATGTGCCAATCTTGAGGAATAGTTTGGAGTATAGAAGAGTAAGAGGCCTGTCGTGATGAAGGGTGGGGTGCTGCATGAGGAGCGCTTCTATACAGTACTCGATCGTAGTCGTGAAGATTTGCTCCAGGTGGTGTCGCGACTCTGGTATTGTCCTCTTTTCGAGTCACAATGGTGTTCTCAGCAGCGACTTCTAGGTTGACGGCGGATGTATCCGCCTCTCCTTTTCCCCCAATGTCTTCGTCGAGCTCGCCGACGATGGCGTCCAGGGCAGTGCTATCACCAGCGTCGTCATCGTCGTCATCATCAGTGAGCTGTTTTTCGTCTGCACACTCCAGGGTGGGCTGCGGCGCCTTGTCTTCATCGGGAGGACGAGTCGGGGGGTTTGATACATCTGCTGGTGATCTGAAGAGTCTGGAAGACCGCCGTAAGGATCCTTTGTCACTAGAGGGTCCGGCAAGTGGTGGTTGATTGGTCATCTCAGCTGATTTGATATTGACATTTCCAGAAAATCTAGAGCCCGAAGATGCAGAAGATGTCGGCGGCAAGGGTGGCTGTTGCGTAGTACCATGCAGATCGGGAGATTGTTCAGTTAGACCAGCGCCTGCTGCAAGATTCTGGGATAAGCCAGAGCTGGCTATGGCCGCAAGAGCCCTAGAAAGTCCATCCCTTCGGGATATCCTTGGCCGCTCTGCTAAGCTAATTCGTGGGCGAAGGTAGTCGTCAAGAGACTTGAATGTGGCGATGGCGTGAATGGAAACCATGATATTTCGGTAGGGTCGTGGAATCGATAATTCATCGTCTGCGACAAGCCTGAGTTTGAGCTGCTTGCCCAGCATTGAGGCCGGGCTGCTGCGATTCCCCTCAAAGCTATTTTGATGAACTGTAATAACTTCAAAATGCTCTGACCTACTGAGCAGATCTTGTAATTTATGAATCAGCACACTAAATGGTGTGGCTTGTGATTCAACAGCACCAGTTCTAGGTCTAGACTTCGCTGCAGGGCTCATGAATACTTCCAAGAAGCTTGCTTGAGCAGAATGTGCCAGTGCTTCGTCAGGATTACTGAAAACTGCGAGAAGTACTCTTACCATGCCGGAAGCCAGAAGCTCTGCGCTGGTAATGCTTTCCAGGATGTCGGTATCAAAGTAAGACGAAAGCTTGGAGAAAAGCATTCGTCCAGTTTCCGGAGATAGTAGTTTTGATGTGCGTGTCAAATAAAAGGCCTCGAGCTCCTCCGCCAGACGAGATAAAGTTTCGAGTATTTGTGTGGCCTGCGTTCGCATGTCATGACTGCGGCCGTCTTTCTCGTGGGTTTCTAAGAATTTTTTGGCGATGATGACGATGCGAGATTTCATCAGTTGGATGTTGGAGACGTACGGAAGGGATGCGGCATCCAAGGACATTGACGAGCCGCGAGAACTAGCCGGCGATGCGTCACTAGCATTGAGCTCGTTATCGACGTCTTCTTCCTCGCCGCCAGAAGAGTGGTGCTCATGAGCAGCAGTGTCGTGTTCATCCTCAGCCTCTTCGTCTTCATTGTCGTTGTCATTGTCGTCAGACTCATGTTCCGATGACGGCGTGCTGCTATCACCAGCATCAGGCAAGCTCAGTCTTCGAGTGGTATTCTTCAATTTGGGAGGATCTTCCTTTGTGTTAGGCTGGCCATCATCCATGGCCAGCTTTTGAATCTCAAATATCACGCCCTCGCGATAAAGCTGATATCGATAAACGCTATCAAGGCGAGTAAGGAGTAACTCGGTCGCTTGGAGGCCCAAAATAACCAACGAAGGATGATCTTCCTGTGACAGAATAGAAGCCAAAAAGGAGGCATAAGGTACTGGCGCCAGCGCCTCTGCGAGCAGACGCTCGTCCAAATTGGAGAGCATCTTTATCTGAGCAGTCAAGACTTTCTGGCGCACACTCAGGTTGATTGTGCTGGAGAAGGCATCTGTTAATGTTGGGAATATGATGAGCACAAAGCGGCGAACTTGGTCCTTGCAGTCCTCCAAAAGCTCAAGGCGGCGGTCGTTGTGATTTGGATTGCATCTGCCGTTCATGGATGACGGCGTAATCGGCTCAATCGCATCATGCAACTCCATGAAATCACCCACGGCAACTCCTGCATTGCGAGGCAAGCCCGGAAGAAGCTCGCATATGACATTGAGAGCTTCGACAATCTGCTCGCGAGGTCGATGAATAAGTGCCTGCATGACAATCACGCTGTCCAGTTTGGATGCTACATCCTCAGTCCCCGTCGGAGGAGAGACGCCCGTCAAAATCTGATAGAGCGTCTCAACCACGTTTAACTTGAAAAGCTCAGAGGAAAGCCTAGGACTAGCCCTCGCGGTGAAGGCTAGCACGCGGAGGAACTGAGTATGGATATTAGGTCCAATAAGATTGGTAGTTCCCGGGACGAGAAGACGTAATATTGCGCGTAGTAGGCCAACACTAATCAATTCTTCGAGCTTCGATGGGTGGTACTTGAAGCTTTCGACGATGCCTGAAACACACAAGGAAGCTTGCTCCACAACTCGCTGGTCGTTACTGTTAAGAACATTCAGGAGGGTTGGCATGACATCTTTAACCACGGGAAACGAGTCGTCAGGAATGTTCCGACAGCAATTGGCCGCGGTAGTCACAGCTGTCCGCTGCGTGCTGGTTGCAAAGAAGTCAAGATAGGATAGGCACGCCGTGAGTCCCCCTTCTCGGACGATGCTGGAAGGATACTCGGTTGAGATCTTCTCAAGGGTACTCAGAGCTTGTTCGGCGAGGTCTATAAATGAAATTTCAAGCAGCTTCTGGCAGAGAACTGGGACGGCATTTCCATACACGACATTCGCAATGCTTGCCGGCAGGGCTTCCATAAGATTCGCAAGGCAGCGACATGCCAAGAGCATGATCTCTGGGCTCTCCTCCTTTGACATGAGGAGAACGAGCTCCTTGACGAAGGCGTCGGGCGAAAAGTGGCCCGACAGATTATCCTCATTGGAGACTAAGAAAATCTCGGACAGCTCCTGCAAGGCAATCACCTGGACTGATGAATCATCACTACGTAGACTTGCAAGGAGTTCTCGAAGTCGACTAGATAAGCCGGTCATCATGCCGGTTAACGCTCGCAGAGTGCTAGAAAGGCCAGAGTCATGGTCTCCTGGGCCGCCGTAAGCGCCGAAGGGATCGTCGTCGTTCTCGTCTTCGTCTTCGTCGTCTTCATCGTCGTCTTCGTCCTCGTTTTCGTTGTCATTGTCATTTTCGTGCTCGTCCTCATCGTCGTCCTCATCGTCGTCTTCATTATCGTCGTGGTACGAAGCATGTTCGATGGAGGTCGTGCCGCCGTCTCTACTCAAGTCGTCGTCTTCTCCATGAACGTCACGTTTGCCAGTCTTGGAGGGCTGTGCATCTTCCCTCTGAGGCGACGACGAAGAGGGCTGGTCCTTGTCATCGCCCATGCCAGTCATGATGGCGTCCTGATCAGAAGCATTCCCTGTGAAGTGCTGTGAATCTCGGCTAGCAGGCATTGAAGTAACGGTGGCTTCCAGGAATCAGTTAGTAAAGAAGGCCAGGTACGAGAGGGATTATAGAGGCAGACCTTGGGATTGGGAAGAAGTTCGCTTGCTTCGAGTTGATCTCCGGCTACCAGTATTGGAACTGGGAGACGTCTCCATGGCGGCGGCTACAGCAGGCACCCTGCTCTCAGAGATTAGCGCCACGTCCACGAGAAATGAGCTTCTGACTAACTCAGCGCCATCCATATCCGCGGCAGCCCTCCCCTTCCGCGGCAAGGTTGAGTGTGACGGGTTATCTACAGTTTCGGGTGGTGGAACAGCAGCTTCGGGGATCTTTTGTCTCTTGGACCGTCGAACCGAAGAGCTAGGTTGGGGTCCGGTCGCAAGATTCTTCTCAGCGCTCGAAACTTTTCGCTTCCGGGACAGCGATGGTGGGGGAGCAGTTGGAGACGAGGACTCTGGCAAGGGTGCGGTAGAGGCTGGTGGTGCAGCAGGAGCTCGAGCCGCCTGGCTCGCTGCTTGGCGGGCGGAAAATCTGGTTATTCTGGGAGACATGAGAAACTTGCCGACAAGACTGCTTGCTCGTGCCCAAGGTGCAGACAAAAGACGGGGGTGAGGGGAGGATGCGGGGGGGGAGAGTTGAAAAGAGTTGAGGAGGATGCTGCTCCAACAGCGATCTCGCAGCTCCGAGACGGTCTTGCGCCGGGACAGAGGTGGAAGCGGCGCTCGTCGTGGGTGTGGAGGGGAGACGGTGCCAGATCCAGCGGCTATCCTGTGTTGCCCTTGTAATGTCTTGTCTTGGGTCAGAGTGAATGGATGAGGCACTGGCTGGACACTGGCTGGACTATGCTATGGCGAGGTGAGATGAGGTGATGAGGTGACGTGACGGGAGGAAAAGCAGGCTCCGGCATGCAGAGGAAGTGCCTCATCCACCATGGCACTACCGATGGCAGTACTTGGCGTGCGGAGGTAGGAGGCAGAGTTTCAGAGGGCCAAAGCTTGGTGGTTGACGATATGGTAGGTCAGGTATCAGGTATGATGATATGATGCGAGTCCAAACCAAAGCAGATCAAGGCAAATGAGTGCTAGAAGGGCAACCAACGCGCAGTCAAGGGAGCGGATTGGGCGCTGGCCTCAACTGTAGCTGAGCTTCATACCTTTGGGCAGTGGTCGCTACAGGCCTCGCGGCAGCAGACACAGCGGTCGAGGCAGCGGTGGGATTGGCCGAGGGCGAGGGCGAGAGCGAGGGCGAGGGCGTGGACGTGGACGTGGGTGAGGCCGCGGGAAGTCGCACTTCGTGGTCGGTTGCCGTTGTTTGTTCTGCCATGCCCAAACTACGCCATCAGGAGGGCAAGCACGAGCTTAGTAGGCAGAGAGAGAGCAGGGCAGAGCAGAAGCAGGGTAGGAGCACGAGATAGGTATAGTAGTAGGTAGGTAGGTAGTAGGTAGATAGTGAGGCGATAAGACAGACAAACAAAGACAAAGGACAAGGCAAACAAAGAGGTATAGAGTATAATAGTAGTACAGCGATCGATTTTAGGTGTCGACTTGAAGCCCAGCAGAGCAGACGCGCGCCGCTTGTTGGCGATGCACCGAGTTGCTCCTCATCGGAGACGGACAGTGACTGCGTGGGAGCTGCCCAGAGGAGCCGCAGAATCAATCAGAAGGTGGTCAAGACTGGCTGCTCACTCAGAGCATTGCAAGGTCCGAGTACGAGGCGAGTTCACTGGAGAGTGATGGAATCGAGCCGCCAGCACTACTAGGAATTACTACTAGGCAAGTTTGCTACTGTATCCGCTTCCGAGTTGGGGAGCCGGCCGATAAGTGGGGCCACATTAGTCATTATGAGAGATATTCACTGTTAGTAAGGCGGCGGTTGAGCGTCACTGCTGGACGGAAGGCTGTGGCTCTATGCTGGTGCTAATCGATACTAAAAAGCTTAAAACAAACTCGCTTGCGGGCTTCAATCACATGTGGACTGGACTGGGACAATGATGATGCTTCACTGCCTTTACCGGGTATGCCCAGCTATTATGAGTAAATATTACCTACCTAGTAGAGCCATTACCTGGGTATCGTAAGGTACTTAGGTACTTATCTCTACATAGGACGGATATGTAGTTTTCCCAAACTCCAACATAGTAGATAAGATCACATCCCACATGGTTGACAGCCCGCCAAAAAGCCACCACTCACTCTACCTTTGGGACAAACCCACTAAACCTCATCAATAATACCGTACATACAACATATGTACAGCTGCATACTCGTACACACACATATATACTCGCACTTACCCTTTGGCGGCTTAGTCAGTAGCACTCAACTCACATGAGCTCACAATCTTGCCTTAGCCCCGTCCCCTTCACATCTATCGGTGTGAATATCCTGTGCTGTGCAGCTTTACCCTGGAGGGGGCAGCGGGGAGACGGTGGGGCTAGCTCAGGTGCCCCTTTTACTGCTCCCCCAAGCTCGCTTTTATATGCATTGATAAAGACTCCTTTGCCGCATCAAATCTTTTCTTCTCGCGACCTGGAGTCCCTAAACTGTTGAGCCCGTCCATCGCCATACCTCTCGAGGCCAGGCCAGGCTCGTTTCATTCCCTCTACGCGACCACGATTACGCTTGTTATGACCCTATAGACTTTCACCGCAGCTTTCGAAAAGACGAAAGACCCTCGTTCCCAAGGTAGGTCTGTGTGTCTGTGTGCCCGCAGTGTCTTTGACCGGACTGTGAGTTAACGCGTTGCCCAGCATTACATAACATAATTCACTCCAACATGAGCGAGGTTGCAAGCGACGCAAGTGCCGCCGCTCCCCCCAAAGCTGAGGCGACTGAGTCGCATGTTGGCGAGAAGACAACTAGCCCTACCCACGCCTCAGCGGGAAGAGCCACGCCCCGTTATGCCAGTGCAACCGCTACTTCGACTGTAGCCCGGACTTCTCTCGGCCCTCGGTCTCCCGCCTTGAACAAGACGCACACTCGTGCGTCCCCCTCGGTACATCGATCTACTGCTTCCACATCCACGCTGGGACATCGAAGCGGTGCCAGCGTTGGTGCGGGCGACGATGCTGTCAAATCTGTATCGCGAAGAGAGAGCGCTGTAGTATCAGGAGCCGGCGCTGAGAAAAAGGCCGGTGCGGCTACCACTACCACGACCGCTCGTCGATCTACCGTGGGTGTTGGTGCTGCAAGCCCCAAGCCAACTGTTGGTCAACGGACGACCAAGCCGAGCGGGAGCTCCGAGTCGATATCCTCGACCAGGGCACCGTTGTCTCGAGGCACTGTTTCATCGACTGCCGCGGCCGATGCGCGAAAGAGACCATCTGCACCGGGCGTAGTGACTGGGGCCTCACGTCCATCCACACGAACCTCGGTTCGCGACGCGCATATCGACAGCCCCAAGCTTGACGAACTAACGTCCAAGCTAGCGGACAAAGACAAGGAAATCGAGTCTCTCAAAACAGAGCTGAATTCCTTCGAAAGCACTGTGGCTGAACTTCGTCAGCAACTCGAAACCAGTGGCCAGCAAGCAGAGGACGGTGGTTCCAACGAGGAGCAGAAAGATACGCCAGATGGCCCGAAAACTGATTACGATGCCATCATACGTGATCTGGAAGCTCAGCTGGTGGAGAAAGCCGACAAGCTTCGTTCTGTGGATGCAGAGCTCAGCGAGGCTGTCCGCGTTAAAGACCAGGGAGGAGAAGCCCTCGATGCTCTGCAGAAGGAGCTTGAGAGTCTGAAGCTTGAAAACCAGGAGAGGATTAAAGCAACGGAGAGCCAGGGAGGAGAAGCTCTCGAAGCACTGCAGAAAGAGCTGGAAAGCTTGAGGCTTGAAAACCAAGAGAAGATCAAGGCAGCGGAGAACCAGGGAGGAGAAGCCCTTGATACACTACAGAAAGAGCTGGAAAGCTTGAAGCATGAAAGCGAGGAAAAGCTGAAGGCTGCGGAGAGCCAGGCAGAAGAAGCCCGCGACGCGCTTCAGAAGGAGCTTGAGAGTGCGAAGCTTGAAAGCGAGGAGAAACTGAAGGCCGCGGAGAGCCAGGCAGAAGAAGCTCGTGACGCGCTTCAGAAAGAGCTTGAGAGTGTGAAGCTTGAAAGCGAGGAGAAGCTGAAGGCAAAGGAGAGCGAATATGAGCAAGCCGTTCGTGACTATGCTGCTCAGGTCGAGAAGCTGCAGGCTTCCGTCTCCGATAAGGCAGAGTCAGATACGGCGGTGGCGGATTTGCGATCTACGTTTGAGGCGACCGTTCAGAATCTCCAGCAGCAAGTCGACGAATTGACTGCTTCGAAAGCTGAGTTGGAAGCGACCATTGAGTCAGTCAAGTCGGAGCGTGATGCACTCAACGGCAAGATTGTTGATCTCGAAAGCGACATCCTGGAATTCAAGACCAGGCTCGCAACATCAGAGACTGCAATCAAGGATGCCGAGGCCAATGCGGACAGTGATAAGCTTAAGATTCAAAGTGAATTGGCCGCCCGGGATGCCGAGCTCGAATCTGCCCGCCGATCCGAAGCTGAGCTGCAAAGCACAGTTGGTGAGTTGAAAGCTTCGTTAACCAGCAAGGACGAAGAGGTTACCAGCTTGAAGGCGATGCACGACGAGCGCTTGAAGCAAATTTCTCAAGACTATGAAAACGAGATTGAAAGTCTTCGTGGCGATGCCTTCTTCAAGCGGAGGTTTGAGGAATTGGAGAAGCTACACAATGAGTTACAGGCCACTGTAGCCCAAGATTCAGAGCAGCACGCAAAGGCCCTGGCAGAGGCTGAGGAGCGCCGACTGGTAGCCGTCAGCATTGTCGAGACCAAGCAATCTGAATATGAGGAGGAGTTGGCCAAGTTAAGAAACCTTCATGCAGAAGAGTTGACGGCTGCCAAAAACAGTGCCGCAGAAGCCAAGGATGCTCATGTCAAGGAGCTCGAGGCCATCAAGGCTCGATGCGATGAGCAGTTGCGCCTTGCATTGGCAGATGGAGAGGCTTCATCCGCCGAATTCTCCAAGTCGCTTCAAATTTCTCACGAAAAGCTGGTGGATGAGCTCAAGAGACAACACGAAGAGGACAAGCAAGAGTTAGTTGCTGCCCACCAATCCAATATGACAGCGGCCACCAGCCAGCACGAGTCAGATTTGGCTTTGCTGCGGAAGGAGCTTGAAGAGGCCAAAGCGCTGCTGGAGAAGACAAAGGCTAGCAATATCGAGGAATTGGAGGCCACCAAGCGGGAGTTGCATGGCACACACGCAGCCGAGATTGAGAAGCTCGCCGCTGCGCACACGGAGGCCTCGTTTTCAAGAAAAGAAGAAGAACTTCAGCTGAAGCAACAGCTGGACGAGCTGCAAGCTGTGTATAAGCAGATGGAGAGCGCCCTGGATGACTCCAAGGCCAAGAGCGCCAGCTTGGAGGAGCAGTTGTCAGCCCAGACTACCACCAACGGAAGCCTCCAGGAGACTCTGCAAAAGTTACAGGAGCAGCTCGTTGCCGTCCAAGCCGAGGCTGATGACGTCGGCCAGCAACTTGCTCAAGAAAAGATGGAGCGTATGATGGCGCTGGCTGAGCTGGATGCAGTCAAGAGGCCCAACGATTCAGCAGCTCTCAACAGCCTGAAGAACGAGCTCACGGCAGCCAAGGAAGAGTTGCGAGCCTGCCAGGCAGAGCTGAAGACGGCCAAGGAGGACATGGAGGTGAAGGAAAAAACAGCTCGGCAAGATTATCACGACTTGAATGATAGCATGACCTCACTGGTGGAGGAGGCCGACAAGAAGGCAAAGGAGTCAGAGGTGCAGGTTGAGCAACTGCAGGCTCAACTGAAAATCAAGAACGCACAGCTAGCTGAGGCCGAGGTACGTTAATGTTATGCGACCCTCTCACTCACTCAATTGGGAACCCTTTCTCACACTGACATCACGACAGGCCCAAGCCGCTCTGTTCAAGTCCAACAACACCGCCGGTCTAGATGACGCAGCCGACGGCGACGAAGATCACTCTTCAACAGCATTAGCTTTGGTGCGAGAGTCCCTTGAAAATCGCAGCCTTTCCCGTAATCCCTCTTTTTCACGCTCGGGTTGATGTGCTTTGATTTGGCTAACCGTTTGAAGTAGCTCAGCAAGGTTAGATTGACGGCGAAGCAAGTCGATACTCTCGATCGAGAGATGAGAGACCGTAACTTACAGTAAGCAGCTGCTAGCTTCTATTGCACCCCGTGGAACCAATGCTGACTATAGCCCTTGTACAATTCAGACTTCTTAATTCAATCACGGACGTGAAGATGTCTTCTTAAAAAAAAGGGCTGGAAATTTACTATACTCTTGTACATCTTAATTAATATTTAGTGGTAATTAACATTGCCTTGTATTGAGCAGTTGCATCAAGACCTGTAAAATAATTTACTGTTTACCATGAGTTGCCATCAGAGATCCTAGACCAGATGTTAGCGATATGTAAAAACCATAACAGGCCATGACATCGACTTACCAATAAACGTAGTCACCAAGCGACTGCGAACTTGGCAAATATCCTCTGGGACAAGCCATATGGTCGCACCAAGCTTGCGGGCAATACTGATACTCAACTTTGCATTCATATATGCGTCCTCTTCTGTTTGGCCGGGAGTCACAAGGTCATAGTCGACATAGCTGCTCTTCATGCCATTCAACACGTCCAAAAGGAAGACACCAGAGCCAATGGCCGGGTCCTTGAAAGACCGGATAGATGAACTGCGACCGCCCTTCTTGGACATGTCGTTGGCCCATCTAACCATTTCGGCATCGGTAATCTCTCTCTTGCCGAGATTCTGTGCCAGTGAGGACAGCGTCAAGGTGATGTCTTTTCGCATGAGTTGCCACACGAGTCCAAGTGTCAATGTTCTTTGACCGTCAGTGATATCTGCTCCTTGGATGCCCACGAGGGAAAAGCCATTTTGCTTGCCCAGCTCAATAGCATAGTTGGTATTCTCAACAGCCTTGAATCTAAGCATTTCGCCTCCATGGGCGGGAGCCTTGTTAACATGGCGCCAGTTAACAGACCCTTTGATGACTTTGTCGTATGCCTGCAGAAGGGCCGATCCGTCTCTTAGGTCATCAAAGAACGAGACTACAGCGGGCTGCACATCCAAACTGTTAAGCCACAGAGTAAAGACTCGAGCCTCGCGCTCTCCCTCTGCATCAAAGTCTTCAACTTGCAGCTTCTCCTCTTCCGTGATGGGGTCAAGGGCGGGGTGAGTGTTGAAGAGATTAGCCACAAAGGCCAGGTTAAGCTTCGGGTTACCAGCAACCAATGATGATGGAGTCAAGAACTTGCGGCATCCAAGCTTATCTGCTTCTTGCAGAACTTCCTCGGCTCTCTGGTGGAGATCTCTGGTTTGCAAAGCAGCGCGCGTGCAGCCGTACTCGGATCCAATCTGAGCGAGAAGAACGGTATAGTTCTCACTGTCCTTTACATCGCTAGAGAAGTTTGTAACTCTAATTGAGGAGAACAAGTTAGTCAATGCATCATAGTAAAATAAACCAAAACATGTACGAACCTTCGAGGCCAATTGGCGGCTTTCAGGTGGTAGTTGAACCAGCGAATCAGGATCTGCTCCGGAGGCAGTCTCAAGAACTGTTCCAGAGTCTCGTCCTCCTCCAGCAGTCGATAGAGCTCAGGGTGCAGCTTGATGTCAATTTTACCCAAGAGACCTCGTCGAATGATTTGCCAAATGAGGCCCAGAATGAGATGCTCGCGAACTTCAATGATATCCCCCGCTCCAATGTTGACAACGGAGCAGCCAATACCTTTGCAGGACTCAATAACGATGTTGTTGTTTTCGCTCATTTGAAAGGCGTTGAGATTTTTCGTCTTTCGTCCAGGCATGTTCAACACTCGCTCATCGATGGTATCAGGAACGCTGTCGTTAATGAGCTTGGCAAGGACAAGGCCGTCTTTGCATTCATCGAACATTTCGAATGTGTCAGTTGGGAACGGGAGCCGACTTCCAATATCCGGATCGCCGGCCAATACCGCATTGATATGGCGTGTGAATTCAGTCCTCTCATCTTCGTTGATTGTGTGTGTCGTGTTTGCATTTGATCCTTGGACTTGGATCTTGCCACTCACACTGCCCTTGGATGCGTGGCCTTGAGCGGGCCCAGGTCCAGGTTGCGCCGGGCTGGGGCCTGTAGACATGCGTTTTTGGGCGACTGACCCGGCGCGCAGCTTCGCAATAAGCTACCAAACGTTAGGGAGAGTGCAAAGCCAGGTGTGCCATGATATGTGAAATAACTAACGCCAACATAGTCCTCCAGCTCCACTCGTCGCGACGAGTCCAGGTCGACTTCTTTCAGAGCTTGTCTAACAACATCATATGGCTGGTTTTCGCTCTGCTGGGTTGCTTTGATGGCAGTTGCCTCGTCGAGGTAGCCTCGGTCTTCGACGTCTAGCCGCTGGAAGGCATCCGAGAGCTGGAAGATCTCGTTCTGCGGAAATTGAGGAAACTTCCTACGCATCTGTCTGTTAGATATACGTGGCCATGCGACGGCGAACGGAGCTTCACACACCTCTGTAGCTTGAGAACGTTCATTCTGGCGATGTTTCTCTCAGGAAGATGAGTGCTGATGTTCGGAATTGAAGGAACCGCGCGTCGCTGAGAGGCAATAGCTAGGTAGCTAAGGAGGGGGTTACGACAGCGACAGGTCGTCGACCCCACACAGCCACAGTCCCACCCCACGCTAAACTGTTAGCTGCCTATTCAGCTGGAGCTAAATAGCTCAGGGACATGATTCTAGGCATCTCTATCTACATAGTATATCTATATAAAATCTTCTTTCAAGTCATATTGTACAAGAATAATAATCATGGTATCGAAATTGTACATTCCCATTAACACACATATATTCTCTCATCTTGCGTAAAAAATATAAATATAAATTAAAAAAAAAAAAAAACTCTTTTATTACTAGGTAGCTATTAGTTACAACTCCAAAATATCGCAAACCATTTCAGGCGCATATTCGAACACCATTATAACTAGCATAAGTTTTAGCCCGGCAATTCCCAAGTATCCCACATCTCACAATGACTCCGTATCACGTGCTTGAATTGGGAAATACCTGGAAACCTAAGCATTGTACAGAATGATGGATGACAAAAGAAGACGTGGGTAGAAAAGAGAGTGATCAGGCCAAGATTCCGGATTCTCAGTCCACTGCCATGATACGCTTCGACGTTGGTGGCCTCTACTACTCAGCAACATCAAGATCGTCATGGGCGGGAAGAGGGCTCTCAGCTGCGTACAGGCATCAGTAATTAGACTCAAAAATTCAGTGCAAGATGCCGCATTACCTTTCCTTTCATCACCGTTAGTTCCATTTTCCTTTCGGTCACGATCGTCGCGCTCGTCTTTTGTATCGCGGTCACGGTCCCTACAAAGGTAAAATTGTCAAATTTTCAATCAACATTGGTTATAAGCTTGACAACCTACCGGTGTTCCGGGCTTCGAGACCGGTCCCGATCCCTTCGGCTATCACGATCATAGTCTCTGTCGCGATCACGACGTTCTTCTTTCCTTGGGGAATAATCACGGGTACTGCGTCTGGGGGATGGTGACCGTCCGCGACGGGGAGATCGGGGTCCACGACGATCACGATCACGCCCAGATTCGAAGCGCCACGAGGCTGAGGGAGGCGTTCTAGCCCACTAGGAGCGCGTTAATATTGCCCAGAAATTGGACATGTATATACATACCTCGATCTTCAACAGATCATCCCGGCCAATGCGTTTGTTGTGCATTTCATGGTAGGCATCATCGGCATCACGTCTGTCTTCATACTCAACAAATGCGAACCTGAGAGTGATCAGCACATCTGAATTCGGTAACAAGACAAAAGCACCTACAGTCGAGAAGAAGTAGATCGTGGCGCGGGAATGTCGCAGCGAACCAAGCGTCCATATCTATCAAACACCATCATTAGCGATGCCATCACATGGCAGAAATGGAAGGCGCAGTCGCCGGGGTAGCCGTTTCTCGGGCAATTTTCTTTGACTGTTTTGCCCTGCGAAAGGAGGTGCAATCTAACTATCCATTCAAACAGAGAACAGCCTCGAGGCGATGGATGAAACGCATTGGCCGACGCGGCAGGAAAAGGGAGAGGCAGGTTCAGGCGTCAGCGGGGGGGAGAGGGTTGCGAGGGCATCGACATCGACGTGGTATCAAATCTGTCGATCGAAAGGAATTCCTCGTTGCGGTAGGAGACGAGGCGCGGGCGAGGGCGAGGACGAGGACGAAAGCGAGGGCGAAAGCGTGAGCGTGAGCGTGGCGTGGTTGACATACCGTTCGAATTCGTAGGCAAGGTCGCGGGCGCGGGTGCCGTGGCTGAAGCCGGTGACGTACAAGGTAGTGCCGCCGCGAGACATGTTGTTTTGCAAAAGAAGAGAGCAATCAGGGTTGAGGCGTAATGAATCAAGTAGATAACAAAAGGTATATGACCCTGGCGTGTGCTCAGTAGCGTTTGGAGATGCTGAGAATAGTTTGAAATGGTAAAAATACCTGACGGAGATTTAAGGTAGGCCAAACCCAAATTAGGAAATTTAGTAATATACATTTCTCCACCCGCGCATAACCAGTACTGGTCTGTACTGGGATGTCTGGAACAGTGTATATAGTATGCAAACCCATTTATATTCATGAACAGAGTTAAAATATATGAAAATTACTTTCAATACTACATCAATTAACTAGTAAGGTATGAGATAAAGGCATATCATTCAACTGAGTAGCTACCAAATATGTTCCTCCTATAAACTCAAATTTCCGACTTATACAACACTCTAATTCATATACTGTAGTACTCCTACCAAAACATTTATACACATATATACATTGCCAAAAATATCTATCTATCTACAATATTTACTACTTCTATCATTATAATCATCCATCTCTATCGACCTGTAAGAACAAACTTTCCAGTTTCAATCCTGAATTTCCATCCATCCCGCGTAAGTGCTGCAGCCACAGCCTTCCGAAGTGGTGAAACACCCCCAGCACTATGGTGGCCCAAACCAGTTATAATGGTGAGGGTTTGCTCCGGTAAATGGCCTTCTCGTGATTCATATCGTGATTCATATCGTGATTCATATCGTGATTCACGTCGTCTTTGCCACCAATCTACTGCCCGTTGGCGAGCAATGCGAACTCCATCGAGAACAGACACACCGTGCAAGTCCACCGTCGTATCAGTACTCTGTTGATCGACATGTATGTCAGCTACAGTTGACGTAGCGTCCTGGGCACGTCTTGCGTGCTCGCGAGCCTGTTGCGCATAATAACCTGCTGCCTGTCGATAGAGTGGCTTTGATGCTCCGCGCCGGTAGAGACTTGCTGCGGACGCCATCGCGTCTTGTTTCTGCCTGTGTAAAGCGTTTGATGTCTGCAGCGCCCGGGCTAAATCAGCATCGGTCTTTCCCACTGGGGTAGACCTATGGGGAATTCTTTTCCCTTCCGCCAGAGTATCAACAGCCGCTCCCGTCATCCCTTCGATGTCCTCGTGAGGTAGCGGCGTCAGCCTATACCGCAACTCAATTTTCTGATTCATCGATCGTTTGCTGAAATACGTGTTCGTCAACGACGCGAGCTCCATAGAGTATGTGGACATTGGTCCTGCTATCCGAATAATAACTTGCAAATAGCTTTCCGGAACATTGCGATACTTTTGTTTGAGATCGCTCACTGCCTTCTTCTCTTCATTTGTCAGTAGTTCGTCGTTTTCTTGCAGTAGGTGCTGATCTAATATTCCAATTACAGTGGCACTTCTGGAATTCCCGCTTTCAGCATACATTATGGAGACTTCCTCTGTGGACATGTTTAGTCGCTCTGCTATGTAGGTAATAGCTGCTGGAGCTGTGTTGCATTAGTACCATAAAAGTCATGTAGGATGCAATGGCTGACTCACTTTTCAATCCACTTGACTTGCTCGCGCCGATCTCGTATCGTTTGTCATATCCTGCATCACCAGCTTTGCCAACATATTGGACCCTGGAGTCGTCGGCCCCGAGTAGCCCATCCGATGAGGCAGTTTGATGGCTTATAGACTGGAGGTATTGTAAATTGAGTAGACTATCCAAGGCAGCGGCAACGACACCATTTGCGTTAGTCAAGACATGTCTGATATCAAGACCGTCTATTCCAGGGAATAGACTCTGGAGTTGTACAGCGTCTCTTTCGAGAATTTCAGATTTGGACAACTCTGCGTCTGATATCACGACATTGGCAGAGCCCAAGGATAATGGAGTATCAATTTCTTCATAGTTCGACTTTACGCCATCAATTAAGTCGTTCCCCTGGTTGGAATTTGAGCTAAGAGCCGAATCATCGATCAGATTTTGGTTTTCATATTCTGTAAATCGATATACGCCGCTTGGGTCGAAGCTGCTGGCTTCTTCAATAGCCGCATTCTGTGCAAGACTATGCAAAGTGGAACAGGCTTCATCATAGCCAGTCTTTGTGCTTAGATCATAGTCACTCGCAATAGCAACAATTAAAGAATCATCCAGCTGGGAGTGGAATGAATCCTAGCGACAAGATATTAGCATTGGGGACTATCTGAATCGTTGCGATATAGTTGAGTGGGGGGAGTATAGCTATAACAACGGGTCCAAGGCAAAGGTTGGAAACAATTGCAGCGAGTAGAATATGGAGAAACATACTAGTAATCGTTGGAGTTGTGAAGGGAGAGTATCATTACTCATTTGAGAAGTATTGATTAATGGAGAGCATATTGGAATGAGCATTACAGAGCTAGGTTAAACACTGGGTAGATAAATACCTATATAAGCCAAGCGCTACGGCTTAGCTAATAAACAAATACTTTAAAAAATATACTATAGACATTAGTTTATTTTATTCCAAAATTACATTAAATAAAGGCATATATTATTGTTATCTATGAATTTTAGATGATATGTATTACATCAAAATGCAAAAGGTTTAAGTTATATTAGTTTTAGTTATTTATTACACCATATTACCACCCACAGTGGTTTATCATTTATAATATGTAGTGGTATAATGCATACTACTGGTGAAGCATTTAGCTTATAGAAATGTTATATAGTCTTTGGTGTACACATCACATAAATTAGATTTGGCTTCTACTGGTTTAATTTTTTACTACTTTTTTGAATTTCGCACCGCAAAACTAATTATCCCTTTTTATGTAACATTATCATGTGCTATTCATACCCAACTTTAATAAATTTTTGCCTGTCAATAATTTTATGCCTGGTATGTTGAGGCGGAAACGTTGCCACCACGGCCAGTCCAGTTGACGTGGATGTCCTTGCCCTGGGGGTACTTGTCGGAAGCAAACTCGGGCTTGATGTGGAATGTGTGAGCGCCAAAGTAGTCACGCTGAGCTTGTAGCAGGTTGGCGGGGAGGTCCTTGGTGCGGTAGCCGTCGAACCAAGACAGAGCGGTGCCGAAGGCGGGGGTGGGGATGCCGAGCTCAGCAGCCTGAGCAACGACGGCTCTCCAGCCGGGCTGGGCCTTGTGGATGGCCTCGTTGAAGAAAGTGTCGAAGAGCAGGTTCTTCAGCTCGGGCTCCTTGCGGTAAGCAGAGGTGATGTCCTTGAGGAAGACGGATCGGATAATGCAGCCACCTCGCCACATGAGAGCAATGGAGGGCTTGTTAAGCTTCCAGTTGAACTCGCGGGCAGCCTGTTCAAATTGTGCGTTAGCTTGAGTCCATATTTGGGTATATCTGTATCTTCTTACCTCCTGCATGAGCATGAAGCCCTGGGCGTATGAGATGATCTTGGAGGCATACAGAGCCTGCTCGAGGTCCTCAAGGAACTGCTCCTTGTCACCCTCGAACTTGCCGCTGCCACGGGAAACGTAACGAAGCTTGGTGGAAGCCTCGGAACGCTCGTCCTTGATGCCGGACAGGCATCGGGCCAGGACAGCCTCGGCAATCAGGGTAACGGGCATACCGAGGTCGAGGGCATTGATGGCAGTCCACTTTCCGGTTCCCTTCTGGCCAGCCTTGTCCAGAATCTTGTCAACCAGAGCGGTGCCATCGTCGTCGTTGAAGTAGAGGATGTCACGGGTGATCTCAATCAGGAAGGAGTCGAGAACGCCCTTGTTCCACTTGGCAAAGACGTCACCAATCTCCTTGCTGGAGAGGCCAAGACCACGCTTCATGATGTCATAAGCCTATGAGACAAGCGTCCGTTAGCTGCATGTACGAGGGGTCAGAATGGAATTGAGTATGGATGGGCCTACCTCGCAGATGAGCTGCATGTCACCGTACTCGATACCGTTGTGGACCATCTTGACATAGTGACCAGCACCTTCGTCGCCGACCCACTCACAGCAGGCCTCGCCGTCGCTCTTGGCGGCAATGGCCTGGAAGATGTCCTTGATGTGAGGCCAGGCCTCCTCGTTACCACCGGGCATCAGAGAGGGGCCGAATCGGGCACCCTCCTCACCACCGGAAACACCAGATCCGACGAATCGGATGTTCTTGGCGCTCAGCTCCTTAGTGCGGCGGTTGGAGTCGGGGAAGTGAGAGTTACCACCATCAATGATGATGTCGCCAGCGTCGAGGTAGGGCAGGAGTCTGTCAATCCACTCGTCAACGGCCTTACCAGCCTGGACGAGGAGCATGATGCGGCGGGGCGACTTGAGGCTGTCGATGAACTCCTTGTCGCTGTGGGCACCGACAATGGACTTGCCCTTGGCCTCGTTGGCCAGGAAGGCATCGACCTTGGAAACGGTTCGGTTGTAAGCGCAGATTGTGAAGCCGTTGTCAGCCATGTTGAGAATCAAGTTCTGTCCCCTGCAGAGCGACCATGTCAGCGATTACGGCGGCCAATTAAGACCTGAGGGGGGGTTGCAACTTACATGACAGCAAGGCCGATGAGGCCAAGATCCGCGCTTGGAACATTGTCAGCATTTCCTGAAGCTTGACCGGCAGTGGAGGAGGAATCAGGTTGCGAGGCGCCGCCAAGCTTGATGTTTGCAAGGCGAGCGCTACCTCAAGACCATGAGCAGGGTGCAGAGAAAGTAGGAAAAGGGAATGACCATGGAGAAGCTCGGGAGACGGAGACGGAGACGGAGACGGAGGCGGGGAGGCGGGACGCGAAACATCAGTAAAGCAAGCATCAAGCAGCTGCCGGCAGCTACCGGCAGCAACTATCAACAATCACCCCTGCCCCCAGCACTCGGCCGCAGCTGAGGCAGAGCTCGACTCTATTATTACAAACGGCCACGATCCCGCAGCCTCAGTGCGGGAATTGAGGTCATCCAGAGGTAATGAGCTGGGCCTTTCAGGGCGGGGTGGTGGGGTAATGAATGACAAAGGTGAGGAGGGGTTGGAGTAGGAGAAAAAAGAAGCTGGATTGACTCGGAGACTTACACAGGGCCAGACATTGCGAGGGATGTGTAGCAGCAAAGGGGTATTGTTTGGATTGGAAAAGCACCAGATGTCGGTTACGACAGCAGAATTGCGAGTTTGGAGGATGGAGAGAATGGAGGAGAGACGAAAGACGAAGGAGAGATAGGGAGGGACGGAGGTAAGTAAATATAGTGGGATGGTGGGATGCATCTTAGTGGGAAACACGGGGCCGGAACGGGGATGCGCGCCCAGCAACGCCCAAGAAGCAGGAGGTTTTGGTTTGGGTTTTGGCTGAGAACTCGGCGTGTGATTGTGATTGGCCCGGGGCGACGCATCGTCATCGCTGTTCTTTTACCTCATACAAACTTCTAACCAGTCCAGAACGCTAGCCACGTTTTATCTCCATGCTCATGGCTTGAATGCTACCAGGTTAGTGACATGCTCCAGGCATGAGAAATAAATGCTGCTGCTCGTACTATGTAATACTCCGTACTAGGTGATTTCATTACTGCCGTTGCCTCGTCTCGTCTCGTCTGGTATCGCCTCGTCTGGTATCGCCCAGTCCATGCAAGTCCCGTTACAAGTCCGGCAGAGGGCCAAAACCCCCCGAGAGTGAGTTCTCTCTACCCCCCCCCCCCCCCCCCTCTCTCTCTCCTCCTCCAGGACTCGCCCGGGCCGCTGTGGGCAATTCCGCATTTCCGGCCACCTCGTGCAAGGCCGTGGTTCTTCTACCGTCTTCTTTATTAGCTCCGAGACAGGCACCTATATCTGGATCGGGACAATCCATATGAGAATGAGCGCAATATCGTATTTGCCTGCCCCACCTCACGGCAGCTATCATATATTGCCTCTCCGTCCGGCTGCTTCGGGCTGAGCGCCATTGAGCCCGGAGGCTTTGGATACAAAGTGTTGTGCCTAAGCTATTACATACCGGCTTTGTAAAAGGAGCTACCAAGCTGTTTGCCTAGCTTAAGTTTGCGTCCGCCCAATGATCTAGCCTGCATGCTTACAGTGCGCCGCCTCTCAGCCTTTTTCTCCTCTTCCGGCATCTCCTCTCAGAGGCACGGTAATCTCCATTTTAAAATGGGGATAACCAAAGAGGCTCCTGTCGCCCCTGTAGGAACTTTCAAGTCTAAGGGGATGTGCAAGCCTCAGCCAAATCCCAGCAGCCAATTCGGGCCACGGGGACGGTAGCCATCCATGTTAGTCGAGCTTGTTGAAACGTCGCCTTGCAAAGCAGTTATCATCTCAAATAGATGTCATCTGATACTCCAAAACACTCGCCGGTCAAACAATAGGGGTATTATACCGTGCATGAAGGCGGCCACAAAAAAAAAGAAAAGAAAAGAAAAGAAAAGAAAAGTAACCTTACATTCGCACTCCAGCGGAAATCATCCTCAACTGCTTGGAAATTCAAGTCAGCTTAGTTCTCCCGTCCCACCTTCAACAATGAGGTAATTGGCAATCCTCCGTCCAGTGCCTATTGTGGCTACGGGCCGAAACAGTCGACAGCCTAAGCCACCGGCATGACTGGTAAGGGGGGGAAAGAGGAGAAAAGTGCCCGGTGATGTGGGATTATGATGTTCATGATTTGCGAGTGCATGTATGTAATGGTGCTGTACAAGTACTTGTAGCCACCCTGCCCTGAGAGAGGATATATCAAGTACTACATACATAGACAGGTAGGTATTAGCCGATTGCCTTTGAAGAGTTCATATACCATGTACACCTCTCTCACGATGAGCAATACCGGATTTCCATCAACCAACCCGCTACCCGTTGGAATAGCCTACACTCAACAAAGAACAACAGCAGCCGGGCGAATTCCCATCCTCTTGTGCTTAGTGCCCACCAACACCAAATTAGTGCCCAATACATGAACGTGATTTTGCCTTACTCGCCTTGCCAAATAATATGTTCGGAACAAGTTGCTGCATGCCTAAGCAAGCGGGCATCAGGGAAAAAAAAATAGGGACTACAGAGTAAACATGTGCTTATTGTCCAGCAATACGTGCACGATTTCAAACAGCGCCAAAGAAGGTATCGTATGTGTATTATCCAGGATTGTGTGCTGATAATGTGCCCCGTTCTTTTTTTGTGATATTCGCCTGCCAAGCCTCTACGGGTAGCCTCCGCCGTGACAATGTTCCACTTTTCAGGCTGTCCAATCAAATGCCACACTGAAGTGCCTGACGATAAGCGAGTAAGGTGCGCAATTCAAAAGGCTTGCTTACCAATCAATGGAACAGAGCGAAGACTAGCACTAATATACAAATAGGGAAAAGATAAAATTAATCATATTACATTCTATATAAATATATATACTGTATATTAAACTAATTATTATATAACTTAATATTAAATTTAATT